ATAAATTTATGGTCCCTAAACACTTTCAAAGTCTCAAAAAGGAAAGAAATTGATCTAACAAGTATTTTGATAGACTGGCGTTATCAAATATAAATTCAGAAAAAGCAGCATAGCTAACGATAATGCTATATAATTTGCCACCTACTTTCCATACGCTTCAAAAGTATCTATTACTGTATTGCCTTCATGATGGAAAGGGCATTGAATCTGCCAGCCGGCCGCACCAGCCTCCAAAATTGATTCAAATTCAGAACATTTTTTTCTGCTCAAGATTGGACAGAAAGTGTCTTTTTTTCGACTTGATTCAACTATTTTGTGAGATTCGACTATATAAGTTGTGAAGATCATCCTTTGCTTCCTAATACATTGCCCCTGGTGGTAGGGCGAAGTGGTAGAACTCCCGTATGCCAACGGGAGGATCCCCGGTTCAAATCCCAGTGAACGCAAGTTGTTTGATTTTTTTTGAGGTAGTACTGATGTCCTCGTTTGGTGTTTTGTACTCTATCCATTATCTATTTTTGACGATTTCCGCAAGATTGCATTGGCTCTAGGTTTCGCACCTTATTAGTAGTAGATTTCTTTCCCAACTTAGTTCAAAATTTCTTATTCCCCTTCATTGCAGACATTGGGTCCACCAACAGTCTTTTCTATCCCTCAGTATGACATTTAAAGGACTTTAAATAAAACCTGGAGCTTGTCTCCCCTACAAAAAAAAATGCTTCCTTAAGCTTTCCTAGAGTACTTTTCAAGGTGCATCCAATGGTACTAAGTAAAATAGATGATTTGAATAAACTTATCAAATGATTTATGAAAACATGAAAAGAGGTTTCTGGCCAAAATGTCGAAATTTTACATATTGAAGTCCCACAAAGATGATTTCAGAGGTCGCTTTGGATCGATAGAAACATTTTGATTCAAGATATACCATAGTAAAAGTCTTCGTTTTCAAGGTGAAAAACGCGATCGTTTGATTTTCGATGAAAATCATGAGGGGTACGGTACCTCATGCTTTTTGGTCGAATTTTGTTCATGTTTTTTTGATCCCCAAAAAGTTGAGCAAAGGTATCAGGAAGTAACTGCCAGATGAGAGCAAGTGTTTGGTGCTATTCTGACGATCTAAAACCGCTTCTATCGCGAGAAATCACGGCAAAAATGCACTCATATTTTGCTGTATCAAGGGACACTAAGGGCTAAAAAGAAGAAACACCAGTATGCTGCCTGCCCGTATATGAAGTAGCTACGCATATATGGATGTAGAGCATCACACAAGAATCAGATCCACAGATAATATAAAGGGTTTCCTTGTGTACATTGAAAATCAAACGATTGCGTTTTTGATTTAGATAACGAAGACTTTTACTATGATATACGAGCCTTTCAGCACTTCGGGTGGTTTCCTGACCTACGCTTCGCTTCGGTGGAAACCAACCTATGTTCAAACGACCCGCGCTGCCGCGGGCCTTTGGCTAATATCCCAATATCATTATAGCTAGAATGTTAGAAGAAGAACCCTGATTGTTGATTGATATATAATCACTAATCATATGAGTGTTTATGCTTTGGATGGCTCTCACCGAAGCGTAGCGAAGGTAGAGAACCAACCTGCACAGCGACAGCTCGAGCTACCGGTTACCCTTGTGTATCTTATCATAATACTACTACGTTCAAGCTGACCCTCTACTTACACATAAAAACCCTTTATAATATCTGTGGATCTGACTCTTATCTGATGCTCTACATCCATATACACGTAGCTGCTTCATATACGGGCAAGTAACATACTGGTATTTCCACTTTTTAGCCCTTAGTGTCCATAATACAACAAAATTTGAATGCATTTGAGCTGCGTTTTCTCGCGTCCAAGGCCGTTTTAGATTGTCATAATAGGACCCAAACACTTGCTCTCATCTGGCAGTTACTTCCTGATACCTTTGCTCAACTTTTTGGGGATCAAAAAAACACGAACAAAATTCGACCAAAAAGCATGAAGTACTTTTTTTTTTAAAATTGTTTTTATTGATTGCTCCGTGTAAGTAGGTCCCTAGGGCATTACCAAGAGGCGGGCGCAATTGATATGATATTCAATTGTATTTAGGATAAAGCGATAGATGACAGGAACAGATGATAGATGACAATTTTGATTAGAGAATTACAATTGCTTGTGAATTTCAGTTTGGGCATGTAGTTGAAGGAGCTCGTTCTTGATCTGCTGGACCACATCAATCCATATAAATGGAGTCGAGTGAAAGATCATACGAACTTGAGCTCGCCAAATGTTGCCAAGTGTTACCAGTACGACCATGTGAGCAGTGGTGTATGATTTGGAGACATTCTTGATGTTTTCAAAGTCAAGAGAGGAACAGGCTTGGATAACATCACCAATCGAAACGGTTGGCCACAAGAATTCAAAGATGATAGCTTTCCAGATGGATGCCTTACTGGAACAGAGGAAAAGCAAGTGTACAGCATTTTCTTCGTTACCACAGATCGGGCAGAGAGGTGACTCAGCTATCTCAAAGTAGTGCAGCAGGCGTTTGGTCGGGATGGTGTGGGTGAGGAAGCGATAGATGACATTACGGTGGACAAGGTTCAGGGACAGAGACCAGAAGAAATTCCAGTTGGACCTGGCGATGCTGGAGGTGTGAGCCTCGATGCATGCTGTGCGGAATGTTCTGGTTGAAATCTGTCGAGTGAGTCCTTGCTGGCTGTTGAAGTCATAGGAGTCAATGAACGGTTTAAAGGAGATGTCGGTTGTGCGATTGGTGCCATCCTGAGGGGGTTGTAGCATGAGGTTAAAGTACGGTTGGATATGTACTTTGTTCTCGTTGATTTGCTTCAGGATTTTCTTGCAAGCGCGTCGAATGTCAGCTGGGATGGTTGGTGTTTTTCGTGCTTCGAGTTGCAGAGGTTGGTCAGGATTGGGTTGATAAAGATCCTTTACTTGCAACTGAGTGGCCCTAATCGGCATTTTGGAGACAGTGGCAGATGGCTGCAGAATGGCTTTGACAGGTAGGATTGAGGCGGTAGCAATATTGAGGTGAACTGGTTCATTGATGCGTTTGAGGCGGTCAACTGATTTGTAGATCATTGTTACCGTGTTGGTGCGTTGTTTGGTGAGACCAGTGGTTCGTGTGAGGGGAAAGAACAACGGAACCTGCACATGCGCACTCTGATTTTGCTTATTCACTAGCATGACCAGCATGAGATCTAGGATGTGGGGCGAGTCAGAGGGATGGAGGAGCGGTTGAACCCAACGAAAGTATAGGGCTGATTGTTGCAGAGCAACATCCAGAACACCTAATCCACCTAATGGCTTCGGCTTGGTCCATGTGGCCCAGGGGATAACAGGAAAGATGCCTTTTCGTAGAAACTTGGTGCAAATGGACTGGACAGCTTGGACATTACTTTGAGCAAACGGAGTTACTCGTAGTACATACCAGCATTTGGACAAAATCAAACTGTTGAGCACTGTAGCTTTGCCAACGACGGAGAGACTTCTTACACTGTGGATTTTGGTAGCTGTCCGGAGATTGTCGACAAGACCACCAATAAATACTTCACGTTGTTGAACCGATTGCAGCAGAAGAAACCCGAGATAGATCACTGGATTGGAATCCATGTTGGATGTGAATTTTGTGATATTCATTTCTGAGAGTCGTGCTTGCCAATATGACCATGTGTTTTGACCAGAGAGCGAGATAGCTTCGACCTTGTTGTAGTTAATCTTGGCATTGGTTGCATTGCAATAGACATCTAAGTGGTACTCGAGTCTTGCCAGATCAGGAAGGTCTTGAACAAATACAAAAGCATCGTCAGCGTAACATAGGATTTTTGACACATGAACTAAAGGGTCATTAGCATTATAGTTGGGATGGTCAGTTGCATACTGCATTTGATAGCCGTGGTATAATGGATCATTGAGAATAGACCGCAGAAAGGGTTCAATAGCCAAATTGTACAAAGTAGAGGAAATGGGGTCACCTTGCTTTAAGCCTCGCAGCTTGGGAATATCATCAGTAAAGTAACCATTCACATTGATGCGCAAGAGATTTTGGCCCATCATGTTGATGATGCAGCGGACAAGATTAGCAGGGAAGCCATAAGTAATGAGTGCAGTTTGAAGGTACGAGAGGTTAACTCGATCGTACGCTTTTTCCTGATCAAGACTAAGGCCAATTGCTTTGGGCATTTGGTGTATCACATTGTTCTTCTTGGCCAAGTTCATGGTTCGTTCAGCATCTTCCATTATGACCTGACACCGCAGAGCGTTTTGGGCAATGAACCTCCCAGGTACGAAGCACGCTTGGTTTTCGTTGGTCAGTTGCTTAGCGACTTCCATCATTCGATGATTAAGCAACCGTGTCAAGAGTTTGTAGTCAGTGTTGCAGAGGGAGATAGGTCTATAATTTGCCATGTCATTGGGGTCATTTTTTTTGTAGAGGATTGTCATGAGGGAGACGTTCCAAGACGCAGGAAATATGCCTTTGGTGAGGGCATCATTGTAGACCGTGGTGATGAGAGAGTGGAGGGGTGGGAACTTGAGAATCAGCCGGAGGAGTTGGTAAGGGATGCCATCGCTGCCGGGAGACTGTTGCATACAAGCATGCATCTTAGGCTACATTCACTTTCTCCTCAAGCCACCTTTTACAGTGTAGCAGCATAGATGATGTTTATCGTATCACATCACATCTATGTTTACAAGTCCAGTCAATTGTGTGTGCACAGGTGCCTCAGGAACTACAATACATTCAATCTCCCCAATGTCAAAATATCGAGATCCACCTACACTACATGAAACATACCGACTTAGGTGGCCTCTCAAAAAGCTATACCAACAATCCATAAGGCCCCAGTGGCCTGCTATTTATATACCATCTCAACGTAGTAGTCATTGACCAGGGATCTACCATATTTAAGCAAGCTAGATGCCCTGTAATAAAGAAGCTCTTTGCTTTCGTTTTAGATACAGTTGACAACTGATTATTATCATCGACTTATTATTACGAATTCATCAGAGACGCAAATTTAGGCGATCTTTTACATTCAAACAACAAATCATCTAGCTCTACTGGTAGTTCGAGGAGTGATTGCTGTTCACCGTCAAGTCGCATGTCAGGTGTGATTTGATCCAACAATAGCCGCATTGATCTGGCATCGGGTGGAGTTGGTGTGTACAAATTCGTGTAAAAGCTGCCAGCGATCTCGCTCATAGTACCTTGATCAGAATGCAATTTTTGAGTAACTGGATGCCTCAGTTGTTTCAATTGACGTTGATTCTGTCTAGATACGGTGAGTTTCTTCAAGAACCCAGTATTTTTCTCTCCATTTTCTCTCCAATACTTCCCTAATTTGAGGACTTCAATTTCGGCGATAGAGTCTTGTAACGCACCAATTTGTTGGTTGATGGTGTCTAGCCCTTGAAATATCAGTCCCCGGTTCTTCTTTGCTCGCATACACCGATTCCGTTTTGCTTGTAACGTCTTCAGTGCCTTTCTACGCCAGTTGACTTCTTCCAGTTGGAATTGTCGGACATGCTCCTTAAACTCGTCTTTGATCCAGTCCCAGATCTCCTGAGGGGATTGGGTGGCTGTCTTGAGCTCAACTTGCGGCTGTAGACCTTGCAAGAAGATCACCAATTCACGACGAAACTTGTGGTTGTTGGCCAAAAAGGGATTGCATTTGTAGGCGCCAGGCCCCTGTGTTGCATCCTTTTGCAGTTGTAAAGTAATGACCAGCATTTCATGATCTGTCCATGTCGAGTTCATAAACTCCTGGGTACACTCTGTAACTGTTCCATAGGAAGTGTTGTTGCAGAAGATGTAGTCCTAGATGTAATGGAGATTGCTGGATCCATGAAAAGTGGCGCTCTTGTTTTCCCAAAAGCAATCGATGAAATGTTCCTCCAATAAGGCTATCCATTCGACTGTAGTTGCTTCGACTGTTCCATTAGATCAACGAGACTCATATTTGTAGTTGAAATCTCCCAAAATAATCATGTTGTTCTGAATAGTTGTAATCTTGTGTATCAAAAATCTGTGTTGCATCAATTCCGTGTAGAATCCCACGTTGTCTTTTCTTGATGCTGCTTTTCCGTATATGTTGAGTATTGTGGCTATGGAGTTGGAGGAGTTTGGTTCCTCTTCCGTCGCATAATGTACGTGTGCTAGTATAAATCTACCATCGATGCCAGTGTCAATGGGTGTAATAATGTATCTGTTGTTAAGTGATATGATTCCGCAATGTTTGGTGTAGGTGCTGGACTTGCTGGAAAACTGCATATCTAAAGTGTCTTGAGTATCTTTTTTGTCAGCATGAGATTCCTGGATGGCAAGAATATCAATGTCTGATGTTTTGAGGTATTTTATGAATTTTTTTCTGCGTTTTTTATGTTTTTGTGTGTCAGACCACGACAGTTGAGAGTCGCAACCCTCAATCGATGATTAGGTGCTCTAATCATCATATTATTTTAAGTGTTGACGGTTGGACTGAGCAGTTTCTGATGTTTCCTGCCCTTGGGAGTCGTCTGAAGCTCCTTTGCCACCCTTGTCGGTGTCAGTGTTGAATTTGCTGGCTGCACTGCCTCTGGTGAAGCGCCTGGTGAGATTGGCGCGCTGTTCCTGCTCTGTTCTGAGCTTTTTGCCATCTCTGCCATCTTCCAGATCTGGTCGTGCCTGAATGAGAGGCTCCTTCATACTGTCATCAGGCATAAATTGCTTGATCAGCTCTTGTCCATTCAGAGTTGATTCAGCTGCATTGGATGATGTCAATGTTTGCGTGTTGTTGGCAGATGTCTGTGCGCTCGCAGCATATGCATTTGGTGTAACGCCATCATTGTTACTTTTGGGTTGAGGAGTGGGAGAATCAATATTCATGTTGTCCTCATCAGTACCTTCTTCCTCCTCTATGGTGGGTTCAGGCTTGTTCTGTTGCTGTTGCTTCTTGGCTTACTCAGTGTCTGTGGTTTCCTGGGTCTTGGCTACTACCACTCTAGGGCCAATGGGAGGGTTGAGCTCTCACATGAGGTACCCCTCATGGTTTTCATCAAAAATCAAACGATCGCGTTTTTCACCTTGAAAATGGAGACTTTTACTATGGTATATCTTGAATCAAAATGTTTCTATCGATCCAAAGCGACCTCTGAAATCATCTTTGTGGGACTTCAATATGTAAAATTTCGACATTTTGGCCAGAAACCTCTTTTCATGTTTTCATAAATCATTTGATAAGTTTATTCAAATCATCTATTTTACTTAGTACCATTGGATGCACCTTGAAAAGTACTCTAGGAAAGCTTAAGGAAGCATTTTTTTTTGTAGGGGAGACGAGCTCCAGGTTTTGTTTAAAGTCCTTTAAATGTCATACTGAGGGATAGAAAAGACTGTTGGTGGACCCAATGTCTGCAATGAAGGGGAATAAGAAATTTTGAACTAAGTTGGGAAAGAAATCTACTACTAATAAGGTGCGAAACCTAGAGCCAATGCAATCTTGCGGAAATCGTCAAAAATAGATAATGGATAGAGTACAAAACACCAAACGAGGACATCAGTACTACCTCAAAAAAAATCAAACAACTTGCGTTCACTGGGATTTGAACCGGGGATCCTCCCGTTGGCATACGGGAGTTCTACCACTTCGCCCTACCACCAGGGGCAATGTATTAGGAAGCAAAGGATGATCTTCACAACTTATATAGTCGAATCTCACAAAATAGTTGAATCAAGTCGAAAAAAAGACACTTTCTGTCCAATCTTGAGCAGAAAAAAATGTTCTGAATTTGAATCAATTTTGGAGGCTGGTGCGGCCGGCTGGCAGATTCAATGCCCTTTCCATCATGAAGGCAATACAGTAATAGATACTTTTGAAGCGTATGGAAAGTAGGTGGCAAATTATATAGCATTATCGTTAGCTATGCTGCTTTTTCTGAATTTATATTTGATAACGCCAGTCTATCAAAATACTTGTTAGATCAATTTCTTTCCTTTTTGAGACTTTGAAAGTGTTTAGGGACCATAAATTTATTATGTTATGATATTACATACAAGCAAAATCTCTTGACGTTAAATTATATGTATATGACTAAATTATGTACAGGCTTTAAAATACATTGGTCATAGCAATCAATGGACAGTGCAAGCTTTGAAACAAGATGCAATCATAAAAAAGCATAATATTGAAGCTAATGACAAGACGTGGTTGTTTTTTTTATTAATGTGTATTTGAGTTTATGAGATCACCATACTTGATGGATTAAAATATTTCAGATTTTTGAGGCTATTTTGACTTGTATAGATAGAGGTAGCAGAGATATAAGAACGACTTGGCCTTGTATAGATGTCAGGCATTAATTGTCTTGATAATTGATTGAGTAAGAGGAAGCACAGATGAGAGTAGGGCTTGACCTTGTATAGATGTAGAGATGGTATATTTGAACAGTCTTGTCATTTTAGGAGCTTGTAGGAAGCACAGATGAGAGTAGGGCTTGACCTTGTATAGATGTAGAGATGGTATATTTGAACAGTCTTGTTATTTTAGGAGCTTGTAGGAAGCACAGATAACTTGGCTTGATAGTATTTGGAGAGAACAGCTTGCTTTAGATGAGATAGAACATGAGATGGCAGAGGTAACTAGATAAAGATGAGATGAGTACACAAGTACTGTGGCATGAGTGCGTAACAAACCATTTGGGCAAAGAAAATTGACCATCAATAAAAGGAACCAACACTATATAAACAGGTACCAAGGTGTAAACTTGCTTCATCCATCACAAGATCATCGACACGCTCAAGCCGCCTCCATCTCCGGATCATAGGGTTAAACCCTACTCTCGTCGGCAATAAAGCTTGTGATCATCCCGTAGCATGACCAATGGATTTGTCCCGCAGTCTACCCATGATTATGAAGCGGTGATCCTACTCAGTCCCTACAAAGTAGTTTTTCGGCACTATGTAATCAATAGGTTAGTCAACATGGCTCATACGTCCAACAAGATAATAACTTACTCGCACAGTTCACCAAGGTCTGCATGTATCAAAGATAGTGTGGCCTTTTTCTAGCATGGACCAAGAGACGTAGAGAGGACCATGGATTTGTAAGGCATTGTATGTAGCAGTAGTAGAGGCCAATAGACAGTAGAGTATTTGATTTAGATGACCATATGTAGAGAGAGAGAGCCCAAATGTCTTGTAGAGAGTTTGTATGTATAGAGTATTTTGCTTGTAATAGAGAGATGAGATGAAGAAGAAGAGGGAAAAGCTGTTGAAACAAATCCCTATTTATATCCTTCTCATCGACTTTTGTGTGAGTCCAGTATCCTTGCCACACTCAAACTCGTTTCCTTTTACTTTTCTCCACAATATACTACTTTGAGCGCGTGAAAATAGTACCATTTTGACGCTTGACACTTGCTCTATTTGATCGTTTTTGTCCGAGGCTTTCAACTCTTTTCTGTCTCGAGTTATGTCCATTTTGCTACTTCAAAAAGTCCTTTTTCCACCTTCACATGAAACGAGTTCCCCCATCTCTTCCTAGATGTAATTAACAGACAACTTCTCACGGGCTCAGCCTCATCAAAAAGTAAACAAAAAATGTCATTTGACACTGAAACAAATGCAGCTGGTTGCTTGATTAAGTAATCTTTCTCTACCCCCCCTTAATTTCTCTCTCCAAAATCACACAGTTCCCAATCCATCTCTTCTGTTGTTTGTATTCGCCATAAATTCTCCATCTAATTGGACAATACAGGATGATAAGGTTGGGTTACTTGTTGCTTACATCATCTTGGAGCCAGTGCAATTGATTCTGGATCAAGAGACAAGTGTACACCTCGGAAAGCAAGAGTATCATATGAATATTACTGCGGCTATCTCCATGGAATGGAACATAATGGATTGTTTTCGAACCAGTGCAGGTCATCTTGTTTCCAGCTATCATGGTTGCTGTCAATGATGTCAATCAAGTGTTTGCGCTACTAGATATCATCAATATGCCCACATCTACATAGTGAGTTGGTCATTCTCGTGTATCATTCCTGCAACCTGTTTTTAGTTCTTATGCCAAGAGCATGCATCCCATAAAGAGTCAACACATTTCATATCATTTTTTTTAGGAATCGTCCTCTTTTAGAAGGTACTCGGATCATGCAAGATCAAAATAATTCATTTGCTAAGCAAAAATGAGCTTTAAAAAAATCACATGTAAAGTAAATAAAAGGACATGAATTGAAGAGAGATAAGCAAGTAAATGGCCAATTTGTGGTCAAAGGGAGGATATTTTATTAGAAGGTATGTACATCATTAGAAAGCAAATCGCTTGAGGAATCCAATGGTACTATTTTCAGGGTTCTAAGTAAAGTACACATCGCGAAATTCATCAAACAAGGCCGTGGGATTTCCAAAAGAAAGAGGTTTCTGAATTAAACTTCACCTGCAATATTATTTTTGTCTGTGTGCTATTCTGTTGCTTTGGATCATGTCACGCTCCTCCTATGTCACCAGCCTGTCCTTTTTGGGTCTCATGTTGCGTACACTATCTATTTGGGAAGGAGCCTCACTTTCTCGTATAATTGTTTCTGTAAATATCATTACAGTTATATTATAGGGCTTTGAGGAATTAAGGGGAGTCTTCTAGCCAGCCAAAAAGGATTACAATCCCGCTCGACTTTCTGTCATGGTTCGTTGATTTTGGATCCTTTTGCGATTTGATCGAGTTATTTTAGAAGATTCGACTATGAAAGTTGTTGTGATCATCCTTTACAGCCTTAAGATATCTAGAAGAACTTTTCAATGCGCATCCAACTGTGTTGGGTGTAATAGATATTTTGATTGAACTTGTTGAGCAATTTATGAAATTATGAAATGACGTTTTTGGCGAAAATGTCGAGATTTTATATATCAAGGTCTCACAAACATAGTTTCAGAAGTTGCCCTGAATCAAGAATTAATATCATCATAACATAATAAATGTTCAGTCCTTAGACACTTTACAACCCTAATATCGAACCTGAGTTTCAAGGCATCTGTCAGGCCTGGCTCATATGAGAATAATGATTTTACAATCAATCAACAAAAACCACTGTTATTTCTACCCTCTTTCCTCTGCTCAATGCTACCAACGTTTTATTTGAACGACGTCTCAGAGCCTCAGAGATTTCACTACTTACTGCAGACATCTTACGCAGCCCATGAATCGTCAATGTCCAGACTAACGTTATTAAATATAGAATGCAAGACGATGTCATTATGAACGATATAGAATGCAATAAAATACCATTATAAACGATAGCTTTATGGCCTGCCACCTACTTTTCATACGCTTCAAGAGCATTTACTACTGTATTGCAGTAGGAAAAGGGCGTTGAGTTTGCCAGCTGGCCTCACAAGCCAAAATTAATTTAAATCCGGAATCATAGTTTGTTTCAGATTGGACAAATCTTGATGGTTTTGGATTCAGTTAAGCTATTTTTGCAGATTCGACTAAGTAAAATATGATGATCACCCCATGCTTCCTTAAGTGGTCCCTGGTGGTAGGGCGAAGTGGTAGAAACTCCCGTATGCCAACGGGAGGATCCCCGGTTCAAATCCCAGTGAACGCAAGTTGTTTGATTTTTTTTGAGGTAGTACTGATGTCCTCGTTTGGTGTTTTGTACTCTATCCATTATCTATTTTTGACGATTTCCGCAAGATTGCATTGGCTCTAGGTTTCGCACCTTATTAGTAGTAGATTTCTTTCCCAACTTAGTTCAAAATTTCTTATTCCCCTTCATTGCAGACATTGGGTCCACCAACAGTCTTTTCTATCCCTCAGTATGACATTTAAAGGACTTTAAACAAAACCTGGAGCTCGTCTCCCCTACAAAAAAAAATGCTTCCTTAAGCTTTCCTAGAGTACTTTTCAAGGTGCATCCAATGGTACTAAGTAAAATAGATGATTTGAATAAACTTATCAAATGATTTATGAAAACATGAAAAGAGGTTTCTGGCCAAAATGTCGAAATTTTACATATTGAAGTCCCACAAAGATGATTTCAGAGGTCGCTTTGGATCGATAGAAACATTTTGATTCAAGATATACCATAGTAAAAGTCTTCGTTTTCAAGGTGAAAAACGCGATCGTTTGATTTTCGATGAAAATCATGAGGGGTACGGTACCTCATGCTTTTTGGTCGAATTTTGTTCATGTTTTTTTGATCCCCAAAAAGTTGAACAAAGGTGCCAGAAAGTAACTGCCAGATGAGAGCAAGTGTTTGGGTCCTATTATGACAATCTAAAACGGCCTTGGACGCGAGAAAACGCAGCTCAAATGCATTCAAATTTTGTTGTATTATGGACACTAAGGACTAAAAAGTGGAAATACCAGTATGTTACTTGCCCGTATATGAAGCAGCTACGTGTATATGGATGTAGAGCATCAGATAAGAGTCAGATCCACAGATATTATAAAGGGTTTTTATGTGTAAGTAGAGGGTCAGCTTGAACGTAGTAGTATTATGATAAGATACACAAGGGTAACCGGTAGCTCGAGCTGTCGCTGTGCAGGTTGGTTCTCTACCTTCGCTACGCTTCGGTGAGAGCCATCCGAAGCATAAACACTCATATGATTAGTGATTATATATCAATCAACAATCAGGGTTCTTCTTCTAACATTCTAGCTATATTGATATTGGGATATTAGCCAAAGGCCCGCGGCAGCGCGGGTCGTTTGAACGTAGGTTGGTTTCCACCGAAGCGAAGCGTAGGTCAGGAAACCACCCGAAGTGCTGAAAGGCTCGTATATCATAGTAAAAGTCTTCGTTATCTAAATCAAAAACGCAATCGTTTGATTTTCAATGTACACAAGGAAACCCTTTATATTATCTGTGGATCTGATTCTTGTGTGATGCTCTACATCCATATATGCGTAGCTACTTCATATACGGGCAGGCAGCATACTGGTGTTTCTTCTTTTTAGCCCTTAGTGTCCCTTGATACAGCAAAATATGAGTGCATTTTTGCCGTGATTTCTCGCGATAGAAGCGGTTTTAGATCGTCAGAATAGCACCAAACACTTGCTCTCATCTGGCAGTTACTTCCTGATACCTTTGCTCAACTTTTTGGGGATCAAAAAAACATGAACAAAATTCGACCAAAAAGCATGAGGTACCGTACCCCTCATGATTTTCATCGAAAATCAAACGATCGCGTTTTTCACCTTGAAAACGAAGACTTTTACTATGGTATATCTTGAATCAAAATGTTTCTATCGATCCAAAGCGACCTCTGAAATCATCTTTGTGGGACTTCAATATGTAAAATTTCGACATTTTGGCCAGAAACCTCTTTTCATGTTTTCATAAATCATTTGATAAGTTTATTCAAATCATCTATTTTACTTAGTACCATTGGATGCACCTTGAAAAGTACTCTAGGAAAGCTTAAGGAAGCATTTTTTTTTGTAGGGGAGACGAGCTCCAGGTTTTGTTTAAAGTCCTTTAAATGTCATACTGAGGGATAGAAAAGACTGTTGGTGGACCCAATGTCTGCAATGAAGGGGAAAAAGATATTTTTGAACTAAGTTGGGAAAGAAATCTACTACTAATAAGGTGCGACTCCTAGAGCCAGTACAGTCTTGCGGAAATCGTCAAAATATAGATAATGGATAGAGTACAAAACACCAAACGAGGACATCAGTACTACCTCAAAAAAATCAAACAACTTGCGTTCACCAGGATTTGAACCGGGGATCCTCCCGTTGGCATACGGGAGTTCTACCACTTCGCCCTACCACCAGGGACTGTATTAGAAAGCAATTTTTTTTTTTTTTTTGTAGGGGAGTCGAGCTCCAGGTTTTATTTAAAGTCCTTTAAATGTCATGCTGAGGGATAGAAAAGACTGTTGGTGGACCCAATGTCTGCAAAGAAGGGGAATAAGATATTTTTGAATTAAGTTGGGAAAGAAATCTACTACTAATAAGGTGCGACTCCTAGAGCCAGTACAGTCTTGCGGAAATCGTCAAAATATAGATCATGGATAAGAGTACAAAAACACCAAACGAGGACATCAGTACTACGTCAAAAAATCAAACAACTTGCGTTCACCAGGATTTGAACCGGGATCCTCCCGTTGGCATACGGGAGTTTTACCACTTCGCCCTACCACCAGGGGCTGTATTAGAAAGCAAGGCATGACCATCACACTTTACATAGTCGAATCTAGCAAAATAGGTCGAATCGGGTTCAAAGAACTCGAAATTGAACAAATCAGAACAGGATGTCAAGCGGACATTTAATTAATTTTGGCTGACAAACTTTATGCTATATGCTTATTCTTGGAGGCAAATGCTGCTGTGCTGAATAGTATCCAACTCGATATCCAAAAGATGATCGACTAGGATCTCATTCATGCCAGTCTATAATTTACCCTTCTCTTAAATCGTTCTCATACATTTGTCTAAACTTATATTATCATAGAAAACTGCGCCCGCCGCTTGATTACTATAGTTTACGCGGAACAAGCAATAAAAGCCTTTAAACTGAATGTAATTGATGCGTTTAAAGGCTCCAAAGAAGGGAATTACAATTTAATAATAATATAGCTTGGATTTAATAGCTCTCGCTATTTCATTTTTATCTGTAGCCAATTTTCACCAATTGATCATTGCGAGTTGTTCCTCCAATGCCAGCCCTAATGCTTAAGATGCTTCAATTGTGAACTGCAGTATGGTTGTCTAGTGGAATGACAAGAAGCAAGTATATTTATTCAGATTTTAGCTACTATTGAAAGCGCTTTGGGTCTACATAAGTCTTACATTGGGAATACCAAGGGCTGATTGTACTTATTTGAGACCTGTCAGATCCATCTCGTTCACATAATCTTACACAGTATTCATGTGTTAGCCCAAAGGCAATCTAAAATATATCTATACTATCATTTCGCATGCCCATGCTTTTCATTCTTGCAATCTGTCAGTAAACGGGTCAAGTGATCAGCATAACGCACTTGAGCTAATTATTTCCCCGGATTTGCTCACCAGTGCACTCGGCATATCTTTTTCAATGAATCAACATCTTTCAACCGGAAAACGCCATGCTTTGTATTATAAATCAATGAGCCACATACATAGCTTAATAATAGCAGGGTCATCTTAGGATATAAAAGGTGTAAGGCCAAGGTTAGGGAGGGATCATTATTACTTTTTTTTCTTTTTGAATCAAACAATGTCTACTAATATGCGTGCTATTCTTATTAAAGAGCTTGGTATGTCGCTTTTGAATTGCTGAACATAGAAGCTCATACTTTATGTATTACAAGAGATGCCTCTCAACTGTACCTTGGCAACGTCGAAAAACCTGCCCCAAAAGATACTGAAATCTTGGTTAAAGTAAGATTACCTATTATTTCACAGCACTGCGCATGGTAACATTTGCGTGAAACTAGATCAAAGCCTTTGCTCTCAACCATATGGACATTTTGCAAAGGGAGGAAAAGTACCCTGTTGCTATCAAGGTTAGCCCTATTCTTGGGGTGGAAGTGTCTGGTATTGTTGAGAGCGTTGGCAAAGATGGTAAGTGTCATCATGTTGGTCTGACCTACAGAATGTAACATGGACTTCTGTCTATGTTTCAGTCAAAGGATTCAAAGTTGGCGAGGCAGTATTTGGTCTCATGTCTGGAGGTGCCTATGCAGAGGTTTGTTACTATGTATAGTATAAAATGGACGTCCTTGATTCTCAAATGACACCTTCTTCATGCAGTTTGCTGTTCTCCAAGAGGCTTTGACAATGCACAAACCAGATGCTCTTTCATTTGAAGAAGCTGCTGCTATCCCAGAAACATGGTTCACCGCTTATCAGGCACTGTTCTTGGTTGGTGAGATGAAAAAGGGCCATGATGTTCTCATCCACGCTGGTGCTTCTGGTGTAGGCACTGCTGCTATTCAATTGGCAAAAGAGGCTGGAGCGTGAGTAACATACACAGTTTATTATATGTCTTACTAATACAATGCCGATAACAATCGTATTTTTGTCACTGTTGGATCTGAAAAGAAGATTGCATTTTGCGAAAGCATTGGTGCTACCATGGCCATCAATTACAGAACGCAAGGCTGGTCTAAAGTTGTACGTATTTTGGAAAGAGAAAGGTGCCATTTGATCAACAAAAAACTGAATTTTCAATAGATTCTGCAAAAAACAGATAATAAGGGTGTCGATCTCTTGATAGATGTCATCGGCAAGGACTACTGGAAGAAGAACATGGAGGCTTTGGGAGTAGACGGTCATATGGTTTTCCTGGATTTCATGACAGGTAGCAACATTGAGGATTTTGACATATCAGTATTGCCTCGCAAGAGATTAAGAGTAAGTATATTGTAAAGCGCTATATTTCGTCAGAAAGACTAAGTTTTGAATAATCATCTCAGATTGAAGGCTTTAATCTTCGTGCTCGCTCTTTGGAGTATCAACGTCGTCTACGTGATGAGGCCTACCAACATGCCGTGTTGAATCATTTTGCCAAACACGATGGTGCCCTCAGAGTCATTGTGGATAAAGTATTCAGCTGGGAGGACATCAGCGATGCCCACAGATACCTTGAAAGCAATCAATCCATGGGCAAGATCGTCGTCAAGGTCACTAGCAATCAGTAGACTCTTTTAATTAAAATAACATTGATAATAGAAACGACCCTCCCCCCTCCCTTCTTTTGCTACATCAGGCATGTGTGTCCATTTGCGTTGTATCTCGACATACTTGAATGCAAAATTCATTTTCGCGCCGGATGCACTTTCCCCACATGGATTTAAGGAAACGAACATTGGGGGCACATTCACCCACATTCTCCTTTGCTAGCCCGATTCATAATAGCTGTGATCCCTCTCTAATTGTACTATTATATCCAGTATAGGGGTCGGCATTTGAGTGAGAAACAAAACGACCATGAATTACAGTAAGGTTTTAAAATAATACATTTATTCATACATAATAGGTTGACATGCCCTCAATGGGCAGATGGATGAGATGACATGTGCCAGACGATGGAAAAGGATACCGAATGCTTTTGTTGGGTTTATATATACATGCATCTATTAATCAGAGCCAGTAGCAGAAGCTTGAAGGCTGAGAGTTTTTCTACCATCATTGAGAGGGTGGGTATCAGCAAAATCATAGGAGTTGCTGGGGAAAATGCTAGCAGGGAGACCTTGGGTGGAATAAGCAGCAGTCTTTGTAGGTCTGGGTGCAGCAGTGGAGAGTCTAACAGAAGCAGAGGACTTGACAGAAGCAGAGAGCTTTGCAGAGGCAGAAGAGACTTGGGAAGTTTGCAAGGTAACTTCAGCTGTCTTAACGGCAGAAGGTTGAGCAGTTGAGGTCACGTTAGCAGGAGCAGCCATTGTCATGACAACCAATACAGCAGCAATTACAGCAATCAAAAGGGAACGAGCAGCCATGTTATTGATGGAATAGAGACGATATATCAAAGTGAAAGAGATGAAGAGATGCTTTACCGGGAAAACTCATGTCATTTATACAGTAATGATCGGCAATGTTGATATTTGACTCTATATAGAGCGTCTTATAGGTCAATTCTATCGATATTTGATATTAGATCGTCATGGCATGTCTCCGAAGCCGCGCTTTGGCCCTGATAAGTGTGGATTCGCTAAGCTTTGATTCGAACAGGTTTCAGTTTATTAAGTGTCTATAAATATGTTCCAATCGTTATAGGGATGGTCAGTTTTACCTCAATGATTGTTGTGTCATCCTGGAATCATGACATACTAATGATTGCTGATACCCCGTCAGCGTGTATTGGCAAATGTGCTATAGATGCAATAAATAAATCAAATAGACGAGAAGCAACTATCTTACACGGCCACCTCCTTTTTTTATTAGTGTTGTTCATGTCAAAAGGCTCTCAAGAGTCAAACACTACCAGAAGGCGCAGAGTACTTTGTTATATTGGTTTAATATTATCTCGGTAAAAGGCATTGCTAGTATATACATATTATCTGCTAAAAAAAAAAGGCTGATCTAGAAATAGACTTTTCGTATGGGAACATGCTGCTTGCAAAGCTTTAGGGTCAATATTCAAATGTCCATAGACTAAAGAGCAAGTGTCTTTCAACAGTACTGCAAACATGTTCATAGTCCTTTTTACTACACGATGGCATACATTTACATGCTATTTATTTTCAAAACGGGAATTCGAGTATTTGTATATACATTATTTAGGTATGAATGATTTCTTTTTGTTTGCTGTAACGTAAGCGACGTTCTTGGTGAGGCATGAAAGCAATATATTGTTGATTTTCTTGTGCTTTTGTAACTTTTTTTATACAGATTTCAATCGACTAAAATCGTTTGGTGAAGATGATGCTTTTGCAGAAGAGAGAGGAGGTAAAACCATCATGTCTTTCTTGGGCGTTGATGTAGGGGATGGCTTGTCGTCTTTGTCCCAGAGAAAGGCGGTCAAAGGACGAGAGAGAATAGAGCGTTCATCGTGAAACGTAGGCGGCGGTGGTGGTGGTGCTGATGGAGCAATAGAAGAGCGAGCATTCAATGGCGAATGATTAGCAGGTGGGTACCATGGAGAGGATAAACTGCTGATGGTGCTCTTGGAATCACTGGTGTTGCCTGTCGTCGTGCTTGATGTCGTCAGCTGGGAATGGGTGTTGACATCTGCAGGTGTGGTAGACACTGATCGCATGCTGCTGCTACTACCTGGGCTATTGTGCAATGCATCTCCTGCATAGGGGCGATGGTGAAGATGCTCATTTCTCTGCTTTGATTGCTTGTAGTAATTTGGCGATACGGAAGAGGAAGCAGTAGAAGGGTGCATGTTGTTGGTGCTCACCGACTCGAATACATTGGGCTGCTACATGAACAAATACATGTTTAGATGAACTCGTTTGATACACACATAGAATGATGCCTATTACATGATTTTTCTCAATTGCACCATTTGCTAATGTAGAAGTCGTCATGGCATTTGTTTTCCCGTTCTGATGTGTACCACCACCATGGGCTAAATCGTTGTAAATCATATAGGTAATGTAGGTGTGCAAGGCATTCTGCTTGATCTTTGGGTTTTGCTTCTATACATTAGTGTTAGCGCTCGTCCAATGGAAAGCCAAAGTGACACCTACCATGGAGTGATATTGTCTTGAAAAGCTGTTGTTTGCCTGCTGAGGAACGGAAATTCAGTGTGTGTGCCCATGTCATATTAAAACACACAAACTTACCGCAACCTTTGTGCTACTTTTATGATCGCTCTTGCTATGGAATCTGGAAGAATTTTTACGCCACGTGTCTGGTTTGTAAGTTGGAGCAGGCGAGGTGGGTGGACTAGTGCACATTCGCTTGTGTTGAGGAGTCCATTCGTCCGATGTGCGATGATAATATCTGCTGGGATAACTGTATCTCTTTCTCTTTTCATCTATGATGTACTCATGTTAGGGCCATCCATGTATCACATCTATGCTTGCTTGTTATACCAGAATGAGATTGACGATTAACCACTTCCGCCGCTGCCATGAGCAGCATAATTGGGTCGTTTTTCTGTTGAGATTTCTTGTCGTTTGTTTGTGTTACATCTATTTAGACCATCATGATGTGTGAATATCTCAATCTGTACCATATTTTGACAACATGTTTACCTTGAGATGCCTGCTTGCTCGAGAGGTTTTCTTGATTCATCTAGTAGACATGGAAGTCGGTACATATACAAACACAGTTACAAAAGATACTCTACCTTGTCTTGATCTGGCTGCTTTGGCTCGCTGGTCTCTCCATTTGACTCATTTGTCTAACATGATGTACAGAAAAAGTAGTGTATCAGTCATCTGACTTGCAGGCCATCTTGATCCCCTTTTTTCCTTTGTATTTCATATGTGCTGCTGCTTTGCCCCTTTTTTGATGTCCCCCTCCCCTTCCCGTTCACACACACGCATATCTAGTATATGGTTTCATTTATGTGGTTGTATATACCACAAAATCCGTCCACTCCTTTATCAATTATGATGCCAACAGCAGCAGCGAATATCCCTCTCTTTCTCCCTGCTTATTTGTCACAAACCTTATTTGACCGAGATAAAAGTGGTTCATGGTTGGCCAGTGCAATGAGGATACAACTTGCCTCGCAATCCGTCTTGTCCAATGAAGCATAATCCAACAGCTTGTGTGCCATGTCGGTGGAGGCTGCCTTCAATGCCGAGTGCAACAGAATGCTGTTATCCCTCTCAGCTGATGAACGAGGCTGTACTTTTGGATAAAAATCCTGTTGAGATGGCGCTATCTTGCTAGTGTTCAGCGTTGTCGTCAGTGACATTTTTTTTTTCTTTTGATTCTTGTTGATCAAAAAGTGTATGCGGGGAGAGAGAAAGAGAGATAGAGATAGAGAAGGAAAAGAAGAGAAAGAAGAAAAAGAATAGCCCCACTCAAAATGCACACACGCACAAATAAATTAAATGGCACTGTATACACCACCACCACCCAATGATGAGGATCATACCGGTGGAGAGGACAACGAATGATAAATGTAGATCAATCACATATTTAATGATCCCTCAAAGTGAGCATATAATGATTTCTTGCAGAGGGTTCTTTTATAGAAAAGGTTCAGCCGTGGTATAATGCAACTGCTCTAATAAGAGAGGAAGACAAGACCAGTTGTCGAATATCAACATTTTTTTCTGTGGGTTTGTCTTTTGTAGTGATGGCAATCGTCCTTTTGCTCAAGCTTTTTTCGGGGCGTCTGCTAGAGCCTTCAAAACATTAGTGTTTGTTCATTGTTCATCTTCCTATGTTGTGATTTCTGATAAAAGCTTGTCTATTTGCAATGATTTGGCGATTGCCATAGAATGCATCGTATTGTTTCTGTGGAAATATAAGAGATTTGCTGGCGAAAAGCCTTTTTTTTTTTTCGTCAAACTTCTTGCTATAAAAGCCTTAAGCGAACATTCGTCTTTTCAGCCTTGCGCAATTTTTCAACACCTTCTCACATTCTGGAGCATCGACTCGTTCTTGCAGCTTTAAAATGCTGAATTACTGATGCAAATGTTGCTGATGATGATGGCGTTCTTTTCTTGTAATTGAAATGCCAAATCACGCCTTTTCTCTGCCAAAGAGCAAGCTACACGCTATTCCTAGAGCCTTACGTTTGGATGTAAGCAAGAGTTGATGATCTGCAATCACCAAAATACATGGAGCATGATGGATCAAGATGTTGTCCAGTGACGTCTTCTGTCTTTCATTCATCTACATATGTAAAGGTCATTTCCAAAAAGGACACATGGCAATAAAACTTTTTTCTTTCTTTCCTGCATTTTTTTTTTTTTTTTTGCATAATGACTACGCCCGTTGTCTTGGATGAAGATACTTACACTGAAGCCATCAGCCGAATCATTGAAAGAGACTTCTTTCCAAAGCTCGCTAAAATGAGAGCACAGCAAAACTATCTTGAAGCTCAAAACCATGGTTCATTGGGCGAGTTGCAAGAAGCTGGAAAGGCATTACACAACATCTCTATGCAGAAAGAGAGAGGTAAGCAGCTTATCATTCTGTAGCGATACGAAAGCAGGTTGACCAAAGCTCTTGTCTATTAGCTCCATCCAGAGAGTCGAATCAGCCCATCAATTTCTACATTGAAGATGAACCCAACATTGAAAAGCGAGTAAATCTCGGCCTATCTCTCGATCAATTCCAAACATTATATACCAGGTACGGCGGAAATGGAATGTGTACGGTTACAGTGGCAATAGCATGATGCTCATCCATGTTTATTATGTAGCGAGGACAACGCATCCTTCACAGATCTGCTGGAAAAGGCCAACATCAAAGTAAAAGAGCAAAACAAGTGGTTTTTTGACCGAGAATCAAAGCAGTTGCGCATTGCTGATCATCCCAATGAAGAGAGCCCTATCAGGTTGATTGAAGCAAACGACAAGGCACCCTCAGGCTGGAAGTACAAGGCAAAAAATGCACTCATGTATTTCCCGCAAGGTAAGAGCGAGTCTTGGATCAATGAGAAGGATGCACGTGGTATGCCAAAATCGATTGAACACCATAATACCCACATCACCACCATGGATGTCACCATCAACAGCACAATAACACTAGCACCTTCCGATATCGCTGCAAAGAATGGCTCACTGACACCGTGGAGTCAAATGAATGGGCTCAACAGCGACCATTCATCTTCGTCACCCAACATCAGAGGCTACAATCTCGTGGATGCCACGCCAGCATTGAGTCCAGATCGAGTGGGCACACCACAGATGACATGGGGTTCAATCGAAGGTACGCCTCTATTGATCTCTGGAGGATCACAGACACCAGGGCCTCAGTTCTCGCTACCACAGGTGTCGAAACGAGAAGAATTGGGCATGAAACTATCTGAAAAGGCATCAAAAGCATACAGAAAAAAGACGAACGAACGGCAGAGAAGTGTGCAGGGCACACCAAGATTAGGGTAAGATGAGCTCGTTGGTTGAAATAACGAAATACTAATCTCTACTTGCAGTGCTGGATTGATGTCTCCTGCAGCACAACATCTACTGAGAAAGAGCCAAGCAACACCTCGCGCCCAAAGTGGATTTGGCGAGGCACTACGAAACTCATATGGTGGATCACCACTAGGAATAAACAGCCCTCGAACCATCAGACGACCAGGCGCTACACCCACACCCATTGGCTTGTTCCGAGCAGGCGTCACTCCACAAAAGAGCACGATGATGATAATGAAGAAGAAGAAGAATGACTAGAGAATAAAAATGGATACAATCATTGTACATAGCGACATTTACCAACTGTGATGAGCAGAAAAATTATATTGTATACATGTATATCTTTTTCTTTATTTGTTCAGCAAATTGGGGAGGATTTACCGATTAGAAATCAATATCATGTTTGAATGTGGAGAAGGGGAATGTGTCTATATGATCTACGTGGAGAGAGGTTTTTTTTTTCTGGTTTATTGAGCCAATGCAACAGCGACACTGTACGCACCACTATGGCTGATGGAGACATTGATATGCTTGATACCAGCAGCATGAGCAGCCTGTTTCGCTTTGCCAGACAAAACAACTTCAGGAGCACCCACTTGATTACTGTTGATTTCAATTTCCTTCAAAGGAGCACCAGCACCATCCGAGGGAATCTTACCGTAGGATGAGATGGCCTTGAAGACGGCTTCCTTGGCAGACCAACGACCTGTGAAGCTGGCTTGGGGATCAGGGCGGGCTTGACAGTATCCAATTTCTGCAGCAGTAAAATTGCGCTCCACAAAAGTAGCATTGTTGATATTGACAGCGTTGGTTAATTCGACATCGACACCAACACCTCTTTTGCCTGCTTGTTGCTCAGTGAGAGAAGCCAAGATGCTCTTGGTGACTTTTGCATCACCCGCTGTAGGGGCAGCGAGATTAGCAGATTTGTCAGTAAAGTGCCATGAGTTCTTTTCCTTGGAGTATTCAGTACGGGCATTGGGGTTCAAGTAGACAGTGTATTCGAGATCTTCAGAGTAAGGAGCCTCCGTCTTGACTTGCACAAATTCAGAAACACCAGTGATAGAGTCGTGGAGATAACGATACGCCTTGGCATAGCGTTGCGCATTCTTGGCCTTGTACTCATTGTATTGGTTCTCTTCCAAGGCACCGAGCACATAGTCGGGATGAATGATCAGAACTTCACCACCAGCTTGACCGAAACCAAAGGATTTGAGAATACCAGCTTTCAAACCGTCCGTCTGGATACTGCGACAAGGGTACACAATGTAGTCAAATTCGCGCATGATGGTGTCAATGTTGTCTGCATTGCGATTACCAGGAATGATGCCAGTCAGCAAACATTGCATCATACCATTGGCCATCCAAGAAGCAGCTGGGCCCTTGGGATGACCCGTAAGATACTTTTGAGTGATGGCCAAAAGAGCATTGCCCTTGGATCGACCGAGGTGCTTCATTTGTGTATTAACTACACGCGATTCGTTCTTGTCGTTGGCCTTGGTAGAAGTACCGTGGAAAGAAGCCACGCCAATGTCATCAATCGTCAGACCGTAGACAGCAAGAGCACCACGAATGGGGGCAATAGAAGGATCGTTCTGGAAGAATTGATGCTGGAAAGTAGCCAAAGCCTCCTTTTCTTGACGCTTGGCTTGTTGCTCGATGAATGTAGTGCGCTCTTGAAGCCATGCTTGGACCTCTTTTTCCTCAGAAAGTTCACCAGATGCCTTGAGCTCTTGCAACTCTTCGTGCAAATCTTTATATTCGCTTTCCACCCAGGCCTTGATTTGGGCACGACGCGCCTTGATTTGCTTAGCACGGTACTTGAAGCTCATCAGAGGAGATACTCTCTTGGATTGCGTTTCGCGAGCAGTAGTCAAGATACCGGCACCAGGAGCAGGCACAGAACGACCTTCTTTATCAGTAGCAGTGTTACTGAGAGCAATGATACCGTAGATGGGAGAACCTATTTCAATGGCAGTGGAGGCGGTCATGAGAATATGACTAGCAGAACCATGGGATTCAGTAAAACCGTTTCGAGTGGTGGTAGTAGGACGAGACATCTCAGAAGGAGTACGGCCCTTGGCCAGTTCCTCTACAGCACTGGAAGTAGCCTTCATATTGGCAAATTCATAACTGGATTCTTCCGTGGTCTCCTCAGAGGAGCCAGCAATCATGATCTTAGCTTTGCCCGATAACAAAGACTCACATGCCATTTCAATAGACACAGCAGCAGTAGCACATGCATTGACAGGCGTCTTGATGGGACCTGAGGAAGAGAGAAGCAACATGTTGATCCAGGCAGGCATAGTATTGATTTCTGATTCCTGCAAAATGTCCTTTTGCACAGGCTGATCCAGGAATCTCTCGCGATATAGTCCTCTTTGAGCAGCTTGACCGCCTACACCAGAGCCAGTAGTGTTACCCATCTCAGAGACATGGATGTACTTGAAGAACTCATAAGGGTCAGTGATACCAGCAGAGATGAAGGCTTCCACAGTAGATATAATGTTGAATACGGTGACGGGATCCACTTGGTCAATAATATCCTGAGGAACGCCGTAGCGAGTAGCATCCCAGCCAGAGGGGATTTGACCAGCCACAAGACGATCAAAGCGAAGGGCCTTGGGGACGTACAAAGCAGCACCCTTGTGGATGACAACAAACCAACTGCCATTACCAGATTCATAGATGTCTGCCTTTTCGCCTTGTTGATGCTTGAAATGCTCAGCTTCTTCTTTGGAGCACTCGAAAGGTTCGAGATCATGGTCAATTACCACTTCTTGCATCAGCATTTTCTTTTCTGGGTTGTAGCCGCCCATAATTTCAGGTTCTATTAACATGTAAATATCCCTGCATTCAAATGACATATACACAGCAAACTTACCAATAAAACGAATACCAGTGTGATCCAGAATGCGTTGTTCATATCTCGCCTTGACATCCTTGTCCTCCACAGGCTCACCAGACTTGGCATCAACCCAGCCTGAATACCTCTTCCCGTTCTTGAGTCTACCATCCAGATGCTTGATGTAACCCATCATCCAAGCAAGCTCGATACAGCCCTCCAGAGAGAACTTACCGTAGGCTTCCATCTCCCAACGTGTTCTGTGATTGCCCCAAGGAGACACTTCACCCATACCAGCAACAACAATGACTTTGTCGAGATCAAGCATGCCCTTGAGATGTTCGAGGTGCTTGAGAGCGTCATATGGCTTGAGGGTTGGGAAATCAAACTTCATATTGGCGCGAGGAGTAACAGTATGAGGCTTGTAGTTGTGCTCAGCTTCCTCACCAAAGACTGTCTTATAATCGAGCGCATTCTCAGCATCAATTGCCTTGCGGATATCAGCTGTTTCACGGATCTCTTTGCGCAACTTGTTGGTCACCTCTTGCAGTCGAGGGATGAATTGCAGACCACCATTCAAATCAGCATAGACAGGCTCCTTTTGGCAGAGTCTAGTGATGGAAGGATGCAAAAGACCAAGTAAATTAAAGGACATTTCAAGTGTAGAGAAGGTTCTGACACCAAGCGCTTCCACACCTTCAGCAACAATGTTACTTGTGCTCATCAAACCAGTGCCACGAGTCCAACCAATGACAGCGCCAGTGATGACCAAATAGCTAGCCCAACTTTCAGAATACCAACGATCAAACAGTGTCTCCAAAGAGATCTTGGACTCACCATAAAGACCATCACCACCAAACATACCGTGATTAGGCGACAATGGAAGAATGACTTGAGCAGGACGCGTATCTGAACCGATATTTTCCTTTTGAATTTTGACGTTACCCAGCATACGTAACAGATTGGTCAACATGATGCGATGGGCGAGTTCAGCCTTAGAATCAATGCTATCGAGCTCACGACCATTTTCCGGGATAGCAGCAAAGGGAATCACATAATCGAGATCCCAGTTCAGCCCCTCAGGACTGTAGATGTATTCGATTAGTGCATCCACATCTTGCTTGGCACCTTGGTTGAAAGGCACGAGAATGAGCTCAGATCCCTTGGCACCATAGGTCTTGTAGATGCCTTGGAAGTATTCAGTGACTTGGCGACTGAAGCGAGACGTAGTGACAACGACCTTGGCACCACCACCAATGAGGCCCTTCATGATCTCGGAACCAATCGAGTCTCTACCAGCACCAGTCAAAAGAACACACTTGTCAGCAAAAGTGATACCCTTTTCAGCCATCTCAGTCAGCGCATTGAGGTAGATGGTGGTCAGTTTGTTGTTGAATTCCCAGCCAAGACTAGGATCGTGCATGCTACGTCTCTTCAAGTGCAAGAAAGGGATGGTCTCCTTGGTCTTGCTATTTTGTTTAGAAGTAGCATCAGCAGCAGTACCATGAGAACGAGGTCTCTGTTCTCTGACAACCGTGTTGGACATGGACATGGCACGCAAAATATCAGTGTAATACTCTTCCATGGCAGACTTGTCAGATTCCGAAGCAGCGCTTTGATTACGAATAATTTCATAGATGCGGCCAAGATCATGCTGCACCTTGAGACGACTGGAATACTCGGATACCTCAGAGCCTGAAATCATGCCTTGAACGTAGTCAGCCAATTTGCGACATCCAGGACGAGGCACTTCAGCGTACTTGATATCTCCCTTCCCAGAGACAGTAGTGGTAGGACCCTTGGGCACAGCGACATTCTTGTAGTAGGGCTTCTCAGCAAGCACAGAGACACAGTTCTCAATCAAAGCTTGACCAAACTCCTTGGCAAGTCTGTACGTCTCTCCCTGATCACCAGCACACTTTTCCACATTGTAGCGCATGAAATCAAGCAGCTTTGGATGGGCACGGTTCATGATACTCAAGCACTTGGTAGTAACCTCACGATCGACAATGGCGAGCTTACCAAAGATAATGTCATACCACATCTCTAACGCATCCTGACGCACCCAGTTCCAGTATGAATCATAGCGACGCGCCTTGAGAGGAGAAAATGCAGGCTTGATACCATCTGCATAGGTGTCACCGTGTTCAGCAAGCCACAAGTCAAGTTCTGCTTGCAACTTTTTGGTAACCACCTTTTCCTCTTCATACTTTTTAGCGCCCTCACGAATGTCTTTTTGCAGGTACTTGGCATACAAGTTGAGTTGTTGGTAGATCAATGCATCTTGCTTGGCTTTAAAAGCATCAAATGCAGCATTGTTGATTATGGCAACAGTACCACTGGATGCACCACTAGCACCGCCAGCAGTAGCAGAGGATCCGCCAGACGATAAAGAGATACCAGCCTTGGCAGCATAAGCACGAGCAACCGTATCTAACCACGATTTGGCTTCGGCTTCTGTCGCAAAACGAGACGCAGGTTCCATGGTAATGGCGACAAGAAGAGCACCATCAGTGCGGCCAGGGCCCAAACCATACGAGCTGTTGAGATAGGTCTTGGCAGTATTCAAGGTAAATCCGCCAGGCATCTTGGAACCAATGAGTTTGGCAATTAAAGTGCTTGTGTGTTGACCCAGAGCACCTGTGAAAGTACCGTTCAATGCAGATCCAACTTCCTCCAAAGAACTTTCCTCTGCTTTTTCCGGTACAGTATTGCTGAATTCCTTTTGCAAATCTCCAAGAATCTCATTTTGAAGCGTTGATTTGCCACTCACCAAATCCTTGACAGACTTGGACAAAAGAATTTCGCCCACAGTCTTTTTAAGTTTTTGAGCAATGATAGCATGAACAATCTCAGTAGCGCTGATAGGAGCATCACTGACAGCAGCAGTAGGACCGGTAGAAACAACAGTAGCAGCAGCGGTAGCAACAGGTGCAGCAGCGACTGCAGCAACAGGCGCAGGGGCAACACTTGCAGAGGACAATGCAATGCCAGCCTTACTAGCATAGGTCTTTGCTACAGAGTCCAACCAAGCCTTTGCATCAGCTTCAGTACCTATGCGAGCAGCAGGTTCCATAGTGATACCCACCAAGAGAGCGCTCTCCACACGGCCGGGGCCCAAACCATAGGTAGTATTGAGGTAGGTCTTGGCAGTGTTCAGAGTGAATCCACCAGGCATTTTAGCACTGATCAATTTGGCCACCAATGTGCTTGTGTGTTTACCCAAAGTACCAGCGAAGATACCGTTCAATGCTGCACCCACATCTTGCAAGGAAGATTCCTCGGCCTTTTCAGGAACAGCATTGTTGAACTCCTTTTGCAAATCACCAAGAATTTCGTTCTGCAGCGTGGATTTACCGCTGACCAAATCCTTGATAGAGGATGACAAGGAGACGTCATTGATAGACTTTTTCAGCTTTTGAGCAATGATGGCAAGAATGACCTCAGCAGCAGTAATAGGAGCGTCAGCTACAGCAGCAGCAGGACCCGACGATACAGCTACTGGAGCAGTAATGGGAGCAGTTACAATAGGAGCGGGAGCGGGAGCAGTAATGACGGGAGCAGGGGCAGCCACTTCAACCGCTTCTTCAGGAGCACCTTCCAGTTCATAATAGATTTCCTTGGCATCCTTTGAGATACACAATGTTTGACGACGGTTACTCAACGCATTATCATACGATTGGTACTTGAGAGCCAAGGTACGTAAAGCCATACCTGTCAAGGTAGGAGATGGACCCACCTCAATAAGACGTTCAATCTTGTAGTTTCTAAATAACTGGTCTTGTGTTTCAATCCAACGCACAGGAGAGGCAAATTGGTAAGCCAAGAGTTCAATCAAGAGAATGTAGCCCAGTCTTTGTTGTTGAGCAGGACTAGCATACTTGTCATCAGTCCATGTTTTGAGCACCTTGGCCAAACGAGGACTGGATGTCGTACGATACACGTTCTCAATGAAGCTTCTGTCGGTGCTAAAAGGCTCAGCAACCAAGTTGGGAATGTATTTGTTCTTTAATTGAGCAACGTCGATATCAGAGGGATTGAACTTTTTGGCCAAGAAGGTGCGGAAAGGAGTGACACCGCTGAGCAAGAAGGACGAGTGGAAAGGGACATCGATACCAGAAAGAGGAATGGTAGCCTTGCCACGTTCAAGATGGATGCGACCCTGTGTTTGCTTGGCTTGCGTCTTTTCAAAAGCACCATCAATGATCTTGTTGAGCTTCTCCTTGACACCTTCAAACGGCGATGCTTCTTGCTGAAGGTCGACATGAGCAACGCTGATGTAGTTTAGCACATTGGCAAGCACATCCAGGTTTTGAAGAGTGCCGGCAGCCACGTATTGCCAGTTCTCGACATTGAAATTGACAATCTCCAGCACCTCACCATTACGACGAGCAATGGAATCCACAACGAAGCGAAGTGCTGCATCACTGAAAGCCTTGGAAACACGAGCAGGGTTGACAGCAATCATACTATAGTCAGACCTGCCTTGACTATCACGCGTAACAGCTGACTGCATAGACATACCACGGTAAAAGACAACATCCACCAACGAGTTCAAAGGCAGGATATCGCCTACAGCAGCCAGAGCAGAGTATTCACCTAGCGAATGACCAGCAAAGGCACAGCTGGATTGGATCAACTCCTTGGCGCGCATGTCTTCAAAAGCAGCCTTTTCCATCAAGGTCAAGGCAGGTTGAGTGAATTGGGTAGCAAAGAGAAGACCATTGGGAGAGACAAACTTGTAAAAGGAGCTGTATTCGTCAATGGTAGGGAACAGAGGCAAGGTATTGATGGTGCCGTCAGCAGCAACAACATCGTAGAGCAGACTCATGTAGTTTTGACGGATGCGTTCGCCCTTGGGACCACCGAAATGAATGACCTTTTCCTTGGGATTGTTGCGCACAATGTCAATGATGGAGAAACCGTAGTTTTCCATGAAATGCTTGTCAGCTTGATCCCAAATGGACTTGGCCACAGGAGAGCTGTCATAGAGATCCATTCCCATGCCTTTTTCTTGAGAGCCCTGACCAGTAAAGACATAGGCTGTGATGGGTTGCTCGACTTCCGCAGTGCCTTCAACCACCTTTTCGTTGTTTTGATTCACAGTCTCCACCTTGATTATCTTGCGGCCGTTCTTCATACCAGTGTGATACAGCTTGGTTTCGAGTCGATCCGAGGGCAAGACCATGCCAACGAACTTGACATTGTACGCAACCACACGACGAGGCACATTGTCAGCAGCGAAAATTTCAACAAACTTGCGAGTGGAAGCACTGCTCCACATGCCATGGGTGATGGTGCCAGGTAAGCGGGCAAGATCAGCAAAATAAGGGTTGACGTGGATAGGGTTGAAATCACCAGAGACGTTGGCATAGGGCTCATTGGAAGCAGGAGCATGGACAACAGAGGGGTAAGCGGACTGACTGGGCATGACGGAGTAACCGCCGTTCTCAAAAAAGTGGGCTTGTTCAATCTCTTGAGCATGGCGTTTCAAGAAATCAGTGACAGGATTGCCATGGCTCTCGCCTGCTTCGTACTCAACAGTAGCCACTTGGACAAACTCTTTGGTAGATACTTGCATGCTGACAGTACCAGATGTCTTGACGGAAGCGTAGATGCGGCTGTTCTTGTACTTGAGTTCAGTCTTGAGGCGGAAGATCAGCGACTTGCCAGGCTCCACCTTGTGTTCCTCAGAAGCATCCGACCAGTGCATCCAGTCTTTGGATTTGAGGATAGCAATCTCCTTGTTGCTATGCATCTTGTACTCCATGGGTGCCTCCACTTTGTTCTCAAATGTGTTTTCAAAATCAGTAAAGTTGCCACGGTACAGAGACTGACTGGTCACTTCCATCGCAGGCTTGCCATCACGCACAATCATGGCCTTGACTTCAATCATCTTGCCAGACTTTGTATTGACAATAGCATTGATCTTGGCCAGCGTGTCCACCACATCGCCCACCTTGAGAAGATCAGCACCATCCATCATGCGGAAGCTGACGCCCAAATGAACAAGTCGCAAGAGATCGCCGTCTGCAATTTTTGGGAAGATGCCCTTCATGATAGCCTTCCAGCCAACAACAATAGCAAAGTCCATAGGAGCACTCACCACTTTTTGATCGCGGTCGCCAAAGATCTCAGCCTCATTTCCGACAGCTTGACAGAACTCGGCAATGTCGTCAAATTGGACCACTTGTCCCTTGTCGGCAATGGTGTCTCGAATGTTCAAGTTCAGATAGTCCTCCTTGTTATCGACACCATACCACAGCTTAAAGTAGAACTCCTTGATGCGATCGCTGCGTCCCTCCATGACCTCACGAATGGGCGCATAACCAAACTCGGGCTTATACTCAAACTCCAGATTCAAGGGAATATAGTTGCTGGCCCTTTTTTCATACAGGGTCATCAAGATCTTGTTGTTGTCCTTGGTTTCAAGTTGCACAGATGTTGCATAATCACTGATGCTCTGGTTGGCACTCCACTCGCGCTTATCTTGAATCACGACACGCTGGATATCTCCATTAGCAGCACGAGAGATGACGACCTTTTGATGAGCACGGGGGCGGAAGATGCGTCTCACAGTATTCTCAGCAAACTTCTTGCCTTGAACAATGAAAGGCGATGTCAACAGAGCACGAAGCCAGTTGTAAGATGGACCGGCAATGGCTTGGATCCAGTCATTCTCCTCAGGAATGTCCTCAGCATCAATCTTGAAGACACTCTCAGTGGCAGTAGCAGAAACCTCTTGAACACGAGACTCCTCAATGGCAAGACCACCGAGATACTCGACCTTTGGGATAACAGCATTCTTGTAGTAGCGTTCCTTCAAGCTATCAATATGGCTATAATAAATATCACCGAGGATTTCAGCAATGGGCTGATCAGTGCGAGTAGTATACTTGGCAGCAACAGGGCCATGAAGAATGCAGGTACGTTGAACATCCTGATCTACAACAGCACCGAGATCTTCTGATTGCCAGAGAGAATCCTTCTTGAACCAAATGTCAAACTCCTTGTCCATGATCGGAATGAAGGGTACAGGCTTCTGGTTAGGTCTCTTGCAAAGAGCGAGGAAATGGAACACATCTTCAGATGTCAAAAACTGGGATTCTGCGTCAGGGAATTGAGCCATGAACTCTTCAACAAAGGTCGTGGGATCGTCTAATTGAGCATAGTTTTGTAGCAAGGAGGGGCCAGCCTTTTGAGTGAAACGTTCTTCGACACGTCGCATGAAATCACCCACCAGGTTGCGAAGAGAGACATCAATCCAGCGATGCTCAAGTTTGACATAAAGCAAAGCAATCAAGCGATGGACAACTTCAGAGTAGGTCATGTCTTGAAGATCTACCACTTCACCCTTCTTGTTCTCACCAAACCAAACCTTTTGAAAATCAGCATTTAAACGCTTGATAATGTAGTCCTTTTTAGCCAACAATGCAGGTAAGCGCTTTTCCTTGGGCAAGGTAAAGATGCTGTCATCGAGCTCCTTCCAGAGAAGGACGCCACGAGTAGCCACCTTGTGGATAGGTTCTCCCATTTCAGAGAGAACAGTAATGATACCGCCAGCAGGACCCTTGTATGTCTTTTCCCACTCATTATCAGCGAGACCAGGAGCATCGACCATGGCCTGCTTGGCATCAGGAGATGCTAACCCTTCTTTAGCCACCATCATGCGAGAGCCAAAGAGAATACCATCAAAAGGCATGGGAGGATAATCAAATTGAAGAGACCAATCACCAGTAATGTAGGGCAAGGTATCATCAGCACCGCCGAAACCAGAACCAGCAACAATCACAATGTTGGATTGACGACGTATAGCAGCGTAAGTTTCAAGAATAGGTTGATGAACATCTTCAAACCCATGATGACCGCCAGCACGACCACCAGTCCACTGCAGGATGATGGGCATTGTAGGATTGGCAGCAGCAATAGCTACTACTTGACGAATGGTATCCACATTTCCAGGCTTAAAGGAAACATGACGAATACCAGCAGCTTGTAGATTGGCAATGATTTCGTTGGCATTATCGATACTGGGCACACCAGCAGCGATACAGAGACCCTCCATAGGCAGGCCTTCTTTACGCATGACTTGAATCAGAGGATATTGGAATCCCCATTGAAGTACGTTTAAAAAGATAATGTTGAGTGTGATGCCCTCACCAGGACGGGTGAGCGCCATGATCTTGTCCACTTTTTCGCGTAAAACAGCCTCACTAAAATGCCCACCACCAGCCACTTCGATATGGTAGCCAGCATTCATGACAGCAGCAACAAACTTTTCATTAACAGTGGCAGGCGTCATGCCAGCCACCATAAGGGGAGGTTTGCCCAGTAGACGAGACATCTTGGTATCCACATCAATGCGACCACTAGATTTTGTAATCAGGTTAAAACCCTGCCGCGCTACTTAATCGCACGCTTTTACTGTACCTGGCAGTTTCTACAAGTTTAGGTTGAAACAATGTAGCCCAGTTTTGAGAGTACTTGACAGAAGAGATATCAGCATTGAACAAGTCAGCCTTGTAAGACAGATCCTTGTTGGCGCCCTCAAGCGAATCAGCCAAAACCACCTCTACACCAGTACCTTCCTTGTTGCGGTAGGTCAATCCACCAATGCCTGATGCACCTCCAGGTCCGAAATCGATGATATGAGTCAAATCCGTCTTTGGGATGGACTTCTCCCAATGAACAGGATGCTCACAAATGAGCTGAAGGAGGGATTTAGTGAGATTAGCCTCATTGCGGAGGTCTTTGCCTAGAGAGTGTATGGATGAAAGTCAGTATCAGATGTGGGTTTTCATCCCCAACGCTCCACCCAATAGGTTGGTTGGCGGTGCTCATTCTCCTACCTGAATCAGTTGCGAAAACTGGGATTTTTAAATCACTTGCGTTGAATAAAAGATGGTTATTTTTAGCATCTCTCAAGATGGTATCAACAGTTGGCCTCAAATAGGAACTATGGAATCGAGCAGTGATGGGCAAGAAACGAGATGAAAACTTGATTTTGCGCTCAGAGTAAGGGATACGAGATTGATCCAGACCAGTGGATGCCTTGAGTTTACGCAAACCGAGATTCATACCGTACAAGGACTGAGGGGGGCCCGTGCAGACAAAGGAGCGAGGACCATTGAACAAGGTGAGTTCAATTTGGCGTTCAGGAGCAAGATGGGTGTTGGTTTGGTTGATGTACTTGATCAATTGGGCTTCTCTGAGACCTGTCACTGCCAGCATAGGAGTAGGATTGCCTTCACCATTGCTGATGGAATCTTCAATGACGGATGGGTTCAATGTAAATGAGGGAAACTCTTGTTGTGCTCTGGTACCGATCCAGAAGAGCAGACCCAAGGCCTTTTCCGTGTTTTGAGTGAACTCTTCCTCAGTAGATGAAGCAGCAATAACGATAGAACTTATGATACCTTGACTGTGGCCTGTGGTACCTATAAAGTTTGGTTTAATACAATGCCATTCATCGGCCAACATGCTGATATAGTGCACTTACCTTGAAGTAAATCACGGACCTCAGCAGGACTACAACCAAGGACATGGAACAGCACATAATAGTGAAGGAGCTGGGTAAGCCCGATCAATGGAAAACTGACAGGAGCAGAGATCAAGTATTGGTTATCGGGTCTAACGTCAGCATCGTCCAACCAACGCAAAATGTCGAGACCTTTGGAATGAAGCACCTTGGATTCAGGGCCATGAGCCAAATCAGCCAGTACCACAGCCATGCGACGCACAAAAGGCTTGACAATGCCCTTGTATGTCTCCCAAATATCAACAAGCTCGTCGAAATATTCCTCGATATTACCTTGTCCACCAAAAATAGCAAATAACTTGACATCTCCAGATTTAGCGGCTTCGAACAAGGCGGATTGTGTTGGCTTCATTTCTTGTACAGATACGACGTTGCTATTTTCAAGCTGAGCGAGCGAGGAATAGTAGCATTTGATGACAGATTTCTTGACAGCGAGAGGCAGATCTTGTATCACAGCATGAATGTTGTTGTCCTTGAGATAGACGTTGTTGAAATGGATGAAAAGAGACCTGGCTACTTGTAAATACGCCTGTTCTTTGCTAGCACGGTCAGAAGCGAATTTCATAAAACGAGCAGCTAATTCAATTTCACTGAGGTTGTCAGCGACACCTTCCATGGCAGCAGCAGCAGCAGTAGCAGGAAACTCTTCTTTCAGTTGCTCAGCAAATCCCCATGTGTTTGCTGAAACAAGAATAGAAACCTCGACAGAGTCCTTTTTGATGGTCAAAGGACGCAGTGATTGTTGTTGTTGGATTTGATCCATATAAAATGATAAATGTGCTATGTAAGGTGGCTGATTAGTTTTTTCAAGCTCTCTTGTATGTGTGCAATTGCTTTTACCTTAAAAAATAGATGAGTTTGTATGATGTATCAGCTAATATGATTGGCGATGTGGAATGTCTATCTAGTTATTGAATATCGCCTTGAACAAACTTTTATTCCCCAATAAAAGAATGATGAAATCAAACAAGAATAGACCAAAGTGTACAAAAGAAAAGAAGAGCAAGTACTGATAGTCTGGATGCTTTGATCATATCATCAAACCAGAAACCAAAAATGGGCTCATTTCACTCCCCAAAAGTTGACAGAAACGACTACATTAATCCAAAGAAATTGAGAAACACTTGGTACAATCATTTAACAACCGACTACGAGATGAGCCATTGTCAGGAGATTCGAGAGATAGTTTAATTAAGGTATTGGACTACAACTTATAACATGTTAATGTATACTTGGGAGATTTATATTAAGTTTTTGGTTGTCATTCAGGGCCATCAGATAGTGTATTTTGCTTAAATGTCAGTTGATCTCATTTGACGTACGATTTCATTCATGTCAAATGTGATGTTTAAAGCGCGAAACTATTCATTGCAATACGACGTTCCTGATTGCTATGAAATGATCATGCAAATCTATTAAAAAAATGCAAAATATAGATGGTATCTCATGTCAAGAATATTGAAATGCTAATGTAAAATTGACTCCTTCTACGCATTTCTCAGCAGACATAAAACGCATGATATGATCATGCCAAATGTTGGCACAAAATTCGATTCGGACCTTGAAGATATGCTGAAAAGTGGTGCAATGATTGAGAAAATGGGGCTTTCATTAGTGCCTATTGAATTCACCAGCATCATCATTTATAAACATTTTGGGTTTCTTTTGACATCATGTTATCATTGCTTTTTTGAGATTACCTTTTTAAGGCCGTCCATCTCGTACAAATGCTACGGCAGTTGCAGTGTACAAAAATAATTGATCTGCAGCATAAATCAACCTTAAAACAGCGTAGCACAATCTGTTTTGACAGCGGCACCCTAAAATGATGAATGTCATGTTTGCTTTTGATTTGATAAATGGGGCAATTGGCACCTACGCATCTCAACTTACTGTCTGTCATGGAAACCGAAAACTACAAAAACAATAAACTATAACAATGTTGGATGGGAGAACAATCAATGATTGAAGCTGAATTAGACCGTGAGAGGGCTGAAATTGCAGCTCGTAATATCCAATCATTCAGTGTAAGAAGAACTAACAATTTTGCTTTCTTGCACAAGTATTATGACTTGATGGCGTTTATATTACGCATCTTTACCTTTGATTGTAGTATATCCATGACAGTTGCAAGCAACAAACTAGTAGAGACATCATTGCCCTACACGATCTCATTCATTAGTGTTCTTGCTTGAGACAGCCCTCGATTGTTGGCTGCTTTCATCTCGTGTTACTTCTTAATTATCTCCTTTGCAGGCAAATCTTTGCCAAACCCTATATATTTCCAGTATTTGCCTTCTTTAATAACATTTCGTTGAACTCCTTCAAGACATCCTCAGTTAAGCAAAGGTTGACAGCATGAGGTGCCATTTTCGAACAAATCACAATGTATTGGTGGTCATAAGTGTTTGATGAAAAGAGCAACAAGATAGTGTCGTAATACAAGAGTGAGGGCCCAGATACTGCTAGTGGGCCATTAAGTTTAATGCAGCTTCCATATGATCCATATGTGAGTACCATCTTGAGCTCACCACATAGCAATCGTAACTTTTCTCAGGCATATTGGCTTACATTATTAAGCTGTAATTTGAGAGAGTAGCTTTTGCGTTTTATTCACAAATAAAACACATCACTTGGCGACTTAAAACTGCTTGCAATGAATAGTTTAGTACTACTGACGCAAATCTTACTAATGTATACTATGTCTCTTCTACTTTTCTGTCTATTGTCTCATAGATTCCCTAAAAGTAAATTATAACTGTAGATATGACTCATTCACGATGCTCCAAAAATGGATCCATGAATACAGCCCATAGACGGGCAGAAAGCATGCTTGCACTACCTCTTTCTACCCCCAATATATGCAAAAAACACCAAAACTTGGATGTATTTGAGCCGTGATTTCTCGTGCTTGCGGCCGCTTTGGACTACCAGAGTAGTATCAAATGATTACTCTCGACTAGCACTTACTTACTAGTACTTTTGCTGAACTTTTTTGGGATCGCCAAAAATTGATCAAAAAGCATGAGGGATACCTCATGATTTTTATCGAAAATCAAACAATCGCATTTTTGACCATCAAGATGAAGACTTCTACTATGATATACTATATCAAAGTGTTCCTCCCGATCCAGTGCAACCCCTGAAACTTTGTTTATAAGACCTTTATATGGAAAATCTCAACTTTTTCGTCAAAAATTTCATTATATATTTTCTAATATTTCTCAATAGGCTCATTCAAAACATCTTTTTTAATTAGTACCATTAGATGCGCCTCGAAAAGTACTCCAGAAATGCATTAGAAAGTATGGGGTGAACATTACAATTTATATAGTCGAATCTAGCAAAATAGGTCGAAGAGAATCCAAAAACTTCAGAATTCAACAAATCAGGACATAACGTCAAGCGGGGATTTAAACGGATTTTGTCGGCGGTCGCTGCTCAGCAGCAATGGAGCATTGCAACTGTAAGTTTGAATCTAGAAAACAATTCACAAATCGAGGTTGATTGCATTGCAAAAAGTATAAAAGCATACACTGGATGGAGATGTAAAGTCAAATGCTGCTATTTACAACACAATCAATTTTAATTAATTTATAGTACTTTTTAACTAGCCGATCTATCTCGCTACGCTCGATGTCGGCGTCTCTCTGTGGGCTCTCGTCAAAGACATTTTAAATCAGATATTATAACATTTTGGTATATCAAGTTGATTTTAACCAGCCAATTATTAGTTGGTAAAAGAAAGGTTATATCAGAGACAGAAGGAGGAGAGGAGGTATCTCCCTCAGCATCCTTTTTGCTTACACTGATATCAAACAAAGCCTATTATTGGGACAATGTGAAAGAAAATTCATATTTTATGCAGCTTTTGTACATAATAATTGCCATTTTCTGATAATGGAATTGTAGCATCATTCGCTGCTGCTGATGTTGTTAATAAGATGGCGACATAAAGCTGGTCATAAGTAAATACAGGACTTGTGTAAGATGTGTAGCGATTTTTTTTGAGATATTGTCATTGCAAAAGACACCTTTATAAGGAAAAACTACCAAGGAAAAGAAATTATTCAGTCTAAGCAATTGTCCTTTCAACTCCATGATCCCCATTTGATCAGCATCGCAACCATCATTGTTATCATCATTGTCATTATCAGAAAAGCATTTGGGCCACCCGCTAAGATCAATTCAAACTCAGGTTTTTTTTTGTTCAGTATTGGACAGATATTGTTTTTTTTCGACTTCTTTAATCTATTTTGTGATATTCGACTATATGGATTGTAATAATCACCCTACGCTTCCTAATACATCCTTGAAGTACTTTTCAAGGCGCTTCCAATGGTGCTGATTGTAATAGATATTTTGAATGAAATTATTGAGCAATTTTATAAAATTTGAAATGAGGTTTTTAGCAAAAATTGTCAGATTTTGCATATGAAAACCTCGTAAAAGTGGTTTCAGAAGTTGCTTTGGATCGAGAGAAACATTTTGATTCAATATATGCCATAGTAAAAGTCTTCATTCTCAAGGTGAAAAACGCGATCGTTTGATTTTCAATGAAAACCATGAGGTACCCCTCATGCTTTTTGGTCGATTTTTGGCCATTTTTTTTTTGGCGCAAAAAGTTGAGCAAATGTGTCATAAAGTTACTGTTACTCAATTACAACTGTTTGGTGTCATTCCGGCGGCTCAGAAAGGTCTACATGTCAAGATATGAAGGCTTGAAATCTGTCAAATTTGGTTATATTTTTGCTTCATTACTTTTATTTGCAGGCATGAAACAGATCTTTGGTCCATGATATCTTCAAAACTGGATCAGAATGAACAGTTATTTTATTAGCAACTCAAAAGCGTATAGAAGATAGTCCTCTTCTTTTCAGCGTTCGTTTGCATTTTAACGTTGTTTGCGGTAAGAGAAATAGCTGTTTTCTCCACCAAGCTGCATTGCACCGAATGTAAAAGTGCATTTAACGGTAGTAGTCAGTTGGCGAAGCACATGTTTAGATTCCATGAGCGAGTAGTTACAAGAAAGGACCGACATTGATATGTCTACTAACACATCTCACAGGCAACTTTTATATGCGACAGAGATGGTCGTTCAAAAGCTATCAGGGCATACAAAACACAGAATTGGCTTCGTACGCATCAACGACGAGACTGCCCAAGGGTAAGTAGATTATCTCTGTTTAGAATGGATGGCACCGGCTAACCACTTGTGTAATAGACTCCTTGTACTTTTGAGGGCTGCCCTGATAAACTTGTCAAGGTTTTAGGTGTTGAAGCATCATGTTTACAGCAAGACATGGCCTTGCAAGTTCTTCTCAAGTCTAGGGGGAACGCCCTATGAATCAATTCGGTATATTTTCAGTACTGCATGCAAAGGGAAATCCGATACTGCGACTATGATTCAGCTCTCAGGGGCCACGATGAGGGTAAATATGGAGTGATCCGTTCGAATAATCACAAAAGATATCAAACACAAGAACCAAGTTGTCAAGATGAGAAAGGAGTCGTCTGTGCTCCAAACACAAGAGCAACAAGAGCAACAACAACAATAAGGGAATCAACGCGACGTTTGATTGCTTGATAGCCTTATGCCAACATTATTGCTTTTTCTGGCTACATTCTATGATATAAAAACAAGCAGTGAATGCTATGCCTTGTCAAGTACAACAAAAGTAAATATATTATAATACTTTATTAAATAATGCGAGCATACATTTTTGCAAAATCAAGACGCAAGGGTATTTTCTTGGTGTCTCTGCTAATGATAACTAAACTAGACACAAGTGCTAGACTGAGGCCAGCAATAACGCTCTTTTGGATCAAGACGCTCTTCTTTTGTTTGGTGGCTTTTTGATCTACTGCCACGGATCGACCATTCAATGGCACCTTGGATGAATCCACAGCTACAACAGGGCGAGGTTTTCTCTGGAATATATACTTGATACCACTCACCATATGATAAGAAGCAGCTACAATAAGCGCTGTATGCAAACCATACGAGAAGATGGATTTGTTTTGCAATCCCCAGGCAATGTATCCGAAATCGATGAATGCCGAGTCGCCATAATAATCAATAGGTAATCCACGAACCAAATAATAGTGAAGCCCTGCCAAAGGAATCAATAAGTAGCCTGCCAATCCATGGTAACGCAGCAGATTGTTTTCATTGTTGGGTGGTGCGATGGCAGCAGTGAGTTGTTTGTTTCTGTTCCAATAGAGACGAATACCAAGCTTTGCAAGGCCTGTAAGGACATGGGTGACAGCTGAGCCAGTGACCAAAATGCCTTCCATGTGCTCATCCTGGTAAAAGGGTCTGCCAACAATCAACCAGTGGTTGGCTAATGATGCTCCTCCTACATTAGCAGCTAGTAATTGAACTCCATGAATGGCTGCAAATGTAGAAAATACGACTGCAGATGTTGTCTGAGCTTTGGTGAGCAGACTGTAGGCTTTTGTGAGTGATAAAAATGGTCTGCGAGTTGTGCCTAAATCTGTCATGTTTTATTGCAAGTAAAAGAGTGGGGGTCAAAGGAATATTTCGAGTATGGGGTCCAGAAAATATCAGCCTTTTATATAGGTTGTGTTCAACTGGGATCCAAAACAGGTGGTAAATCATCCTTAGTTCGTGCACACAGGACCTGCTTGACAGCTCTTCCATGCACATCGTATCTCAGTGATTGCGTATTGATGCAAGAGCCTTTTAATATCTTGATGTATCCCATAGCCATGCATTCCATGCTCTGGTGCTGATGTTGTTATGTCAAGAGAATGCCATGATTGATTATCTGCGAATCTTATCCGTCATCTATCATGGTCTGCCAGTTGTAAATATTTATGAATGTGCTTAGTGAAGCGGTATACAACCAATGTACAGAACATGCCTCAAGGAATAAAAGCAAAAGAAGAGGTTAAAAGAGGGGCTGGCCTATTTACTTGGAAGACCACTTTGTAACAGTAAACCTCACATGGATTTTATCGACCAAATCGCACCCCTTTTCAACAACGTAAATGAAAACAACAATGATCAAAGAACGACCAGAATCAGTTCCTCATATCAAAGACACTCAACAAATCATTCGCTAATTATACAGATCAAGCAATGGAATCAGCCTTGCTCTTCATCTTGCCTCTTCATTGTAGCAAGCCTCTCCATCTCTCTCTCTCTCTCTCTCTCTCTGCTTTTGTGTAGTCAAAGCTCCCAACATCCTCCTTCAACTGTCAAACCAATAAGCATCATATTTGAATGAATACACAAGGTCGTTTTGAATTAACAAAAACTACTAAATTTTGATATAAATATATAATTTTTTTCATAAATAATGGCTGTATATTCTGGGTGTTGTTCTGTTTTGTTGCGAATTGTAATAGTAATGGAATATCAAAATGTCTAACCGATGATGAGCTTATCGTCTTGGAAGCTGTATTCTGTAAACGAGGAAAAAATGAGTATACATGCTATGATCCATGCTACAGCCAAATCTTACCAGGAATTTCAAGGTTGAGAGGAGCAGGACCTTGACGAATACGACCAGAGATATCGTAGTGAGAACCGTGGCAAGGACAATACCAACCACCGAAATCACCAGCTTCACCGATTGGTACACAACCCCTACATGAGAATCCAAATGTCAGTATGCCATCAGACTACGCAATAAGTCCTACTTACAAATGGGTGCAGACACCCAACATGACGAGCCAGTGAGGATCCTTGACACGCTCAGCATCAGTTTGAGGATCACGCAAAGAAGAAACTTGAACTTCATTAGCTTCAGCAATTTCAGCATCGGTACGATGACGGATAAAGACAGGCTTTCCTCTCCACTTGATGGTAACGTTCTTACCCTCGGGGATAGCAGACATATCAACTTCAGCCTTGGCCAAAGCCAAAACATCAGCAGAAGCAGACATATTGGCCAAGAAATCTGTAACAGTAGCTTGAGCACCAGCAGCAGAAACCAAACCAGTGGCACCAATCATCATATAGGTGAAGGTACGGCTGGCTTCACCACTGTTCTTGACCTTCTTGTACTTGGAAAAGTCAGGGATGTTTGTGGTGTTGTGGCGCATTTGCATGGTAGATTGAGATGAGATGGTGTTCAAGGACTTGTTCATAAGACCAGAGGCATTTCTGTTCTTTTGCTCTTCCTCCTTGTTGTTGATGGCGATACTGTAGAATCTCTTTAAAGCAGGAGCAGATGCTGATGCAGAGGTATAAGTACGGTTAGAAAGAGAAGAGGCAAATGTACGAGCTAATGAAGCCATGATTGCAATGTTGTCTCTATACAAGATTGAGAGTGGGGAGAGGGGGGTTAATGTTGAAGAAAGAATTCTTTTTCCAAAATCAACAAGGCATTCCTTTTTTTTTTTCGGAATCAACCCCTTCCTTCCATGATGAAGAGGGGGAATCATTGGCTCCCCCGCTGGTTTATTGTGTCTTTTCGTTCTACGTCACCTTGTAGTGTACTTCTTCGGGGTTCTCATCAAAACATACCATTGTCGAGAATATATGTCATGTAAAATGTGGTAAATCCGTATGAGGTGTACTCCATTGTCATCTAAAGAGATGTCTCTATAGACTTGACAGACATTGAAAAGGTAGAGATGACTGTAAATGTGGCTATTTGGAATGATGATTTAGCACCCACAATTTGTCCAATGCCAGATATCTACGGCCTTTAAGTACAAAGAAAATTCATTTACAATTGACCGGAAAGTTTCACGTCTTTCTGTAAGCAGAGTTGCGGTCTATAAAGAAATGAATTCATTCGTTGGTGGGCTCACGGTCTGCTTTGTGCTTTGTCGAAAACAGTGTCTTAGAGAGTCTGGTGTCAACATTCGAGTTCGAGCGTAGGCTTGAATTGGGAGGTTGTTCAATACTGGGGAAACGCCCGAGGGTAGCAATACAGCAGGGAAAACCCAGAGCACTGGTTCGGCTGTGAGATAGCACGTTGGAGAAGCATTTAAGTATACTACCACTACGGATGGGAACTCCTTCTTTTTGCAATTTTTTTTGAATTTTTGTTTCGATTTAGAGCGTTGATCTCTTTTGCTTTTACTTGATTGCAAGCCGAGGAATCAAAAGAAAAGAATTGGGCCTTTCATTGCTAGTGGCAAATCTCTTGCGACAAACGTTTCTTTTTGCTCAGATACAGGCAGATTAGTCAGGAATATGCAAGAATGCCGTGCTACGCTGACTTATTCAAAAATAAGGAGCACAAAACGATCAATGGCTTGGAAGCAATGACCCATTCTATATGCTTGACTAGCAAAGAGCTTACACTATTGATATGTAGTTAGATTGTAATGGAGATCAATGAGACGATGCATTATATTTAGCTACAACTACGATCAGCGTGTGCATAGCTTGATGCTTCCTTGATAAATACCATAGAGCATCACTCATCTTATAATTTTGTGCTTGTATGCTTCCATCCATGTGTATTTGCAAACGAAATCTCTAAACTAACGTACAACACAGATGTTTTGTACTCTATCCAACATTAGGTAGCATTGATTTATAGGGGGGGTTTTACCGTAGCGAAGCAAAAGTACAAAGCCATGGTAATCAGGCGTCTAATCCAATACTTGGTAACAATGATCTATATGAGGGCTTGATCGCAGCCAAGCAAAGGTGTAAAACCATAGTGTTCAAGCAGCAAATTCGGGTTTTCATATCCATTGTTAATAAGCTTACCAGCAACATATCGCATCAAAATTTGCATAAATCAGCTTTACCGAAATCAATATGCCTCTTATTCGAATTAGAAGTTGCACAGGCTGTAGAACTACCCTTCCAGTAAATTGCCGCTCCCAAAGATGTGATTTATGCTATGTAAATAAGCTCTATAAAGCAATACATAACCAAATTTGACAGCTTTCAAGCCTTCATATCTTGACATATAGGCCTTTCTGAGCCACCGGAATAGGGCCAAACAATTGTACTTGAGTAGTAGGAACTTCCTGACACCTTTGCTCAGCTTTTTGGGACCAAAAAAAAACATGGCCAAAATTCGACCAAGAAGCATGAGGTACCCCTCATGGTTTTTATCGAGAATCAAACGATCGCGTTTTTTGCCTTGAAAATGAAGACTTTTACTATGGCATACATTAAATCAAAACGTTTCTCTCGATCCAAAGCAACCTATGAAACTACTTTTACGAGGTTTTCCTATGCAAAATCTGGAGATCTTCGCTAAAAGCCTCATTTCAAATTTTATTAAATTGCTCAATAATTTCAGTCAAAACACTTGTTACAATTAGCACCATTGGAAGCGCCTTAAAAAATACTTCAAGAATGTATTAAGAAGGGTAGGGTGATTATTACAATCCATATAGTCGAATATCACAAAATAGATGAACAAAGTCGACGAAAGACGAAATCTGTCCAATCTTGAAGAATAAAAAAATAAACTGAGTTTGAATCAATTTTGGCGGCGGCGCTGCTGTTGGTTGACTCAAATGCTGTTCTAATGATGACAATGATGATTGCGATACTGATTAAATGGGAATCATGAATTTGAAAGGACAATCGCTAGCCTGAATACTTTTTTTTTTGCTTTTGATTGGGGGTTTTCTCTATCACCTGGTTCATTTTTGAACGAATAGTTCAAAAAGCTTATTTCTAGAATGGCCTTGTTTTCATCATATTTCTTCGAACACACCATACCTTCGCTTTCTTTCTGCACCTTAAATTTCAAGCTAAATCACCGACAATAATCACAATGAGTCAAGCTTCAGTTAGAGAAAGACTTGCGCAACAGCAACAAGAAGAAGAGGTTGAACAGCAGCACAAAGAGGGAGAGGCGGAGCCAGATGGGAACTTTCAAGAAGAGGCGGTTTCCGTTGAGTTTAGTTGTCATTGTTAATTCAACATGCCATTCATACCATTAATAAAGATTGCTTTTGAGTGTGGAGAAATTGGCAATGTGTTGACCTGTCAACCTGATAATGGTCATCGTCAGTCATAATCTTATAGGATATGGCAATCATCTTCATCCCTGATCTACAGCGAGAGAGCTGAATCATCCAAAATAAGCAACCGCGTTTATGGTCCAAGCATAGCACAACTCTTTATTGCGATCTATCATCACATTGGCGAGGCTTTGTACACACGTAAACGCCTGAACTCCTCTTTTTTTATTGAAATTCAATCAAAGGTGTAGTGTTTTGATTGGGTGATATAATGTATCATCTATTGATTGGCCCTACATCTGAGCTTAGTTGTCCAATTTTAACACGTTTAATAAGGACAATCATATTCATTCCTCTATTTTTTTTTCTTTTTTCTTGTCTACCCACCTACAACTCTTCACCTCACCACCTATATATATATATTACAGAATGGGTTGTAAGTATTGTTGCTGCACAGCATTCAGATGCACAATAGAAATTACATTTACTCACCCATTCAATCACTTTTTGACATAATTTTATAGTCAGGATTCTACATCTTGTTCAGCCATTCATGGCTATTCTTCCAGAAATTGCTTCCCCTGATCGCAAGGTAATTATTGAAACCAAATGAGTGGTGTGTTGTGAGAGCATTACGCTCAAAAAGAAGAGGCAATCACTGATCTGATGGCAAGATGATGCGGGGGAGGGAGGAGGAAGATTGGGAAGCCAAATGAAGGGCATTCTGTTTAACGCGTTTGAATGCTACTAGGTTCCTTTCAACCAAAAGGTAATGTGGACAGCAGTTACATTGTTCATTTTCTTGGTCATGTCGCAAGTCCCTCTTTACGGTATCATGTCCTCTGATTCTGCAGATCCTCTGTTTTGGATGAGAGTTATTCTTGCTTCTAATCGTGGTACTCTTATGGAATTGGGTATCACTCCCATCATTACGTCAGGCATGATCATGCAACTTTTATCTGGTGCCAACATCATTGAAGTCGATTACAGTTTAAAGGAAGACAGAGCATTATTCAGTGGTGCTCAAAAATGTAAGGATTGGATCCTGTAGATGTATACGCAGAGACTAATTGATTGTGCATTTTGACAGTGTTTGCTATGCTCATTGCTTTTGGCCATGCTACTGTTTCCGTTTTGACTGGTCTCTACGGTAATCCTAGTGACATTGGAGCTGGTGTTTGTTTGATTTTGATTATTCAGCTTGTCGTTGCTTCATTTATTACCTTGTTGTTGGATGAATTATTACAAAAGGGCTATGGTCTTGGTTCTGGCATCAACCTTTTCATTGCCACCAACATTTGTGAAACTATCTTCTGGAAGGCACTCTCTCCTACTACCATGGACAGTGGTCGTGGTGATGAATTTGAAGGTGCCCTTATTGCATTGGTACATCTCTTGTTGACTCGTAAGGATAAGACTCGTGCCTTGAAGGAGGCCTTCTATCGTACCAACATGCCCAACGTCATGAGCCTGTTGTCTACTGCTTCCATCTTTTTGCTTGTCATTTACCTCCAAGGTTTCCGTGTCGAATTGCCTGTCAAGTCTAACCGTCTTCGTGGTCAACGTGGTTCTTACCCTGTCAAGCTCTTTTATACCTCCAACATGCCCATTATGCTCCAATCTACCTTGACTTCCAACGTCTTTATGATCTCTCAAATGCTCTACAAGCGTTTCACTGATAATTTCTTGGTCCGTCTTTTGGGTACATGGGAAGCCTTGGAAGGCACCTCTCAATTGAACGCTGTTGGTGGTCTTGCATACTATCTTTCTGCCCCTCGCAGTTTGACCGCCGCTCTCTTGGATCCCATCCATTTCGTCGTTTATGCTGGTTTGATGCTCTCTACTTGCGCTCTTCTTTCCAAAACTTGGATTGAAATCTCTGGATCTTCTCCCCGTGATGTTGCTCGTCAGCTCAAGGATCAACAGCTCGTCATTGCCGGCTATCGTGATACATCCATGTATAAGGAATTGAAGCGCGTGATTCCCGTAAGTGCCTCGTTTGGTGGCGCTTGCTTAGGTGCTGTCAGTATTCTTAGTGACCTGATGGGAGCCATTGGAAGTGGAACTGGTATCTTACTTTGCGTTACCATCATCTATCAATACTTTGAGATGTTTGCAAAGGAACAGATGGAAGCTGGTGGAGGTTTAAATGAGATGATCGGCGGTATGTAATACCAAATCAGAAAATCACACAACTTTTGTATATTTCCCCCCAATAAAACAATAAGCATTTAAAAACATTGTATTCAGCATTGGATGGTAGATAGTTTTAGCATTATCAAATAAGTTTATGTACCCGAAAGGCTCTGTTTGAAACAAGAAATGGCTGTTACAGAAACACGTAGGTGTGGTAACTGAAGCCCAATATCTTTATCATTATCCAATCTAAACAATGAATCAACAGCTGTTTTCGGCCATTGTGCGATAGGTATCATCTAGAACTGCTAAAATTATGATTCCAATGATTCCAATGAATTGTTTCATTTAACAGCAAAACTGAATGATAACGTTATGATATACTGTATGAGAGACTAAGGTAACAAGCCCTCATGAGCATGCTTAATCAATGTCAATTGATGTGTTTTTCTTACCTTTGGTCTTTGGGACAATAACCTTGAGAACACCATTAATGCAAGAAGCCTTGATCGTTTGAGGATCAATGTCAATAGGCAAATGGAAAATCCTAAAGATGGAACCAGATACACGTTCTTGGATGCACTATTGACGACCGTCAGAAGCTTAGGCTACTTGCTTTTCCTTGTCGATAGCAGTTGCAACTACTCGTTGAGTAATACCCTCAGTAGCTTCTTGTTTTTGCTCCGTAGAGCCTTTCAATACGATTGTATGGTTATCAGGGACCTCCACTTGGACATCTTTCTTGTCAAATCCAGGGACTTTAGTTTGTAGCTCATAGAAATTATTGATCTCAACCGCATTAGTAGTTGGATAGCGAGCACCAGCATGGCTAAGAAAAGAGGGCATCAAGGTACCAGGCGGGCTGCCAAGGTCAACCGTGGCACGTTGAACATCGCCAAGAGCGGTGGTAAGATGAGGAGAAAGAGCCACCCTTCTTGGATGGATTCCATTGTATAAAATGTTGAGGTAAAGCGATATTGCTGTTCAAACTCTGTACTTTTATACTCTAGAAAGCCTTTGATTTATCGATAACGGTATTGAACCTTCATTTCTCCACGTTTCAACACGCTTATCAAACACATTCGAGTCTTTTCTGCCACATATTCGATTGTACAAGCTTTAGGTTTTGCAAGAGTTGTATGATGTAAGGTAGTGTATGTACAAATTTATTCGTGGGTCTCAATTTCATCCTGATCATCGCTACTTAAGCTATCCGAGTTACTATCACTATGACTACTGCTGCTACTGCCCTCTTCTCCATCATCTTCATCGTCAAATTTATTCAATTCTTGAATCAGTCTGTAGCATTCTTCTAGAGCAAACACACATTTACTTTGCCCTACATAGCCAAATTAGTGGCCTCTACTACAAATCGCGTGTACATAATGGGTATTACCTTCTGGTATAAGTCCATCCTCATCATGAAAACTCCCATTTTCGCGCTTCATGTCTATACTCCTCAGTTTCAATGCATAACTAGACTCAATGCAAATCAGGGTGTGGAACACACATATATATATATCACTGTCAACTTACAGCATCTTTTCGTCATCTGAAAGCTTGCAATGAAGTGATAGTAATCTCTTTAGGCAATCACGCAATGTGTTTAGTTGATGGTAAATTGGTAACAAGGACTCTGCAACGGAAGGGCCATCACCAAGCAAGTTGAGAATGATGTTATAGCACGCAGCCAACAAATTAGAAAGCATGCTTCGACCTTCCTCGCCTTCAAATTCATCCTCTTTATACAACATGCGTGCCACATCATGCAGCTGCAACTGATAAGTAAAGAGATCCGTTTGCCTTAGGCTCCATTTACTGGTTATTTCAATGCCTTCCAAGTCAGATCGAATGTCAATCAAGCGTTGGCGAACGGACTCGACTATAGGCTGGTTATCCAAAATCAGCAGATCATGACAAGCACTGAAATTCTTTTCCAGCATATCCACCAGAGTGCCTTGACCAAGGAAAGGTAACACATCCTGCTCTGCCTTATTTTTCAGAAATATACCAGTTCTGCCTCGTACATTGTCGATTTTCAGTAATTCTTCTTGGATTGGGAGGATGTCTTCTTCATTATAGTCTCTCTGGAATGCAACTTTGATCAGTTGCCCTCGAATCTCCAGTAATTTGCTTCTAATGGGAATTCTACAAGCAAAAAAAAAAAAAAAAAAAAAAAAAAAAATCAGGCAATGTAAATAAATGTATGTAGTGTAACTGAACACAGAGACTTACAGAGTTGGGGACATGTCACGGATCAACGATAATAGCTTATCGTAAATGCGTTCTACGCAATGGGTAAGTACGCAAAATGAATGGTTTACTATCTAGGATGCTTACTACACACGGAGTAATTGTAACGAATCAATTCCAATATAGGTGGAGGCAATGCGCAATTTTGTTCATCTTCTGTCAATAGGCTTTCCAGTTGTTGTAGCTTTTTGCCGTAGGGTTGAAGGGTGTGCTCGTCGTAAATGCCAATTTGTTCCAGCTGATAAAAGCAGTTCTTGATGGCAATGACTTGACAAAAGATAGCAGGGCCTACATTTCCACATACATTCAGAACTATGGCCACCAAACCCTCTCTGTGCTGACTTACTTTCATGCCATTTTCCTATCGTCATGAAGCACAGGCTCATGAGCTGACAGACTTTATGCAGCTCATCGTCTGTTCGATTGTTGACATGGTTCTCTTTAAACAGCACACCTCCTCGTATCTGAATCAGCTCTGTAATTGTGTTTTCAAACTCTCCTTGCAAGACCAAAATATCCTGTGGTGCCATCTTTTCGTGCTTTTTCAATACCATAAGTCGCTGCTTGATCCTCAACAATTTATCGAAGATTGGGTATTCCTCTGTCGACAAACAATTCAGCCATGGATCCTCCACCTGCTGTATATTAAGCTTACCAGACTCTGATATTCTTTGCTGGCTTTCTTGTTCTTCTCTGTCCATATCTTTGAGACGATTGAAAAAAAAAAAAAGAAAAAAGGAAGAAGGAAATTTTTCATGCTGTTGTTATTCTAGAAATGTGGTTTTGAGTGATACATCAAGCGGAATCGAAACTTTTAATATAAAACTTTAAACGTTTAACCGTGAAGAAAAAGCCTGGTTATTATCAATGGTCTGAAACGCATGTGAGGCATCAAGGCATGTAATCAAGCACTTGTCGTCTTTAAGAAATTTTAATAGGTTGCCACTTTATGTGGGGGTTCTTCTTACACCATAGGTGTGAAGGGCAAAAAATACGGGAGACAAGTTGGACCTAAAATGAAGAGTGTAAGGACGATTTCTCAAAAGTTTTGAATAGCCTTACTTGTTGGAGTTTTCAGTGCGCACTGTTATGGTAATTCTGATCAACCAGATGGGCTGCTGAGGCTTGCAAGTGTTGAGAGTTTTTTATGCTAAATCCCAACTTGCCAGGATTTAGACAATTGACTCTAGTTGGTGATAGTTTAGCTTCATATCTGTAGCACCATGACCTTTTGGTCGGCTTTGAGATTGGGAAGAGCCTTGCACTTGGGATGGAGCTTTCGTTCATGAAGAGGCAGTGGCTTTTGAAGGAGTTTGAGCCTGTGATAGGCCAACAGTGCAAGCAGGAGTAAGCCTCACTGTTCATGATTACACATAGTATGAGGCATTGCTGATAATAGTCATTCTTTGTACTTCCTCTTTGATAATGACATGTTAGAATGCTTCCTCTTGGCTATCTCTTTCTCGTTTTCTCTCCATTCTACTTGGATAGAAAGTATCGAAATAGGAACAGCGGTAAAAGGCCAGTAAAGGTCAGGTGTACTATAATCAGAAGGGAGTCATCAGACGAAGAAAGACGGATGAATTGCAAGACTAGTCGTTTGATCTCGTTACGCTCAATGACGACTTCGCTCTGCAGGCTCTAATTGAATATATCTTAAATCAGATATCTAGTAAGTTTAAGCAACCAATCAATAGTAAAAGATAGGTTCAATCGCTTCTTGCTCTTGTTCAAGTTGGCTCTCTTTTCCTCATTATCAAAAACCGTATTTTCAACATGCAAAGCATGTAATTGCAAGCGACGGACCCAATGTCACTCATATTGGCTAACTGGCTCCACCAGATATAAAAACCCCCCAATCAAAAGCAAAAAAAAAAGTATTCAGGCTAGCGATTGTCCTTTCAAATTCATGATTCCCATTTAATCAGTATTGCAATCATCATTGCCATCATCAGAAAGGCAATTAGGTCAACCAACAGCAGCGCCGCCGCCAAAATTAATTCAAACTCAGTTTATTTTTTTTTCTTCAAGATTGGACAGATTTCGTCTTTCACCTTTTCTTTCTCTAATATATTGAGCCCATTCCTTACTGTTAAACACATTTACCCTCCAAACCATGATACCTCGCTACCCCAGACATCTCTTAACTGCCTCACAACTGGACATTACCAACCCCCCAACCATTGACAGCCTTCATTCCTTTCTTACCTCCATAATCTCATGCCAATTCGACCTAGAGTCACACCAATTCCGAATGGCTGATCCATCCACCAAGGGCTTCAAATCCCTTCCCTCCTCCACTCCTTTACCAGCTCCAGTACCGATCCTGTCTCCCAATCGATGGAAAACGTTTTGGTCCCTTCGCATTCCCTTGAATGCACGGAACACCTGGTACCGTGTTCTCCATCACAAAATCGCTACTGGTGAAACCCTTCAACGCCGCTTAAAAGTCCCTTATGATGCCACTTGTACCATCTGTAGATCATCCATGGAGACAACAGAACACTTTCTCTTCGCCTGTCCCATTAAACGCTCCTTTTGGACCACTGCTCTCCGTACATACATGCCACCGCCCATTAATCAAAACAGTTACTCTAACTTTAGAAAATTCCTACTCTTAGAACACTACCCGTCTCGACAACAGCATCCTCTTTTTCCCGACTTATCTGTTCCCCAAGTATTTGCCTGTATGCTACACACCATTTGGTACTATCACTATCAGCATCTTTTTCAACACACTCCTTTCTTACCTTCTATCCTTCTCTCCTACCTCCAAAAATCCCTTTCCACCCTACAATCCCAAGAAACCTTAGATCAAGTTCTCTAAGTTGTATCCCATATATCCAGTCTTTTTCCCCTCTCCCTTTATTTAGGTGACGTTTAAAGGACTTTAAATAAAGCATTCATTTGCCCTAAAAAAAAAAAAAGATTTCGTCTTTCGTCGACTTTGTTCATCTATTTTGTTCCATCCAAAGAAAAGGTATGGCTAGGCGTCATTTTTGAATTCCTATGGCCCACGACGTCCATCACTGACATCAAAGAGGCTCTTCTGTCCCTGGACTTTTCGGATATCTGGTACTCCCAAGTCAAAGGCATCCATCCTTACAGAATCCTACTTATCACCCTGTCTCAAATATGGCTAGCCCATATGCGCTTTGTTTTTGACAACATCATCCTTGTCCCTGAGGCGATTCTGGTGAATGTCCGCTCCACTGTTCGCCAGACAGTGGATGAGGATCAAATCCATTCCCTCTTGTAGTTTTGATAGTTTCGATAGTTCTGCTTAGTTTAGTTTAGTTAATATTTCACCTTCTTTTTATTATCTCTTTTTTAATTGCACCCGCCTCTTCACTTCGACCCAGTACTCCTAGTGTACGCGGCTCAATCAATAAACAAAATTTAAAAAAAAAAAAAAAATCTATTTTGTGATATTCGACTATATGGATTGTAATAATCACCCTACGCTTCTTAATACATTCTTGAAGTATTTTTTAAGGCGCTTCCAATGGTGCTAATTGTAACAAGTGTTTTGACTGAAATTATTGAGCAATTTAATAAAATTTGAAATGAGGCTTTTAGCGAAGATCTCCAGATTTTGCATAGGAAAACCTCGTAAAAGTAGTTTCATAGGTTGCTTTGGGTCGAGAGAAACATTTTGCTTTAATATGTACCATAGTAAAAGTCTTCGTTTTCAAGGTGAAAAACGCGATCGTTTGATTTTCGTAAAAAAGCATGAGGGGTACCTCATGCTTTTTGGTCGAATTTTGGCCATGTTTTTTTGGTTCCCAAAAAGCTGAGCAAAGGTGTCAGGAAGTTCCTACTACTCAAGCACAATCGTTTGGCGTCATTCTAGTGACTCGTAAAGGTCTACATGTCAAGATATGAAGGCTTAAAAGCTGTCAAAATTGAACGTGAGTGCCTTGTGCTGATCAAACCATTTAAGGGCTCTGGCATGCACTCTTTGTTAGAGTGTTAGAAGTGAAAGACACACAATCAAAAAGCGCCCTCACGCAATAGTGGAAGAATTGTACATTGATCTTTTTTGTTGTTTCTTAGTTCTGTATGTGTAGTATAATTCAGACTGGATAGAATTACAAGGAATCAAAACGTATATTCATGTAAATAGTAAGATGTAGGCTACTATTCGTCTTATATTGCACTGCTATAGCTTCAATGGACAGATGGCTCTTGTTGAACAATGAGATCAAAGCCATTTAAAGTTATTTTCATTATTTGCTAATTGTGATAGCTCCCAGTCATGAGATTTCATTAAAGCATTTACTTGAGATGAAGGCATTCGCTATGCACATCCACATCAATTCTCAGATAAATCTCTGTATATATACTGTCAAGCTTTCGATTTGAACCTCTCAGAAATAGCATGTACCAGCCGAAAAGAAAAAACAGTTTTAAAGTATGAATGAAACGTTGTAAATCTAATGGAATTTAGCATCCCAATATGCTATTTGAGGCCATCCTTGATCTACTGATACGCTTGATTTGATACATGATTAAACACTGTAAACAGGTCGAAACGAATGACCTTCTAGAAGAAAAATGTAAGGAGCATTAAATTACTCTTTAAGGAACAATCGAGAGCCGGTGTTCTATATCTATCTACACGATGCTGAAGAAGCAAAAAATACTCATAAGCTATAAAGGCGGATCAAACAGGTCTTCAGCAAAAGGTGTCTTATATCAGAGTTCATGTCTCTCAAATTAGATCAATCTATGAATAGAAGCATAGTAGATACATCTATCGTTGTAATTTACCACATGTCAATATTTGTCAATAGGCTCTAATCCATGGATTTAAAAAAGCGAAAGACTAAAACGAGCTATTCTTCCAGCAAGTCTGTAGTGCAAAACATGCCAAGACTCGCATTTATAGAATCACCATTGAGAAAAACTGAATCTACCTTGCAATAGTTTTACAATTAGATTTGATTGAAGACTTTGGATGATGTACAAAGTGTCTCTGACTCTGCATAAGGACCAGTTAAATGATTGATTCATTGCAATATATATAGGCATTCAATGACGAAGCTGCATTCGTTTTATGCTGTCTGTTTATTCCATAAAATGCGGCGCATGTTGTCAGTCATTTGATGTTACTCAAACTCTAGGTACTTGAGCTATGTGTACCCTAAAAATAGCTGTACCTGTGTAGAATCAAGCCAACATTCGCGAATGTATAAACACTACTGAGAATAAAACTTGCTCATAAGAATCCATCTCTTTTATCAAACGCAGGGATATCCATGCTCAAATACAGACATGGCACATGTGCAATAACAGAAATCATAGCCAGAGTACACAAAATCAGGAAAGAATGCGCTGATCTCGACTTGACCAACCGAAAGGAACATCATTTAATAAACATTATTACAAAAACAACCAATAATTGGTTAATGATGCCAGCATAGACTTATTAGCCACGCTGTTAACAAAAGTGTGAATGTCAGAGTATCGAAGAAAACAAGGTATATCAACAAAAATACTTAGCTGTGGATTGTAATATACTAATCAAAAGTTCATTTTTTTTTTTTTGCAGTATTACGTAGCTACAAAAAGAATAATAGAGTTCCTTATTTCAATGATATCATCACAGAGAACAAAATGAATCTCATGCAATGACTGGAGTTCAAGCAGCAGATAGAGCCAATAGCCCTTTTTGCATTGTGGCGAACCCGATTTACAACGGCTCTGTTCATGTCAAAATGCTTCTTTACACGATGGCGACATTTGCGATATTTTGACAAGGAAAGTGCAAAGTAGCCAGTATACAAAAAGCCAGTGCAGCGAGTAAAAATCCGTTTATAAGTTTGGCAACCCCTCAATGTAGGCATATCGTCGTTTTGGTCTGAAGTCTCTAGCATAAACATAGGGCTTGGAATAGCTGTTCTCTTTTTTCGTAAAATGCGCAGCAAACGTTTGACCCTCAGCCAAAACACAACGAAGCAAGGTATAGCCAAATGGTTTCCAATATAGCAATTTCCAATACCAAGACTATAAAAAGTTGGAGATGACAGTAGAAAACGCTTAATCTTTGTAAATGGTAAAAAGTTTTTGTATAGTACTTTTCTCATTAGAAATGTGCTGGATTTCTTCTTTTTTTTTCAACATTCTTCAAGTGCGCTTTTAAATGAAGAAAAGAAGATGTATTTGAGTGAGTACAAAAGCAATGACTCTCTCAAGATGGATCTATTATGCATCTGCGCCCCTCTACTATCGAAAAAAGAACTCATGTGTGAAGATGACGCATTGCTCTAGTAGTAATATAAATAAATATACGTCTTGCCCATTTTGACGATAAATACATTCAGGTTGAGTCTTTCTGGAATTCACAACTATCTGGATCCATATATGAAGAAAGTGTACCAAGAGATCACGGCCCTTCACAATAATAACTACAATTACTGCCACAAATCCCGTTGCTAAAGTCATGACAGGTGTTGGTAATTTGCTCGGCAGCGGTCAGAAAGATATGGATGATACACTGACCTGAATATGATCGAGCGTGTGCATAGAGTTAGAGTTAATATTCCTCTAATCACCCCTTTCTTATTTCTGTCAACAGAGAAACTAGGTGCTCTACAACTGAAATTAACAAGCAGTTTTAGTGTGCTAACAATAGAAATCAACTACTGTGTTTGAATCCATGTTTCTTAGCTGATTGACGATCTTTTAATACTATTTCCCGGTCTACCGGGTACACACATGAAGGCTATACGATAGGGTATCCGAGAATTGTACAAACAGATGTATAGTTGATTAAATGTCCCTAGTTCTGCTGCATTTTAGTAATGTGAGAACAAGTCCCCCCTTTCTTTTCCTCAATAAGCAACCTCGTGGCGAAATACATATAAAAAGCGTAAGAATGAATGGTATGCACATCAGATGTTGTTTTTCCTTTTTTTGTGGTGAAAGAAATACCTGATTGATGGCACCGTTTTCAATCACTATATTCACAAATTACTGCTGTTCTACAAGACGCATGAGCTAGAGTAGTAATTCATTTACTATTAATGACTCTAATAGATTGCAAAATTGATTAGTGAGTCGGAAAGGGTTGCTGTATGATGTACTGAGATTTGCTAGCGACCAACCACCGGTTACGCAAATCTATATTTGTTTGTTTTAGCATACTGGAATAACAAGAGAGAAAAAATAGAGTGATGATGATGTTATATATGGCAAAAATAGAATATTTCATGGATAATGAAAATCTAGATTGGACTGGAGCGGACAATGCACATTAAGGAGTCTCTTTTATCTCTCTTTCTCGCTCTCTCATAGATATCGGTCTCAATGTATATACATCTCGCCTTTTGCAGAGATGAAATATGCGTTTAAGGGCTTAAATAAAATAACTGTCTAGTATATAAGCAAGGTTTATTTGTGTTCTTTAATAACATCTTGTCTAATTTTAGATAATTCACTTGTAACATATAAGCCCAATTAAAGCTTTTTTTTATTCTCTGTACATTTAAAAAAAAAAAAAAAAAAAAAAAAAAAAAAAAAAAAAAGAATCTAAAATAATAGCTTAGGTTATTCGTAGATCCCCTAAACTAAATTGCTCTCGAAAAAAAAAAAAAACTCCTCGATCCTGAACCAATATAAATAGCCTAATTTTTATTGTTCTTGTCCTGCTTTCTTTCCTTCTCTTTCATACAAACTATATATATAAAAAAAAATCAACATGGTGAAATATCAAGCCTTCCTTGTATCATTGACAAGTACAGCTGTCTTTGCTGCTGTTGATCTGTCTAAATTCCCCACAAAAACAGATCCCACACAAGTCACCATCCCCAACATCCCTCAAACGACATCTCATGATGTAGCAACAGAATGTCAATACTATCAATCAAACTTCACTATTGACAAGACTCAATGGCCTACTATCTGGGATATTGCTACCAGTAACAACATGAACACTTCCTCTGAATTCATGAATGTGTACAACTCTATCGATTGGACCAAGGCTCCTACCGCTCCTGTGCGTAAACTCACTGCCGCAGGAGGTCTCGATTTGACTGGCTACGATACTGCAAACGATCCCGACTGTTGGTGGTCTGCTTCTCAATGTGTAAAGCCAAAGGCTGCTGGTGTAAATGCTGATATTTCTGCCTGTCCTGAACCAGAAACATGGGGTCTTGTAAGTTGATTGTAAAACAAGTATCTATTGCGTGTTATTAATAATTTATGTTTACTCCTTAATTACACTATTTACTCCTACCCATCTCTCTCAAATCTCCTTACATATTCTCATTTAGACCTTTGATGACGGACCAAACTGCTCTCATAATGCATTCTATGACTATCTCGAGACCAACAAACAAAGAGCTTCCATGTTCTACATTGGGTCTAACGTGCTCAACTGGCCCTACGGTGCTCTCCGTGGTCTCAAGGACGGACATCATCTCTGTGGCCATACATGGTCTCACAAAATGATGACAACTTTGACCAACCAAGAAGTCCTTGCTGAGCTCTATTACACTGCAAAGGCAATCAAGTATGTTACTGGTGTTACTCCTTTGCACTGGCGTCCTGTAAGTAATATCTGTGTTGGGTAATTGGGTGTAATCTAATCATACATTTGTCTAGGCTCTTGGTGATTTGGATGATCGTGTACGTTGGATTGCTACTCAATTGAACATGACCGCTATTCTCTGGAACCTCGATACTGATGACTGGGCTGCTGGTTCCACTCCTGGCATTACTGCTGATACTGTGAACCAAAGATACAATGACTTTATTCAAATGGGCGCTAATGGTACCTTTAAGGATTCTGGTAACATTGTGCTTTCTCACGAAATCAACAACATGACTATGGATTTCTTTGTTAATCACTACCCTGATATCAAGAAGAACTACAAGCATGTTGTCGATGTAGCCACCTGTATGAACATTGCCCATCCCTACCTGGAGCAGGTGATCACTTTCCCTAGTTTCGATGCAAGTACCAAGAACAATGCCAGTACAGCTACAGGTTCAGGTGTCATCCCTGGTGCCTCAAGTGCTCCTAGTTCGGGTAATTCAGTTACACCAAATACTAACTTTTATAATGGTCCACTTTTCATTGCTGCACTTTTTGGGTTGCTTTTGGTTGCTGTATAAATCAACAAAATTACTATACATTTTCTCCTTTTCGTCACAATTATTACTGCTACAATTTATACATATTTTTTTTTTTTATACTTGATACATAGTATAGAGCCTCATTTTTTTTTCTACAATCACGCACAAACTCACATTTCTACATGTTCATCCCTCTCTTTATCTTTTATATAGAAGAAGAAAAATCGGAATATTACGTATATTATTTTTACAAATAACTTGACTTTGTGTGCTTTTTCTTTCTTTCATTCCAAAATGCATCAATCTACTTGTTTATTTATTTGATTTTCAGGACGATTATATTAGCGAGGGTTGGTTTGTACCATCATTTACTAACACATGTGTATATTCAGATCACAATCCTGATTATAGAAGATCAACAAGTAGAAGAAGAAGAAAATAGACCTAATAGATATGCTGACAGATACAACAGTTAGAACCGTTTACAATGCACACATTGACATTGCATCTTTTCATACATACATGATTGTTTACCAAACAATAAACCTTAATACCACGCTAAATTTGATATTTAGCCTCAACAAAACCTGCGGTCTTTGACACACCTGGGCTTTGTGATAGAATTTGCGCATTACATGCTGCTCAACGTTTGCATTCTGAGCTCCAATATGCTATCATCAAGGTCTGTATGCTAATAAGTCACTGTTGGCAGGTTTTTCATTGCATTTGTACAATGAATCTTGAGTATCTTTGCTGCTCGATTTCTCCGACTGATTATTATTTTTTGAAAAAAAAAAGGGGGGGCAAGTGATGTTCTTTGTTTAATCCCATGAGGCAACAATGCCTCACTGACGAGATTCAAATATTTCGGTGATTTGACACAATATATCAAGCATAAGAGTTCACAACAATTCAAGAAATAATTAGAGAGTCTAAGCGATAGTATGTTTCAATTTGTAATGCTCCTCTTATAAGATTACTAGCCGATCTTTCTCGCTACGCTCGATATCGGCGTCGCCCTGTGGGCTCTCGCCAAACACATTTTAAATCAGATATTATAACATTTTGGCATATCAAGTAGATTTTAAACAATTTATTATTAGTAAAAGAAAAAAAAAAGAAAGATTATATTAGAGCCACCAGTAGCAAGAGAGGAGGTATCTCCCTCAGCATTCTTTTTGCTTACACTGATATCAAACGAAGCTTATTATTGAGACGATATGAAAGAAAATTCAAGTTTTATGCAGCATTTGTACATCGCAATCGCCATTTTCTGATAATGAAATTGTCGTCTCATTCGCTGCTGCTGCTCTTAATAAGATGATGACATAAAGCTGGCTATGCGTAAACACACGACTCGTGTACGAACTACAGCGACTTTTTTGAGATATTGTCATTGCAAAAGAAGCCTTCATGAGGCAAAGCTCACCAAAAAAAAGTATTTGGGCTAAGCAATCGTCCTTTCAATTCCATGATTCCCATTTAATCAGCATCGCAATCATGATGGCCATCATCATTGTCATCATCAGAAAAGCATTTGGGCCAGCCAGCACCAGCGCGACACGCTAAAATCAATTGAAACTCTTTTTTTTTTTTTTTTGTTCAATATTGGACAGATATCGTCTTTTGTCGACTTCTTTAATCTGTTTTGTGATATTCGACTATATAAATTGTGATAATCACCCTATGCTTCCTAATACATTCTTGAAGTACTTTTCAAGGCGCTTCCAATATTACTAATTGTAATAAATGTTTTGACTGAAATTATTGAGAAATCTAATAAAATTTGAAATGAGTTTTTTAGCGAAAATCTCCAGATTTTGCATAGGAAAACCTCGTAAAAGTAGTTTCATAGGTTGCTTTGGATCGAGAGAAACGTTTTGATTTAATGTATGCCATAGTAAAAGTCTTCATTTTCAAGGCAAAAAACGCGATCGTTTGATTCTCGATAAAAACCATGAGGGGTACATCATGCTTCTTGGTCGAATTTTGGCCATGTTTTTTTTTTGGTCCCTAAAAAATTGGGCAATAGTGGCAATAAGTAACTGCCAGATAAGAGCAATTATTTGGTGTGCTATTCTAGCAGTCTAAAACGGCTTCTAACTCGAGAAATCAATGCTCAGATGCATTCAGATTTTGCTGTATCAGGAACACTAAAGACTAAAAAGAAGAAATACCAGTATGCTGCTTACCTGTATACCAAGTAGCTACGTGTATACGGATGTAGAGCACCACATAAGAATCAGATCCACAGATATTATGAAGTGGCTTCATGTGTAAGTGGAGGGTCAACATGAACGTAGCAGTGTTTTGATACGATACGCAAGAGCAATCGGTAGCCGAGCTGCGGCTGCGCAGGTTGGTTCTCACCGAAGCGAAGCAAAGGCAGAGAGTCATCCGAAGCAGAAACACTCGTTTCAGTAACAGAGCTAGGAGCAAATAGAACAACAACAAGAGTCTCTAAAAGCCAAGACTGTCTCATCCCTTCTTCGTCCTTCATTGTGTGCTGCTTTCATTAATAGCCGACAATCAACCGTCATCCAACATTTTCAGTCCACAACTTAGAGAAAAACTATAACAGAAGAAGTTTTTGATAGACACTATGAAATCTTCATCTAGAAATAAAGAATGATTTCAAAAAGTATTTTCGATCTATTTCATTATTTCACACAAACTTTACTCTTTCAGGAACGACGTCTACGTCTTTATCAACAGGATTTTCTCAAATACGGACCAGCAGCATAGATACAATGTCTCTCACTGCTGGAAATTATGCAGATACAGCAAAATCTGAATGCATCTGAGCATTGATTTCTCGAGTTAGAAGCCGTTTTAGACTGCTAGAATAGCACACCAAATAATTGCTCTTATCTGGCAGTTACTTATTGCCACTATTGCTCAATTTTTTAGGGACCAAAAAAAAAAACATGGCCAAAATTCGACCAAGAAGCATGAGGTACCCCTCATGGTTTTTATCGAGAATCAAACGATCGCGTTTTCTGCCTTGAAAATGAAGACTTTTACTATGGCATACATTAAATCAAAACGTTTCTCTCGATCCAAAGCAACCCGTGAAATCACTTTTATAGGACCTTAATATGCAAAATCTTGGCATTTTGGCACAAATCGCCAATTCATATTTTTACGTATTGCTCAATGAGTTTATTCACAACAACTCTTATACTTGGCACCATTGGATACGCCTTAAAAAGTGCTTCAAGAAACCTTAAGGGTCCACGGCATGTTTAACATACTTCATAGAGTAGGTTCTTCTGAAATAGATTAATCAAGTCGAAATAGAGCAGAATCTGGCCAATCTAAAGTAGAAATCGAGCGGAGGTGTAATATGATTTGGCAGGCTGCCCTGGCAAAGCCAATGTCCCCTCTGATTAGAGGGCAATATATGCTTTTGAAACTAATGAAAAAAGCTTGTGAATTGAATATACTATCTACTAGTCCAGCCTATTTTTTCTCAAGTCTTGCATCTGATAACGCCAGTCTGACAGCGTTATGACCGAAATACTTGTAAGCTCAATTCAATTTCTTCTCTTTTTTTAAGGCTTTGAAAGTGTTTAGGGATTGTGATTTATTATCTTGTAATGTGCATATAAAAATGGATAAACAATGTTGTAAGGTTTATCCTCTACCTATATTATGGAATGGTCATTACGCTTAATAGAGTCCACACATTTTAACTGCATTTGACTTTATTCTATGGATTTGAATCAGAGAAAGGTACAAGCAATGCCCCCCCCCCTCCAATAGTAAATTAACAGTCTTCATTGGAGGCAGGGAACTCCTTCGAGGCAGGATGAAACCCAACCTAAGTGCACCTTTGCTTATTCCATATGAGACTTTATGAAGCTCCACCATTACCGCCGTAACGTAAATTCGAAGCACCTATCCATACTTGATATTTACTTGTACTACTAGATATTCAGAAGAGAAATGTACGAATGAGCTAGATAGAATACTCAAGACATCATCAAAAGTAGCTGTTTTATTAAAGGGCATCCAAACACTCAACAAACATGCCTTGTCTCGAGGAATCACATGTAGACCTTGTATGGGTACCAATCAAGAGGTAAAGAGTGACATACACATGTAGTGGCAGTTGATGTTAAGCAGATGCACTGCATAGTCTCGCATGGGATACTACGATAGCCGGTACAAAAGGTAGGCGCAGTGCTCAATAAGAGAAAGTTGTCATTTGTAAACTCCCCTTATAGAGTTGTGCTATGCTGCGATCATATCAAATCCAGAGACGACTTGGAAGACACTCTTGTGCATGAATTGACACATGCATTTGATTCTCTGCGGAAGGGCAAATTCAAGAGCATTTGCCATCTTGTAGCATGCGGTGAAATTAGGGCGAGTGCATTAGGTAGACTCTATGACACTAAAATGATGAAAATGACCTAATCATTCGCTGCGAAAATAGGGCAATGCGCCGATATTACACCTGAAAAGAAGAAAAACCAATGCATTTGGAATGATGCTGTAAGATCGACCGAGATCCATTGTGGAGTAGAAAGAGCTGAAAAGGCAGTGAAGGAAGTGTTTCAAAACTGTGTTCACGATGAGACACCATTTCAATAAAGGTTACACTTGACCTATCAAGTTGTTTATTTATAAATTGCATCCCCTTAATCTCTATAAATTGCTTTTTTTCTTCGGTGTTTGTTCTTTTTTTTTTTTTTTCTCACTCTCTTTCTCTTTTCCATTTCTCCAAACCAACTCTCGATATGAGTGAAAGACAATCCAAATCAGTGCAAGATAGACACGAGCGCATGCTGAATGAGATCGTTAAGAATCCTAGCAACGAGCACTGTGCTGACTGTGGCGCTAAAAGTAAGTTGCCTTTGGAGTGAAAACGACTATTAGAAGAGACTGACATCCTCATCAACAAAGACCCTCGATGGGCTTCTTACTCCCTCGGTGTATTTTTGTGTATTCGTTGTGCCGGTATTCATCGTAAAATGGGAACACACATCTCCAAAGTGAAATCCATCACCATGGACCAATGGACAAGTGAGCAGATTGAGGTAATATGAAATGAATGTATACACACTTCCTGTGGGTTCACTCAAAGAAACCTGTTAGATGATGCGCACATCAGGAGGAAACATTGCAGTGAATAGTAAAATCAACCCCAACCCTGGTAACAATCCACGCCCACTAGCTCAAGATGATGAACAGTAAGATGATAAAATAGCTTTGTTCGATCAGTCGATATTCATATGTCATGCCTAGTGCTATGGAGAGATATATCAGAGCAAAATGGGAAAAACGTGCTTTCTTGGCCGAGAATAATAGAATGGTATCTAAGTAGATGGGATTAGTTCAAGTTGTGTTTCTTACATATCGCATTTCAGGCACCTTTACCCAAGACACCCATCTCTGTTCCAGCTGTTGCTAGACTACAAGCACTGCCCAAGAGATCATCGTCTGTGCCTATCCTTGCAGCTTCTACGAGCAACAATTCCAACAATGTATTGGCTTTAAATCAACTGCGTGAAATGGGATTCAAGGATGAGACCAAGAACCAGCAAATCTTGTTGCAAACCCAAGGTAGTATTGAAGCTGCTATTGAAATACTATCAAGGTCGACAGTGCCATCATCATCACCATCACCAGCAATGGCTCCACAGCAACAGCAATTCATGACAATTGATCAAAAAGTGGAACAGTTGATGAAATTGGGGTTTGTGGATAGAAACAGTAATATGGATGCTCTTCGTCGCTCGGGCGGTAATATGGACATTGCCATGACCATTTTGAACGAAACAAAAAATACCTTGCAGCAACAACAACATCACCAAGAACCATTTAGATCAAACTCTGTACCCGTATTAGGCAATCAATTGCTGATAGATGTGGATTCGACACCTGCTACTACTACTACTACTACTACTACTACTAGTGCAATGAGTAATCCATTTGCAATGCAGCAGCAACCTCTTCAAATTCAATATACAATGCAGCAACCACAGCAGCAGCAGTCTTTCATGTACCAACAACAGCAACAGCAGCAACCACAGTCAATTGTGCAAAACAATGTGTTTAGTAACCCTTTTGGATTAACAGCGACATCTACATCTACTATCGCCACCACAGCGAATGCCACTACGCCTAATTGTAAGTATATCAGTGTAACATTAACTCTCTTTTGTCTAATTCTATTTCATGATAGTATCGTTTAATCAAGCCAGCATGGTGCAACAACCCATACAACAACAGCAACAGCAAGCTAATTTCTCTAATCCATTTTCTCAAATGACGCCAATGACTAGTTCGCCTTACACTATCAACAATAATACCTCTTACTTTATGCCAACGTCTACTACCCAGCCTCAGCAGCAGTCATTCTTCAATCAACAGCAACCTCAACCACAGCCGCTATTCATGCAGCAGCAACAGCCTCAGCAACAATACCAATACCAACAGCAGCAGCAGACAATGAACCCTTGGTCATCTTCCGCTGGCACACCAAACACTTTGTTTTAAACCATCGCATCATGTAATGAATAAAAAAGAGTTGAATTAGAGATGGATATAAACTCGTGATTTGGATATGGAACCACTTTTCCCGACATTGGCATTGCAATGCGCTTGAATAATGGATTTGCCGTGATATGACAACATGTGCATCACGAGTGATTGGGGTTTCAAAGAATACAGGCCATCATTTGGATGAGATATACATTAGTGGAGGCGTTCTTTTTTTGTAAAGATATCCATAAAAATAGTTTATTGTACTTTGGGCCTTTTAATATAAACTTTCAGTGCTGGCACAAGTACTTGAAACAACTACTTCTCTCAAAACACAAATTTCTTGTTTTTGATTACTTGATTATTCATAGCTTTCATCCTTGGAGCAAGCACAGTTTTGTACATCTCCAGGTACAATGATTTATCCACTTCAAGGTCGCGAAGGACCATCATCGCAATGTTGACAACCAGCCTTTTTCCTTTGCTAAGGTGTAACTCTATCAAAGCCGTTTTGTTCCCATTTGCGCACGGGTTTTTGAAATTGATTTGTTCTAACAGCTTTGAATTTGCCAATAATGCTGCCAGTTCTTCTTTCTTATCATCCTTGTTCACCTTCATTCGCAGCAATAGCGAACCAGCAGCAGTCATGATGTCGTCGAGGGGAAGGTTCAAGGCAGAGGCACTCGAGAATCCTTCATCATGAAATCTCTTTGATTTGTAGTGCCATTTGTAGCCACTTGCTTTCTTGGTGAAATCACGAAGCAGCCTGACATCTCGGATGTGAGCTTCGGTGTCTGATGCCAAGTACACTCTCCAGTAGCTGTTTGTTGGTATGTTTCGTCCAAGAGATGCTCCTAAAACTGCTTGTGTATCTGAACTGTTGAAGCTTCCATGGACACATCCTGTGACTAAAAACTCAAGCTGGCCGAAATAAATCTTCGCTTCAGTCCATTGATTTCTGAATTCTCTCTTTTGCTCGATAATGAAGAAAGGATTCGCGGGATATCCAAGGGTGATAGTGCTGTAAGCACAGTCATCTACACTTGAAATGTCCCGGAGGTACACTTCGACTTGCGTTATAAGAATATACAATCCTTCAGTTGAAATCGCAATACTTTCTAGAAATCTTGGAGCCAAAGATTGAATTACATTGTTTGCGGTTTCCACATTGCTAAGCTCTTCACGACGAGGAGCGTTTTGGGAGAGAATCTGCATATCCACGTATTGATTGCTGGTCATCAATGATTTAACTGCGTCTGGGATAACCGCACGAGGATCATCATGGATCCCGCCAAACGTTTGCTTCATATCGATGATCTTGCTTCGCAAGTCTGCTACATCGTCCCTTACTGGAGACGGCGTCCTCAGTCTCCTTCTTCTCATATCATCAAGCTCGTTTTCTTCATCTGCTTCCTCTTGGTTCAAAAGCCTCTTGCTATTTTGGAATTTGAGTATGGAACTGGCTCTTTAATCGATTTGGGCGCTTACCCTCTAACCACCACTCCTCTCTCCTTCATGTACACTTCAACTTTTGTAAAACATCCAACTTCACTACCTTTTACGTGTATCACAATATTATGTAATCTGTATATCCGAGGGATACAGCATATGATTCTAGTGGCTATTTTTTCCGTCAATGACAGCGATGTCAGATCAATACATGAGAGATGGACGATCGATGAAAATAATGATTTGAGTTTGCCATAGTCGTTGATACTGCCTCTGATTCGAATTGAACTGACAGTTGAGTGATGAAAGCTGCCGAGCTTATTGTCAGAGGGATCAATGGTAGTAAATTCAGGATAAGGAATCTTATTGACGATGTTCCACATCAATCTACACGATTTCGAGAGGCTGAATCGATCATAAAAGTTCAGAAACGCAATAATGCACCCCCAAACCTCTGTAGAAGCGCCAGCATTAAACAGTATAATTGTTTGAGAAGCCATTAAAGACAGGTTTTCGCTCCTAGCCCTATGGTGCTCTAGATATGGCCATAGCATGAAACACTTTACAACATTGTGTAACAAATTGTAGTCGTGACCAATTGCTACTCCTTATTTTTACTCCTTATTTTGACTCTTTTTGTTCCCACACCTTTGATATCCTTTCTTTTCATTCAACATTTTGTTTTTTTACGTAGACCTGTCTTCAACATTTCAAGTCCTCGCAGTTGCTACAGAAGGTGGGCCCCTCTCGACATGCCATGTTTAAAGATCTGGGATTTATTCTAGAGATTTAGGCTTTGTCGATGCACTGCAGTAGGCACCCAGAAGATACGTCTGTGCTAGGACGTCCTTAGTGGGTATACCAGCCACGCTACGGTTTCTTTCCAATTTCAAATAGCTTATCTAGGCGATTTTGGGTTTTTACTGGGGGACTGTAATTGCCTGCAACACTTAATGCTTTTACCTCTTTGTTACGTAGACCTGTCTTCAACATTTCAAGTCCTCGCAGTTGCTACAGAGGGTGGGCCCCTCTCGACATGTCATGCTTAAAGATCTGGGATTTATTCTAGAGATTTAGGCTTTGTCGATGCACTGCAGTAGGCACCCAGAAGATACGTCTGTGCTAGGACGTCCTTAGTGGGTACACCAGCCACGCTACGGTTTCTTTCCAATTTCAAATAGCTTATCTAGGCGATTTTGGGTTTTTACTGGGGGACTGTAATTGCCTGCAACACTTAATGCTTTTACCTCTTTGTTACGTAGACCTGTCTTCAACATTTCAAGTCCTCGCAGTTGCTACAGAGGGTGGGCCCCTCTCGACATGCCATGTTTAAAGATCTGGGATTTATTCTAGAGATTTAGGCTTTGTCGATGCACTGCAGTAGGCACCCAGAAGATACGTCGTTGCTAGGACGTCTTTAGTGGGTATACCAGCCACGCTACGGTTTCTTTCCAATTTCAAATAGTTTATCTAGGCGATTTTGGGTTTTTACTGGGAGACTGTAATTGCCTGCAACAATGCTTTTTGGGATTAGATGTGCTTTCACCTTCTCGTGGTTAATCCTGTTTTTTCAAAGTGAAGATACTAAGCAAAGCACGCCTGTAGCTAATTTTAGAGAAAACAGGCTTCATTTATACACATAATGATTTTTAGTTACCAATTAATAAAACAATGATACTGGTTCTCTTATTGTGGATCCATCAAGCCTTTGAGATTAAGATTTCATCAAATCAGTCTTGATACCACAGTAGATTGGAAATATTACAGTTGGACAGTCTTTACAAATGTGAGCAATTGACAATGCATTAACCAGGGCCTCCTTGGCTCGAACACAAGAAATACAATGTCTGCATACCGAATTCATCCTTCCAGTGGGCAACAGATGCCACGTTTTCTTTTTGAGCAAGTATTCTTCTGCATATGCTTTTCTTGAAACCTCGTAGTTTGTGGATATTCTCTAAAGTCGTGCCAGCACTATTGTCAAGCAAGTGCCACAAACAAGCAATGAAAATACTAGGATGCGTACAAGTTGGTGTGCAAATTCACCCATCTTTATTCAACTGTTTATGCCATCATTTGTTGATGGTGCTTTGCAATGCTCCCACCGATCATAGTGTTATTGAGCTGCTCCCATTACTTTCAAGCCTTTTATCTACCAAGATATGGGTTGGGAAATACCAATGGGGTCAGACAACAGAGACCAGTAGCTACAGCAGCAAAGGAATCCCGTATTTCTACTCGTGATTTCTACCAACATGATTACCTTGAACGGGCCAATACATGTGTCCAATGTGTTTATTGACAATGAAGCGTAGACTCTGTGCAACATTTCCGCCGTTTGGAATCTCCAGCCATCCATTGAGGTGAATCCAGGTGTATCCACGCATTTCAGGGACGGTGGCTGTGTACTGTCTTTACGGACATGTATATAAATACACTGGCAATGTATGACAGTAATGTATTATCTAGATTAGCAACATGCTCATGCAAGCATGCCGCGATATATAACAGATGGCTCTACACACTTGCAAATAAGCTGATCCAAATCAGGTAAGCACAAGGCGAGTTTGAAGGTGCACAAGCTTTCCTTTTTTTTTTTTTTTTTTTTTTTTTTTAACAACATTGAATGAGATATGGATATCCTTGATTTCTTTTTTTTTTTCTTTCAGCTCCCCTTCCCCTCTTTCTCCTTTTCTCTTTCTCTCTTTCTCCCCTTTTTCTTCTTATTAAAAGGCACGTTTTTTCCAGAGACATAACAACAGCAACAGCAGCACATGTCCAATCCTATAGCAGATACAGCAGAGTATTTTGCTCGCTGGAGGCAAACAGTACAGGAGGTGGGTGATCAAGACAGCCACAGGCCAGGATCAAGCACTGCCACCATGACACCACGAGGTGTGGGCATGTATGGGCCGCACCCCACGCCAAGCGAATCAGTGCATCATGACAGTACCATGTCGGATGCTCGTTCCCAATGGCTACGTGTGCTGAACAGAATTTCGTTCCTGAATCCGTTAGACACACCAACAGCAGTGGCAGCGGATGAACAGCTACTGTCTGATGATGAATCAGTCAATGTGGATCGGGACACATTCGAGCTGATGCGAAGTGCAGCACGAGAAAACCGCCATCGATCTCGCCACCATAGCCTGAATGTATCCACATCAGCCACAGGTGCTGTGCGTGGTCGTGATGATGAACCCACAGCCATTGAAGAGCAAGACCATGATCAAGAGGAGAAACTGCCCTCTGCCTATGAATTGGAGAATGATCAAGTGTACCCCCTGAGTGATGAACACAACGTGGACGAGGAAAGCAACTACTTCACACATCCCTTTAAGGCGGAAGAACCTGCTGTGCCAGACAGTGACGATAGCAGCATACAGCAACCACCACCTGTGCTCAAATCTGCACCGACAACCAGAACAGGCAGACGATTAGACTCTGAGAACAGCAGCATGCCTACCATGGGAGAGTACGATGATGGCCGCATTATCAAAGACAAGTGGGATAGAACATTGGATAAGCTCAAGCTGATAGCCAACCTGCAGTCGCCTTTACCACCCTCGCCAGCACCGGCACAAACGCATGTAATGCTGGGACCTTCGCACACCTTGGCCACGTACTATCCGCCTGCATTTGATCCTATCTTTGCTGCCTTTGCCAAAGACGAATATGGGAGAAAGCTGGTAGGTAACACAATCGTACCACCTCTTCTGTAGTGTATAATAGAATAATGCTAATTTTAAATTTTCCTTGTGTTTCATTATTCGTAGCCGCCCATCTTGTTACAATGCATCTATGTGAGTTGTGTGATCTCAGAATGATGCCCGTCTCTACTTACACACGTTCTTTCCTGTAGCTCAATGTCACCGACTCTGAATATCTCTACGGTACTGGCCAATGGGTATTCCGTATTGAACTGCAGTATGGTGATGTCAAGTGGGTCATTCGTCGTGGTATTGCTGATTTCGTGGCTCTGCATATCAAACTCAAGGTCAAGTCCAACTTGTACGATTATGTGCCTGATCCGCCCGTTTTTCCGAATCAACTGGCCAATCTGCTGGATACAGCCAAATCAACCATCGCCATGTACTATCGTGGTGATGAGCCTGAGCCTCCTCCCTCTGTTTCGACACCATCAGCAACACACCAGCATCAGCAGCACCATGACGATGGATCTAGCATCAAGAGCAAAGTGGCACTCAACCGTCGCACGGCTTTGACCCAGTACCTGAGAGCCTTGTTGCTGCGTGCGCATGTCACTGTCAGCTACGACATTTGCGAATTCCTGGAGCTATCAGCCATCAGTATTGTGCAAGACATGGGCTGGAAAGGCAAAGAAGGGTATTTGCGCAACCGCATCAACTATGTTTCACCTCGCTGTTGTCAAATTTGGAAAACTCATCGCTGGAGCACAGAGTGGATCATACTAAGAGACTCGTAACGTGTGCACACATGCACTGCAGCTATTCACACGGACTGATTTGCGTCATATAGATACATGGCATTCTGTACAGATACCGCATCATCTACGCCCACAGATGTCTTGTTGTTTGACAATGGGCTTAAAATTGACATCCAGGAACCAAGAGTGTACCTCGGCAGCTACCACATCTCTATCAGTAACGAGTCTCGCAAGATTGAAATCAAGGGCACCAAGCGTGAGGTGGATCAGTGGCTAGAAAGTATGGAGAAGGTGCGAAACGAGAGTCCCTGGGTACAGAACCATCGTTTTGGCTCATTTGCTCCTGTGCGTGCCAATGCCAAAGTAAAATGGTTTGTTGACGCAGAGAGTAGGTGTCTTTGTTTGTTTTGAGAAAACGAGAAAAAGGGGCGTTGATGTGTTTGTCGTGTTTGTATAGATCACTTTAATGCTGTTGCAGAGGCTATTCTTTCTGCAAAGGTAGAAATTTACATAGCAGATTGGTGGCTGACACCAGAGCTGGTAAGAAATAGCAGCCGAGTGAGTTTGCGTCGTGTGCTCATACATATATACACATGCAGTACCTTAGAAGACCACCAGAAGAAAATGAAGACTTTAGACTGGATCGGCTGCTGCATCGCAAGGCAGTGGAGGGCGTCAAGATATACATTGTCGTCTACAAGGAAATGTCGCTTGCACTCACCATCGATTCAGTGCACACCAAACAGTGGCTACAGAATTTGCATCCCAACATCATTGTACAGCGCCATCCAGACCATACATTTTCAAACGACAATACCGTGCTGTTTTGGTCCCATCATGAGGTATGTCTCTGACCGTCAACATCTATAAAAGCACTCACAGTTTGCTATAGAAAATTGTGGTGGTGGATAACCGCCTGGCTTTCATCGGCGGCCTTGATTTGTGCTTTGGTAGATACGATACACATAGCCACTCACTCTCTGACTACCCTGCAGAGGGACATGACCGTGAAGTGTTTCCTGGTCAAGATTACTCCAACCCTCGCGTCAAGGACTTTGTGGATGGTATGTTGTGTTTATCGAATGATGTGCGTCTAGTAACACTATTCATTTAGTGGCTCAGTTCGGCAAGACGCTTGTAGACAGAAAGACAACACCTCGCATGCCGTGGCATGATGTGACGCTGGGTGTAGTTGGACCCATTGCCAGAGACATTGCTCGTCATTTCATCCAACGATGGAACTTTCTGAAATCCACCAAGAGCATGCATCGTCGCAACTTGCCATTCTTGATGCCCAAAGGTGAATATGTAGCTGCTAGAGATGAGAGCAATTTTACGGGTACGTGTCGAGTGCAGTTGCTGCGAAGCTCGTCTCGCTGGAGCTCTGATGTGGAGCGTGAACATTCCATCTACAATGCCTACATGGAATGCATTGCTCATTCAAAACACTACATCTACATTGAAAACCAATTCTTTATCAGCACAACCCAAGACGACAAGCTACTGCGTAACAAGATTGCTCAGGCACTGGTGGAAAGAATCAGAAGAGCACACGGCAGGGGCGAAAAGTTTAGGGTGTATGTGGTGATACCTCTTGTGCCTGCGTTTGAAGGCGATTTAGCGTCGAGCGAAGCATCGTCTGCCAGGTATAGATAGGCGTCGCTCGTTGATGGATGTCGCTTGTACTGATAGACTACTCTAGAACTGTCATGCATTTCCAATATGTCACCATCTCACGTGGTGGAAGCTCTATTGTAGAGAAGCTGAAAGAGTATGGTATTGATGCGGATCAGTACATTTCGTGGTTCAGTCTTAGAAACTATGGCAAAATCAAGACCAACAAGAACACGCCAGCAGCAGCATCTCCACAGCCACCCAACAACGACAGTGGGTCTGTGTTTGGTGATGAAGCAGCTGTCAAGGATCCCTTTGATGATGCATCTACGCACCAACACCTTTATCCCCACTTGCATCTGCACAAATTACATACAAATGAATCGACCGCCTCCACAGCCACAGCGAGCAGCGTGCTGGGCGGGCAATCGACCTTAAATCCAGTGGATACGAGCAACAGCAGTCGACGTGGATCTTCCACGAGCAGCAATACCAGCCCTGCGGTAGATGATGACAGATACGACTATGTCAGTGAGCTGTTGTACATTCATGATAAACTCATGATTGTCGATGATCGCATTGTACTGATGGGATCTGCCAACATCAATGATCGCTCTCAGCTGGGTAATCGTGATTCCGAGATTGCCATGCTGGTGGAGGATACTGAGATGGTGCCTTCCTTTATGAATGGCAAAGAGGTAAGCCATACGCTTTTTTTTGGGGGGGTCATCACATACAGTGATATTCACGCTTGAGATATAGTACAAGGCAGCCAAATTCGCACATACACTGCGTATGCAACTATGGAAGGAGCATCTCGGCCTTCTCAACTTTGAAAAATGGTCGCAATTACTGCAAGATGAAGACGAAAAGCAAGTAGAAACACTTGATATACCACAATCCACCAACACAACCAACACACACGCCTACCCCAGCTTGGCAAGGTCTCACAACAATGCACAGGACATTAGAACCATTGAAGCAGATGAGCCTGTCAAGATGCTGGACAGGGCAAGCCGCACTTTCAGCTTTTACGACACATTCAAGACGCATCATCATGCCAAACGCCATGACGCAGCTGCTCTGGATCCCCTGTCAGACCACACTTACAACAACATTTGGCTCAAACGAGCAACCACCAACACACACATTTACAGACAGCTGTTTCGATGTGTACCGGACGATACAGTGCATACCTACGAACAGCACCGCAAATTCATACCTGATCCACTCAAGGTCAAGACTGGCCATGTTGCCGATCCCAATTTGGCAGAACAAGAGATTTGTGAGCAGCTGGATCAGATACGCGGCCATTTAGTCTTGTTCCCAAAAGACTATCTCAAGGATGAAAACTTGCTACAAGGCACCATCATCGATACAATGACCCCAATGATTATCTTTACTTAGTAGTGTTATTGTACAAGTCAGTCGCTGTTAATCCCTTTAAACTAAATCCATGAACATCGTTTTTGCCTTCCATTTGTTGTATCGCAATGGCATTTTGTTTCATTATATCTCTTGATGCATCTACTTTTTCATCTAGCAGCTTCTGATCTAGTATAGGTATATATATATATATATATATATATATATATATATATCAATAAACCCCATCTCTCTACTATTTCTCATTCTAGCAAGGTACCTTTCTCAATCAAGGCTTTGGTATTCTCTGTGGGTAACTTGATAAACATATCTCCAAAGAATGTCCATGTCTTTTTGTCTGTAGGATGCATGAATAAGTGTCTTTTTGTTTGTTGAATACATGATTGGAAACGCACCTTTTGTCTTTTTCAGACTGGACAATGCCTCTCTATTGGAGTTTCTCTTTCTATCAAAGTCAATCACCTATCCAGTACATACATGTGTGAGCGAGATGGGTGGGAAGATAGGTAGTGGCATCTACGTTACTGCTTGCTTGTTGATCAGTATTTCCTCTGCCAAATGCTCCTTTGCAGCGAGTACTGTACAGCTACTTGTCAGTATGTCATTGAATGCTGCTATCAGCATACATTACCCTGCTCAATTTGGTTTGCTACGGTGTTGGACATGTGTTGTATGCGCTATTATGCTAATCTAAAAGAAAAAAAAAAAAAAAAAAAAGCAAAATTCAAAAGGCAAGCCACCAGCTAAATATTAAATAGCGGCCATGGGGATTTCGGATTCTTTCTTTCCTTTTTCACTCTACGCGCGACACACATCTACTCACTTCTTCACTATGAGTGTATTCCCAAAAGAAACCATCAAGGTAGGCTGTGGATTTGCATCTGCACACTAGCATGTACTAACCGAGCGAGCAGAATGTTGGAGAGTCATTAGGCATCACCAATCTCAAAGACGAAGTAGCTACAGCATTGGCACAGGACGTCGAGTACAGAGTTCATGAGCTTATCCAGGTATGCCCCTACCAAAGTCTGTTTGATCGGCACTACCTAATGCAATCCACAGGAAGCATCCAAATTCATGCGACACTCAAAAAGAACCAAGCTATCCGTCGACGACATCAATGCAGCACTTCGCGTAAAGAATGTGGAGCCTCTGTACGGCTATACATGTGGAGAAGCACCCAAGTTCAAAAAGACCACTGTCAACGCCAACGATATCTACTTTGACGACGATGAAGAAGTTGATTTCGATTCCGTATTGAACAAACCTTTGCCCAAAATCCCCTTGGATGTGACATTTACAGCACACTGGCTTGCCATTGAAGGTGTTCAGCCTGCTATTCCACAAAACCCTACACCCAGTGGTAAGGCCTTTTTTTTTTATATATGTGAGCAGAGAAGCACAGTGTATTAAAGTTGTATGCGTAGATGCCAAAGCCGAATTGCTATCAAAGCGTGCCAAAAGCCATGCTTCTTCCAACGGCATTACCACAGATCAAGTCAATGTGAAACCATTGGTCAAGCATGTGCTCTCCAAGGAACTGCAAATGTACTTTGAAAGAATCACAGAAGCTGTGTTGAGCGAGGACGAGCGACTCCAATCACAAGCGTTCGAGAGTTTACGATCAGATCCTGGGTTGCATCAACTGCTGCCCTACTTTGTTCAGCATATTCACAAAAAAGTAACACAGAATCACAAGAATTTGGATGTGCTGGAAGCCATGCTGTCCATGGCCTATTCGTTACTCAACAACAAGCATTTATTTGTGGAGCCCTACGTAAGTCCATGTTAAGAGTGTGTACATGGATCCAGCCAAGACTCATGCGTAAACATAGCTCCATCAATTAGTGCCGCCTATTCTCTCCTGTCTGGTAGGTCGAACCATTTGCGAAAACCCACAGACACAAGATCACTGGTCTACTCGTCAACGGGCAGCCACTATGATCGCTACCATCTGCCATCAATACGGTAAAGCCTATCATACATTACAACCTCGTATTACCAAGACACTGTTGCGTGCCTTTTTGGATCCTGCCAGACCACTCACAACACAATATGGCTCCATTATCGGATTAGATAAGATCGGTACAGAGGTTACTCGTGTGTTGGTTGTACCCAATATCAAGTTTTATACAGAGAATTGTCTTGAGCTTGGCCTCAATAGCACCAACTCTATGCGAGTGCAGGAAGCCATGAAATGTAAAGAAGCTCTCGTGGTAAGTATAGTTTGTGTGTGTGTTGTCTTGGATGCTCATTCATGCAATATAGACTGTGTTGGATCATATCGCTGAACACGATGATTTGGCGTTAAAGAAACAAAAGTCAGAGCACGATATGGAGGAGGATGACCCAGCGCCTTCAGAGGAAGAAAAGAGTCAATTGATCGAATTTGTTGGACAAGTGATTGGACAAGCCTATCTGGAAAAGGAGCATAGAAGATCGAGGGTCAAGAGCTTGATTGAGTTGGCTGCCTAACTACCCGAAAATAATAAACTATGCGGATCCAAACTAACAAAGAAGTGAATGAAATGCTGTGTTTTTGAGATATGAGTATGGCATTAGGTAAATCACAGCCTCATTGCATCAGACATGGATCGATGGTCAGCGTAGCTTTTACAAAGGAAATCATGAGTCTGTTACTTTTTATATATTAATTAGAGCCTGCTTGAAGGTTGCTGGGATTAATATAAAGAATGAGGGAATCAATGTCTTTTTGGGCTGTTGTATGGGAAATCCACCTCTTTGCAGGCTACAGTGGAATGGATGAGAGGGGTTTGCTACACTGACATGCTGCTTCTTGTCAAAAGCAAGTTTGTGAGTGGATTTGCCCAGAGGAACTGAGTTCCATTCATTGTGTTAATTGACATGAGAATTGAGGAACCCACCTATTCATTTCTCCTCTTTTTGTCATCAATCCACGCGCATACCTTGTAGCATCACAATGGACATGAGCGAAGAAGACTACAAGCTGGCAAAAGAAGCCCACGTAGCCAACTGCACGGGTGGAAGTATCCATGAGATTAACCTGGTGTGCGCATCTCTTGTGGTAAACCAAATCATTCACCAAGAGTTCCCGTAGCAAATACTGACATGCAGCCCGCCCCTACAGAGCGCTCATATGCTATGGACATCGCTCGTTCAAGCAAACATCATTCGCCGAGATACCTTTACACCGGAATTTCTCATTTATGTATTACCAGTACTGGCTTGTTTGACGGTAGCGTCAGACTATGCAGCATATGTCACCATTGGCATGGCAACGCTAGCGTTATTCATCTTTGCGTCAAGGAAATCAACAACGGAAGCAGACACAACCAATAAGGAGACCAAGGAGACAGAGCATAAATCTTATTTGACCGTGTATCGGGCTGGCACGATGATCCTGACATGCATTGCTATTCTGGCAGTCGATTTCCAGTTCTTTCCTCGTCGATTTGCCAAGGTTGAGACATTTGGAACTTCGTTGGTAACTCGTTATCATACAACAGAGCCTTTTTTTTTTTTGCTTGCTTGCTGACTTTACATTAGATGGATGTGGGTGTGGGTTCCTTTGTGTTTTCATCAGGTGTCGTTGCATCAAGAGCTTACACTCATCCACAACAGAGCCGAGCCTTTATCAAGAGCTTTGTCAAGTCGATTCGATCTGCATTTCCCATCCTCGTTTTGGGGTTTGCGCGCTTCTTCCTGACAAAGAGTGTCAATTATCAGGAACACAACTCGGAATATGGACTTCACTGGAATTTCTTCTTTACGCTTGGATTCTTGCCACCCTTTGTCACTACGTTGAGCTTTTTGAGACGATTTGCCTCTTTCTCGGTGCTTGCCACTGTGATTGCAATTGGATATCAAGTAGCACTGTGTCAAGGATTACAGGATTGGATATTGGAGGCACCTCGTGTGGACATGATAAGTGCAAACAAGGAAGGTATCTGCAGTTTTGCTGGTTATTTATCCATATTCATGTTTGGCCTTGAGTGTGGAAGCATCGTATTCCAGGGTGATCTATCGACCACGAGGATCTCCAAAGTGTTCGGCATCACACAACAAAAGCAGATCCAACAGCTGGTGGTCCACTTGTTCACATTCAGTGCATTCATGTGGGGTGGATTTGGCCTGTGGATCAGTGTGTTTCCCGAGTTTTATGTCTCTAGACGCATGGTACATATGGCCCACTGTTGACATTTGATCGTACATCCACTCACTGCTTTTGATCTAGGCAAACTTACCCTATATATTCTGGGTAATTGCCTTTAACCTGACATTGCTCTCTTGCTTGGTTCTGGTCGAGTCTAAATCCCAGATCAGAAGAGGAAGCAGAGGCCCTCCCATGCTGGATGCAGTCAACGTCAATGGACTATTTACCTTTTTATTGGTAAGGACATGCATCTTTCGTTATTGTAATACCCCCTCCCCCCCAACTTACGTAATATAAACATAGGCCAATATATTGACAGGCACGGTCAATTTGAGTATCAGAACCTTGTATGCAAATGATCTCCAATCCGGTTTCATCAATGCTGCCTACATGCTCATTGTCACTGCAGTACCATGGATAATGTGGAGATCCTTCAACATCAGGATCAAGTTCTGAGTTTCATCCAAGCTCTCTTTCTCTCCCTCACACTCACACCCCATCGGCCACCGGCAAAGAAAAAAATATCAAATTTTTTTAAAAGAGGGCTTCTTTCTTGTTTTTCTTCTTCTATTAAACTATCCAACATATATACATATATTGCATATACACACACAGATATAATTCAAGCATTATATCCCCACACAACTCTTACTGCCTTTGCTACAAAAGAGAGAATACATTCTGCTTTTTAAACACATTAAATAGGCTTCGAATTGTTACGCTTAAAGAAATTCAACCTTAAATCCTTGGTAAATATAAACATGTAGGACCACCCATCTTACGCGTGTATGTATTCAACCGTGCATCCATGATAGGCCAGCAAAGTCAAAATGAGTTACCGTAGGCACAGCAACAACATATTCACTGATTCCGAGTCAGAGCAGGACGCAAACCACGATTCTGCTCCTTCATCCCCTTCATCACAGTCATCCTCCATCGCTAGTTCGACTGGCATCTTGCTATCACCATCACCATCATTCCATCATCATCCAATGCCATTGCAATCAGAGACTGACGACGAAATCATCCTCTCCCCTCAAGGCTCACTGTCCCCTATCAATTCTGCAGAGGAAGAGGCATTCGAAGAAGAGGAAGAGTTTGAAGAAGTGCAACAGCCTCAAAAGCATCGTCAGCAACCCCAACACAATTACTATGATCCAGATCTTTACTGCTTACGTCGCTCAAATCGAAGAAAAGAGAAAGAAAGTGCAAGTGTTTATGATTCAATTTGCTTGGATGGCCCCCCCATCTTATTGACATGTGTTTTTATCTCTTGTAGAATGAAGAGGAATCCGAAGAGATGACATACACAACAGACGAAGAAGCACAAGAGAGCAGCTCAGATGATGATTACGGGGCATCTGTATCCACAAGTAGAAAGAAGAGATCTTCCAATCGCCAACAATCAAAGAAGAAAGGTAAAAAAAAGGCGCAAGGAAAGATTGCATGTAGATATTGACATACTAGTAGTAATGTATGATACCGAAGATGAAGACGATCTTGTAGATAACAATGACGACGATGACGAGGATGAAGAACAAGACATGAGTTCGGATGACAACTGGGGAGCAGCACCCAAGAAGCGAACCACGAGGTTGAAGCGTAGAAATACTAGCAGCAACAACAACAAGCATTCGAGAAACAACAATAGCCGATCTCGTAAGTGGATGCTATGTTTGAAACGCATAATCAAAGCGAGAGGTCTAACAAGAATAAACAGGTGCCATCTCACCCAGCGATTATGCCAGACACTCTACCAGAAGCAGAAAAGTGACCAACTACAATGAGGACAATGCTGAGCTGTGGGGTCTTTCCGATGAAGAGATTACAGAGTCATATACCCCCGCTGCCGTAGAAGAGGAAGAAGGCGAAGTGATTGAAGCTGTGCTGGACCATCGCAGAAGAGAGGGCTACGGTAAATACACACCCTGTGCGACTGGAGAAATGAAGGGACTATGTTTAATTCGCATTTTTATAGAATCAGGGCCAGATGAACCCGAAACCAACTTGGAATACCTCATCAAGTGGAAATCATGGTCTCATTTGCACGACACGTGGGACAAGTTTGACTATCTCAAGTCATTTCGAGGATTCCGAAAACTGGAGAATTACGTGCGAAACAACATTTATGCAGAGCAAAGCTTTAGAGCCAACAGCGAAACCACCAAAGAAGAAATTGAACAGAAAGACATCAATATTTCTCGACGTCGAGATGAGATTCAGGATTGGCAGACAGTGGAGCGCATCATTGCCGCGCGTGGATCGCCACCCAACATTGAATACCTGGTCAAATGGAAGCGGCTTCACTACGATGAGTGTACCTGGGAAGAGGCTGATTTGATCTCGTCAGACTACCAGGCTGAAATTGACGACTTTTTAAACCGTGAACAGAGCGTGCATATCCCTCACAGATCAAAGACCTATCCCCACAACAAACGGCCTGAATTCGCTGCCTTCAAATCACAACCTTCCTACATCACTGGAGGCGAGCTGCGTGAATATCAATTGCACGGTGTCAATTGGATGTCCTGGCTGTGGTCTCGCAATGAAAATGGCATTCTGGCGGATGAAATGGGTCTCGGCAAAACAGTGCAGACCATCAGTTTCCTCAATGTGCTCTACAATACCTGCCAACTCTACGGTCCTTTCCTCATTGTGGTGCCGTTATCTACCTCTGACAACTGGATGCAAGAATTCCAGCAGTGGGCGCCTCAGATGAATGTCATTTGCTACCTGGGTAACCGTGCTGCTCGTGCAACCATCAGGGAAAACGAATTCTACCTGGCAGGCACAAAGCGACTCAAGTTCAACGTGCTCATAACGACCTACGAGATTGTGCTCAAAGACAAGGACTTTATGGGTGGCATTCGCTGGCAATACCTGGCTGTGGATGAGGCACATCGTCTTAAGAACTCGGAATCGCAGCTGTATGACGCTCTCTCTAGCTTCCAGACCACCAACCGCTTGCTAATCACAGGTACACCACTGCAAAACAACATCAAGGAGCTGCTGGCATTGGTGCGATTCCTCATGCCCCACATGGATCTCAGTGCTTACTATTTCGACCTGGATGTGGAAGACAAAGACCAAGAAGAAAAGATCAAAGCACTGCACCAAAGCCTCAAAAGCCTCATGCTGCGTCGCTTGAAGAAGGCCGTTGAGAAATCACTACCCAACAAGTCTGAGCTCATCTTGCGTGTGGAAATGAGCGAACTGCAAAGGACATTTTACAAGCACATCCTGGCCAAAAACTTTGAGTTGCTCACTTCCAATTCTGACAACAAGAAGCAGTGGTTGAACATTGCCATTGAACTCAAGAAAGCCAGTAACCATCCCTTCTTGTTTCCTGATGTCGAGGAGCCTTCTGAAAGCCGCATTACGCAGCTCAAGGGCCTGATTGAAAACAGTGGAAAGATGGTGTTGCTGGATAAACTGCTGACTCGCTTAAAGAGCAATGGCCACCGTGTGCTGATCTTTTCTCAGCTGGTCATGATGCTGGATATTCTGTCTGATTACATGACATTGCGCGGACATCCTTTTCAACGACTGGACGGCTCCATGAAGCCCGAAGACCGCAACAAGGCAATTGAACACTACAACTCGCCAGGAAGCCCTGATTTCGCTTTTCTACTATCCACGCGAGCCGGCGGTATGGGTATCAACTTGGTCACTGCTGATACTGTCATCATCTTTGACTCTGACTGGAACCCACAAAATGATTTGCAAGCCATGTCTCGAGCACATCGTATTGGCCAAACCAAACAGGTGAATGTCTATCGCTTTGTGACCAAGGGCACCATGGAAGAAGACATCATTGAACGCGCCAAACAAAAGATGATCTTGGAGTACTGCATCATCAAGCAAATGGACACTTCTGGTAAAGCCATCATCCAAGGCCAAACACTGACAACATCCTCAGGCAAGAACCGTGAGATCCCCTTTGATCGTGCTGAGATGTCTGCCGTGCTTAAATTCGGCGCCAAGAACATGTTTGAGACGCTGGACAACTCGCAAAACATCCAGGATATTGATCTCGATGACATTTTGTCGCGTGCTGAGCAGACAGAGACCCTGAATGAAGAAGCGAGTGCACTGGGCTCTGAGGACTTTTTAGCGCAATTCAAGATCACAGACTATGGAGGCACCGCAGAAGACTTGAGCTGGGACGACATTATTCCTGAATCTGAGCGTGCCAAGATAGAAGAGGAAAAGAAACTGGAAGACCAGGCTGCGCTGTACGATCGTGCTGCAAAGAAGGGTCGTGTTCAATATACCGAGAATGTTGAAGAAGAGGAGGAAGACGAGGACGAAGGAGTGGAAGGCAACGGCAGCTCAAAGAAACGACGACGAGCTGCCTCCAATGGAACCAACTCGAGAAAGAAGCAAAAGAGCAACGGCAAATCCGACGAGTTTGTGGACCGTGATCGTCGTGCCATCATGCGAGCTGTTCTCAAATACGGTGATCTGGAGGCAAGATACACTGAGGCAGTGACAGACTTTGATTTAGACCAAAAAGACAGAGATAGTGTCCTAGAATTATACCAAGATTTGATATCTGTTTGCAAGGACAAGGTGAGAGAGCAGGCCGAAGCAAACAACACTATTGCCAAGGGCGTGGAAGTGACCGATGACATGCTACTGCGAGACCTGCGACACACCAAGCAAAAGGCCATCTTATTCACATGGCGAGACATACAAATGGTGAATGCAGGCCAGATTCTGCAACGACATCACGATATGAAGGTGTTAGCCCGCCGTCTGAAAGCAGTGCCCAATATCTACAATTTCCGTGTCCCTCCCGTCGCTAAACATGTGCAGGCTTGGTCTTGTGAATGGGGCACCAAAGAAGACTCGATGCTGCTGGTCGGTGTCCATCAACACGGCTTTGGCTCTTGGCCGCTCATTGAACAAGACCCACCACTCGAGCTTTCTGGCAAGTTCTTCCTAGGTGCTGGCAAGGAAGAAGAAAAAAAATCGCCCAAGGCCATCCATCTCGTTCGCAGAGCAGATCAAATGTTGAAGATTTTGGCTGAGGAAGACAAGAAAAGCATGGAGATCAAGGCAAGCAGCACCAACGGCAAATCAGCATCGTCCAATGCCTCCTCTACCAAGAAAGGCCCGCGCTTCAAGCAGCAACAAAGAAAAGAGGCAGAGAAGCACCAACGACACAGGGAACAACAGCAAGAGGAGCAGCAGTTGCAAGAACGACACAAACACGAACAAAAGACAAAGGCCGAGCATCACCACCATCACAGCAACAAGCTCAAGCTGGAACAAGACCATCATAGCCATCATACCGCCAGGGCCTCCTCCTCACCTACTACTAATGCTACTACTACTACCACCACCACCAAGACATCCGAAAGTGGTGGCAGAAAGAGATCCTATCGTTCGGATGACACCACGCCTCGCTCCTCTGCCAAGCGAGCTGAAAAGGAGAACAAGATCCCTGAAAGAACGTACGAAAGCTACGATGAAGACGCTGCCTACTCTACCATGAGGCCCGTCAAATACCTCTTGAACAGATTGCGCGATGATTCAGCGAAAGCGGAAGGCCATGAAAAGGCTGCCATCATCAAGGATTGCTTGTATCGCATTGGAAGGCACATTGATAGAGAGGTCTCCAATAACCGACGCAATGATCCCAACTTGAAGCGAGATCTGTGGTTGTTTACACTCAAGTACTGGCCAGGACACAATGTCACCTACAAGGACATTATTGCAGTTTATGAAAAGATTGTGGAAGCCAAAAGCAAGGCAAAGGACGATCATCATCATTCCAGCAGCAGCAACAGCCGCAGCAGAAGCAACAATAACAGCAGTGATCATCATCGACATCACGGATCTTCTTCTAAAGATGCCTCCTCTTCCAGCAGTGCTCGTCGTAATAGCCATAGTCATCATTACAGTAGTAGCAGCAGCATTGGCAACACTACTAATCGCCATCATGATAGCCATGACAGTAGCAGTAATAGCAATCGTCGCCGCAGAAGCTCCTCTTCCTCCCATCGCAGCAACGACGACCATCACCGCCGAGACAAGAAATCCTATGATCGAAATGAACGTCGTCGCCGCTAAAATCCATTCTCTAACTGAAGAAAAAAAAAAAGTTTTCCCTCCATTTATACACTCACTTGCTCTTTTTTTTTTATTATTATTATTATTTCTTTCTTTCCTGCCTTGTATCAAAACGCTTCCCTGTTCTTCTTAATTATATATCACCTTCTCATATAAACAATGAATAAAGAGAAAAATATCATAAACAATGTAAGCGCTACAACTGCAATTGATTTGAAAGCGGAATTAGCACAACATGTTGAGCAATTTGAAAAATCAAGAGCCAGTTTAGGGAAGCAATCCACTGCCAAAAGACCCGAAAAGAAGCAGACTGTGTGGACAAGGCAAAACAAGGGCATCCATGAGCGAAATCAGCGAGACAAAGTGACACAGCTGGAGGACGTGCAGGGTGATGTGTTGCAGAGGAGCAGAGAACAGCTCGAAAAGAAGGCAAGATTGTACGAGGCCATGCGTTCAGGAGAAGGCTTTGATGCGTATGACGAGGAGCAAGACGAGGAAAAGAGGCCGCTGGTGGATTTCGACAAAAAGTACTTTCAAGAGCGTGATTTGGAGAGACAAAAAGAAGAAGCAGCAGCAGCAGCAGCAGCAGCAGCAGCACGAAAGAAGAGGAAGCGAAATGACGAGGAAGATGACAATGACCCTTGGGTAGAGTTTGAAGATGAGTTTGGTCGTACTCGTATCATTCGTCGCAGTGAATTGCCCTCCACTGAACAACAGCAACACCACCATCGCTCGGACGATTCTGATTACGACTCTGAGGAAGAAGAAAACAAGGCGTATCTCATCGCACAGCAGCGCTACAAGGCAGCAGATCGATCCGATATGAGCCATTACGAGGCAGGCCGAGAGATCCGAACCAAAGGTGTGGGTTTTTATCAATTCTCTAAAGACGAGCAAGAGAGACAGGCTCAATTGGACAAGCTGAATCGCTTGAGAACAGAAACAGAGAATGCGCGAAATTCACAAGCAAGTGCTTCATCCAAACGGAAGCAAATGTTGGCACAGAATGCAGAAAAGATTCGAGCAAGAAAAGCAGCATTGAAAGCCAAGAAGCACCATCAATTGAAACCTGAGCAACAGATACCCACTGAACAAGGACCTGCTGAAGTGACAGAAGACAGTGTAACAGATTTCTTGAAAGCTATGCGTAAACAAGTTGAATGAAACACATGATTTATTAAAAAGAGACAGGGAGATGTGTCATGCAAATCACAGACTATTTTATTTACATTGCTCGATAATTTGCTTGATTTTATGCTGTTCTGCCTCAGTCAGATTTTCTTCTCCATCTAATGCTTGTTCTACACAAAATGAAGCGTTGTTAGGATATGCCTATATCAGATCAGATAAGAGACAGTAGTCTTACCGAAAAAGTGGATGGCCAGCTGCTGAACATCCTTGATCAATGCCAGATTCTCCACAAGAGGCTCCACAATAGCAATCATGTGACGAATGAACAGGGAACTGTAAGGTGCTTGTGCCATTCTCAATAGCTTCTTGACAAAGTGGACAATCAGACTGTCATCCAATTCACGGCCAGGACCACCAAAGTATTTCAGTACTGGGATTGTATAGTTCAATTGAACCAAGTAGAGCATACGATCCACCCAAGTACGTTGCAATGCAAGCTAAACATTACAGACATGAGCACGCACACACACATTTTCTCATGTATACACTCATCTAACTTACCTGGATTTCAGGTGCAAACACATCTGTTTTGTGCTTGATGCATCGCTGAATCAAACTAAACACGATGGGTTGTTGTAATTGATGTCTGCTGGCAATTTCATCCAATATCAATAATAGAACAGGTGTTTCTTTAGTACGAAAGTATGTCTCGAAATAAGCTGTGTGCATCGCCATGTACTCTATCCACATCAAGACACCCATGGAGCCAATAGGGAATCGAATAGCGCTAATGATGTACTTCATGGCTCCAGTGATGCTTCCTACTTCTGTCTTGTTGACCAATGATGTGTACAAATCCCTCAAAACCAACTGCACTTTATGGATATCACCCTCTTGTTCAGATCGTGGTTTTGTGTCGTTCATAGTGGTGGCATAAGCAACCAAGAAGGTCACATCATCCACTAGATCCTGTCTCAGTAATGCGCCATGCTGAGGTACATATAAAGCTGCCAGCATCTTGATTATTAAATCGTAATCGCATAAATGACGAGCTGCTGGTGGTTGTTCAGACGCATAAAATCTTTTTAGCTATCGAGGTGGAGGGATTAATAATGGCCACTCGCAAGCTGGCTCAGCACACACTTACTGCAACGAGATCACCGGGTGTAATGTTGGGTGAGTTCATGATGGATTTGATGGTTTTTGACAATTCTACAGGCGCATCTGAAATGTGTGTATGAATGACATCGACAATAGCCATGTTTCCCTTCTTTTTAGCAGCCAATTCAAGTTCTCTTCGAAGGCGAGTGAAGGGTGTGGCGCCATATTCATCGGCTAGACGTCGAAGTAAGATTTGGACGTACAAGTAGGTGTCTTCTCGTTCACAGCAAACTCTCTACGTGCAAGTATTAAAATCGTCTACATCAGTTTGAAAAGACAAAACCTACAACAAGACTGGGTAGCTCATCGTCGAATTCAACATTGTCTTTGGTCGTCAGGTCTGATAACGCATCATTGAGGATCAGATTATACACTTTGACGTAGGTGGATGCTGTTCTCAGTTTGGCGATCTCTTTGTCATGACCTGCTTCAGCAATACGCTATAAAATGACTTCTAATTAAAAGACTTTACCCCAAACACAAGCTGCAGCAAACATTACCAAGATGGCGAAATTGAGAAACACGCAATTGGGATGCTTTTCCAACAACTCGTAAAAGGTTCGTCTCCAATCGATATCTTCCAAAATCACATCGAGCCATTCTGGAGCCATTTGATCGTTCAATTGCATAAAGAACTCATCGCAGCGTTGTGGATCAAATCGATTTCTCAATTGATGTCGAATCGCTTTTCGTAAAATGTGATCACTGTTAAGTCCAATGGAATCGACTGATTTAGCTGTAGCGTTGCACATAGAAGGAATGCCAATGTAGGATTCAGATAAGAGATTCACTGCGTCCATGGGAGCTCCTCCAAGCTTCAAGTATTCTGATAAAGCATCTGTGTAGATGTTTTGCTCCAAAATGGCGTCTGTTTGTGATAGCGTTTTTCTGTATTCGTCAATGGATGCAATTCTTAATCCTGTATTGGCCTAAAAGCTGTGTTAGACTACCACTTTGTTTTGCATGTTGAACGCGCTAAAAAGATGACTTGCCATGATGATTTCTATGAAGAAAGGGGATAAGAAGAGAAAGCAACAAGTAATGCTAAACTTTTTTATCATTTTATAGTGTGACTCTTGCAACTGAGTGTTGAAAGTAGACATTTCCCTTGTGTGGCAGACAAGGGCCAATGATTTCGTCTTGATCTATATGTGCATTATCAAGTTTTCTCAGAAAGATTGGATCCGTGTAAGCAAATCTAATGAACTGAAGCGCAACAATGGCGATAACACTGTGAGAAATCAGGCGAACATGTCCATGTCGGTATACACAGGGTGATCCAGGCCATCATGAGGTGCTTAGTCTCTGTTGAAAATCTCATAGTATAGCCAACGGTCATTTGTGAATGATGCGCTAAAATGTTGGTTCTTTCTGAAACACTTATTATCTCGATTGATGCCATCGCTGTAATGCGCATTGGAGCGGTTGTATAGACAAACTACAACAATACCTTCAGCTTTGTATAGCTTTGAAAAAGGTTGCATGTTTGTTGATCTTAAGCCGTTAAAGCGTCTTGTCAATTAACATGAGATTCAGGGTGTCAACTGAATTTCCAAAACAGAACAACTTGACCAAAATGAGAATAACAAACCTCAAACTTGCTGGCTTACTTCACTGTTTCCTAAGTGTTTAAAAGGATAGTAAAGTACAAAAAATAGCATCTGGCAGCAATGATGATAAATGGTGTCAATGTGGTCAACTCTAAGACCATTCTGTTTCTGTATTATTCACTCTGCGGCTTGTTGATGAACGATAGAGTGATGCAGAGATTTTACTTTGCTTACGTGATTTTTTGCCCTTCATCTTCTACTGATGATGCTAGAATGTTGGAAGTAGGATGCTTATGGAAGATTTGTATAATTTAAATGGACCTGAATACAGCTTGGTATAATGAATACAAAATTAGCATTCGTTTTACATTAATCTCATGCTGACATTTTAAGTATATAAGGGCATGGCTACAGTGCAATGTCGCGGTTTTCATAAGCACAGCCAACAATGCTCTCACTCGACACGATGCATTCTGCCCTTATAAGTTGATTCTTCCAAAGTAATAATCAAAAAAATTTACACGTTGATAAGGACGACCAACAACAGAGAGATCTAAATATAATAATAATTTTTTGATGGCAAGATGAAGGCTATAAAGCATTATTGGTAGCGTCCGAGTGAGCCACCACCTAGCAACAAACATAAATTGTTGAATCCAATCAGTAGAATTTGAAGCGCTAGTGTAGCGTGCGCTAGAATTTGGTCAACTTCGCCAGAGAGATAAGACTAATATTCAGGTTTTAACGGAAGGTATCAGCATATGGCATTGACTACATTAGCAGTAACAAAAAAGAGAAATTTACATTCTGCTGGTTCCAGTGTTGTGGTCAACAGAGTAATCTTAACGTAGCTGCCAAGTTTGCTTCGAATATAAGCAACCCAAGATCAATATTAAGGCTGCACTAACCTTACCGTTTGCGCTTTGATTAAAACCTAACAAAACCAACCACTTTAGAACCATAATGTATTATACCAGATTACATCTTACAGCAGAATCCTTCATTTTGTCCACTGTTTCAAAAAAAGAATAAGTTCCAGCCACATATAATTAAAGCCCCGACTTCGGAGTTTTTGGTCAATTTGAGGCCCCGCTCTTGCCTTCTAAACTGTAATGAAATAGCCACCCAAACGCAATTTAATTGAAAACCAAAGTTCATCAAATAGCACTCATTCAAATTCATGCTATTTGGATCTATTAATGAAAGCGCTCAAATGTACATCAAAAAACCATTTAAAAATACTAAAGTAAAGATGCATGCTTATATCGCACATTGTGTGAATGAATCACTTCTGATCACAGTGTATTCAATCACACCCATGATCGATGGTCGTAATAAGTGATGGAATCTTTATCCAAAAAGAATCAAATCAATAACAAGCATATTCAAATATGATAACTATGCCCTGCTGCCATAGTTGCACAATATTCCAGATAAAGGATTCCATACCTCAATAACAAACATCACACTTTAAACCATCAAGGTTACATTAAATCATGCTATGACGATAGCTCACCCAAGCCCATCAAGGTTACTCAAATCGACCCTTATGGCCAGTGCTCTTGCATTGATTACCACTTTAAATCAAACATCAACAACATTTGCCAGATATCGCAATAGCAGCACCTATTGCTCTCTATCATCACTAATCCTACAAGCTAGATGCAAATGTATAAATACTCTTCTTTTTTTCACTCAATTCCAGGATCTTCAGTTCATTTTATACACAAATAAAATACAGTTGATTTCTATTGTATTTTACTATTGCTTTATTTTTTTTTGTGAAATCTATTTTAAACCCGATTTCACTGCAGCTGCTGTTGTAGCAACAGTGCGGCAATGAAACTTTTTAGATGGTAATCGTAAGATAATAAAAATAGGGCAAAGTGTACGTTTTATCTCTGATATTGACCAAAAGACGGAGTGTTCATTTTATCCAACAGGACAATACATATGTGAAATTATTCGGCTATCTTCTGCTGCTTCAAACCGATTGATAATGTATTCAATAGTATCTATGTATCATTTAAAACATAGCTCATATTTAAAATTCTCAAATGTATCTGTTTCTCAATCTACAAAGCTCCTCAAAAACTTATCATCTACCTGCAAAAAGAATATTCATACATTACCCTAGGGTAATATAAGGGGAAAATTCGAACAGTTGCAGTAAATTTTTTCAAAATGTATTAAATATAAAGTTTTAATAACGTTTAGTAAATCATAACAGGAAAGATGGCCGAGTTGGTCTAAGGCGTCACGTTAAGGTCGTGATCTCTTCGGAGGCGTGGGTTCAAATCCCACTCTTTTCACTTTTCTTTTTGCTCCGGAGCTGCTTAGGTAAGCAAGATGCTTTTTGCTCGTCGTAGCTATTTACCTCTTTTGTTGCAGTCAAATAGTGTAAATATTATAGCTAACTGCCAAAGTCAATAAACGTTGCCTTTTAACTTATAGCTGATTTGTTATATACCTTATATTATTATCACGACACTTGCAATGAAATGTTGAAATCAGATAACTATTTTACATAGAACTGTGTTCGAAGCTTTGACAAATGAGCTTGTTTCCCTACGACCAATGGCGATTTTGATGAAGCTTTCTTAGAAAACCATTGTGCTTTCTGATGAATTAAAGTCTAATGCGCTGTTACGAATCGTAATATCCGCTTTCTTGTCACTACATACAATCATCCATTTTGCTCTTCATCATTAGACAAAATACACCACACTAGGTGCCGCTACATTCACAACTCAATTTGACTCGATGCCGCATATCAAGCCGGTATAAATTAATAGACCATATCAGCTCTGAAATGCCTTCCGTATCCAAAAAGGAGAGCCATATTATCAAACTCTATATCTTAAATCCATCAAGTGCAATTACATAACCGAGCGATATGAAACTATATACATTAATCCTGGTAAATTATGTGAGCTATCCCCCAAAGGATATTAGTACAGAAACATTATCAAATCTCATTTCAATTCTTGTTAACCAGGACATTATCACAGACTTACAGAATAGCAAAATAGTATAAAAGCTGTTATATTTACTTCTTTTCATTTGTAAGATCACTTGAATTCTTTATATATGCGAGTGTTTATGCTTCGGATGGCTCTCTACCTTCGCTTCGTTTTGGTGAGAACCAACCTGCGCAGTGGCAGCTCGCGCTGCTGATTACCTTTGCACATCTTATGGATATACCGCTACTTTTATTTTGACTCTCCATTCACACATTAAAACCCTTCATATTATCTGTGGATCTGACTCTTATAGGATGTTCCATATCCATATACATGTAGATATTCATTCACGTGCAAGCAGAATACTGGTATTGCCCTTTTCTAGTCAAGAGTATGCCTAATACAGCAAAAATTTGGTGCATTTGAGCTGTGTTTTATCGCGCTAAACGCCATTTTGGACTGCCAGAACAGCACCAAACAATTGCTCTCATCTAGTACTAACTTTCTGACACCTTTGCTCAACTTTTTGAGGACCAAAAAAACATGGACAAAATTCGACCAAAAAGCATGAGGGGTACCTCATGCTTTTCATCGAAAATCAGACGATCGCGTTTTTGACCTTGATAATGAAGACTTTTACTAAGGTATATATTGAATCAAAATGTTTTTATCAGTCTAACGTAACCGCTGAAATCATCTTTGTGGGACTTTGTTATGTAAAATTTAGACTTTTTGGCCAAAACCATCTTTTCATATTTTTGTAAATTACTCAATAAGTTTATTCAAAACATCTATCTTATTTGTTACCATTGGATACGCCTTGAAAAGCACTCCTGTAAAGCTTAAAGAAGCTTAGGATGATCATCATATTTTACTTAGTTGAATCTGCAAGAATAGTTCAATCGAGTCGAAAACCATTAGGATTTGGCCAATCTAGAAACAGACTATGACTCTGGATTTGACTTAATTTTGGCTGGTGGGGTTGGTTAATCGTATATGATCGGCGTGGGTGCGAGCCTTTGAAGACATGAACGTTCACACATACCACCACCAAGGCTCCATCACGGCTTTTCAATATCTTGGTTTGTATTTTGCTTAGAACCATGCTCAACGTGCTCAAACAGAAGAGATGTTACTCAACTCAGTCAGAACTCAATGTCAGATCTACGGACAACGACAACTGTCTCTCCTGGGTAGAGTCACCATCGTCAACAGCCTCATTTTGTCCAAGGTATGGTACAGTTTGCGCATGCTGAAACCTACCAAACGGTTTGTAGAGAACGTAAAGTCCTGTGTTTATCAATTTGTCTGAAAGAAGAAGCGGCCATTACTACGCAAAGAACTCATATTCCTACCCAAGTCCAGAGGTGGTCTTGCTGTTCTCAACCCTTCTCTTCAACAATTGATCCTCCAAAAACGCTGGCTCAATTACCTCGTTGAACCGCAGAAATATCCGACTTTCCTGCGTCCCTTCATGCTCTATCACGTATCACTGCTACCGGCGTCATCAGAGTTTCCTTGCTTGGTCATCGTAGATGCTGAATACCGCAAGTCCTCCCTGATACACAAGGATCTTTCTATTTGGCATTTTATCTTCGTCATGTATGACTATTTTGGTTTCAGTGAACTTCAACAAGTGGATTTCCTTCCGGTCCAGACCATCCTGCAATTGCCTTTGCACAAGCTTCTCATAGGCCTCAGCGATGATCACTGGCTCCGGCGTCATCCCAAGTTTCCAGCAAACAAGTTCCTGATCTTTGATAGCCAACAACAACGGCTGCGTCTTCGTGTTGCTTCTGAATATTCAAGCTACTCGCTTCTTTGTGCCTCGCTCTATCAAGATATTCTCATGCTCAAAACCGTCAAACTGGTTCCTAAGGTGTGGCCTCACAATACTACGCCAAGTATCCTTTGACTTCCGAGATCATATATGGCACAGTGCGGTATCTACATCTTCCTCGCTTTATAAAAGATCGATTCAAGTATATCGCCGTCATATCTAGTACCTTGTGGCAAATGTGGAATCTGTATTGGCTTCACGGTTCACAGAACCCTGTACCACTCTCCACCGCCTCCATAGAACACTTTTCCTCCAGGACAGTCTGTCTAATTGATAGACTGCTACCTACTACAACATAATTTAGATTAGATGCTCATTCCGTTGCTCGAGGTCCACCACTCCGCGATGAGTCCCTCATAAAATAATATTTGAATAAAATAAAATATTAACTACAAAAAAAAAAAAAAAAAATTAATCGTATATGATCCATGCCTGACAAATGCCTGGCAACTCAGTTTTCATATCAGAGTTGTAAAAGTGTTTAGGGATTATAAATTTATCCCATATTATAATTGATTCTCTGTATACTCTTTCATATACATTTCTGCATTACTTTCTATTTTCTACTTTTTCTTCTGTTTGTTTGTTTACTCTAATTGAACAACTATAAACCTGGTGCTCACTTGATAGTTAGATCTGCTTTGGTTAATTTACTACCTCTTTTGAACTTCTTTTATCAAAACTACACACGTTGCTACCAACTCGCCTGTAACAGCGCACACTTGACTGCTCACAAAGAGAAATTATGTTTAGTTCATTTTGACAGCTTTCAGGGCAAATACACAACAATTGGTACATCGGAACTAGCTTATATATACAAAAAATTATCTGCGAATGCTAAGCATAATAAGGTCCTATCGTTGTTGCATTTGTCCGCTATTTGTTAGCTATCAATATCAGGCATACTGCTTCTAAATTATATGTTATTATGAAATATGCTAAAGCTAGACAGAAGCTTTACCAAGCAACATTGGTTGAAAACCATGTAATGTCAAATTGATCTTGTTTGATCTCAAAGCAGGCTGTCAAGTTTTTCATCATTGTCTTGAAACCAAGACGACAAGATCTAGCATAGGTGATACTGTAGCTGGAAAGCTAGGGCAACGAGTATAAGTATATATGCTCTCACTAACTTTGGAAATCTGTATGGGTATCTTGAATGCTGTTATTTGAATAGATGAAATGCTGCAGCTAATACAGTATTACCGCAAGAGTTGTATTCTATCATGCAATTCAAAAAGAAATTCTTTCAAAAGACATGAGATGTTTGAGTTTTGTTATTTTTATTGAAGATGCAATTGTGAGGTATTCGAATCTTTATCTCGGCTTCTTTTTATTATCACTCCCAATCTTTTTCTTTATATTTTTTAGGCATGTAATGATTGATCTACACTTGGGGGGAAGGGATTTTTTTTTCTGGTTTGAGTATGTATATGAGTGTGTGGGCTTGAGTGAGTTGTGATATTTTTCAACAAAAAAATATGGCATAGTATTTTTTTTTTTATAAAAAAAAAAGTGAAGAGGGAATAGAAAAGAAAAAGAAAACAGCGAGATAAAGAGGATATTAATTGGGCTTATATAAACTACTTATTCTTGATAGATTTTGATAAACTTATTGGTCATCGTCCATAGGTAAATCCTCATCCTCCTCGGGGTATTCTTCATCATATTCCTCATCGATAGTGGCTTCTTGGTATTGTTGGTATTCGGATACAAGATCGTTCATGTTGGACTCGGCTTCAGTGAATTCCATCTCATCCATACCTTCACCTGTGTACCAATGCAAGAAAGCCTTTCTTCTGAACATGGCAGTGAATTGCTCGTTGACACGCTTGAACAAATCTTGGATAGCAGTGCTGTTACCAATGAAGGTACCAGACATTTTGAGGCCAACAGGGGGGATATCACAGAGAGAGGTCTTGACACTGTTGGGGATCCATTCAACAAAGTAGGAAGAGTTCTTTTGTTGAACAGCCAACATTTGGTTCTCGACTTCCTTGGTAGACAAACGGCCACGGAAGATGGTAGCAGCAGTCAAGTAACGACCATGACGAGGATCAGAAGCGGCCATCATGTTACGGGCATCGAACATTTGAGCAGTCAATTCAGGAACACTCAAGTTGCGGTATTGTTGAGAACCGAAAGCGGTCAAGGGAGCGACACCAACCATGAAGAAGTGAAGACGAGGGAAAGGAACCATGTTGACACAGAGCTTACGCAAATCACTGTTGAGTTGACCAGGGAAACGCAAACTGGTAGAGACACCAGACATGACAGCGGAGACCAATTGATTCAAATCACCATAACCAGGATTAGTCAATTTGAGAGTTCTGAAGCAAATGTCGTAAAGAGCTTCGTTATCGATACAGAAAGTAGCATCACAGTTTTCAACGAGTTGGTGGACAGACAAAACAGCATTATAAGGTTCAACAACGGTGTCGGATACTTTAGGAGAAGGTACAACAGAGTAGGTACTCAAGATACGATCGGGGTATTCCTCACGAATCTTAGAGAGCAAGAGAGAACCCAGGCCAGAACCGGTACCACCACCAAGAGAGTGACAGAGTTGGAAACCTTGAAGGCAGTCGGTATTTTCGGCTTCCTTGCGGATGACATCCATGATAGATTCGACTAACTCTGCACCTTCAGTATAATAACCCTTTGCCCAGGAGTTACCTGCACCAGATTGAGCGTTGATGAAGTTATCAGGGCGGAAAATTTTGCCGTAAGGGCTACCACGAATGGCATCCATGGTTGCAGGTTCAAGATCAACAAGAACAGCTCTAAGTAAGGGCAGAAAAAAAAATGAGGGGGGGTTTGTCATTGAACAATTCAAGGAGTCTGTCTTACCTTGGGACATATTTGCCTTGAGAACCTTCATTGTAAAAGACATTGATACGTTCTAATTGAAGATCGTTGTCACCACCGTAGTTACCGTTGGTGTCAATGCCGTGTTCTTGAGAGATAGTTTCCCAAAACTTTTGACCAATCTATAGTAGAGAGAAGAAAAATAAGAAAAAAGTAAATAAATAAATAAACATGTACACGTGCAGCATGGGCCTCTTGCTCTGTTTTCTCTTTTTCTATCACTCTACTGTGAGGCATTTTGCCTGCTACTCCTTTCTACTCCTATGCAGGCATGTGTGTACACACAAATACACACACTTCAGCACGCATATCACACACCCTCACATCACAATTAAGAGCGACAGAAGGCCGTACAGAGTGCGAGAACGAGAACAAAAACAAGAGATGACGCTCGGAAGACATTACTTACTTGATTACCACATTGACCTGTATAGTTTGATTAAAAAAATTGAAATTCAATGATGAGCCATCACGATCGAAGAGATGTGAACAAGCAACTACGTACCAGCTTGAACGTGAATAATTTCTCTCATAGTAAAATACCTAACAAGATGTCCTGTTAGCAAGAGGTTTACACGTAAAAATGCTACATGCTACATACCAAAAAGTGTTAAAAAAAAACAAAGAATAGAAAAGAAGAAAGATAAAAGAAAAAAAAAAAAAAAAGAGGAGAAAGAAAATTATAAATCATCTCATAACAAGTATAAAAGGTACCGATGCATCTTTCAGGGTAGCTTTGATTGGACAAAACAGGTGAAATGGAGATACAAAAAAACGATTTCCAGTCTATTTTTGGGAATCAACCATTTACTCGATGGTTGAAAACATGTAAAAAAAAGAAGGTGATATCTCATTATATGTCTGAATTTAACAAGCATCATGTTCATAATAGTACAAAGACCACAAGCCCTTGAGCAATGTAGACAAAGAACATCAGGGAAATAGGGCAACCTGCAAATGGGCATTTTTCATTTATTCTGGTTTTGAATCCATTATATTGGATGTTGGCTGGAAATGACCCCTATTCTACTACGTGTCTTCTTGGTTGATTTCCATGCATTCTCTTGCGAGGTGATCAAGAGAGAGAGAGCGGTACTGAACATTAGCATCCAGTGAAAAGAAATGTATGGATCAGAAACAGGATGTCTGATGACAGTGTCTAATCTATATAGATTCAAGAAGCTTTTCGTATACAAGTCCAATGCAGTACGACCCAAACAAGTATGTGATTGAAAATTTTACTGTCATAAAGTAGCATACACATTGCAACAGCACTTGATATATCTATCATAAACAGGATTCTTTTATTTATCCACAACACATGTACACAGTAAGCATGAAATCCAACAAAAATAGCGAAAAGACATCTTCTTTCTTTGATAGGTCCATGTGTTTTTATAGTAAAGCACATTCTACATTTTGCAACGCTAACACTGTATGATTGTACAACACCTCGAACATTATAAATAACTATGCCGTATTTAGGCGAGATACAGGAGATCTACCCGTTTCCGAATATGTATTCTCTTATCAGCATACTGTCATGTGGAAGCTATTCAAGTAGACATTGCTTGCGCTGGCTTACTACGCATAACTTAACACTATGTAATTCCATAGCAGAAGAAGCTTGAATCCATCAAGTAGTACAGTGGCATTTGATTTTGGCTGATTGAGTTTTGAATCTCGGGTGTGATGCGATGCTGTGTATTTTGACATGCTTGACATGCTTGATGTCTCAAACCACGTTTCAAGTAGTGAATGCCCTTCAAGAGTATATGAGCAGAGCTAGAATAGAGTGCTCGTATGGCATTGCAATGTAATTGCTGACCGGCGAGTTCTGTCGGAGAGCAGCTTCATCAAAAATAAGCTATCTGCGTTATTCCAGTGCCTCCAATGCCTGAATTCAGGAAGCCACGCATACAAAACACATCATTGCCATACAAGGCACCACATGAAAAGGCCATAATCAGTGGGATTTATTCATTTTGCAGCTACTAGCAATTGATCATTCACAAAAGTGCGTCTTTCTCTAAGCAGCCAATCAGTTGTAGTCAATGTCAATGCTCACTTAAAGGCTACACAGCACGAATTAAACCAACGGCTTGCGAGAGTATATTTCCCCACACCTACTTTTTCTCTTTTCTCACCTAGGTTTTATACTTGAGCATCATTCATCATGGAGTTTATGAGCGCATTAGGTTCACAAGAGGACGCTTATCGTCCCTCTTTGTTCGAACTAGTGGCTCAAGAGAAACTGAAAGAGTTATTGCAACCTGCTGTGCAATACGTGTTGGCTGTATGTACTTTATATTTTATGTCATGCGAGTCGACTCACTCACTTATCACGTATAGATATATGCGCAACGATACCCTCGCTTGTTATTACGGGTGGTCAATAACCACGAAGAGTTCTATGCTGCTCTCATGCTACTTGTAGAGAGGCATTATCTTAAAGAATGGGGTACAATTTGTATATGTGGAATTGGCCATGACTAATACTAAATACCGCTGTCAACAGGTGGATCATTTGCAGAGAATTTCTACGGTTTGAAACGAGTGTCAACAGCTCATTTGGAAAGCATCAAATTCACATCACCCATCAATTCACAGTCTTCTCCTGCCTTGACATCGAGAGAGATCTCAAAATCCTTGCTGGTCTTGGTGGGATTGCCCTACGTCAAGTGTCGGTTGGATCTACTGTATCAAAAAGTGTCAGGCGGATCAGCTTCATCTATTTTAGGGGACAATGAGCAGCTGGAGATGGAGAATGAGGAATTGGCTAATCCAGAGACGTCGAAAAAGCGTAAATTAGTGATTCGATTGATGCGTTTGTTCAAGAAGGTGTATCCCATTATCAATTTCCTATACTATGGATCGAATTTGGCCTACAATGTTGCTTACCTGTTTGGCAAAACGAGATATTATACACCTTGGTTGCATTTATTGGGTCTCGAAGTGAAGCGTATGAGCATGAACGACTATGTAAGTGTGTGTGTGTGTGTGTATGCTTGGTATACCGAAAGCTGACAATCTACTGGTAGCGTGCTTATTACGACAAAGCAGCTGGATCAACACAACAACCCTTCTCACTGCTCAAAAATCCTTTTGGTGCAGTGTCGACAGTATTTAGCAAAGTCATTGAATTCCTCAAGGTACTGCTGCCCATGTCCATCTTCTTTTTCAAATTCTTGGAATGGTGGTATTCCTCTGAATTCTCTAGAGGAGGAAACACACACAACGAAGATGGCGAGAATGCAGTGCCACCACCTGAAAAGATCAAGCCTGATCCCCGCGGCACGCCATTACCCAGCACAGCCAACAAATGTCCACTGTGTCTCTCTAGCCCCATCAACAACCCTACAGCATTGCCTTCAGGCTACGTATTCTGCTACACTTGTGCTTATCATTATGTGGAAGAGCATGGCCGGTGTCCAGTTACCTGGATCAAGGTCAACAATGGAGCCGAGGACTTAACAAAACTCTATGCCGATGTCATGTAGAAAACAAAATATAATGAATAAATGTGTAATTTTATAGCGATAAAAACGTGTTGTGGTGTGTAGTAAGAGGAAATAAAGGAGGAAAATTAAGCAATGGCAGAGAGAACAATTTGAGAAATAGTGGCATCTTCACTTCTCACAGACATTTCAAAAGCAACGCCAGAAGAAGAGTTGAATGTCATGCGGCATCTTGCTAATACCTTCTCGCCTGTCAAAAATGTACCTGCCATGATCAATGTATGAACGTTGGGGTTGCGTGGCAAAGAGGTATCATCCAGGGGCTGCATGCCCAATAAGTCTATGATAGCAGTGCAGGCTGCTTGAAGACTGGGTGCCTTTTCACGATCTAATGCCAATGTTTCGATGGCCTCTCCCTCAGCAAAAGTTTGGAATTCTTCCTCGAAATTGGAGACATAGGTAGGACGAATATAGTCGCTGGTCAATAACTCAATCTCTTCCACTTGGTATTCGTCCTCATAACCTTCTTCATCAGGTTCACCAGTAGTGGGATCGCAATCCTTGATAACGAATTTCAGTGTGTTGGTAAAGGAGGCTATTGTTAGCAGATTAGTATGTGTGTGTGTGATGAGATGGTGCATTGATTTTCAAAGCTTACCAACAGGGAAATCATCTACATCTTCTCTTTCATAGGCAACATAGATTTGGCCGGGAATGTCATATTCCAGCTTGGGAGCAGGAATCTCCAATACACGCACTAAACCAGCCTCCTCGTCGTCAATTTGCATAATCATCTCAACGTCCTCCAAAAGTTGATCGTTCAAAGTATTGACACAGTTGAATTGGAACACAATGTGCTTGGCAAAAGTGTGCTTGATGCAGTGTACAGCGTATTCTGTCTCGCTCTCAGTGACCTCGATCTTTGCTGAACTCTTGAACAAGGCACCAAAGGCAGCAATTTCAGGAATAGTAGCCAGGGCATCAGCATAAGCAGCTTGTTGATCCAATTGGCTGTTTGACTTGTGATCTGCTTGAGGTGTAGCAGGTGTGGAGGAGGGATGAGGAGAAGCGGCAGCGACAGTGGTCAAATCTTGAGGTCTGTTGCGACGACGCTCTTCTTCTTCTTGCGATTTGCTGATGACAGGGACGCTTGACAAGTTGAATGCCTTTGTGTTGCTGTTTCCAAGATTGACGTATTCGACCAATTCACGCTCCAAGATGGGAAGAGCAAAGGTGGAGTCATCAACGCTGTAGAGCTTGGCTAATTGATCATTCTTCATCATCTCCAGAGCCAAAGTAGCACGATCGCGCACTTCATCATCCACGTCGTCCTGACAACGAGCCAACAAGACCTTGACGCTTTGCTTGACACTAGCATCAGGACAGTTGGTACCGAATTTAGCAAGAGCACTGACAGCAGCACCACGAATGATCGAGTTTTCAAGAATGACTCTGTTGTAAATGTAACGAATGTACTTTGTAGGTGTGGGCGTCTTGGGCCCCTCAGTGCCGAGCATGTGAAGAACTCGGACAGACAGTTTGGTGAACTCGCAATCCTCGATAAACTCGCACAAGTAAGACAGAGCTGCATCCTTTGATTCAGGAATATGACGCACCATGTCGAAAATGGCCTCTACAACAGCCTTCTTGAACTCATAGCCACCCTCATCACGCAAGACGCCACTCAAAAAGTTGAGCATCACAGCTTGCTTGTTGGGGAACTTCATACAGAGAGAGCGAATGGCTTCTACCACAATGACCTTGAATTCATCGGAAATCTCACCCATGAAGCTAGAGATTTGCTTCATTAAACGATCCACAGAGGCCTCATTACCCGTTTTGAGGAGTGTTGTAATAGCAAAAGTAGCGATGCTGCGGTTTTGATCAGACACCAAGTTTTCGATATCCAAGTTGCAGGGAGAGACAGCAGAAGGTTTGGATAAAGCGAGAGCATTCAAGATACGGATGGCAGCAAAACGCAATGTAGGCTTGGGAGAAGACAAGAAAAGCTGCAAAACAGAGATAGCGGGATAGAGTTCCTTGGCTGATGCGTCCTTCATTTCACAAATTGCACGAGCAGCCTCCAAATTGACCATGTCACTCTTGTGTCTCAAATAGCCCTCCAAAAGCTCGTAAATGCGTTTGGTGGATCTAATGTTAAAGGCTATCAATATCATCCACACACTGTAATCCCTCTTGTCCAGTGTCTTACCCAGGCTCATCTTCCATGACCTTACAAGCATATCTGATCAAGATACACACAGCAGCAGGGTTCTTGAGGGTGCCACTGTTACCACCACGACCACTACCAGAGAAAGTTTGAACCAACTTGGCAATAGCCATGCGGTCTTGCTGGCGAATGAGGTACAACAGACCAATAGCATGATATTGAGCAATGCCGCTGGTGGAGATGACAGCTTGATTTTGTTGAGAAGAGCCACCAAAACTAGTGATATAACTGGAAGCAGCAGAAGCGAATCCACTGGATTGTTTAGCATAAGCAGCTTCTTGCACTTCAGTTGCCCAGCGACGGACAATCTCCTTGGAAGCACCAAACAAGTGGTAAGATGACACAAGAGCAGCGCCAGAGACAGAGGGGTTTTTGTCGACGATGGAAGCCTTGATGATACGTTCGATACCTTGAATCATGGAGGGATCCGTGATGAGACACAAGGCACGGATAGCATTAGCACGGTAGATGGTTTCCTGCTTGGACTGAATATCCTTAATTAAAGATTGAGTGACCATAATCACATCCTGAGCAATTCCTGATAGCTCTTTGATCACTAAATACATCATTTGTCTGAGGGAAGTCTATGATGAAGCATGTGTGTTTAGTGTGCCTGTGTGCTAGCATCGTTGCGTGTTTGGTGTTAGTTGCTTACGTCTTTGGATTGAAAGAGCTTGATGACATTAAAGAAGAGGTCGGTTGCTTCTTGTACGTTGAATGGCTCGCCCAAAGAAAGTAGATAGACGATCTTGGTCAACAGTAATCGACACTTTCTAACATTGATGGGTGAATCGTTGAAAGCACGGGCTTCCTGGAGTACTGTAGACTTGTTAATTTGAGAAAAGACATTAACGTCTCCTAAAATGAAAATACGAGACAAAGCGAGATGAGTATTTCAGGTGTTTTGTTGAGTGTTGCAAAAAATCTCTTGTGAGAGTTACCTGAATCTTCGTCTCTTTTAGCGTAACTCATTTCTAGCTGTATCAAAGAAGGAACGAGTCGATAGGTTCAGTGTGTGTGTGTGTGTGTACGAAAAAGAAGAAGAGAGAGAGAGAAATACGTGATAAAGCAAAACCAACACACAAAACCAACAGCTCGCTTTTAAAGCTCATTAGGACACGTCGAATATCCCAGCTGGCTCACCAGACATTGAGGTCAAGAACGCAGATTGGTTGAAATTGCCCATATATTTCAAACGTCATGACATGCTTGCTTTGGGTTTATTAGAGATTTTTTTCTTTTTGTTCTCATTTCTCAACTGTCATGTCGTTTATACAGAGATTTACTGACTCTGTGAGTCAATTTATCGAGCAACATCCCACCTCAATCCAGCTGACATTGACAGCAGTCGCTGCTTCAGCATTGACAGCATCCAGCATCCTCACATTTCAAGCAAATCAACGCAAAAGCAGAGCCAGAACACTCAAAGATGAGCTCAAAGAAGCAGAACTTCGAAGCACCATTGACTTGACACCTGTAGGCACTGTCAACAAGTTGGGGCAGCCTCATATCTTGCCACCTCCAACTATCTTTGATGATCGATTGATTGAAGAGCAATTGAGTAAGAACACAGCCTTCTTGGGTCAAAAGGGTGCCGATAAAGTGAGGGATGCCTTCGTCATTGTGGTGGGCGCTGGTGGTGTAGGCTCTTGGGCAGCTCTTATGCTGATGCGTTCTGGTGTCAAGCGTATTCGTATCATCGATTTCGATCAAGTGACATTGAGCAGTTTGAATCGACACGCTGTAGCTACCTTGGAAGATGTTGGCACCCCTAAAGTAAGATGTATCAAGACACATTTCAAGCAGATTGCACCTTTTGTCCAAGTGGAAGATTGCATTGATTTGCTAAATGCGGATAACGTGGATGATTTATTGAGTGGTAGGGCAATTGCTTATGGGGGGGGGGGGGACAAGCGAATCATGAGATTGACGCTAATATTTGATTAGGCAATCCGGACTATGTCATTGACGCCATTGACAACATCAACACCAAGATTGATTTGATCAAGTATTGCCATGACAAAAAGCTGCCTGTGATCAGTTCTATGGGTGCTGGTGCAAAAGCTGATCCTTCTCGTATTCAAATCGCAGACATTAGCGAGACATTTGGTATGATCTGTTAACGCAGTAGCATGTAGTTGCTGTCTAACATTCCACCGTTAATAGAGGATCCTTTGGCTCGTTCGGTCAGACAAAGGCTCAAGAAATTAGGTATTCTCAATGGTGTTCCTGTCGCTTATTCCACCGAAAAACCACATCATGTCAAATTATTACCATTAGGCAAGTTTTTAAAGAATCAGTTAACCTCATGCTAGAAAGACTCACTCTCTCCAAACTATTAGAGGAGGAAAAGATTGAAGATAGAGATGAGTTTTCCGCACTGCCCGATTTCAGAGCTCGTATCTTACCTGTGCTTGGTACAATCCCCAGCATGTTTGGTATGGCTATCGCAACATATATCATTTTGAAACTAGCAGACTACCCCGACTTTGATCCACTTTCTGTCAAATTGAGAGATGGTTTATATGGAAGAGTGCACAAGGAGTTATTGAACAGAGAAGTCAAGACATTCAAAGAAAAGTAAGTTTTTTTGATGGTGATATCAATGATTGGATTCCATGTACTAACACTATCGAAACATTCAAATAGAGTTTGTGCCTTGGATGTGCAAGATGTTGCATACATTTTTGAAGAAATGTGGCATGGAAAATCCGTAGTTTCTGGCCCCAACGATAAGTTGGCATTGACACGCTGGGACAAATCGAAGCCTCTGAGTTATTTCAATACGGTGTGTTTGACAAGACAGGAAGCCAATGAGCATGACGCTCTACCAGAGAACGTTGATTTAGAGCAACACTATGGTAAAGACATTTATGACAAAGTGGCGAGTCAGTTTGAACGCGAGAAATCCATTCAGAAAGCCTGGAATCATGTACTATAATAGAATTGGCTGTTTTGTGTGGGGTTCAATAAACTTTAGTTGCGTTTGTATTTGATCCTTTTATTAATTTTTGTGTGAGTATCGCTTTCTGTGCATAGCTTTTTCTAAAATAATTCATATACGGGCAAACATTATGCTGATATTACCCTTTTCTAATCAAAGACTGTGCCAAATACAGCAAGGACTGGGTTTATTTGAGCCGTAATTTCTCGTGTATAAAGCCGTTTCATCCAGCACTAACTTCCTGACACCTTTGCTCAATTTTTTGAGGACCAAAAAAACATCGTCAAATATCGACCAAAAACCCATGTGGGGTACCTCATGGCTTTCACCCAAAATCAAACGATCGCGCTTTTGATCCGAAAAATGAAGACTTCTACTATAGCATATATTGAATTAAAATCTTTCTCTCAATTCAAAGCAGCCCCTGAAACCTCGTTTGCGAGACATTGGTATGTAAAATCTCGATATTTTGGCCAAAACCTCACTTAATATTTTTCATTGTTGCTCGGTAAGTTTATTCAAAAGATGTGTTTTAATTAGTACCATTAGATGCGCCTTAAAAAGTACTTTAGAAATGCATTAGAAAGTATAAGGTGATTATTACAATTTATATAGTCGAATCGGGTCCAAAAAGTGCCCAATATCGTCAAATCATCAGAGCAGAAACATTAGCGGTGTTTGAAAATTTAGGCAACAACAACTGGCAGATTCAATGCAATGCTCATTCTGAACTAATTCATGACATTGGAAGGTGGAGAGAAGGGAATCGCGAACCAAAAGGTAATAAAGCATATTTAGAATATTTTAATTGACGTATATTTTGCACTTTTATGTCTGATATATGATATCAACTTTCTCCCAAGGGTGCCATATTGAGTTCTAGCAATGCTTGATTTTGCCAGGAAACAAACAGGCCTTATTTGATTCACTTTTCATGATGGCAGGTTTTAAGCTCCAAACTTTACAGATTTGGAACATATTGCGCTGCAGATTGACGAGTGGTTTCTGCTTCTTACAAGTTATTAAAGTGCGGTTGCCCTGCTGTACTAACTCTTTCGCCATTTCCAATGAATTCATTCACAGGAACGATGAATCATTCTCTGGAGAGCATCTATAACATAAGTAAATGAGTTCAGTGCTTTCAAACTTGTATTATATGGAGCAGGATGGACACTGCCTAATGTGGTTGGAAGCGCTCTCTAATGCAGTCGAATCCTATACACCTCTTATTATTGCATCTCGCAATTATCCAATATCCCGGGACAACAAGCTCAGTTTTACTAGACATCCGCGCTGTCAATCACGATATCAAAAGGATTTCTTAAACATGTTGTAAGAGTATAGGCGGTATCTACAGGATAAAAATTGAGATCATTCAATTTCTCTTCGTGCCTTTACTGCTCATTATAAGATTAAGGTTATTTGTTTCTTGTAATGTATTGCTCTTCTTCTTTTTCGAACTGAATGGAAAATTTTCAAGCTGAGAGACGAACTTGATTTACTTTTTAGGGCTCAAAAATGGCCGTGTGTGCACTATATATATTTGAACAAAAAATCAAAAAAAAGCCCTTATGATTATTTAGCTTCTACATCTTGACTCAAATCCATCAATTCTCTTTCTTTCACTTAAGACAATAAAACAATGGAGAAAGAATTCATCGCGCACAAAGAACATGCTAAAAATAAAAATCTAGATCAAGACTCATCTTTGATTGATTCGTTCAGTGAGCCTGAATCTACAGAGCCTTTGATCAAATCGCCTGAAGAAGTCAAGTTTGTCAAAAAGCTCAATTGGACGGTATTGCCCATCATTTTTCTCATCGTATTCATCCAAGTAAGCTCGCTTTGAAGGACAAGCACTGCAGCAGATGTTTGACAGTTTCTCCTTATAGTTTTGTGATAAATCCGCTCTCAGTGTTGCTGCTGTCTTGGGTATCATGGAGGATGCTAATCTCAGTGGCGATCAATTCAGTTGGTTGGGCTCCATTTTCTATCTTGGCTATTTCGTTGTTCAGGTAATGTATATTGAACACGATCTCTGACAGACACCCATTATGCTCACATTGTCCTACATTTTCATCTCCCTTTCTTTAGTTTCCCAATAATTACTTGATTCAACGACTACCTATTAGTAAATATCTCGGCACTATCCTCATTATTGGCGGTTGCGTGATGGGTGCTACTGCTGCTTGTAGCACGTTTGCTCAATTGCTTGGGCTGCGATTTTTGCTTGGTTTCTTTGAGGGCGTAACGTATCCCTGTATCTACATCTTGTTAAATACACTTTACCGACGCTCGGAGCAAGCTTATACCTGGGGTTTCCTCAACTGCGCTAACGGAATGGGCACTGTATTTGGTGTCTTGATTTCATATGGTCTTGCTCATATGGACGGCATTCTTTTTCGCGCATGGAGATGGTAAATCCTGCCTTGTCGTGTTTCGCAACAAACATATGCTCATTTTCTTTATAGGGGTTACATTGTATTTGGTGCTGCCACTGTTCTCATAGGCATCATTACCTTCCTCTTCTTGGTGGATGATGTTGATAGCAAGATCTTGCGACTCACTGATAAAGAAAAAGATATCGTTCAAGAAAGGTCTCGAGACAATTGCGTTGTCCGTAACAAAAAGATCAAGAAGGAACATATGATTGAAGCGCTAAAAGAGCCTCGTTTATACCTCATCTTTATCGCGCAATTGTGTAATTGTCTCCAAAATGGTGGTTTGATTACGTTTAGTACTTTGCTCATTGAGGGCCTTGGTTTCTCTGTAAGCATACTTGTCTTGATAGTACTATCATCAAGTAATACTAACGCTTTCTATAGTCCTTCACTGCCATTATCCTTCAAATTCCCAACGGTGTCACTGCTTGCCTGTTTGCCATGGGTGCTGTTTTACTTGCTTCCAAATACCAGAGAATCGCATTCACTGGTATTTTGATGAGCAGTATTTCTCTTGTGGGCTGTATTCTCATGGCCACTATTCCCAACTCACCCAAACTTGTTGGCTTTTATCTTAGTTGGGCCATGGCAGGCGTTGCCGCCATCTTACAAACATTGATCTCCAACAACGTGTCAGGATACACTAAAAAGGTCTTTTATAACGGTGTCAATATGCTGGCCATGACGATTGGTAACTTCGTAGGCCCTCTCATGATGACAGCAGAAACCGCACCAAGCTACTGGGGAGCAATGATAGGCTTCTGTGTATCCAATGTGTGCATCATTGCCTGTATTTACACCATGTACATTATCATGTCAAGAGAAAACAGACGTCGTCTGGCTGATCCTCCCTCTGAAAAGTATGATGTTCAGTTGGATTTAACTGACAAGCAAGACAGAAACATCATTTATAAATTGTAAAGGTCTATCATATCTCTTTATTTAAAACTTCTATACCATTAAAATGTAACATATCAATCAGCCTCAAATTACATTAGATTCTTCTTTGTGTAAAATTGCCCTAAATTGCCACCATTTGGAAACTTGGAGATTGTCTGATCAATAATGGCTATAAAGTCGCCTCTTTGTGATGGGCTGGCGTTACTGGGAATTGCATTAATCATTTCATTTCGAGTACGAGCTAATTTAGCACCACTATAATATTCAACACCAAGCCCTGGATACACCAAAAAGTCAATGGTTGAAAATGCAAATCTATCAAAATCAGCGGTTTGTGGTCTGAAATCTACAACAATAGTATCAAATTTGGATTCTACGTTGCCATAGTCACTGGGGTTGCTATAATAGCTAAGTGCATCTAAACGAAGCTGCAGGATGGTCTTCGTTGAGGCTATGTTAAGGAACTGTGAGTATTCGATATAGTGATTAGTGATATTGTCAAACATGGCTGTAAAGATAGGGTTTGGTGTGTTACTGTTATCCACTGCACGCACCGCTCTTAAAGAGGATATCAGTGAGGAATTGAGCTGTTCTGCTTTAATTGCCTGTGTATCAACCTCAGATGTGTTGTGTCCTACAGCGGCTCGACGTAACACTGTATCTGGTGTTAGCAAGACAGGTTTAGCTTGAGCCATTTGGCACCAAAACAAGATCGCCACTACAAAAGCTGCCTTTAGTATCAGTTTTACCATAATTTGGGGGCCTGGTAGTTTTTAGCAATAAACGAAAAGAAAGCGTTTTCCTTTCATTGCGTCTGGTATTCCTATTCACTGTATTTCATTCTGGACTTGCGCATAAATGTTATGATCAAGGAATCTCAAGGTAAGAATTAATCCGCTTTGAAATCTTCTAATCATATTTAATACATATGTGTGCTGAATGTAGCGTCAGAAAATTGAAAACTCTGGCTGAGGCAACATTTACTTGCAAGACAGTATGTGATCATTTTCCCCTGAACTGAGTTGAACTGTCAAATCAGTTACAGATCTGGGCCCACCTGTCAATTTACAGATGCTCGCTATTACTTGCTACACAGGATAAGTTGATTTATTTATCATTTATCATTGTTAAGTTCAAAGAGAGAGCGTAAAATCAGAAAGACGACAGTAGATCTCACTGCCTGTTATGCCATCATTAAGCTGGGAAGCGGATCTCATCAACTGGTCTTGATGCCCCCCAAGCCGACACATTTAAATATCACACCCACACACACTATTTCAATATCAAAGCCTTTCAATGGAGAAATACATGCCAAAAATATTTACCTTATCTTTCTGATTGATTATGAATAGCCGGATATCCCTGGTCTAGAGTTCTATTCAAGGGGCCAAGTCCAAAATCAAATTCACCTTACTATCGAGCAGTGGAGAACACGCAGAAAGAGAACATTTTAAGCGCTTAAACAAAACCCTGATAGAGTTTTCATACATTTATTTAAGAAGAAAGTGAATAGGATAAATTTTTTGATGGGAAAACTACAGGTATAATATGGCAATTTCAACTTGCTAATAGGTGTTTACTCGTCATCGTCATCGTATTTGTGTTTCCAGTCCTTGTGATCATCATCCTCATCGTCCTCATCATCCTCGTTATCGTCGCTGTCCTCATCTTCATCATCGACCTCATCATTTTCGTCAAATTCACTGTCACCTTCGTCAGATGGAGCAGGGGCATCGCCACTTGTAACACCAGTAATGATTTCTTGAACCTTGGCCAAAAAGAGCTGATACAAAAAGTCGTAATTTCCATGGACAATGTCGTTCAAGGGAGTAACCTCAATGATGTGGTTGATGATGTTGTCAAATAAACCTCTAAACAAAGTATCTAAGCTGATAGGTTCATCAGCACGCTTGACCATGAATGTGGTATCCTTGTCCATGGCTTCAGCAAGACGGGCAGAAAGAATGTCTTCGATATTCTTTTGGCTCCAATTCATGAGAGTAGCAGAGGCCGAGGCAGAGGGAGATTCGTTCATGGCCATTGCATTGGCATGAGTGGGGGCGGCATTGGCAACAGAGGAGAAGCCCATCAAGGCAAACACGGCAATAGAGATTAAGCGAAGCATATTGGTAAAGTTGATGTTGTTGTTGTTGAGTAGATCAGTAGAGTTGATTGATTTGAGAGATTAAGAGGTAGAAACTGCCTGCTTATATATCTTTTGCATTGACATTACATCACACTAGAAAAAGTAAGCCGAAGTATATTCAAGCTTATGAATTAGCAATATGCCTGTCGAATACCGAGTACCTTTTACTTGAGCGGTTTATATTGCTAGATAAACTATATTTAACAACTAAAAATAACGACAATACAAGTGACAAAATTTCATTCCTATAAGGCACATTTGGTATTAAAATTATTATATTTAGTTTCTGTATCTTTGCATGGATTTCAATGCTTCAGACTGAATAAAGTCCTCGACCTGTTTTCTATCGGATGCAACGACGTCAATAGGCAAATAGTTTAAAATAGACTTCATTACTTTATCTTGATCTTGCTCAGATAATGAGGCCGTGGTCGTAAAAATAATCGCTTGCAGTAAAGGCGACTGTATATTTAGCTTCAAGCTAAGAGCTAACGGACGCAATATAAGAGTTGACCATGTCGCCCATAATAGATCGCGTCTCAATACCATCATACTGTTTACTGGCTTGCGCGATGATCTATCTGCGCACCACCATGAGGTCTGGAACCGCCTTGGCTCTTCTGATAGCTTCTTGTTGTTTGGCAGCAATACCATATGGATTCACCAGCATCTGTGAGGACATGGCTTTTAGTTCAGGATCTCTGGAAAAGATTCAAGACCTAACCTTACTTGTCTCTTGAGGCCCCTGGCTGTCCCAAGCAAAGGATGGCGTAGCAGATTCAAAATAAGGCTTCAAGGCATCATTAATAATGGCTTTTAGCTCGGTACGCTGTTCAGGGGTGACGGATTGAGTGATAGTCATTTTGAGATTATCAGAGATAAACTGCAAGTGATCTAGCTGCAAACCAGTCAACCTATATGAATTATTCTCAATGTAACGCATGGAAAGAATAAGCGCATGACCCGCCTCTTGCGTCTCTGATAGACGTGTGTTAAGTATCTCTGTATCCACGGCTGCTTCAAATCCTCAAAATTGAATATGATCGAACGCTACTGTGCCATTTTGTACCACCTATGTGCGCATCTGAGTCAATGTAGTGAGCGATGCTTGCTGAATATTCTGACTATAGGTCTTCATGTAGGATTCAAATTGGTCAATTATTCTTTCATAACTAGATTGCAGTATGGCTTGACTCTCAAGGTACACATTCAAAAAGGCTGTCATGGTCTGATCTACAATAGCAAGCTGATTGGCGTCAAGGTTGTCGAAATTGGAGATGGCCTTTTGCCGGAAATTAGGTACATACTCTAGAGGCAACATGGCTATCTTATCTTGAGACAGCGCAAAAAAGCCTACCATACCACGGTACTTGTCTGCAAAAGTGTAGACGTATTCAGGGTACCAGTAATCAGGTCTATATGTAGGAACTCGATCATGTATGGTAGAGCGATCGGGGCGCTCTGTATTGCTCACTTGAGGTTTCCATAAGTGTATGCTTATGTTTCCTGTGCCTTTTCTTTGATTTCTAGTTGCCATCCTCCTCTTCGTCCTCTCCGTCTTTCTCGTTTTATTTTTCTCATCTTCATCCTCTTTATAATTGCTGTTCCTCTTTTCAATAGTGCTTTTCAGTGATGCTTAAGATTTGCCTGTTAACTGGACCTTCTCATATGTACCAAGAAAAGCATCGAACCAATCAATTATGAACTGAGAGAGGCCATTAGTATCTATCGACTGATGTGATTGTGTCAAGTTACTTGGCTTCTACAACAAACAATGAGCCATTGAAAATGAATAAACGTTATTATGCTTACTATAGTATGAGGCAAAGCCGAACGAGACGATTCTTGTGGTAAGTAGGACATGTTATTGCTGCTGGTGGCCTCTATCGATAGAAGAGAAGCGGCTTTTTGTGTATCAACATCTGGTTGCATAAGCACAGCTGATACCAATGTTGAATACAAGGCAAATGTAGTAGCAGAACAAATAGAAACAACTCTGAAATGCATGTTGTAAAATGCTTGTTGTTAGAAGAAAGGAAAAGCAATTACAACTAAACTGTATGCTAAGTTGTTGATTGACAGACATATTCCACACAGCAAAATATTTCAGCTTGAAATTGAGATTGTTTGATTGTTTACACCATGTGTTTACAGGATATAAACAATCTAAAGATCAAGAGACAGAGACAATGAAATTTCTAGTGTACAAAATAATCTTTTATTTTAAATGAGAAGCATTTCGCTTTTTTCTTGTATGTAAAAAATATGTAACAAAGTGACAAAGGGGAATGATGATAGTATATATATAAGGCATTGCTTGCGTATAATTAGTGAGTTAGCAAAAAAAAAAAAGTGTTACAATGAATTAGGATGAATGAATTTAGTCGACTTCTTCGATAGAGGGTCCGTCAGCAGAGGCATCGGGAGCACCGCCGGGAGCAGCACCAGGGAAGCCACCAGGAGCAGCACCAGGGGCAGCACCAGGGGCACCACCGTTAGCCTGATAGAACTTCATCATGATGGGGTTGACAATTTCTTCGAGTTCCTTTTGACGAGATTCGTATTCCTCCTTGGAAGCTTCTTGAGATTCGTCTAACCACTTAATACAGTCATCAGAGGCACTCTTGATCTTTTCCTTATCTTCCTCAGGTAACTTGCCACCGACATTTTCATCTTGAAGAGTATTACGGAGGTTGTAGGCATAGGATTCGAGGCCATTTCTAGCTTGGATACGAGCAGCAGCAGCTTCATCTTCAGCCTTGTACTTTTCAGCATCGTTGACCATACGCTCAATATCTTCCTTGGAGAGACGACCCTTATCGTTGGTAATGGTAATCTTGTTGGATTTACCAGTGGTCTTGTCGAGAGCAGAGACATTCAAAATACCGTTGGCATCAACATCAAAGGTAACTTCGATTTGAGGAACACCACGAGGAGCAGGAGGAATACCAGAGAGCTCAAACTTACCGAGAATGTTGTTATCCTTGGTACGAGCACGTTCACCTTCAAAAACTTGAATGAGGACACCAGGTTGGTTATCAGCATAAGTAGAGAAGACCTCAGACTTCTTGGTAGGAACAGTAGTGTTACGCTTGATAAGAGGAGTCATGACACCACCAGCGGTCTCAATACCGAGAGAAAGAGGAGCAACATCCAAGAGAAGGAGATCTTGAGTCTTTTCAGAGGTATCACCAGAGAGAATGGCAGCTTGGACAGCGGCACCGTAGGCAACAGCTTCATCAGGGTTGATGGACTTGTTGGGTTCCTTGCCATTGAAGAAGTCAGAGACCATCTTTTGGACCTTGGGAATACGAGTAGAACCACCAACGAGGACGATATCGTGGACAGAGCCCTTATCAATCTTGGCATCGCGGAGGACCTTCTCAACAGGCTCCATAGTGTTACGGAAGAGATCTTGGTTCAATTCCTCGAAACGAGCACGAGTCAAAGAAGTGTAGAAATCAACACCCTCAAAGAGAGAATCAATTTCAATGGTGGTTTGAGCGGCAGAAGACAAGGTACGCTTAGCACGTTCACAAGCAGTACGAAGACGACGGACAGCACGAGCATTACCAGCAATATCCTTCTTGAACTTACGCTTGAATTCTTGCATAAAGTGAGAGACGAGACGGTTATCGAAATCCTCACCACCCAAGTGAGTATCACCAGCAGTAGCCTTGACTTCAAAGATACCATCTTCAATGGTCAAGAGAGAAACATCAAAGGTACCACCACCCAGATCGAAAATCAACACATTACGCTCACCTTCGACCTTCTTATCCAAGCCATAGGCAATAGCAGCAGCAGTAGGTTCGTTGATAATACGTTGAACATTCATGCCAGAGATCAAACCGGCATCCTTAGTAGCTTGACGTTGTGAGTCGTTAAAGTAAGCAGGGACAGTGATAACAGCGTTCTTGACAGAAGTACCGAGGTAGGCTTCAGCAGTTTCCTTCATCTTGACAAGGATCATGGAAGAGATTTCCTCAGGAGTGAAAGTCTTGGTCTCGCCCTTGTACTCGACTTGAATGATGGGCAAACCTTCCTTGTCAATCACCTTGAAAGGCCAGTGCTTCATATCAGCTTGCACTTCAGCATCAGTAAAGCGACGACCGATCAGACGCTTGGCATCAAAAACGGTGTTGTAAGGGTTCATGGCGACTTGGTTCTTGGCAGCATCACCGATGAGACGCTCGGAATCAGTGAAAGCAACATAGGAGGGAGTAGTACGGTTGCCTTGGTCGTTTGCAATGATTTCAACACGATCGTTTTGCCAGACGCCGACACAGGAGTAGGTAGTACCTAAATCAATACCAATAGATTTTCCTTCAGACATGTTTTCTTGTAGATAATTAGATTATTTAAAAGATGATGGAGAAATCTTGGATGAGATGAAATTCATGTACCTTTTATATGCAAATTGAGTGGAGTCTAATAAGGAATACTAGCAAGTTCCAAATGCATTGATTGGCTGAGTTGACGAATGTAGTAGAATTCGCGAGAAAGTGAAAGAACTTGCCAGTGGTCTCCAGATGTTTGATTGGACATATATTCAAAGTTTTCGCTGAATTCGAAACATTTAGCTTTGATCTATATCTGCAAATGATGCAATGTTTCATAGTAATCATTGTCAGTGCCATTTTAGAGTTCACGCGTCCTGTCAAAGCAATCACTTCTATGATACATCTCACTGAGGATGGCATAAACCATCACTAGGCAGAATACGTCTACGAGACTTTATACGAGATATACAATGGAATAGCAAATGGTATTTACGTAATGCGCATCTCCTACATTTCCAGATTAGACCGTTGAATTTAGCACTATTCATTGCTTACAGATGTCTTGCTAGCAGTAACTGAGATGCTGCGATTTTTCACTTGCAGACATGTCCATTTATAATTGACGAAATTGGTTGGCAATATACGCAGTATGAGCGCTACCCTGTTATATAAGCGATTGAGGGAAATGTCCGGTTTTAGTGAGACTCTGTGCTTTTTCTTTCATTGTCAAATGTGTGCCCTTGAATTGAAAGCACAGCGGTTTACTGGACTGTAGGATACTGCTAATTCATACAGTACCTCAGTATAGTATTTTCATTTATTACAACGATTCCGAGCTTCTCCTTAATATACGTTATGTCTGGTTAATTCACTTACAATGAGAGACTTTATTGATTTAGATATACAAGTTGAATAAATAGCTTGCGCTTAATACTGCGAATGGAATTGCCATTGACCATGAGGTCAATGTATTTGAAGAAACAGCACTAGAGTCTGGCCTGATCTTTTTCTTATTTCTAACTGCAGCTGTAGCAGCGGCTGTTATCGTAGCACTAGTACGTGAACTTTCTGGTGCCAATGTAATTGGATTGAATACAAAATCAGTGTCAATAATAATGGGATAAGAAGATGAATCAGAAGCACTCCATGATGTAGTCAGAATATGGTTTTGTTTTAGAATCAAGTCTTTTGTAAGTGATTCATCAGCCACATTAACCCAATCTTCTGCTTCCTCTCCTCCATCTTCTTCATCATCTTCGTCTCCATCGTCATCACCATCATCGTCATCGCCATCATCGCCATCAATGTCATCACCATCATCGTCATCGTCATCATTGTCATCGCCAGTACCTTGATCCTGATTGTCCACGTCCTTGTCTTTGGCTTCTTGAGGAATATTGGACAAGTAATTGTCGGGCTGTTGTAGTTGAGCTTCGATGGATTGGAGTTGAGCACTGTCTAACAAACTGGCAGGGAATAAAACTTCTTGATCTAATACTGCAAAAGAGGAATTTTAAGTGCTTCTCTCATGGAATCATGCATAAATTCAAATACCAATGTCGTTTGGTTGACGAGTGCCATCAACTACCTGTTCATTGCCTTGTTGTTGCTGGCCATTTGCAATCACAGCAAGCACTGATAGCCCTACAAGCACAGATGTGAAGCGCATAATGCGTATATATCACAAGGAAAAATACCAAAAATACGGCCGCATCCAATGCTTTAATACATGTCTGACTATTTAGAAATAGCCTGCAACCACTCATTATTCTTAAACATAAAACACCATTTAGCGTCGACAGACAATATCACAATATATCCGAGAATTGTATAGCAGAGTTTTTATTGTTGTATAGATACATGCGTGAAAAAGGTTATTAAAAGAGGAAAAGAAAGAGCTTTTTTTTGAGATAAAAAGAGTGTATAGAGTGTATAGTATGGAGAAAGCAAGAATTGAATAAGAGGGAAATACGTGTATAATATATATATGAATCCAAAAAAAGAGAATTTCCTCCTTCATCTTCTATCCAGTTATTGACCTGCCATCATGGCATCCATGGTCAAGTTACCTTCCATTTGTTCTCTAACAAACATCTCAAAGTATTGGAAGATAATCATGACACTCATCAAAATACCTGCACCAGATCCAATGGCTCCAAAGATATCAGCAACGCCAGCGATAATAGCTAAGGAAGCACCACCAAAGCTGGCAGCAACAGGGACAACTCTTTGCAATTCCTTATACATGGAGGCATCACGGAAACCAGCAATAGCGAGTTGTTGATCCTTGAGGGTCTTGGCAACATCACGAGAGGTAGAGCCAGAGATATCAACCCAAACCTTAGACAAGTATGCGCAAAGAATGATGGAGATGCTGACATAGAGAGCAGTGCGAACAGGGCTGAAAAGAGCTTCGGTCAAACTGTGAGGAGCAGAAAGGTAGTAAGCAATACCACCAACAGCAACAAGTTGATTGGAATCAGCAAGAGGCTCCCAGGCACCGAGAATGCGGATAAGAACATTGTCACCAAAAAAGGTGAAGAGAGTTTGAGAAATCAAGAAAATGTTGGCGAACAAAGCAGATTGAAGCATGACAGGCATACTGGAGGTGTAGAAAAACTTGATGGGGTAAGAACCACGTTGACCACGCATACGGTTGGACTTAACAGGGAGCTCAACACGGAAACCTTGGACGTAAATCACAATACCGAATGTAACAAGAGTAGCAATGAAGCTCATGACATTGGTGACATCTTCACGGTAGAAAGCATCTCTGAGAGCACGAGCCTTATCCTTGCGAGACATGAGCAAGCTAAAAAGGGAGACAAGAGCACCTTCTCTTTCGGGACCACGGATGGTGTTGACAGTGGTGAAGGCCATAGACTTCCAGAAGATGGATTGGCACACCTTGGCGGCAACAAAGATGTTGATACCAGAGCCAAGGCCGTAACCCTTTTGCAATAACTCGTCCAACAACATGGTGACAGTGGAGGCAAAGACAATTTGGAGGACTAAAAGACCACAACGAACAGCACCGATCTCAGTAGGGTTGCCATAGAGACCTGTAAAAACGAGAAGAGCAGCTTGACCAATGGAGATCAAAATGGCAAACACTATACACATGTTGGTAAGTTAAGTGATTCTCTTTGATTTCTCTCAATGTCTCTCTCTCTCTCTCTCTCGTAGTTGACATCACGCCCAAATTCCCAAATCTCAAGTTGCATAACTACAACCATTACTTACATTTTTGAGCACCACAGAACAAGGCGCGATCCTCCTTCAAGCTGTAATCGACATGAATGACATTGGAAGCAGCCATGAATTGCATAATCATACCAGATGTAAGGATAGGAAGGACACCCAACTCCATCAAAGTACCACGTTGAGAGGCGAGAACATCACGCAAAAAGTAGAGAGGATCAGACGATTCTTTGGAGATAATACCGTAGAGAGGAAGTTGAGACATGACTAAATAACCAAAGAGAGCAACTACAGTGTAAAGTAGCTTTTCATTGAAGGGGACCTGCAAACACAAGTGTTACATTTTTGCAATTCTTGCTCATCATCTCGTTGCTGTTTCTCTCTCACACATACCTTGCGAACAGGAGACTCAATTTCGGGAAGTGCAGCCATGAAAGGCTTTAAAACATGAAGAACCCGGACTACACAATACAACACATGTCAGTTTATCATGATAACAGCCAACATAGATCACCATACTTACGACCCATTTTTTGTATTTGTGTTTTGACGCGAAATATAGAAAAAGGAAAGAAAAAGCTTGAATGGAGTGGGAAATGTGAAATGCCCTTTATCGAAATTTTCATGTCCAATCAATGTAAAACTGAAATCTACCATACTACGAGTCGCTTGATTGGTGAAGAATCGCTGCTCATGAACACAAACTCTTTGCTTTTTGATATTCAGCCAAATTATTGTGCAATATTCAGTTGGTAAATCAAGATAACAAATGAAGATTGCATTGGGAATAGAGAGCCATATTGCAGTTGTATCGAATTGTGTATTTGTAGTGTGTATTTTGCATGTATGACTAGATCATCACTCAGTTTGAGAGATATGCTCAAGCCAGGTGTATTGTATTACATAAGACAGTGGGTGTTACTAGGCAACTGCAAAAGTCTATTTCCTGTTCAAAAAGAAAAGAGGGTTCTATCTATCCACCATAAACATGTTGCAGATAAACTACAGCTTATAAGAGTCTTTCAGAATTGCATGTTTGCTCTACTGGTTCTTTGGATTAAACGACATAATCTCGATCCAAGCAGTTACTCATAATTTGTAGTTGATCTGAACACCTCTGCAATTCTCAAGCAGCGTATGCCCTCCATCATGATAGGCGAATGATACTGAGAGACTATGATATCGGTCATAGTAGGCGTAGATATTCGAGGCACTTGGAAAGTTGAAGCATACACTTTAACTCATGCCTTGCAACGCAGCTCGTGTTGCCGATTGCTTGAGTCCATCGCATTTAAAATACTGTAAGCTCCCTCGAATATTCTATTAATGTAGGCCTCTTGGCTTTCCAGTATTACGCGTGAGTTCTCCACAACTATGGATTCGGCTCTCAAGTCACGCTTCACGTCTAAATCAATGAAAACAACTCATATACGGGCAGGCAGTAAGTTTGCATTACCTCTTACTACTCAAATGTATGCAGAACGCAGCGAAATTTGAATATATTTGAGCAGCATTTTCTCGCGTTAGTAGGGGCCGTTTTAAACCTTCAGATTAGTACCAAATAATTCCTCTCAGCTAGCAATTACTTCCTGACACCTTTGCTCAACTATTTGGGCCAAAAAAAACATGGCCAAAAATCGACCAAAAAGCATGAGGTACCCCTCATGGTTTTCATCGAAAATCAAACGATCGCGGTTTTCACCTTGAAAATGAAAACTTTTACTATGGTATATATTGAAACAAAATGTTTCTCTCAATCCAAAGCAACTCCTGAAGCTCTGTTTTTGAAGTCTTTGTATGCGAAATCTCGATATTTTCGCTAAAAACCTCCTTTAATATTTTACCAAATTGCTCAAAAATTTCATTCAAAACCCCTACTACAACTAACACCATTGGAAGCTCCTTGAAAAGTACTCCAAGAATGTATTAGGAAGCATTAGATGAAAACCACAATATATATAGTCGAATACCAAAAAATAGATTAAAGAAGTCGACAAAAAACAAAATTTATCCAATCTTGAGCAGAAAAAATAAAATGAGTTTGAATAAGGTTTGGCGGCGGCGATGGGCGACGCTGCTGGCTAGAGCAAATGTCTTTCTGATGATGACAATGATGGCTGCGATGCTGTTTAAATGGAGATCATGTATTTGAAAGAACAATAGATTAGCTTGAATCCTTTTTTTCTTTGGTTTTATTGGGAGTTTTTCCCTATAAAGGTGTTTTTTTTTTTTTTTTTTTTGCAATGACAATATCTCAAAAATGTTGCTGTAGATTTTACACAAGTTCTATATTTATACATTGCCAGCTTTATGTCGCCATCTGAAGAGCAACATCAGCGAATGGATACCTTCCTCTCCTGACTCTGATATAGCCTCCCCCCCCTTTTTTTTTTTACTATTAATTGATTGTTTAAAATATACTTTTATGCCAATTTTTTTATTATCTCTGATTTGGAATGTCTTCAGCGAGAGAGCACGCAGAGCGACGCCGTCATCGAGCGTAGCGAGATTGACCGGCTAGTAGGGAGATATTGTAGAAAAGCCTGTCTAATTTAATTCGCTCTTACTGCGCACTTTTATGTGATATCGCTAGTCAATTGGGCTGATGTTATTTTCAGTGTTTCTAACCATTAGCTGACAACTGATAGCTGATCTCATCCAGAGAAAGGCTCAAATCATTATTTTCAATATTTTCTTAATTCTTGTCTTGGCATAAACAATTCCTCCGTAACTGATCATTAAATAAACTCACAGGATGACAAACAAATCCAATTAGATCACCCAATCATTTAATGGAGGTATGAAATTGAATTAGATGCAGAGGGATCGACACGAATAGATACACAACCCGTTAACAAACAGTAGAGAGACGAGAATGATGGGCTGATCGCACTATATGCCCGACGTTAATTGGAACTGCTTGAACCCAGCTTTGAGAAACATACACACACACAAATATGCACTCTTTTCGTCATTCGGTGCAAATGAATGTAAACAAATCAAAATGGCCATAAGAAAGTACACATCTTGTTTGTGAACCTATGGGATTTACTAAATGAATAGGCAGCAGCATTCACCAATACTATCTGTGAGAGGTTCTTACCTAGGTCACAAAACCAGAGGGGTAATTGGCTTCTGTTGGTGCTTGTGTCCACCGCTCAAATTATCGTCGTATTATGCTAGAAACGTGCTTTGACGATGTCGTCTTCAAGATTCTAGAGATCTCATGCAATTGAAAAATCTACTTTAAATTCTTTATCGTAACATTTGGTCTGACATATTTAAGCTATAATCAATTCATGATTCGGACAAGGCAGTCTAAATTTACTAGCCTCACTGTTTAGGAAAGTTAAAAAAGTTGCATGTTCCCTTTCAAAAGATTAGTGTCACCACCTTTTCCACATTTCTTATAGCTTGCATGTTTCTCGCTTTGAAGCATGAATTTGAAGCCTACATTCCACATTGATGCAAACGAGCTAGCTGTTTTTTTTTTACGACAGCATATACGTCCTATTGGAATCGTATTCAATCATCATTTACATTGAACACTCAAATTATGAAATTCACACATTTGACAAATAAAAATTAAGTGCAACACAAGTAGAAACATGCACGAATCAATTACTAGAAAGACAAATTGTGGAATAATCAGATCAGGACACATACAACAATACAGCAACAGTTGCACGAGACTAGGCATTGAGTCGTCATATTATTTCGATTATATAACACAGTACATTGTCTAGGCAAAAGCATTATGAACACTTGATTTTTCAAGCACTAATCAATCACTGCATTCGATCTAAAACTTGTCAACACTTGGCCAATGTGTAGTCGCGCCCTTCTAGTAACGAAATCAAAAGCTGGGAAAACGTGATGTTTATCCCGCCTGTTACATTTTTCTCAGGGGGTGAAAAAGGGAAACGGAAACTGTGGGGTATTGCACAGCAGCTGAGTTTTCTTGCCATTCCGTGTGACCAAAATCTCTTAATAAAGAAACAATCCGTACCGTCTTATTCTCAGAGACTCACAGTTGTGTGTGGTAAAAAGAGCGTTGTAGTCAGTGTGCACCAAGAAGCCTTCTTTTTGGGATTATACGATGTAATAATAAAGTAACCATTCTATTCGTTTTTCTTTCTTTTTCTTTTTCTCTCGGTTTTTCCTACATTTAGAAACAAAGATTGATGATATTTCGCAGTACATTGTATAATTAGAAATACTTGAGTTTGCATAAGTTGTATTATTATTTAAAATCATATACTGCTATTTACAATCACAATCGCTCTCCTATTTACCCTTCAACTATCAGCAATACATGATTCAACTCTCAGCACATGGAGTCAATGTGGTGAACAATTTCAACCTCATCGGCATGTGGATAGCTGTGCTCGTTTGCTGCAGAAATTTTTCAGTCTGCCTACATCAGTATCGACGAACTCGAGGCAAAATGTAGGCTCACTGATATCTCGACCAGAAAAGCGCCCAAGCTCACTAAAACTGCATCTTATAGACATTTGGTTAACCTTGCACAAGTTTCAGTTTTTTTCATCCATCGAGTCTTATACGGGGTCATTCCGCTATTTGAAATCAAAACCTGTGCCTATTTCCCATTGCTTGTCTCGTAAGTATAGCTCAACATCTTGGATATGACGTTTAAACTTATGCTTATTCTCTCTCTTTTGCAGTCTATGGCATATAAGTAAATATAACTTATTCTATTGTTCTCTGGCCATGCTGTAACACAACCCTTTTTTTTAGCGTACATCTTGTTTTATGTGGTCATGTTTATGAGATTGATCATTTTAGAGTTGGATAGATATTCCCGCTGGATCAAGATCGTAGGCGTTTTGCTCATCACATTGCGCGCCGCTGACTGGCCTTACGAACTGGCTTTTCATTCAATTACACAAAGAATCATAGACCAAGCGCCCCAATCGGGTTCTCAATGCTGGGCAGAGTGGTATGTAGCATGGCTGCAGTGTGAAAATTGATAATGATTTACTGTTAAACTGACAAAATTCATTACTGCTAGGGGTGCTGGCGTAATTATTTTGAATTTCGTGGGTGATGCCCTTGCAAATCTATTTTTGAGTGGCATGTTTGTGCGAAGGTAATCACATTGCATTGCTCTGTATCTATACTATCATTGACACCATAGATGTAGACTTTTCATTCACATCAACATGTCAAAGTCGCTCATGAGCCACCAAAACAAGGTCATCGAACGCATTGCTCGTAAATCACTGATCTGCTTGGCCTTTACATTCGTTGTCAATCTAGCCATGAATCTGTTAAAGGTCACCATGTTCATAGGCGGTCATTCTGATGTAAGCTTGAGGTCAAGTCTATACATGTACTAGTTTATTTATCTGCTGATCTAGGCTTTCACTGTGTATTTTGAGATCATTGAATCGACTCTTCTGGTTGAAGCGCTCCGCAATGATAATAGCCATAGCAATGCACCTCACACATCTTTCTGCGAAAGCTGTCAAAAGGTAACCTCATATTACATAACATCTCACGGTACATGTACTGATACCGCCTCACTCTTGATAGGAAATCAGCCATTGTGGCACTGAGAGATCACCCAACAATGATGAACACCTCAATAGTCAGATGCTAGTCAGATCATTCCACAAAAACGTCGACAACAGAGACAGATATAACAGCACATATACCGACGATACAACATTCCATGATCATGGCCATGCAATGCAAAGAGTTTCCTCTATGGAACCAGCCCTCTTCTTTGATGCCAAGAGTCCTACTACATTCTCAAACTCTATCAGATACAACAGCGGGCCATCTACATTATCCACCTTGCCGAATAGAGCCTCTACACCTTTGACAGATGCTCCTTTGCTCTCGTCTCCAGTTGGAAAATCATTCTCCTCCAACGGCAAAGATGTGTTTGTCATGACTACGCAGCTGCAACCACCGCCCTTGGAGAAATCCATTACGCCGCGAGTTTCGTCGTCTATTCTTACATCTACCACTGATCCCAATAATAGCAATTCTGATAAATCACCAAATTGGCAAAAAGCCTGATATCCAGACTCTTTTTTTTATATATTATTTTTACCATGTAAATTCCATTTATTCCCAAGTGAGGGGCTCTTTATATATTTGTTTGCTGGATCACATATCTATATTACCGTTTACTGCTTGCATTATTCCTGTATACTAATTTAATGATATCAATAAAAAAAAAAAAGAAAATTAAAAAGACAAACACAGTGTCATAGTATCTGTAACATTTTGTTCTGGTATCATGTCTGCACGGTGTGTGATCATATGTAGAGAATAATGAAGTATGAGTCCCACACTATGGAGAAAGTTAAATCACTAATGCTTGTTGTGTGATTCATTACGGTTATAACCATAAATTTGGAGCAGTATCAGTCTTGCTGATAAGATAATACGAAGTCTATCTTTGCTCTAGTGGCATTCTAAGCCTGACAGAAATTCTGGTATTCTTACATTCACGGGTGCCTATATTGAACTCGCAGTGTGCATCATCCAGACACGGTATATTTATACATATGCTATCAGTTGAAAGGCTCAAATTTGCTCTATATGATACAATCTACACAACTAGTTTATCACAAATAGTAAAGCCATTAAGACTCTTTGAGCTTATGCCGTTGGCTGCCATAGCCTATAATACTAAATCAATGCACATGTTGCACTAGGCACAAACTTTAAAGGGCTTTTTGCAACATTGGTCAAAAGTGAAATACTAAAATCTTGTTAGAATAAAGCTTATTCAGCTTTTCAGAGACGTAAGTGCTTTTTGTTGTGGATTCACCCCATACGAAATGATGCAAAGCGTGAATTTTGCACAAGCCGGCCAGTAAATGCCATACGCAGCTGCTGGTTAAGAATCCATAATCCATGCTATTAGAGTGTTACACTTGCACTGATAGCTATGGTTTTGACTCTTATGGTTTCCGTCAAGTCTTCATGACAATTCACGTCTCTCGTGATAAGATTCTGTTTTTAACAAACAATGGCAACGGTACGCTTTCAGGGTAAAACCCTCACATGATACATACTTTATTTCCATCATGACAAACCTTACATTGTTTCCATGTAACAACGTGGGCTTTTTTTTTTTAGAATATCATGTACCCCTGAATATCTGGTATTACCAACCTTGACGACAATGATTGATTGATTGTATCCCTAAATCTAATCTGCACCAATGAATCGATGAAAAGCAACCACCGTTACACACTGCTAGATAGACGTATTATCGCTGCGGAGCCACTCTGTCCACAGCCAAGTATCAATAGGGACATATACAACGTATCTTTGAGTATCACCCTCTTGTTCCGTATGATGAAAACTCAGGCTTCTTCTTTGGATTCAAGTGTTACCATATGAATGATATGATTCTTATATAAACATTGATTCACGATAATCTCTTTCTGTTTACAGTTTTGTTTGACATTCTGCATAAAAAAAAAGGTCGAGAGCAATTTTCTATTAAAGTGATTAACTTCTACGATTGGGCATTAGTTTCATTGCTCACCCCTTAATTTGATATTAAATTTGCGCACTGCTGTCTTAACAAAGGGGTAAGCATGCGCACTAATGGGTTTTAGGCTTGTACATGCAAGAGATTCATTTAAGCTTTCAAGGAAAACTTTATACAGGCCATTTGATGGGCTATATTATTCTTGCTTTCGCTTTTTTAATCACTTGGTATAATCTCAAGGTGGACACATTTAGCCCGATTCCTGAACCTATGATGAACGCTAATGACTTTTTCTATACAACAAACAATAATGCCTATTGCGCGATAGGTCTATTTCCTGTCTTCATCATTGAATAACAAGTACACATGCCATCTCTATAGCAAACAAACGTAAGATTTGATGGAGTAATCAAATCCAAAAGAAAGGGGAATTCGGTCTTGTAAACTCAATGCCGGGATCAGATTGATTGGCTATTTGAATATTATTTGTACTCAATTATCAATGTTCATGATTGCGTGCTTTGACGTCTTGTTGCGAAACATCATAGAGATCAGTAGCACAACGTATGAATTTGAGTATCTGCTTGAATGCTACTTAAATAGTCGTATTTTTATATATAAGCATCGTTCCTGTCCTTCTTTTCTATTTCATTTTCCTTTTGTTTCATTATATATCCAAAATAAATCAAATTCAACATTTACAGTAATGCCTAATAGTCCAATTGTGTTAGATTATGAGGAGACTTCATACAAAAAGGAATTCATACAATTCACCCATGGCATACCAAAATATTTGAAGTATTACATCTCAAATTTACTGCCCATCATATACTGGATTCATCGATACAACTTGACATGGCTAGTGTCAGATATCATCGCCGGTGTCACTGTGGGCATTGTTGCTGTTCCTCAAGGCATGGGATATGCAAAAATCGCCAATCTTAGTCCTGTAAGTCATATTTGCTTTGAGTACTTTACGTAACGCCACTAATACCCACTCTAGCAATACGGTTTATATTCTTCTTTTGTCGGCTTATGTCTGTATTGTTTCTTTGGCACTTCAAAAGATATCAGCATTGGCCCCACAGCCGTCATGTCTCTCTTAGTGGGTCAAACGGTGACAAATGTTACAGCATCCGGTCAATACACAGCTCCTCAAGTTGCCGTCGTTTTATCGTTGTTTGGCGGTTTCATTGCGTTATTTATTGGTCTCGTGCGTCTCGGTATTCTGGTCGATTTCATCCCTGGCCCTGCCATTGCTGGCTTCATGACAGGCAGCAGCATCACGATTTCCGTGGGTCAATGGCCCAAGCTATTTGGCATGAAATCAGTCAACACACACGACTCTGCGTACCTCATCTTTGGCAACTTTTTCAAACATCTGCCAGAAACTAGATTAGATGCTGCTTTCGGTATCATTGGTCTCGTTTGGCTCTATTCCGTTAGATGGGGTACTGGCTACCTTACCAAGAAGTATCCCAAGCACGAAAAAATTTTCTTTTTCGCCAACATTATGCGCAATGGTGTCCTCGTTATTTTTGGAACTTTGATTGCCTTCTTGATCAATATTGGTAGAGACACAAGCCCCATCAGTATCCTCAAGACTGTGCCATCTGGCTTTACTGCTATGGCTGTGCCCACTGTAGATGTGAACCTTGTCTCTGAGGTCGCTGGCACTCTCCCCTCTGTTGTTATCATTTTGGTTCTCGAACACGTTGCTATTGCAAAATCATTTGGTCGTATCAATAACTACAAGATTGATGCTGACCAAGAAATTATTGCTATTGGTGCTGCTAATGTCATTGGAAGTTTCTTTGGTAAATATTCACATTATACGCGCTCTTGAGCATGTGTATTTAACTTTTGAATAGGTGCATATCCCAACACTGGTTCATTTTCTCGTACTGCTATTACTGCCCGTAGTGGTGCTCGCACTCCTATGAGCGGTGTATTCTCGGCTCTTGTTGTACTCCTTTGTTTGTATGCCTTGACGCCTGCTTTCTACTACATCCCAGATGCCATCTTGTCTGCTATTATCATTCACGCTGTTGCGGATCTTGTCTCTGGACCCAAGTTTTTGCGCCAGTTGTACAGAGTCAATCTCTTTGAGCTGTTTACATTTGCAACTGCTGTCTTGATCACCTTTTTCACCAATGTTGAATACGGCATCTATGTCTCTGTCATTTTGTCCATTGCTGCACTGCTTCTTCGTATTGCTCGCCCTCGCTATTCCGTACTTGGTCGTATTCCTGTGCAGCCGTCCACCAGCTATTATAATCCCAAAGACCCTCACAGCGAAAAGGGAGTTGTCATCATTGACAAGCAAGGAGAAGAAGATGGCACCACAGCAACAAAGCAAGACGAAAACACCCACTATATCTACGTGAAACAAGACCACCAAACACTTCATCATCTAGTTGAGGCACCACCCTCTGGTGTTGTCATTTTCCGCTTCGATGAATCACTCACATACCCCAATGCCGGCTACATTTCAGACAAAATTATGCACTATATTCAAGACAACTTCAACTCTGGTACCCCTGCTCCTACTACCAAAGGCGAGAGAGCCTGGAATGATCGTCGTCCATTAGCCAGGAAGTCTGCTCCTAATGTAGATGAGAAAGACAGCGACGCTGCTTCATCCAACACTGATCAAACTGTTGGTAAAAACTATGAATCAGAACTGCCCAAGCTTCGTGCTATTGTACTGGATTGCTCTGCCATCAACCACTTGGACTCTACTGGTGTACAGACCTTGCTTGATCTTAAGCTTACTATCAATCGTTTTGCAGGCTACGAAGTTGAATGGCATTTTGCTGCGATTGCCACACCTGCTATCCGTAGTGCTCTCATTACTGGTGGTTTTGGAAGCCAAGCAGGTCGTGGTCCTCGTACCGGGGAACTATTGCCCGTTGTTCCAGTCTATCGTGATGGACCTCAATGCGACGTCAACAACAAGGACGGAAAGATGAATAACGACCCCGAAGCCAATGGATCTTCATCTTCCAGCTCTTCTAATGGGCACACTGATATGACAAATCAATCTTCCCTGAATGAAAAGCTGGACAATGAAATGGATCTTTCTATCAGCAAGATGCCATCCATTCAATCTCATCATGAACACAAACAACATCCCGCTAGTATCTCCAATTGCAGCCGTATGTCGTATGTCATCAATGTCGATGGACATGGCCAAGTCGAGTATTATCCTCGTTTAGATCGTGGTCTTCCTATTGATCGCTACCCATTCTTTCACTGGGACTTGGAAGATGCTGTTCGTGCTGCTTCGTATACCCCAAAAAGAGAGTCTAATTCTAGTTAATTTATTCTTCTCCTTTTACCTCCTTTGTATCATATTCTATTTATTCTAATTGCAAGTATATTCCAACTTGTGTGCATTACCTTTATACATATATCTTAATAAATCAACTATCTTTACATACTTGAATCCATTGAGCTAAAATTAGCATCAGTATATAGATTGAGATGGGTTAGACCATCGTCATCGCTTTTTAACATTCGTGTGCTTGATAATCAACGATCTGCTGAACTCAAAATATGGTCGAGTAGGGAAGAGGGTAGCGAAAGACGAAGTTTTCAAAACTGATGCAATCTACAGAGATGGTGATAGGGCCAACGATAGCTGCAAAATACTAGTTCCAATCTGAATTCACAGCAAACGGGTTCAGTAGAGTGCTTTTATTTTGGCGGCTCATCTTGGTCTATATCCTACAACATTACGTGTTTTCACACTGTTACAGTGAATATCATAAGACCGTAGTGCTACTGGCCATTTCATTTCTTACCATGTAAACTTCGAATAAACAGCACACATCAAATTTATATGCGTCATCTGAGTATTACAGCTACGGAAAAAAATAGTATCATTGTACTGATATAGCTCGGCCTATTGGGCTTATTTCTTTAGCTATCCAGAAAACGGATATTCGTTTTTGAACTTCATTTACTGGCATATCAAATGATACTGAACGAGTCCTCGATTCATTTCCATATAGAACCAAATATTCTACATTGAGGCTCTACCCAACGATCAAATGGTACCAGAGCTTGTGTAGGGATTAAGTTTGCTAGATCAGTATATCATTGAACATCACTGCTACAAAGCTGATCGTTTCTACAGCAGAAGCATCTTGATTCCCTACCTCACAATGACAAGTGAAATGCTATGAAATGTTGTGTGGATGACTCTTGCTGGGTCTGCAATAGCTGATGAGTAATGTTTGCCTCTAAATCAAAGCTGTGCTATCAGGAAATGTCCCCGCTTACAAATACCAGTGATTTATACCGTATGCCATTTTGAATCAAACATATGTACGAAAAGCGGTTTTGTGCATTCTGCCAACATTTTCTGTCATCACTAGCTACAGCACAAGTTTGAAACCAACCATTGCATCATGAGCTACACTGAGATCTACTCCCTCATTAATATCATCTGAAAGGACTCTTGAGAGGAGATCACAGTGTGTAGGAACCTATCTGGAATGACACCAAATTGTCAAAGATAGTATTGCATTCAACGATTTAGGGTAGAGAGACGTATATCACTTTAAATTAAACATTGTTCCCAAATGTAACGACTGACAAAATTATAATTTGAATATATCCCAGTTATGTTAATTTACGTAGCCCCAAGCGAATAGCACAAAATCAAAAGATTTCTTCATCCATCAGCGCCATGCATACCTCCTTGTCGTAAGCAATAAAAATCCCGCAGTGATTATCTACCATTTAGCATCGTTATCATCATGTATATTGGTAGAGTTATAACAGCCGTTTTAAAACTACATGACAGATGTCCAGACACGATTATATTCACATATACCGTGATCTACCAAAGTGAGGAATCACAGTATTTCTTATTTAGTTGTTCAGCTGCCAAACAGTGGTCCATCAAGCATAACAATACAGTTTAGCAATCTAGTAAGGATATCTTATATGTCATCATCGTATCTATCGCCGCCATATGTCATTAGATACTTCATCTTTCATAATCGTTCATTTACATAATTCATCGTTATGCTATTCATGATTTATAATCCTTATTTTCACTTATTTGATCTATCCCAACACGTATAGATGCAACGAAATCATGCATCGATAAAATGATGTCTTTTAATTACCATTTAGTTTTGCTGACTATACAGTCCTGATAGATCAGTAGCGGCCTAAAACCCGTTCATATGTTTGACAACCCTTCAGACTGGGCACATGATGATCCCTGAGATGAAGACTCTACTACCATCAACATAAGGGTTGGGATAGCTGTTCCCCCTTTCTCACAAAATTTGTAGCACAGCTTTAAACCTTTGCCATACCACAACGAAGCAAGCTATCACCAGGCGGTTTTAATTTAAAAGTTTTCCAACACCTAATACATTGATTTATAGCTTGTAATCACTTGTAATTAGCAGCGTTCAATGGATTTTGTGCATAGGTCTTTACTCAAAATTGTCATATTTTGGAAAATATCCGTTTCTGAACAATAACCCATCATCCAATCCAAATAAAACTACATTATCGTTTTCCTCATTGCAGAGTTTAATTATAGTAACACGCTCTTTTTAGAGCTCTAGCATTGATATTTCAAAACTTGATTTTGGAGGGCCCAAACCTCGAGACAAAAAATACTGTTGTATATCTAAAATCTTTGATATGAGATAAAATATAGCAAACAATTAAATTGGAACATATTGGATATTAATGATAAACAACGCATGCCTAGCGGGGTATCTGGTATTATAGGTTCTCCTGGTACTTACGATAGCGTACTACTGTACCTATATTATATAGCTTTCCCCATATAATATCAAGTTTAAAGAACATCCCTCACATGTAAATGCTCAATGCATTCTAGATCAAATGATTACACCTTATAATACTCTTGAACAAAGAAAGATTTAAATTGCTTCCATTTGATTACGCTTTTATTATTACAAAAGACAAAATAATGTTAAATGGCAGATCAACAGAAAATCAATTAGTTGTAGACCTTTTCTCCTTCAACCCCTCAGAGCCAATCAAATCGCCCAAAAACTCCGCTGACCTAAAAAAAATTTTGCGAGGGTTTCCCCCTGTTTTGATGTGAGGCAAAATTTTAAGCTCCGCTATATATAGCAATATAGCTGTTACTATCATCAAATTTCCCTCAGGTGCTAGAGCATGCCTTACTTACATCACCTAGCTTTAGATTCTGGCGTTGAGACTCTCAATCATCACTAAAGTAAGTAGCGATAACCAAGTGGAGGCAGCCTATCTGCGTCCTAGTCTCGGATAAAGTCTTGTTGAGCTTCAGCGATAGGCACATCCACCACAACGTAATAAAGAGGTATGCTTCAAAGAAACATAATAAAAGAAAAAAGGAAAAGAAGAAAAGAACATGCTACAGTACTATAGGAGTATAGTAGTATGTAGGCAAAAAAAGGAACACTCACACAAAAAGTGAGTCAAAGAAGAGTATAACAAATGTAACATCAAAGAATGTTGAGAACAGCTTGCTGTTGTTGCAACTAAAATGCATACATGAGCAATGTGCAAGATAATAGTCGGATGTAAAGCAACACAAACACGCACAATTGCAGAAGCAACAGCAGTATCATAAGTGCGCAATACAACATAATGACTAATGTTGTTTCATGTGAAGCGACAGAGGCAACACAAACAACAATCCATGGCCATATAACAAAGTAGTATTACAGTGGCAATACAGATATATAGCAGCACGTCATGCTTGTTGTTCGTACATACGAAGCAACAACATTGCAAGCATCCGTTGAACTGATCATATCACAGCCAACGAAAGAAAAAAAAAGCGCAACAAGCAAACATCATGAATGCATTATCATGAGAAAGGAAACAATAATAAAAGCGTTCAGAGAAGCTTTATATCATTGCGACCAGAAGAAAAAAGATACTTACCACTTACCACAACCATGGATAGACCAGAGAATAACAATCGCCAGAGATAGACCAGTGAACAAGCATACAACAGAGACAGCAGACCAAGAAAGATCAGACTAGCAACAGCAACACCAGTAACATCAACACCAGCAGCAGCAACACCAGCAGCAATACCATAAGCAGAACCATCAGCAAAAGCAAGACCAAGAGCAATGCCGTCAGTAGTAGCACCATCAGCAATAGCACCATCAGCAGCAATACCAGCAGCAGCATCAGCAGCAATACCAGCAGCAGCATCAGCAGCAATACCAGCAGCAGCATCAGCAGCAATACCATCAACAGCAACACCAGCAAAAGCAAGCACAGCAGTGATACAAGCACCATAGAACAACCAAAGAACGAACTACACCAGTGACCAGACAAAACTTAAAGAAGCAACCGCCAGGGATAGAGACCAACGAAGCAACCACCAGACATAATAGACCAAAGAAGCAGATAGCAGAGATAGCAGAAAAGCATTGGCAACAGCACTCACGTCTAACAGGCAAAAAAAAATTGAACCCTAATAAACAAATTCGATTAGTGCTTGTTCTACATCTTTCTGTGTTCGTTATCGAATGATATCTACTATATTCCACTTCAAAGAAGCAGTATCAAGTTCTTCCAACAGTACAAGACAGTGTTATCAGAAGATAGAGTGTTATTTTTAATCAAAAGGGTTCCAAAGTCATCATGGTTTGATAATAAACGCGTTTTGCAAAAAGGGTATAAAAATGGTGGTATGGAAAAATGAGAGGGCGCCCTATCCGACGTCACGACCAGTCTATTTAGCCTCAGCCTTCTGCGGTGGCAGCCGTAACTGCTGCACTTTAATTTGAAATTTGTGCAGTGAATATTTTTGTGTTCAAATTTGATTTGATTTCACATTCTTTAAACGTTTTTGCTAAGTTTGACTATAAAAATTGTCGTTGTCATACCCAACTTTCTACTACATCTCTAGAGAGCTAAAGAAGCTGCATCGAATGGTGTTGATTACATCCAGCTTTCAGACTAAAAATACTGAGCAATTTTCAAAAATATGAAAACAGGTTTTCTGTGAATATGTCAAAATTTCACATAAGAAAATCTCATAGAAAGAGTTTCCAGTGCTGCATTACATCTTTACGATCAATTTGATTCTACATGTATCGTAGAAGAAGTCGTCATTTTTGGGGTGAAAAACGCGATCGTTTGATTTTCTAGAACTTTTTCTTGCTAATACTCATTGTTGTGCCAGAAGGGCTACAACTGTCTATAAAGATTAAGGTATTCTTGATGGTAGATATGTCTGTGTTGTGCAATAACATGGACAAGCTATGATAATTGAAGTGCATCTCAGCTATCTAAATACTGAGGTTCATCAGATGTAATAAGCGTTGTACAAGATAAATTGCTATTTTGGCATTCAGAACTTAGTATAAATAGAATAACTCTTGTCTTCATCAATAAATCTTTAGTTTTTGTGTCTGATCTTATTCAAATAAGTGTTGCATACAAGCATGCATATTAGGCTACATTCACTTTCTCCTCAAGCCACCTTTTACAGTGTAGCAGCATAGATGATGTTTATCGTATCACATCACATCTATGTTTACAAGTCCAGTCAATTGTGTGTGCACAGGTGCCTCAGGAACTAAAGTACATTCAACCTTCCCAATGTCAAGATATCGAGATCCACCTACACTACATGAAACATATCGACTTAGGTGGCCTCGCAACAACCTATAACAACAATCCATAAGGCCCCAGTGGCCTGCTATTTATATACCATCTCAACGCAGTAGTCATTGACCAGGGATCTACCATATTTAAGCAAGCTAGATGCCCTGTAATAAAGAAGCTTTTTGCTTTCGCTTTAGATACAGTTGACAACTGATTATTATTATCGACTTATTATTGTTTAGGATATACACTATTTTCAGAAATTATTGGGACATTTTTAAAAAAAATTGGTACTAATTCTGAATAAATATTGGGTCTATTTATAATTAAATTTGGGACAGATCTTGAACTATTTTGGAACACTTGCCTAATTAATATTGGGACACTTATAAAAAACATTGAGACATTTTCAGAGAAAGTAAAATTCATTTATTACAAAGGCTCTTTCGCCAAACAAACATCGAATTTCTTAACAGAGTAGCGAGCAGAACTTTCAAGATCACTGTACAATACATCATTGCATGCATCGTCGGTAATCCTGGTCGAAAGTGTTTCAGTATTTAAGAGCCTCTCCCTCTTGAGTTTACTCTTGACCACATGCCAGAATTGCTCAATAGGATTAAGCTCAGGGGAGTATGGTGGGAGGTAAACACATCTGTAACCTTGCTGAATGATATACCTCTCAATATCCTTGGCTGCATGGATGGGTGCATTGTCCATAACAAGATAAAAATCTTTGAATTGCTCATGCTGGTCCATGATATCAATCGCTTTCGCAATAAAGTTAAAGTAGCGGCCAGTTACAGTATTCACAGTTGTTGTTGCTTTTCCAGAAGAAGTGCCAGCTAACTTTCTTTTCTTGTTGGATGTTCCAGGCAACCTCACTTGAACATTCAGCACTCCCCATACGCTAGTTGCGCCAATAATAGCGGTAGTTTTCGCTCTTGTTTGAGGTACAGGCACTTCAGCTCGAGTTCCTTTCTCTGACCAAGCCATTGTCCGCTTCAAGTTAATATGGAAAGCTGACTCATCAATGAAAACACAGTTGGACATGTAATCCATGTCGGTTTGGCTCCATTTGACTACCCAGTCATACCGGTTGTTTTGAATGTTCTCAGGCGAGTTTCTTTCTTTGGAATGGAAATGAGCTTTCTTGAAAGTCAAGGCAAGATCATTGGTGATGTAGTTGTAAATAGTCGTTTGGCTGATAGTCAAACCCGAGAAAGCCTTAACAAGACTCTCATGAGCTTGTTCGATTGTTACTGATGGATTATCTTTAAATTCTAGTTTTAGGTGCTTCCTATGGTCTTCGTTCAAAATCTTTTGGTCGACCTGCTCTCTTAACTGGCTCTTCATCGTCCTCAATTTCTTTGTTAACCTTTTTTTGATCCTCTGCGTACCATCTGTAAGCAGTTGTTCTTGATATATGGCCGTGCGCTTTCCAAGCTTGATTAGGATTCATGCCATGGTCGTAGATAAGGATAAAAAATCTTGCCTTGTCTTTGTCTGTGTAGCTGTTATATTCAGTCTTGGGCACATTTTTCTTATTTTTAATCTTTTTCTCTTTTAGTGCGGTCAATTCTCTTTCAGGTGGCATCCTATCAACGTAAGTATTGTAGTTGGTAATGTTACCGAGAAGGAAGGCTTCGTTGTCTACATCCATCTCAACAGCTTCGTTTCCATGCCCATCGACTGGAGCATTTATTCCGTCTTCGTAGTAAATTCTGATATCTGACATGTTATGAATAACGAAGAAAGCGACTATGGTTTCATCTCAAATCCCATTTAGTTTTGTCTCATTATAGTTTCGAAAAGTGTTCCAATATTAATTAGGCAAGTGTTCCAAAATAGTTCAAGATCTGTCCCAAATTTAATTATAAATAGACCCAATATTTATTCAGAATTAGTACCAATTTTTTTTAAAAATGTCCCAATAATTTCTGAAAATAGTGTAGATCATCTCTGAGAGGCAAATGTATTAGGCGTTGTATATTACATAAGAGGATCTGAAAATGAGCTGAGATGCATAGTAGAAGTGAGAGGTCTTTATTCAAGCAGCACGAAGGAACATGAGTGGTGCCATCAAATGGCTAATCTATATCCTGGTTCCTAGAGAGTGGTAGCCTATGGCCTTTCGTCCCTGGAAGTGGGTTTCAATTCCGACAAATGTTCTTCCGTCAAAGCTATTAGGAAGAACGTTCTATCCTGGATCAACTTTGTTGTTTATCCTTGACTGGTGGTTCATGAGTTCTGATGCAGCACATCCTCGTTACTGGTTCAAGGCTTATACAATTATCCCGCATTCAAGATCAAGGTCCTATTGCTGCGGCACTGTCAAATAACTATAAATACCTTTGATATCTACACTAGTTTTGATCCCTATTCAATCTTGGAATAACATAATAATAAAGATATTCAGTTCTAACTGTATTTGCTCTGTCTATATTTCGTTATTCTAAACAATTATCACGAATTCATCAAGAACTGTAATTTCTTACTCGCTTAGCGATACAACCTATTACTCTCTCTTTTTAGGTCAAATCTTGTTCAAAGTTAGCCATTTTCTAACACAAACATCTCTGGATACAAGCCGTTTTAAACGCTTGAAACAACGCCAAATAGTTCTGCTTGGTCACAATTTAATTTCTGATGCTTTACCCTGATTTTTTTTTGTCACTGCAAATTCATGAAAATCGTCGTTTTTACATGAGTATTAGCAAGGAAAAATTCTTGAAAATCAAACGATCGCGTTTTTCACCCCAAAAATGAAGACTTTTTCTATGATACATATCAAATCAAATTAATTGTAAAGATAGTCTGCAACATTGGAAACTATTTTTTTGAGGCTTTCGTATGCTAAATTTTGACATTTCAGCAGACAACCTATTTTCAATTATTTCAAAATTGCTCATTATTTTCAGTCTGAGAGCTAAATATGACTAGCATCATTCGATGCACCTTTATTGACTCTTTATAAATGCATTCGAAAGTAAAGTATAACAACGACAATTTTCATAGTCAAATTTAGCAAAAACATTTAAAGAATGCGAGATCAAGTCAAATTCGAACACAAAAATATTCACTGCACAATTCCAAATTAAAGCGCAGCAGTTACTACGGCTGCCACGGCAGAAGACTGAGACTTAAACTACTGGGCGTGACGTCGGATAGGGCGCCCTCCCATTTTCCATACGCCCGTTTTTTATCCTTTTTGCAAAACGCGTTTAGTATCAAACCATATTGGTTTTGAAACACTTTTGATTGAAAATAAAACTCTATCATCTAATAACACGGCCTTGCACTGTTAAAAGTAATTGATACTTCTTCTTTGAATTGAAATATAGTAGGTACCATTCGAAAACAAGCACAGAAAATGTAGAACAAGCACTAATCGAATTTGTTTATTAGGGTTCAATTTTTTTTTGCCTGTTAGACGTGAGTGCTGTTGCCAATGCTTTTCTGCTATCTCTGCTATCTGCTTCTTTGGTCTATTATGTCTGGTGGTTGCTTCGTTGGTCTCTATCCCTGGCGGTTGCTTCTTTAAGTTTTGTCTGGTCACTGGTGTAGTTCGTTCTTTGGTTGTTCTATGGTGCTTGTATCACTGCTGTGCTTGCTTTTGCTGGTGTTGCTGTTGATGGTATTGCTGCTGATGCTGCTGCTGGTATTGCTGCTGATGCTGCTGCTGGTATTGCTGCTGATGGTGCTATTGCTGATGGTGCTACTACTGACGGCATTGCTCTTGGTCTTGCTTTTGCTGATGGTTCTGCTTATGGTATTGCTGCTGGTGTTGCTGCTGCTGGTGTTGATGTTACTGGTGTTGCTGTTGCTAGTCTGATCTTTCTTGGTCTGCTGTCTCTGTTGTATGCTTGTTCACTGGTCTATCTCTGGCGATTGTTATTCTCTGGTCTATCCATGGTTGTGGTAAGTGGTAAGTATCTTTTTTCTTCTGGTCGCAATGATATAAAGCTTCTCTGAACGCTTTTATTATTGTTTCCTTTCTCATGATAATGCATTCATGATGTTTGCTTGTTGCGCTTTTTTTTTCTTTCGTTGGCTGTGATATGATCAGTTCAACGGATGCTTGCAATGTTGTTGCTTCGTATGTACGAACAACAAGCATGACGTGCTGCTATATATCTGTATTGCCACTGTAATACTACTTTGTTATATGGCCATGGATTGTTGTTTGTGTTGCCTCTGTCGCTTCACATGAAACAACATTAGTCATTATGTTGTATTGCGCACTTATGATACTGCTGTTGCTTCTGCAATTGTGCGTGTTTGTGTTGCTTTACATCCGACTATTATCTTGCACATTGCTCATGTATGCATTTTAGTTGCAACAACAGCAAGCTGTTCTCAACATTCTTTGATGTTACATTTGTTATACTCTTCTTTGACTCACTTTTTGTGTGAGTGTTCCTTTTTTTGCCTACATACTACTATACTCCTATAGTACTGTAGCATGTTCTTTTCTTCTTTTCCTTTTTTCTTTTATTATGTTTCTTTGAAGCATACCTCTTTATTACGTTGTGGTGGATGTGCCTATCGCTGAAGCTCAACAAGACTTTATCCGAGACTAGGACGCAGATAGGCTGCCTCCACTTGGTTATCGCTACTTACTTTAGTGATGATTGAGAGTCTCAACGCCAGAATCTAAAGCTAGGTGATGTAAGTAAGGCATGCTCTAGCACCTGAGGGAAATTTGATGATAGTAACAGCTATATTGCTATATATAGCGGAGCTTAAAATTTTGCCTCACATCAAAACAGGGGGAAACCCTCGCAAAATTTTTTTTAGGTCAGCGGAGTTTTTGGGCGATTTGATTGGCTCTGAGGGGTTGAAGGAGAAAAGGTCTACAACTAATTGATTTTCTGTTGATCTGCCATTTAACATTATTTTGTCTTTTGTAATAATAAAAGCGTAATCAAATGGAAGCAATTTAAATCTTTCTTTGTTCAAGAGTATTATAAGGTGTAATCATTTGATCTAGAATGCATTGAGTATTTACATGTGAGGGATGTTCTTTAAACTTGATATTATATGGGGAAAGCTATATAATATAGGTACAATAGTACGCTATCGTAGGTACCAGGAGAACCTATAATACCAGATACCCCGCTAGGCATGCGTTGTTTATCATTAATATCCAATATGTTCCAATTTAATTGTTTGCTATATTTTATCTCATATCAAAGATTTTAGATATACAACAGTATTTTTTTGTCTCGAGGTTTGGGCCCTCCAAAATCAAGTTTTGAAATATCAATGCTAGAGCTCTAAAAAGAGCGTGTTACTATAATTAAACTCTGCAATGAGGAAAACGATAATGTAGTTTTATTTGGATTGGATGATGGGTTATTGTTCAGAAACGGATATTTTCCAAAATATGACAATTTTGAGTAAAGACCTATGCACAAAATCCATTGAACGCTGCTAATTACAAGTGATTACAAGCTATAAATCAATGTATTAGGTGTTGGAAAACTTTTAAATTAAAACCGCCTGGTGATAGCTTGCTTCGTTGTGGTATGGCAAAGGTTTAAAGCTGTGCTACAAATTTTGTGAGAAAGGGGGAACAGCTATCCCAACCCTTATGTTGATGGTAGTAGAGTCTTCATCTCAGGGATCATCATGTGCCCAGTCTGAAGGGTTGTCAAACATATGAACGGGTTTTAGGCCGCTACTGATCTATCAGGACTGTATAGTCAGCAAAACTAAATGGTAATTAAAAGACATCATTTTATCGATGCATGATTTCGTTGCATCTATACGTGTTGGGATAGATCAAATAAGTGAAAATAAGGATTATAAATCATGAATAGCATAACGATGAATTATGTAAATGAACGATTATGAAAGATGAAGTATCTAATGACATATGGCGGCGATAGATACGATGATGACATATAAGATATCCTTACTAGATTGCTAAACTGTATTGTTATGCTTGATGGACCACTGTTTGGCAGCTGAACAACTAAATAAGAAATACTGTGATTCCTCACTTTGGTAGATCACGGTATATGTGAATATAATCGTGTCTGGATATCTGTCATGTAGTTTTAAAACGGCTGTTATAACTCTACCAATATACATGATGATAACGATGCTAAATGGTAGATAATCACTGCGGGATTTTTATTGCTTACGACAAGGAGGTATGCATGGCGCTGATGGATGAAGAAATCTTTTGATTTTGTGCTATTCGCTTGGGGCTACGTAAATTAACATAACTGGGATATATTCAAATTATAATTTTGTCAGTCGTTACATTTGGGAACAATGTTTAATTTAAAGTGATATACGTCTCTCTACCCTAAATCGTTGAATGCAATACTATCTTTGACAATTTGGTGTCATTCCAGATAGGTTCCTACACACTGTGATCTCCTCTCAAGAGTCCTTTCAGATGATATTAATGAGGGAATAGATCTCAGTGTAGCTCATGATGCAATGGTTGGTTTCAAACTTGTGCTGTAGCTAGTGATGACAGAAAATATTGGCAGAATGCACAAAACCGCTTTTCGTACATATGTTTGATTCAAAATGGCATACGGTATAAATCACTGGTATTTGTAAGCGGGGACATTTCCTGATAGCACAGCTTTGATTTAGAGGCAAACATTACTCATCAGCTATTGCAGACCCAGCAAGAGTCATCCACACAACATTTCATAGCATTTCACTTGTCATTGTGAGGTAGGGAATCAAGATGCTTCTGCTGTAGAAACGATCAGCTTTGTAGCAGTGATGTTCAATGATATACTGATCTAGCAAACTTAATCCCTACACAAGTTCTGGTACCATTTGGTCGTTGGGTAGAGCCTCAATGTAGAATGTTAGCTCTAGTTGTGAATAAATCGATGATAAGAAACCCTTAAAAGTACTGATCCTCTAGCACCCGATCGATAAATCAAAGTTTTCTTATCGAGCCGCTGATTTCAGTGCCATGGTAACTTTTGGGATATGTTGGGTCCTTGTCTGATGTTAGATATGGATGGTCTGATTAATCGCTTCTTGTTGAAAGTGGCTGCTTGGGTACAAGGCCATGTTGAACAACAATTGTCCAGGAAGAAAAATACATCCCTGTATATATAGAGAGTATGTTTTCTTTGCCATGCATCAATATACATCTAAGATCGCATTGTTTGAAAACCTGTAACTGGTATCGGATTTGTCTCGAAGGAAACAAACACTTGACCATCATTACGGCCAGCACATAGCCTACATCTTTAAAATTCTTTATACCTTGTTATGAGCGCATCATTACCAACAATTTGTGGATGTATGCGAGTCTATATAAATTATTCAACCCAGTCAATCAGAGCACATTGACATACCAATAAATTCGAAATGTGTATCACTAACACATCGTAGTTGGCATTAGATGAGAAAATCAATGGTGAAAATGCAATTTCATATCTGTTTGTATGAAAATTTTATTATGGGAAGCTACTGTACATCTATTTTTGTGCTTGAAGAGTGTAATCAATAATAAAAGATTGTGTAATAAGATCATCGATTCTTTGGTAATGACGATCTGTGTAAGGTAATAAGCCATCAATGATCTCCTTGGCTGTAGGAATATCCACTAGTTCTTCTGATGTGTGAGAGGCAAGGATAGCATGAAGAACGGTTTGTGCAATATCTGAATGTTTAGCATTGGTATTCCAATCTCTAATATATCCCAACAGCTTTTCCAGATTCTCAATGGATAATTCAGCGAGAATTTTGTCCACATTTTCTGATCCAGTAATGCTTGTATCCCCTTCAGGTCTAGCTTCAAAGACTTCTCTGAATAATCCCAATAAACGGAAGGGCTGTTCCAACGATAATGCTAGTAAGATGGCGTTCAAATAGTCCTTCTTACGCATAAAGTTTTGTAATTCCTGTTCCTTGATTAAAAGCTCTTCCTTCTCCTTCAATTCGTCTTCTTGTTCTTGCAAAGTGACATCCTCCCAAAAGTTCACAACGGAATCAGCGCCAGCGGAAACAATGTATTTCTCATCCTTGCGCACAGCCAATGCCCAAACCTTCTGCGTATGGTTATCAAGTGTAGAAGCGCATTCATTTGTCTTGATTGTCCACACCTTGACAAGACCGTCTGAACCAGCTGACACTAATTGCATACCAGCAGTTAAAAAGTCGACTCGGAGAACAGAGTTGGTGTGGCCTTCAAAGGTCTTGAGACATGTAAAATCCTTCAAACTCCAAATCTTGACAGTTTTATCACCTGAACTTGTAGCGAGGACTTGGTCCACTGGAGAGAATTGCGCACACCACACACCACGCTTATGGCCCTTCATCGTACCCACTAATTCACCAGAATCGACACTCCAGAGTTTAGCGGTTTTATCTTGCGAGCCTGTCGCAAAGAATTTGTCGTTGGGAGCCACGCAAATTGTATTGATATCCTTTTCGTGGGCTTGGTGAGTATAAAGTGATTTGGGTCGGTACTCCTCATCGGCATCGTCTAAATCCAAATCTCTCAAATTCCAATACTTGATGGTTCTATCTTGACTTCCAGTAATCATAAAGGAATTTGACTTTCGCGACAAGGCGACAGCGCCAACTGATTCTGTATGGCCAATGCAAACACCAGCACTCTTGAAACGCTCTTTCTGATCTGGGTTGCTTAAATCAATCTTCCAAAGGCGAGCAGTTTTATCCTTTGATGCTGTCACTACAAGCGTGCCGTCTTTTGATCGATCCAAGGAGATAATCATATCGTCATGACCGTAAAGCAAATCGCAATCTTGTGTCTCGACATTGTAAACTCTCAATTGTGCACTGTTGGTGGCTGCTGCTAAATGTGTATCGTTGTCGCCCAAATAAGCTACATCAACCACTTCATCATTGTAACCGACAATTTGCTTGGTGCGTTCTAGTTTGTGTTCCAGTGAGTACATGAGTATGTTTTGATCGTTGGTGATGGCTGCTAGTGTCTGTGTCTTTTGAATATATACAACATCTGAGATGGTGTGTTTGCTGTTCTTTTCGGGTTCCTGTGCTTTGATCAATTTACCGCTCTTGAGATCCCACAACTTCACCAGTCCAGAATCACCCGCAGTGTAAAAAATATCGGCGTCTTGCCAGTTTTTGCCAAACTTGCCAGCTAATATGACATTCTTTTCCAAAAAGCCAACAGTTTCGAGTGTTTCAAAGATAGGATACGTGGCTCTTAACTCCTTGGCTTGCCAATCCCAGACATTGACGACCTTATCACGAGAACCAGAGATCAAGAATTTACCGTCAGCAGAGAAATCAAGACCACGGATCACACTGACATGGCTTTGTAACACTGCAATGCAACTGCGAGTTTGCAAATCCCATATACGAACTTGGCAATCATCAGCACCGGAAGCAATGTACCATTTACCGTTGAAATTGTGGAACTTGATGGCCGAAATAACACCACCATGGCCCTTGAGGTTGTGAGTACAATAGCCCTTGTCGATATCCCACACCTTGATGCTGGCATCTGCTGAACCGGTGGCTACCAATGTTGAGGTAGGATCAATGTCCATAACAATGATAGGCGCTTCGTGTGCTTTAAATGTACGGATGCTTTCACCTGTAGCAAGGTCCCAGATACGAAGGAACAAGCTACGACTAGCACTGACCAAGTGCTTTCCATCAGGCTTCACTGCCATTGTGGTGACAATCTCGGTATCCTACATGGTTGAATCAGAGTGAGTCCACTACAACGGCATTGTGCTTTATTGCCAATACATACGCCTTCCAATTCGTGCACTTGCTTTCCAGTATCAAGTTCAGTGACAATGATATCCTCATTGAGTGTAGTGATCAAATGTTTAGCATCGTCGGTAATAACAACTTTGCCACCAGTGTAAATGGATTCGATGGTCTTTACAGATTTGAAGCTAGATGTCACGTTAGATCGAATAGTTGCGCTAACTTTTTTATTTGATTTACCTGGTCTTGAGCAAAAGCTTTTGTGGTTCTTCAGCCATAGTAGTATACAATTAGTGTTTAACCAGTGTGAATCCAACTTTTTTTACCTTGAAATGTCAAAAAAAATGCCTAAATCATGGCAGGAAAAATTGTCACAAGGGCATGGCTTGTCTTTACAGCCATTTTGCATTCGTCAAGAAGCTTCCCCTTTGTACCTATGCACTTGCATTAATGTCACAATCCAAGAGATTCATCCAAATACATACAAAGCGCCCCAGAAAACCAAAATGTACATATCAAGACTTTCTCATGAGGTTTAAATTTGACCAGCATTCATCAAATGTATCCAAACAAACTCCAGCAGCATCCCGGTGCAAGTCCACATTGATTTCCCTCTTGACGACGCTGACCTAGTAATGTTAATCCTCACTAAATGCTGCTGATTCACCCAAATCACTCAAAATTGGCACTTTCAGCAAGTCATAGCTCCACTTTCCGGCTATTTTGAACGTTCTCATGTACACCAAACGAAAGCCCTCGATTGATAGATGTGCCCTGATGTCTTTTCTCGATCAAAAATTTTCCATGATTTTTCATCGATTTTGCCCTTGTATAGCAAGGCTGAAATCCCAAATTCCACAAATGTCGATTTTTCTTGCCAAAAATGTCACTTTCTACTATGGTATATATAAGATCAAAATGACGGCAGAACCTTCCTTTATCAGATGGCAATGTCTGTTGTGCACGTTTCTTGTTAAATTTTTCACTTTTTCCAGATAAACTGAAATTTGACTTTTCCACAGTATCTTGTGTTGTAGGCACATTTCGAACAAGCAAAAAACGCCATTGGAAAGTACTTGAAAAATGAGATGGAAACCATTAGAGAGTGGTAGTGGTTGCATTTCGTTTGTGATAAAAAAAATCCCTTGAAGATCAAAAAAATTCCCAAAATGTCAATTTTTTTTTTTTTTTTTTTTTTTTTTGTAAGGAAGAGTTTATCTCTTCTGTTTTTATTTAAAGTCCTTAAATCGTCACTAGATATAAAGGAGAGGAGGTAAAGACTGTGGGATATAAAGGGAAGCTTAAATGATAGTATCAAAGGAGAGTTGAGAGTCGAGATGGTGCAGTGCACGATGAATGGAGTGGATGATTATTGACGGAATGAAAGGAGAGTGTTGGAAAACTTGGCAGTAATGAGCAGACCATATGGCCTGTTGAATGCAAGCAAAGACTTGGAAAACGGATAGATCAGGAAAAAGTTCATGAGAAGATCGGTCAAGAGTAAGGCGCAGGTGAAGGATAGCTAAATATTCCTCGTAGGCGAAGTGGGCGAAGCGAGGGGAGATGTAGAGAGAGAGAGAATGGCGCCAAACTTCCAATTTGAGGGGACAGGAGAAAAGGAAGTGCTCTGTGTCTTCGATGGCAGGTGGTATGGTGGAGGATGAAGACTGACAATGAAGGCAGTACGGCGGAAATTGGTCGCGCATGCGTTGGTGGAGTAGCTGCCTAGTAGTAACTTTTTCATGAAGTATCCGAAACCAAGTATTGCGAGCATTCAAAGGTATCTGGAGGGCCCAAAACTGCTTCCATTTGGCAACACCTAAAGGAGACGAGAAAGAGGGCATGTTAGTATGTAGAGGAAGGGATTTATACCCGTGGTTAGTAGGGAGAGACATAAGGAAGGAATGGGACTCAAAGGAAAATGAGGATGACATTAAGGAAATGAGAAGAGTAGAGATATGGGTGATACTTTCGGTATAGCTGGTGATGGTAGAGAGGTCGATGTGGTGGATGACTGGACGAGGGACGAGAAGAAGCCGGTTGAAATGAACGAAGTTGGCGAAGAGTAGTTGTTCAGATTGTAGGAGTTGAAGGGCTCGACGGCTGGTTGTAGGATGAGGGAGGTCGCGTGTTGAGATTCGAACTTGGAGGGCTTGAGTTGCTGGGTCAAAGGTTAAAACATCGTTACCTGTGAGGGTAAGAACGCCAGGACAGCGTACAGTCACTTCCTGTGGGGGGCAGAATGTAGCCGAGAGGCTATGAGATGATGGCAGGCTATGTTCGATTAGGGTTGCAAGCGGGAGGCGCAGACAAGTACTAAAGGGAACATGGCAGACACCAAACTTGCGGGCAATAGCATCGACGGCTCGAAGGAGGTTGTAGAGTGGGGCAGTGATAGCTGTTGAACGGGATGGCCGGCAAGCAGGGGAAAGAAGGGACCAGTGGTAGGTAGGATAAGAGGGAGTAGCAAGAAAGAAGTTGAGAATGACACGTATGTAAGGAATCGAGGTCTTGGTAGGAGGAGTGGGGTTTGCCGGATGCAAAAGAGGGTGTAACCATCGCCACTGAAGAGCATTGATCTGTTTAGCGGGATCCAACAGATTTAGACCACCTTGAGATCTAGGTAGACAAAGAGTGCTGAAAGAAAAACGGGTTAGTTTGGCCTGGTTATTAACAAATGAAGCGCCCAGATGTTGTAGTTTGCGGATATCGGTAGCCGAGAAAGGAAACAGACGGGCGACATGCCACACTTTTGAAAACAAAAGGGAGTTCAGCACCGTAACCCGGCCACGAAGGGTGAGGGTACGAATGGAATGGAGACGACAAAGATCGCGTAAACGAGTTAGTAAGTTATTGACGTATGAAACCCGTTGTACCGGCGACGAACAAACAGGGTAGCCGAGATATGTAATGGGACTAGTCGCAGTCTTATCATGCCACGAGGAGATGCCTGTCGCTCTAAGACCGGCGATCCAGGATGCATGTGAGGCGCCAGAGAGAGACAATGCTTGCGTTTTGTGGTAGTTGAGGGAGGCATTGGACGCATCGGCATACCTACTGACTAGTTGTTGAAGCTGGTAAAATCCACCAAGATCGTTGAGGAAGACGAGAGTGTCATCTGCATACGCAAGAACTTTGACTGGATCGGCTACAGGAACGTGATGAGTAAGTGGTGTGGGGAAACGTGAATTCGTGTTAGCAATATAGTCAAAATCAAAGCCCTGAATATCCGGATGGTTATTGATAGCACGAAGGAAGGGATCGAAAATGATGTTGAACAATAGCGGACTAATGGGATCCCCTTGGCGCATGCCGCGGTGGGTAGTAAACGGGGCGGACAGATTTCCATTGATGTTAACCTGTACCTGAGTGGTAGCCAACAGCGCAAGCAGTGATGATGTTAATTGAGGAGGCATGTTAAAGGCAGTGAGTATAGCGGAAAGGTAGTCAAGATTGACCCGATCATATGCCTTCTCCTGATCTAACAGTAAAGCAATGGACGTGGATTGAGTGGCCGTGGCAAGAGATTGGGCGCAATGTAAAATCATAGCTGGTTCACCAATGAAGCGCTGAGGCATGAAGCCAGATTGAGAGGAACTCAAGCGGGTGCGAAAGTGTTCCATGAGACGAGCGTTCAATAGCCTGGTGAAGATCTTAGCATCACAACAAATGAGACTGATGGGGCGCCAGTTCTGTAACAGTGACAGGTCGCCTTTCTTGGGAAGCAGCACCAGGCAAGTTTCCTGCCAAGATTGTGGGAACAGACCATGTAACAGAGCGTCAGAATAGACTCGAAGGGCGACAGCAGCTGTGGAAGTATGAGTCAGTAGAAGTTGAATGATGGCGTAGGGTATGGAGTCAATGCCAGGACTGGATTGTTTAGGGGCCCGTGTAGCGGCGTCGGCTAAATCATCCAAGGTAAAAGGCTCACATAATGCCGGGTGTTCAGAATCTGGAATTTGGTCAGTAGCAGGAATTTGGTCAGTGAAATACCGGATCGCGTCAATGTCCACCGCATCAGCAGTATATAAGCGGTCGTAATATGCGACTGCGGCTGCCTGCTTGTCAGTTGTCGTCTCACAGGTGGTGGTCGAGATGGGATGTATCAAGGTGGGGATGGCCCGTTGTTGAGTGCGTTGGGTGGCCAACCGCTTGAGGAAACCGGCGGATTTCTCACCTTGTTCTCGCCATTTTATGCCGGACCGTAGTGCTTGGATATCGGTTAGCTCCTGCTGAAGGTGGCCGATCATGGCTTCGATTTGTGGGAGGCGATCGTTGCGTATCTGCGTCGTCTTGTAGAGGCGAAGGTACTTGTTGCGTTTGCTTTGGAGGCGACAGAGCAGACGACGACGCCATTCGGCCTGTCGACGACTACAACTTCTTGCGACTTGACGGGTAATTGCTTTAAGCTGATCCCAAACTTCCTGAGGCCTGATGCCAGCGGATTCGGAGGCTATTTGATCGTGGAACTCGTCAAGTTTAGCAAACAGACGTTGTTGAAAGAACTTGTTGTGAGCTAGTTGGGGGTTGATTCGCCATAGACCTTTACCAAAATCCGGGTTCGCAAATGTCAGTTGTGTAGAAAGTAGAGCATGATCGGTCCATTCAGAATGAACAAAGTGAACGAAGTGATCGGTTCTGAAATCTAAAAGTTGAGGATCCATAAACATGTAATCGATGGTAGAGAGTGTGGTGTTGCGGCGAAATGTGGGCACCAAAGGGTCCTGACTTAATTCATGCGTACTTTCCTGATAATAATGGGTAAGCACCGAGTGGAAAAGCCATTGTGGATGAATGTTAGTGGATGCCACGGTGGGTGGTGGGCGATATTGGCGAAAATTGTAGTTGAAATCACCTAACACAATAGAGGGAGCATCAGGGACGGTGGCCAGGTAGTTGTTATGCATCCCATCAGCGGTGTGCATGTTGTTGAGAAGGGCTTGAAAGAGAGGCTGCTGAAGTAGTTGGTCATAAAAGGCATATCGGTCGGAATGAGTGGCAGGTGCGTAGATATTCATGATCTTTAAAGGGGGAAACTTGTTAGTAGAATGGGAAACATTGCAATATATAACTCGACCGTCCTCGGAAACAAAGATAGGATCTAGAATAATGTGAGGTTGAAGACTTACTATCCCGCAGTGGGATGTCCAAATGGATGATTGAGCTTGTAGTTGTATGTTGAGGCGGTTTTGGATGGTGGGTTCGTGGGCGTGGGTTTCTTGGAGGCAGAGAATACTGGGAGGCGGGTCGTATGAATGGCGCAGAAAGCGACAAAAGGATTGACTGGCGGGGACGTTGGATGGTTTGGATAAGCTACGACAATTAAGACTACGAATAGACAAGTGAGTGTGTTGAATATTATTTGAATTAGAAGATACCGAGGGGACAAAGACATTAGGAAGAGGAGCCGAACGATTGACTAGAGGAGATAATGAAGGCTCACTCATTGATGAGATTCTTCGGGGTCAGTCGAGTGTGCACTAGGGTGGAATTCTTCGGTGACCTCCATGAAATCGGATTCGACGACATTGCCAAAGAGATCGTACAGCACAGGTTTGCGTAATTGAGATGCTATGCTGGGCTCAAGTAATAGTTGACCGAGGTTGGAGTGAATGTTGGGAGTACGTTTGGGAGGGCGAGGAAGCAGTTCAGCGGAAAGCGCTTGAGCTTTGGCTGTGGAAATCCAATTTTGGGAAATGAAGAACTTGAGAACACCTGGAACAGTATGAAGCTTGACAAAGCGTACTGTGCGGACGCATCTGTCGGCGTGAAGAGCGGCGGCGATACGAACCAATTGAGGGGCAGGCATATCAGCAAATTTGGGGTCGGCAACGTGTTGAGCATCGAGAGGGTTGAAATCAGGGATCGCTGTGAGCCCACCTTCAGTCAAACGGCGAAGGATGTCGTCTCGGTAGTCAGTGTGGATCAAGATGGTAGCGATATTGCGAGCCGGGAAAGTAACGTCGAGGATGCGCTTACTATCGATGCCAACGGCAGCGAGAGTGGCACGGTATTCGGCGTGAGACATACGGTGAGCACGGTGGAGATGAATAACATCATAGGCAGGAGTGTCAGTAGGAGTGCGTGGTGGTTGAAGAACACGGATGGCATGTTCGCGGCGGCGTTTGGGGTTGGCAGTAGCAGGACGTTGAAGGACTTGTGTCCATTGGGGTGGCTGGGTACCTGATGGGTGGGGTTGAGGCTGTGGAGCTGGCGTCGTAGAGGCATCCGAGTTGACAGTGTTGGGAGGGTTGGCGGGAGCGGTGGTAGGAGAGCGGACGAGCTTCTCGAGATTGCTGATAACAGAATGAAGGTTATTCACATCCTGTCTGAACTGATCATTCAGGGCCTGTTGAGCCTGTTGCGCTTTTTCAAAGACATCGAGACGAGAGTGTAATGCCTTCACAGATTCCACAAGAGCGAGAATGGCGGATTGGTCGATCACGATGTTTGACATGTCGATCAATCGTTACAATGTTTATTTGTTGTTTGCGATCGCTTTTTCAGGGATTTTTCTTACAGCGAGGATCAAACTATGTAAAATTTGAAAAGCGAAAGAAAGGTGAAAATGTCAATTTGGAACAATCGGTGAACCTTTTGTTCGACCGAAATTTAATCTCCGCCAGTTCTCCAGTACTCGCCTTTGATCGCATATAGCGTGCCCCAAGCACAAAATGAGGTACATGATGATGGTTGATAGTGTACTGGTTGTATATCTTCAAGGAGTTTGATTTGCATATGCTGATTTTTGGTAATTAATGAATAACTGTTGCGCATTTTTGGCTCGGATCGCCCTGTTTGATAGGCAACATTCTGTTCCTTTTGCCTCAAAGAAGGAATTCCAATTCTCGACATGTCTGCACATCTACCGTACATATGTAACCGTAGTCATTCGAGAAAAGAAGAGCATATATAGCACATGTCTTTATTCGAAGCTGTTGTCTAGGGCTATTTAAAGTTTTCAAAAGACTGCAATACATCTTCCAGCAAATCAATAGGATCCTCGTCAGTGTTGTCAGTTGTCATGAACTCGGTCAATGCTGATTGAATCGACATTTTGATCTGGCCTAGCTCATCTGTGATCACTGCCAATTGTTCTTCCGGTGAAAGTTTCAAGTACAGTTCGACCAAATCACCGTGAATCGTCGCTTGTTCTGCACCCGATAGCTTGCAAAACCATCTAAAATTGTCTGTACTTCCTAGCAAAGGTTTCGTGGGTTCAAATTCGACAAGTTCGTTTGAAAGCGCATGCAATAGTTGGTAGAGTGGTTCTGAGATTCTGAACACATGGATCATGCCACCCGATACTGTGCATCCAACAATGGGTTTCACAGCTGCTGCATCCTGGTTCCAGGGTAATATGTAGGATGGTACGTTGGTTTGAGTGCGTAATGTGGCCAATTTGGGTTTGACAATGATATCAGCATAATGAAAGTTGAACAGGCATTTCAACCGACGTTCAAAGGATCTGTCATCGGGATCGTCGAATAAAGCCACCATGCCACCGGATTGACTGACACCCACAGCCAACCTGTTGTTGAGCATCAGCGAGTGATGAATGCTTCGTGATACAACATCACTAGATGAAAGAAAAAGATGAGCTCCCGTGTTAATTTGATCCGCATCTATTAGTTTACCTCTTCAAAAAGTCATAGGTCTTCGATGAATGGTCAAATTCATAAAAGGACACTGAATCATTGTGAAATGTGACGCAAATACGGCCCCCTTCCTCATGAATGGAAGTGATGAGATACTGCAGTGCTTTGTGTGCGACTTGCACTAAACGGCCAGTGACGGGGTCCAGCCGATACAGATACAAATGACTACCAGCAGAGAATAAAAGCCTGCAGTGCATTATGATTAGAATGGCTACAACAGGAAAGGGTTGACTCGTTCACTTACCCAGCTGAATGTGGACAGATGGCAAAGACACCACCGGGCAACTTTTCTTGATCCCACACCCGTTTCAATGGAAACTTGTTGTTATTCTTTAAACGGAATAACAGCAGAGTGCCTCTGTCCATCAAAGCTTTTGACACGCGTGCAGACATGCCAGATCGAAATGAATGAAAGGGCTCTTTGGGATGTCCAAGGCCAACACAGAGGTATTTGTAAGTTTTGTGCTTGTTTTGCACAGACCATTCTAAATAGAAATGCAATTAGCTATAAATGCCATTCTGTTATGTAAAGAAAACCTACCAGTTGCTGAAAGAACCATGTCACTACGTCCATAGTCCGTGTTTGTCCAAAGCAATTGATTATCTGTCAGGATATGGCCGCTGTACAAAAGAGTATGAATAGGATGTACACCTGTCAATGCATAGGGTAGCCTACCTTGCGAGATCCACAAGACGAATAAAGTTCTTGCGATCACCGTTTTCCATGCGTGTAGTAATAGCAATGAGATAACCAAGCGATTTATCGTAAACGATCTTGCGAGGAGTATCTTTGAGCTCGATTTTGCGTGTACTCAACTGTGTATCAGGGCTGAGAGCAAATATATGCAGCTTATCCTCTGCTATCAGCGCAATACGTTCACCGTACAAGGTGGGCAATCCACAGTCGAAGAGACAGAATGCATTGATAAAGTCAAAATTGGATACCAACACACGATCCAGGTGCATGTTTTCATCCACATTGCACGATATTTTCCACAACTGGCCAGACAGTGCGTAAATACCGTCTTCGCAAGGCACTAAATCTACAGCAGATTGACCCACACGAAAAATCTGCAATTCTTGATTCTCCAAGTGAATGCACTCTTGATCAAAGTTGATAGGCATGCATAGTATTGAGCCTTGTCGTAATCCACACACTAGCCAAGAGGATATAACGACTGCTGAGTAAGGTACTGTGAATGGTCCTGGTTCTTGTAGCGCTGTAGAGATAAAATTGGTCAGTTGTTACAGACCTAATGCAGTCAGATGAACTTACAAAGATCTACTTGTTGGACCTGTTCAAGCGACTCGCTCTCTACAGTATAAATCAATATGGACGGTTGGAAGGTGCCCACCACGAGCGACGCTTTTGACCTGATTATATAGTCAATGTCATCTGTTTCAATCTAGCATTAATAGAACAACCTACCCAATGCTAAAGCACTCCAAACAGCTGGGACAATATGGCAACGGTTCTGATGCAATTTGTTTGTCTGATAATGAGAAAGAGCTGATAAAGCAAGATACTAAGTACAGATGCTGGCCATGGTAGAATGAGATTTACCTCGTAGAGTGCGTGGCGATATGTACAAGTTCCAGCGAGAAAGAGTTGTTACGTATCATACAGAATGCTACATAGACAGCATCACCCACTTGCCAGCAAGTAGCCATCTCAATTCGATCATCTGATCCAATCAACGGTGAAGAGTCGAGCAACACCTCCTTTGATCCAACATCAATTACTGAAAATCCAGCCACATGCACTTGAAGCAACAGATTGTAATTGTTGATTGTAATGGATGTCGCATACACTGTTTCTGTGTTGAACTCAATGTTGGATAATGATGTGATGTCCTTGATGTGCCCATCTGAGGAATTGCATTTCGTTTAGTAAAGTAATTCTGCTTTTTTTTTTTGTATAAATCTACCTTTAGTGCACAGTAATCTTGTGTCTAACAAGGAAGATACCACCAAACATGGCACATGTTCTTTCATGGATACTGACGCTGTTACATGCCATACACGAGACACACTATAGATACAGGTATGAGTCATTGTCTTGCACAACTAGTCCGTATATCAACCTACCCTTTCCATTCATATTTAGAAGATTGCACAATGTGAGATGCCTCAATGCCATGTGTAACAATAGATAATGCACCATGAAGGTCCTGCCCTGAGCATGTAATAACGGCATCCTGATCCCCAAGAAAGTCCTTGGCTACTTGGTAGTCTGTCAGTGGTGCCCTATTGACGATATTTTGAACCACGTCTCTTCTGAATGGCAGTGTTGATGTACACATGGCTAACACTTGATTATCTGCACTTTCGCCTGCACAAAACAGCACATCTGTGCTGCGAAAGCCTCTTGGTTCCTCAACATCCATTCTTCCCAGCACACACATCGCTTGACTGATGGGGCTTGTCGAATCCAAAGGTTGCCAATCAATATTTACCTCTCTTTCTCCCCAAACATCCACGCCAAGTCTATATAAATGTCCTTCTGACGAACCTAGATAGATATGTCGCTCATACTTGTTCAGCATAGCAGCATAAGCTGTGAATAATGGACCTAGTGCTTCCAGTGTTAGAACGCATGGGTGAAAAAAAGGCGTGTTGAGTCCTTACACTCTAGACTTCTAGGTTTTCTCGGGATTTGGCTTGTTGGATAGAGGACATTCCCACAAGCGAGATCATCTGCTTTTAAATAAGATACATTTTGTTCCTGAATAGATCTATAAGTATTTGAGTTGCATATGGATTCAAGCTATACACATCGCTTACTGTGACCAACAAGAATGCCTCAGTCTGAAATGTCAATGGTATTAATAATAAAGGTAAGGGGGTATCTATTCCATGGTGTCAGCATTTCAGTGCTTGATGTCGTCCAAATACTTACTTTTCTCAAGAGGCAACCGGCTGATCTTTTCAATGGTAACGTTCTTCATATCGGATGCGTCAATGGAGTACAGCACCAATCTACATAATCGTTCTACATCACTGGACAAATGTTTAGCTTGATGCAATCAAACCTCTTTCATAGGACGCTTACTTGTAAACCACCAACACCAGTAGAATCTTATCCATTGAGTCAGATTCTGTGTGCAAAAATTCCATCTGCCAAATGATGCCTTCCTCAAACTCTGATCCACGCTATAACAGACGTATATCAGCCATTCTATCGCTCCTATATATACACACACACACACACACACTTACACCAATAATGGGATCAAAGTGGATCCTCGATGTCGTTTTATCCAATATCAAAATGTCGAAATGATCCTGAAACGAAGCAATCGCAATCGCTCTTCCGCATGGATCAATAGCCAATTTCTTGCCCTTTTTGGTGTACTCTAATCCGGGGCTATCTAAATACACTTCTGCCAATGTCTCGAATCTCCTTGTCATAGCGTCCTGGATGATGGTCATGAACACTAGTTTGCCGTACTCTGAAAGCGCTACAATGATATCGTTGCCTTGAATTCTGGAGTGGTTTCTGGTCTTTTTGGAGTAGCTCATCTCTTGATATTCTACTGCTGGTTCGTGGTCTTGCTCCATAATGGATCCACTGATGCTGCTGTTGCTGTCATCCTCCTCATACTCCATCGGCAATAATTTAGCGTCATTGATGATGCCAAATGTAGATTGCTCTAATTGGCTTTGAAGTATGTTAGGGTTGGACTCGGTTACTTGATGTACAGTGAGCCATTCTAATGAGCCTCCCTATTTACAGTGTTATCATGTCAATGATGGTTCAACAGCTCGAATGACAATGATAGTGACCTTGACCAGCACAATATCAGACTCATCTCTGTTGGATATATCTCCTCGAAGAATGTGCTGTATGTGAGTGCTGAAGCAAGTGGAGCGATAGTACGCATACATCAAGATAGAAGAGAGAAATTTTTGCAGAAAAGAAATGCAATAATTACCTTTTTCAGTGCTTCTCACTGGTTAAATAGGAATCAGTAGCCCAGAGAAGGTCGCTGAATAAATATGTGCTTGGATCATCCAGCACATCCTGAGCGAGCTATTGATGTCTGTATGGCCAATACCAATGCTTGCTAGCAGCGATGTGATACCATTGTAATCTCTAGTGGTGCATTGTATCTATCTATAGATATGCTGGAGGTAAATAGCCAAACATTCACATTGAAACAGCTGCCAAATGTCATTGAGGAGCCGATGTTCAATGCTGCGGCATCAATCCAATGATGAATTGATAAGACAAGCTAGTGTAGATTGTGTGATTACTTGGTGATGTACATTGAATGAGAAGATTCTGCTCTGTTATCTTACTGACCATGTGCTTTAGCTTACCGGCGATGCAACCAATGCTAGTGTGGCGGCTATACCTTACTGTCTCCTGGTGACTGCAATCATACAGCCAACACAAAAAGAGAGACAGGTTTTTTTTTGTTGGTTCATCTCTTTATCATCCCTTTACATTAGAAATGCGTTGTCATAACTGTGGATCAGATAGAACAGAATCAGATAGTGCCTCTGGAACCAGTTACTGTGTGGATTGTGGTACAGTAAGTAGCATTCTATCATCATCAACATCACCTGCATTGTTATTGAATGTGTCACTGATAAAATGGTGATAGGTACTTGAAGAAAATACCATTGTCGCTGAAGTGACCTTTGGTGAGACCTCGGGTGGTAAAGCCGTACTGCAAGGTTCCTATGCTGGTGAATCAGGTAAGTGTTGGATACGACATGTGCATTGGGGGAGTGCAATTGACTCATGAAATGCTGCTTTCCTTAGGTCGTATTGCTGGTGGTGGTTTGTTTGGCAGAAACAGAGGCAGAGAGGGACAGGAACAAGCCATTGAGAATGGTAAGTCAAGTTACATGATGCATGAGAAAGATCCACAATTGACGCACTCGTAGGTCGTATCAAGATCTCTAGTTTAGCACATGCTGTCAGGTTACCAGAGCGTTATAGAGAAGCAGCGCAACGATACTACAATCTCGCCGTAGTGAATCGATTTACACGAGGTCGCCGCAGTGACCATGTAGCAGCCGTATGCTTGTACGCCGTGTGTAGAACAGAAAAGAGCTCTCATATGTTGATTGATTTCAGCGATATTTTGCAAGTCAATGTGTTTACACTGGGCGCTACGTTTCTCAAACTGTGTCGAGTACTCAACCTCAGCTTGCCTCATGTGGATCCCTCAATTTACATCAGTCGATTTGCAGTAGCCTTGGATTTTGGCGATTATACACAGCGTGTGGCTCAGGATGCCGTGCGTCTCACACAACGTATGGACCGTGATTGGATTACAAGTGGTAGAAGACCTGCTGGTGTGTGTGGTGCTTGTTTACTGATGGCAGCTCGTATGAACGGTTTCCGCAGAACCACCAAGGAAATGACCTACATTGTCAAAGTAGCCGATGTCACTATTCAAAAGCGTCTATACGAATTCAATCAAACCGAATCAGCCCAATTGTCAGTCCATGATTTCAGAACACTTTGGCTAGAGAAACGAGCCGATCCCCCTTCATTCCAAAAGAACCGCAAAATTCAGGAAGAGACAGAGAGCTTGTCCAGTGGAATGGCAAGTCCATATGTGCTGGAGTCCAGCGATTTTGATAAAGAGAACACAGAGACAGAGGAAGAGGACACAGCATCTGTGGGCGAAAAGCGAAAGGAAAAGAACCACATGCCTATAGATTCACCACAAAAGGTTCGCGCTTTGTCCACCGTCGGTGAAGGGGAGGAGGAAATCAGTGAGGCTGACGACGACCTTGTCGAGCTCTTTGGAGGCCATCAAAAGAACATTACAGCAGTAGACAACGGAGCCAAGGGGCCCAAACCTGTGCGCAGTAGTAATAATAAGAGCGCCAACAACGGGAAAGCAAAGCAAAAGGAGCTTCAGGACGAAGCCGATTTTGAAGACCACCTAATTGAGCAACAAATCCAAGACGCACTGAACCAGGAGGTCAAGGAAATTGCCAACGTGGATGTTTCCTTATCAGCACAAGCATCCATTCTTCCCTCCAACAAACAAGCCACACAAGACACAGACGCTACTCAAGTGGGCACACAAGTGACATTGGCAGACGATACACAGGCTACCTTAATTGCAGATGGCGAAGCTGGCTATATACCCCTCAAAAACCAAGCGTATGAGCAACTGACGACAGAGCAGAAACTAGAATTGACAGCCATCGCTAAAGCCAAGGTAGCACAAGAAGAGCAAGAGCTACTCAACCCTCATCTAGAAAAAGACGCACGAGAAATTGCAGACGAAATGGAGAGCTGGTTGCACGACGAATCTGTGATCAAGGCAGCCAAAGACATTGAAAAGGAAGCGCATGCGGATGGCGATGATGAAAAGGAAGATGAAGACGACATGGAGGAAAACGAGGGCCATCTGTCCGATGTGGATTGCGATGAAATTGATGCCATGATCTTGACGCCTGAAGAAGTGACACTAAAGACCAAAGTATGGTACAATGCCAACAAGGACTACTTGGAAGAAATGGCTGTGCGTCGCATGGTGGAAAAGGACAGAGGTGGTGCACCTTATGCCAGAAAGAACAAGCACAAGAAGAAGAAGCAACCACAAGCCAATTCACCTGCTGAAGCAGCAAAGCAACTGTTGGAAAAGAAAAAGCTATCCAAAAAGATCAATCAAGCTGTGTTTGATGACATGTTTGAATCACCCGAGTCGATTGCCAAGATCAAAGCAAGAGATACACTCAAGAAAATGGCTGCTGGTGCCAAAATGGTCAATGCGGATGTGGGCGAATATGAAGTGGTGGAAGAGCCTGGTGATGTGGATGTGGTGCCTGTGGGTAAGAAATCGTTGGATGCCTCTGCATTGACAGCAGCAGGGGAAGCAACAGCAACAGCAGCAGCAGCACCAGCAGCAGCAGCAGCAGCAGACGATGAGGACGACGAGGACGACGAAGACATGGATTCGGATGATATGGCTGACGATGAGCGTTTCATGCGTGATGCCCGTGCAAATTACACATTGGATGCTGAAGTGATTGATTACGATGACTATGGAGATGACAACGATGATGACTATTAATTGCAATTTATTAATGCACTACAGTTATAATAAAGACCCCATTTTGAATACAAGAATGTCTGATGTACTACGTGTTAAGTTGAATTCTAAAGAGATGCTGCCAGAACTGGTGTGGCGCCATTGAATAGCAGTGCTATTGTCATTCAGCAGCGTGATTCTGGTGTCATGCAAGATGGGAAGAGGTGTTGTGATTTCGATCGTCTGATGTCCCTTGGTATGCTCTGAGAATGAGAATACATACACAGAGGCACCATCTTGACTAGCAGTAAATCTCAGCTCGTCTTGGGCCGATGCAATCCAGTAAGGCACGCTGTTAAATATACTCTCACCAACAGCGCCTAGCCAGGTGCCAATGGAAGTCAATCTATCTACCATGGGCTGAGGTACTTCTCCCGATGCCTTGGGGCCGATATTCAGCAAGAAATTACCACCCCGAGAGACAGCGTCAACCAGTTCCTTGATCAGATCCAAGGCACTGGCATAGGCTTCAGGTGTTGTTTCTCGATTGTAGCCAAAAGAGTAGGGATCAATGCCTCGTGTTGCTTCCCAAAACCGCGTTGGCGTATCTGTAACGGCCTTGTATTCAATTGTCGTAAAATCAGAGGCACTGGAATCACCACATCGATCATTGACGGCGACTTGCTTACCAGACCCAAGTGCTTGATTGAAGTAATTAGATTGCCATACGCTCGAATTGTGGATACCGCCTATATCACACCACAGAATATCTGGTTTGTACTGCACAAGCTCTTGAAACTGAGGCACTTGCAATTCATTGACAAAATCATGGATGGTTCTGCTTCCAGTGTAAGGCACACGGTATCCTGTGTAAGGGTTTACTGGAGGCCCTTGCCATCCTAGTGAGTCGTCCTTGTATTTAGGATGATACCATTCAGGCAGAGAAACTAATAGTATAGATAAGTATATGGTTAGCTCCTGAATTGACTGCACCTACAGTATAATCCTCGCTTCAGTTGTGGATACTCTCTCTCTGCAACATCCATGAGCTCCTTTACAAAATCTCTGTTGGGCTGTAGTAGATGCATCGTGGATCTATCCGTAACATGTGTATCAAACAACGCGATGCCATCATGATGCTTTGTTGTGAATACAAAGTATTTTGCTCCGGACTGATCTACCAAACGCAGCCAGCTAGGAGGATCAAACTCTGTTGGCCTCCATTGCGCCAAGAAATCATCGTACTCAAAATTCTCACCATAGTGCTGACGATGATAGTCAAAGGCAGCATCGTCCTTGTGGTTCATACGCCACCAGTACCATTCTGCGTACGATTTGCCCACAGGTGCCCATGATGGCACAGAGTAAAGTCCCCAATGGATGAAGATGCCAAATTTGGACTGCTTGAGCCAGTTGGGAGAACGATGCTGCTGTACTGAGGTGGATGTGGAAGCAAACCTTGTAGATGTCTGAAGCGATAGGGGAGCCTTTATCACCATACCGTTGCTACTATCATGTGTCGACTGTACGGATACTAGTCCATTTGAGGTGGCGTTGGCATGAGCGCGTACAATAACACGCACACTACGCGTATGACCAGGTGCTATTGCTTTGATGTAGCCTACTTCCATCATGCTGACCTGTGAGCTACTCACATGAACGCGTGCATTTTGCACCCACTTTGAATTCAAATTATGCAAATTGACTTGTACAACTTGATGCTGATCATTGATCCATTCGCGGGTGGGTCTAATGCTTGCGATGAATAGGGTTGGACGTGCTATGTACGCTGTGATTGCGAAAATGTGGATAGCAGCCTCCTTGGCTGTGGATGGTATCGTTACAGAGACAGGTACCTTGCTGGGGTTGACAAAAATAGGTACGCTGAATAAAGCACCTTGATTGCTGTTTGAAAGAGGATATTGAATAGCTTGATATCTCTCCATTTGGTTTGTATACCGGTCTTGCCAGTCTGGTAAGCTCAAGGTGGTTTTATCCTTAGTGGCATCACGGTAGGTAACCGTGATGTCTAGTGTACAAGGTCCATGACTGGAGGATACAAGCATATACAGCGCACCCAATGTCACATTTCTCACTGCAGCCTGCTGTTGTTGTTGCAAAGGTATGACCACATGGTTTGCTGTCGACGGCTGGATATTGTCATGAATGTCAGATGTAGAGCTTTTGTATTGCACCAGTAGCTCTGGATGTTGGAAAGAATCGAGCTCAAAGTAAGTCCCCACACCATCAAAATCAGCATTCGCCCCAAATGCCTTGTTATTAAGCCATCGATCTATATTGACATGAACTGGATCGCCTCTATCTAACGGTGAAGCATGATGTAGGCCAACACAGGCTACCAGAATAGTGTATAGCAGTAATAGCATGTCTATGGTAAAAGAAGAATGAAAACCAAGAGATGCTCTACAATGCTTTATAAAGGGGGAAACCTGCTGCTATCGAGCCTCCTTTTATACCTCTGCTTTTATGAAATCGTATGCATATCAGACATGTTATGATGGTATAAATAATTCAAGCTAACGATCAGAAGACAGAATGCATGTTTACCCGGTACAATGTTGGTGCATTCATGTCATCATGTATTCTGTATCTTCAAGCCGTGAGAGCATGGACGATTGACAACATCATAGTGTCCCTGAGTGGCCCCCTTTCTCCTATGACTCTATATTTTTGTCATGATGTGCACTTTTAATCAATGCGTAATTCAATGTACAGACTAGTTATTGAAACTGCTAACATCATAAATACCCTGCCATTCATTGCCTGGATATCCCCAAACACAAGGAAACTGCGCAATTTAACCTACGTCTGCTCTGCAAGAAGGATACGCTCCAGCTATACGTTTGCCCAAACTGATGTGGGTATGTTACTCGCACGTTGCAGCAGCAGAACACCTTTGATATCCTTGAGATGCTCATTTCATGAGCCATTACCCTTTAGCATGATAAATTGCACACATCATCATTTCAACCAATCAACTCTAATACAGATGCAACCCCACTTTTTTGATGAAATGTACATTTTGCATTTTTCTCTTTTCTTTCGTATTTCTCAAACCTACAAAGGCATGACGGACAACACGCCAGATATAGCGTACCAGAGCATCGCTAAATGCTACGCAGATGCCAACACCAAGTTACCCAGCAGTTATTGGGATTACGATGCACTGCAAGTACAGTGGGGGTAATAAGAAATGGGTCAACTCAACACTTTGTTACACTCAACTTACACATACATACGATAGTGAGCAAGACAATTACGAGATTGTTCGCAAATTAGGTCGCGGTAAATATTCAGAAGTGTTTGAAGGCGTGGACGTGGAGAAGGATGAAAAGGTGGTGATCAAGGTATTGAAACCAGTCAAGAAGAAAAAGATCAAGCGTGAGATAAAGATCCTGCAAAATTTGGCTGGTGGTATCAATGTGATTGAGCTGTTGGATGTTGTCAGAGACCCTCAGGTAAGCATGCCAACAAGGGGCTTGAGTGGAGGGGGGAGGGGGGGGGTCACTGGATGGCTGACATTTTATATGGAGAATAGTCGAAAACACCGGCGTTGATCTTTGAATACATCAACAATACAGATTTCAAGACACTGTATCCAAGATTCACAGACTATGATGTGCGATTCTACATGTATGAGCTACTCAAGGTAAACACAAATCACTGCTTTGCCTGATAAATGTGTTCATTTACATGTATCCAAAAAAGTAGGCATTGGATTTTTGTCATTCAAAGGGCATTATGCATCGAGATGTTAAACCACACAATGTCATGATTGATCATGAAAAGAAGCAGGTGATTTATTTATACTTTTTGTTGTTTTCTTGTTTATCGCAAGCTAATCAATATGATGAGATAGCTGCGACTGATTGATTGGGGTTTAGCAGAGTTTTACCATCCAGGAACAGAGTACAATGTGCGAGTCGCATCCCGCTATTTTAAAGGGCCAGAACTGCTGGTAGATTTTCAAGAATACGACTACAGTTTGGATTTGTGGAGTTTTGGATGTATGCTTGCAAGCATGATTTTCAGAAAGGAGCCCTTTTTCCATGGGCACGACAACTATGACCAACTCGTCAAGATTGCCAAAGTTTTGGGCACGGATGACTTGTTTGCTTACTTGGATAAATATGGCATCAAGCTGGATAAACAATACCATGACATTTTAGGACGCTATCCCAAAAAGCAGTGGCAAAAGTTCATCAATAACGAGAATCGACGCTACATTTCCAACGAGGCTTTTGATTTCTTGGACCATTTGCTGCTTTATGACCATCAGGAGCGATACACTGCAAAAGAAGCAATGGCGCATGCATATTTTGGTATGTTGGAGCTGCTGTTTATATAGTAATGTGCTTACCTAATGCCATGTTCAATAGATATGATTCGGGTAAAGCAACATTTGAGCTGAGTGGTTCTCATTTCATCCTCTTAAAAGCCAGTTGCACTACCAGAATAAACGAAAAATTTTCTCTTTCTCTCTCTCTCTCTCTTTTTTCTCTCTTTCTGTTTTATACCTTTTGGTACAATCCATTTATTTACAACAACAACAACAACAACAAGACATAGAAAAAAGGCCTCCTTTTGCTTGAAGAAAAGAAAAAACCAACTCCCATCTAGCGTTTTTCTTTGATAAAAAAAAACAGCACAAAAGGCCTTGATTTTTTACCCAACAAAATCCCTTTTTGTTTTTTTTTGAACCTATCCAACTTATGCAACAAACCTCTCTATACTCTACTCCACAGATTCCTAACGTACTTTGCGGCGGTTGTGCATCCTCTTTCGCCATTGCTCAATATCCACAAGACTCTGATCCAGGATAATTTGAATTACACTTAACTAAATCTCTCAATTACACTTAAAACAATAACCCCTTTTTTTTCCCTCTCTATTTTCATTCTCTTAAACAGTTATCCATCCCCCCCCCCCCCTTATACTTTTTAAATCACTTACACCACCATGACTCCTCAACGACAACAACAACGCACCAAATCTCCTCTAGGCCGCATGCTCTCTTTCATTGAGCTTCCCTCTTCCTCCCTTCGCTTTCTCATTCTCGATTGTCCTACAGAATCCACATTGCCCTTCTATCTTGAAGAATTTGCAAGATACAACGTATCTCATGTTGTTAGATGCTGCCAACCCACCTACAGCACAACAAAACTAAACGAGCAAGGTATTCAGGTTCATGATTTACCTTTTAAAGACGGCGGTATTGTAAGTATATGAGGCAATTACTGAAGAAAGCACACAGGACTAAAAATATCTGCAACATTAGCCACCACCCAGTGTTATCAATGATTGGTTATCTCTTATTGATGTAGAAGAAAAAAGTGGAATAGACACTACAATTGCTGTTCACTGTGTTGCTGGCCTAGGCCGTGCACCCGTTCTGGTTGCTATTGCACTAATCGAGCTACTTGATATGCAACCATTGGATGCGGTTGAATCTATCAGAAGAAATAGAAGAGGTGCCTTCAACAAGCCTCAGATTGCTTATCTGGACAACTATAAGCCCATGTTGCGTAGAAAAGCCAAGAATGCCTCCCTCAAGACCTCTTTTAGTCGCATGTTCTTCCGCTTTGCCTCTTCCGCATCATCTTCTCCCTCTGCATCTGGCTCTACATCGCCCAAAAAGCAACAAGCAGAAGAGGTTACTTCCATTCCACTTAGTAGCTGCGTTTGAATGGCCCAACGTAGTGTAGTAGTATTTACTTGGTTTTACAACCAATGACCCAACCCCTCTTTTTATCTTCTATATTTTCCTTTTTTTTTTTCAAATAAAACATTTCATCATTTATACTACTAACAAAATGCAAAAGAACAAGGACAATGAAAAGCAATTAACAGAAAGCCAGAAAGAAGCTGGTGCACTGTAAGAAAATAAAAGCACTGCTTCCAGAGTTGGGCAAAAAGATTTTCAACATTTTGTCTAGATTGTTTAAAAAACTCCTGTCAGACCGTAATAAAACACTGGATGAATTGCAACAAACACAATCCAACTTGCAAAAGAATATACCCAAAATTGTCAAAAAGCCCAATACACCTCGAGCAGCTGTAGTAGGTGTCCGCATCGGATGATTCCATCCCAACATGTCACTCACATCATGGTAGGCATTTTCTTTACTAGAAGATTTAATTGATGAATGTATCCATGATGTATTATTTGATGTGCATCGAGACATTAAGCAAGAAAACTCCACTTGTCAAATCTGCCAAACAAAGTAAATGATGCGATCACTTTTCGTTGTGTCATGTATACTAACGATATCCCGTTTCAATAGGTGCAAACATTATGGTAATTTTCAACAAAGGTCATATATGCACATGGACTGATTCTGTCATAGTCAAGAAACCTGGATTTGATGTGTGGGGCAAGAGTTATACAGTCAACAACCTGCCATCTTATGAATGCGTTAATTGTCAAAAGACCATTGCGTCTACTCGATATGCACCTCATTTAGAGAAATGTTTAGGGCTAAGTGGAAGACAATCAAGTAGAGTTGCAAGCAGACGGATGGGTGGATCCTCACCTTCATTTTCATCAGATGACAACACTGGCACTGCTAGTCCTGATAGCGATGCTTTCGATCGTGGCAATAGCAAAAAGAAGAAGCAATTTTCGTCCGTAAGTCAAATTTCATTGTATTGCAACTATATGGGTTATTGATTATCAAGCTGCTCATCTTTATTAGTCCTCTTTCTCAAATGGCGTCTCGAGAGTAAAGAAATTGAAATATATGGAATAATATAAATAGGGTCATCTTCCATCTAGCTGTTATTTCTCTCATTGTTTATTATTTCTTGTTAGAATTTCCAATAAATCATGTTTAGATATACGTTGATGATCTTGCTGCACTGTGCTGCTTGCATTTTGCCCACTGCTTATGGCTTTTGCGTCTATAATTTCTCCAAGGATACGTCGTTTTACATGCGTCAAGAAACACCAAACACGGGAGGAACTTACTGGTCGTAAGTCTCGGTAGTATTGCACTAATTTGGTAGCCTCGACTGATAATGGCATCATGATAGGCGATTCAAGGTAGAAAGTCTAGGACCAGACGGTAAAGCATGCTGTCCGTATACCTCGTTTGATTGCGACCGAAACAGCAACCCAGATGATATTGTCTTTATAGCTGTAAGTAACGCTTATTTAAGCATTGGATCATAAAACGAACTGTCAATCAAGTTCAGGGCAAATCGTGCGGGTGCCGAGGTGGGCTACACTTTCTCAATCAACTTGCCAGCAGGTGGCTGGATAGAATTTTATAGTGGTGGACCAGAAGACCCAGAATTCAGTGTATTCAAGCCTAACGGAGAGCCCTTCCAATACGAATATCAAAAATACGTAAAGAATACAATGCTAAACTAGAGCTTGCTTTTTATTTGAATAAACTGTAATGGTATATACTATAATGAAAAAGGGATATCAACGTTGTTCAAACTTGTTATTATGATCAAATGAGTTGTTTGGCACATCCAATGTTCGGATAGGTGGTAACCGGATGCCTTCCATGTCGTTATTGTTGTTTCTGGTAGCGTTACTATTGCTGTTATTCATGCCAGGTACCATCTTCAAACGATCAATCCATAATTCAGCTCGATCTACTGTATCAGAAAACACTGTAGAAACTGAGTTTAGCATGTCTACTGACTCCTGCCCAAACTCCAGTAATCTGACAGCTGCTTCTTCTTGTCTTGTGTCCTGGTGAAGGGAGGAGGAAACTGATGAGAAGGATGATGAAGCGGAAGATCTGGGACCCAACATGGGCGATCCAGCAGGTGAATTGGTTGTTGATCTTATATCGTTCAAGGATGCCTAATTATGAGGAAATTGTGAGTATAGAACAAACAAACAAACAAATTGCTAAAGGTTTACCCATTTCCCAGGTAAATTAAGTATGAATCCTCGAACTGATTGTCTTGATTGCGAAGGTAATGATGCACCTGCATATTTTGTAATGACCTCGACTACTTTTCTCAATGTTTCTACAATGTCTTTTTTGATGCCTGATAATACAGATCGATTGTTGGTGGTGTTATTGTTGACCGCTAATGTGGATGAGGAGGATTTTGTTGTGGCTAGAGAAACGAGATAACTCTTCAAGACAGCCATCTGCTGCTCAATGTGTTGAATGGCGTATTTCAGCCAGCTTAAACAATACTTGAGACATTTCATTGAATCTTCGCTAATGACTGCTGCTGTTGTACCTGCGGCTGATCCAGCTCCCATTACCAATTGTTGCCATCGACTCACAGTAGGTGGTGCCGCTGTGCTTGACGTGGTGGGGTGAGGATGGTGGGTAGAATATGGTGCCGCTATCGATCTTGCAGGTGAAGTGCTACGTGAAGAGGCTTTGTGATTTTTTCTTTGTCTGTAATCCATGACTGATTGAGAAAAGGTGGAGTAAAAGAAAGAAAGAGGATGTTTATTTTTGTTTCAAATGAGGAGAAGAAGGCGAAAGAGAAAATTAGAAAGCAAACAATTGGCTTGACAGATTTTCACGTGAATAACAGGAGCAAGTTGGTCTCTCTCTATAGAAAAGAGGCTTATTTTCTATCTTTTGTTTGCGCACTGATCCCCAATCAAAAGGGTAATGTGGGTTACAACCTTCCTCATTCAGATTGAAAGCAATTACATAAAAATCCAACTCTATTTCAATTTCAAGGCACCCGAGAATTAAAGTAGTAGTACCATAATATCTATAATCTGTCTGTATGATACCAAATGTAGTGTGCTGGTTTCCCTTGCTTTAATATCATTTTCAATCATCACTGTTACTACATTTGCTCCTATTTTTGTTGTCCAAGAGTTGGATGTCGTTTTAAGATGTTTCAACATCTCTTTGTATGCTTTCCTCGTTGTTGCTATTACCATTATTGCTATCATTCTATGCTTGGCCAGAATTAGATGCCCATCCCACATGTTTTTAAAAGGGATAGAGTGGGTCTTGGCTCGTTGAGGAACGCACACATTTGATTTCGAAATCAGTTACACTTGAAATCACATCACTGTTACTGTGCTTATGATTTTAAATGAGATGGAGGAATCTGTTAGATGATTTTCTTTGTCATATTTACCATAGAACAGAGAAAACAATATTTTGAACCTGTTTGTGATATTTTCTGTCATGTCGTTGTCTATTGCTGATAGTTGTATGGCATCATACTCCTTTCAAGATGCTGAAAATGCTGGAACGATAAGCTGTGGTTTCATAGTTTGCCAAACCAGCTTTAATCAATCAATACTTGACAGCATACTTCTATTCTCAACTTTCTTTTCATCTCTGTGTGTAGATCGTGGTATTGTAAGCAACTATAGCGCCCAAATTGTGTCTGGTGCTAGTCGATGCAAGCTCATTTTCCTATAATATTGCCCTTATCGTATATTCGATATCTCTTAAATGTACCACACATCAAATCGAGCATCATACACATTCTTCTGCCTATGGGAACTGACACAAGGTAGCCATCAGCATACAAAGTATAATCACATATTGGCCGATGCAGTGTGATGATGCATATCTGAAAGCAATTATAGTTTGTTTTCTCAATCCTTACTATGCGGTAACTTTGGCCTTGTATTTGCCTTTTTAGACAACGTTCTCCAATGTAAAGGGTTTCATCAAAGCCTTGAATTTCTTTGTATCATGGATGTCAAACTGGTAAAACTCGATAACTACCATACCTCAGGGCAGTAGTATTTATATGTTCCTGGAGGATGTTGTTATATCAAATGTCATAGCAAGGTCTCACACTAAAGGTTTTAGGCTATTCTTAGGTCCTTTGGGTAAATCATGCTAATCATGATTTACAAATCAATTGTTGGGTAGATAGTAAACCTATTTGTATTATAGTTCATCATCATGCTGTAAACCCTAGCATAATGAAAAAGTATATAAATGCATCCTTGGGATGCATTCTCAATAAAAGTGTAATTCTTTGGCAGATTCAATTTTACATTGTATTTTGACATAACAGATGTAAGGAAAAGAAAAACGAGAAAAGTCACATGACTGAAGAGTGAAAGATTACCTCTTGATTAATTTAAGCTATTTCAAAAGCTCTTAATATATGAGCTTCCGTGGCGCAATTGGCTAGCGCGTCTGACTGTTAATCAGGAGGTTGGTGGTTCAAGCCCACCCGGGAGCGTTTCATTTTGTTTTTCGCTTATTATCGTTAGACGTTTACTTTTCAATTTTTTTTTTTATGCTGTTATTGTTGTTAATAGAGATATGGTTATTGAGTAGACCTTGGCAAATGTATACAAAAGAATAGAATTGAGATAAAAGATGATCTTTATTGTTTTGCAAACTGATTTGATATTTATACTAAATTAAAAGGTTACACACAAAGACTATGTGTACCTGACACTATTTTAGCATTTAATCTACTCAGAAGACAAACCAAGCACAGTACGAGCTGCAATACTGTACTTGTATTACCTGCCATTCGAAAATGAGTTTTTTTTTTTATAACAGTCATCATTCCCAGTGCATAGTAAGTTTGCGTAGTGCAGTGAAATCAGGTTTAAATAGATTTCACAAAAAAAAATAAAGCAATAGTAAAATACAGTAGAAATCAACTGTATTTTATTTTGTGTATAAAATGAACTGAAGATCCTGGAATTGAGTAAAAAAAAAGAAGAGTGTTGATACATTTGCAACTAGCTTGTAGGATTAGTGATGATAGAGAGCAATAGTAGGTTTTGCTATTGCGATATCCGGCACATGTTGTTGATGTTTGATTTAAAGTGGTAATCAATGCAAGAGCACTGGCCATAAGGGTCGATTTGAGTAACCTTGATGGGCTTGGGTGAGCTATCGTCATAGCATGATTTAATGTAACCTTGATGGTTTAAAGTGTGATGTTTGTTATTGAAGTAGTATGGAATCCTTTATCTGGGATATTGTGCAACTATGGCAGCAGGGCATAGTTGTCATATTTGAATATGCTTGTTATTGATTTGATTCTTTTTGGATAAAGATACCATCACTTATTACGACCATCATGGGTGTGATTGAATACACTGTGATCAGGAGTGATTCATTCACACGATGTGCGATATAAGCGTGTATCTTTAGTATTTTTAAATGGTTTTTTGATGTACATTTGAACGCTTTCATTAATAGATCCAAATAGCATGAATTTGAATGAGTGCTATTTGATGAACTTTGGTTTTCAATTAAGTTGCGTTTGGATGGCTATTTCATTACACTATCAAGCCTCAAATTCCACAAACAACTTAAAACCAGCAAGTTAATATGGCCCTTTTCGTACGCTCCGATTTTTAAAATTCTCGGTCAAATTCATACTCATGTAGTGTACACGTGCAGAAGGTCAACGGAGCTTCAATTTCTATTGTTCTGAATGATGATCCATAGGATTCCGAAATCTATCGACCTTCAAATTACGCGTTTCTTGATAGTAAACACCCCTTCAAACTTATATGAAACTTGTAGAGAATTGCAAGGAGAATACAATGGTATTTATTTCAAATCTCTGGTGTACATTGTTCACCTGATATTTAATGAGATACATTTTGCCATTTTTTGACTGTTTTCTAAAGATTAATCAGTATCTGTCATCAAAACATTTTTTAAGCATTACTAAACATTGTAGGCCAAAAAATTTCCTATCAAATGAGCTATTGCTTGAAGCTCTGGCATGGCTCTATCATGAAATATTGACAATCATGTCCTGACCAAAAAATCGTTACCAGATTTTTTGCTTGCTATCACACGTAGATTCTGAAGAAAAATCAATGATTTTGCATGATATCCTTTTTTGACCATATCTCAACAAATACTCACTGGATTCGCACAAAACAAAGACCATTTGATAGCTCTACATTATATCCACTATAATATAATGGTTTCAAGTACCAGATATACGTTCCCTTTATAAATTTGCTCAAAATCATATATTTTATGAGCTACAAGCAGGGGATATTCATTTTTTATTTTATTTATCTATAATAACCATACCATCGTATAGAGAATTGAAAAAGAAACAGAAGCTATTAAGTTTGAAGCTCTCGTTCACTTGGTAAAATTCAGAGATATGGCCCTTTGAAAATTGGTCATTTGGAACATCTTCCGTCATTACTCATTGGCATCACTTTCCATAATCTCACATCAAACATGTCCTAGTCAAAAAATGTACCCTCTACAACTTTCACTACACATACGTCTCACATTCATATAGTAATTTAAAAAGTTTTACTAGCAGCATCTATTCAAAATGAGCTATTTTCAAAAATCTCCCATCTCTCACCAACCATGCTACCTACGCAAATTTGAATTGCACCATCGTCATCTCGGCAAAAAACTGATTTAAGAACATGCTAGTTGTTATATCAAATGTTATAGCAAGGTCTCACACTAAAGGTTTTAGGCTATTCTTAGGTCCTTTGGTTAAATCATGCTAATCATGATTTACAAATCAATTGTTGGGTAGATAGTATACCTATTTGTATTATAGTTCATCATCATGCTGTTAACCCTAGCATAATGAAAAAGTATATAAATGCATCCTTGGGATGCATTCTCAATAAAAGTGTAATTCTTTGGCAGATTCAATTTTGCATTGTATTTTGACATAACACTACTAGTCTCAAGGCTCTAGCATCAATATTTAGAAAATCGATTTTCGATCGTCCAAAAGTTGAAAACCTTAAAATCAAAAAATGCATTTTTTAAATAACATCACGAAAACGTCTTAATGGTGCTCAAGTCTATAGAATAAATTTAGGGCGCGTTATGATGAATAACAATGAGCAAAAAGAATTTTATATGCGCCGCTGTTGCAAAGGTTAGCGTTGAACGATAGTTTTTGGAAAATAATTTGGCTGGGGATGATAACGTTTGCTGCAGTATAGCTCCTTAATAATATCAATAATGGTATCCTCCGATGCGTGTTTGAATTTTGTATAAGGTTATTACGAACTGAAGACAATGGTTAATATTCATAAGAGTTGTCTGTTTTTCACTTTTTCGACCTTTTTTCAAATTTTCTCGCAGCAGATGGCTTTTGGTCGCGCTGAAAGGCGCGACCAAAAGCCATCAGGGTCTCGAGTTTATAAATTGTTTTGTGATTACGTAATAAATACAAGACATTATCCAAGAGAATAATACGCGTAAGTGTTAACCAAAAGACTACAGATCGAACCCTGGTAATCTCGATTTGTATTTTTCAACTTTACCAGTGGAGTGCGTGAGATGTTTTTATGTGGAATGTTATAGTTTCACATTTTAATTATATAAATGTTATAATCAGATTTTAGCATTTTTTTTCTTGTTCTGTATGTCAGGCATACATAGACTTTTTGGCTCAACTTTTAGCTAATACGTTATAAACTGTATTCAAATGGATGTACACGAAAGAACGAATGTGAGACGAAGATGATCATTTTCTTCATTGTTTCATAAACCGATTCCGCATTTACAGTGTACTAATTGAAAGATTACACACAAATTCTATGTGTAGCTGGCAAAAGAATGAAATAATATCAATATGAATATTTTCTGGCTGGATAAGTATGAATTAATGACGCGAGCGTCATAGTTTATCACTTGTTTGCCTGGATAAAAAACCACTCGTCCTCGATTGATGTCTGATACTACTACCTTTTGGAAATAGCTAAACAATACTTTCATTTTAGCAATTGAGTAGTTCAAAGCAGCTAGGGAGCAAAGTATATCACGGAGCAGTTTCAACATTCCATCATTGTCGAAAAAATTGTCATCCACAGGAGTAATATTAGCCTTTCTTACTTCACAAACTCCAAGTTCAACTCTTGTCTGCTTGAATAGTATGCCATTTTTCGCACCCATGGTTGTTCTTTCTCTGCTTTCGAGCTCTGAAGACTACGGCCTTCATTTCTACCAAGAGCTGTTGCGATACTGCATCTTTCTCCAAGTTTGGCCTTGATTTTATTGTCCTTGTAGATTCCAAGCGCCGCACAAGAGATTGTGTAGGTCATCAGCTTCTAAGGAATTAGAGATGTCGAGTTCAGAAAGTAAATGAAGAGCTTCGTAACATATGTGAATGAGTCTTGGATCCAACGCTTGTCAAATTAGGTTCTTAGATGGAAAGTAGCAGTGTTTGCATGCTAATAGATCTCCAAAGCTGCATTCAACCTTTTGTTTTCAAACGTGAAATAGGCTGACGATCCTTTGGGGACAGTAGGTAGCCCCTTCAAGTTGCGGTTAATGGTCTCTTGACGTTCTTCGAGAGCGCCAGACAGCATCAGAGAGATCAAGCATGAACGGTGCTGCAGGGTGCTCGTTAATCAGATCTTCAACCATACGTTACATACTATCTTCAACACTTTTGCCGTTCTTTTGTATGGATTTATTACTACCTCCAGCCTTCTTTTTCTTGTTTTAGCGTCGATGATTTCAAAGATCAGTCATGTTATGTATATTTCAGTTCCTTGAGTCAAATTCGATGTCTTCGCAGCCAATCTCCCTTGGAAAAATTGAGGTGATTTCCATCATGCTTGGAAATAGTAAAATCCTTGAGCTCCTCACAAAAGCCTCTTCATTTACAAACAACTGCGGCCTGAAGTAGCAGCCTGTAATCGGATATTTGCAACCGATACCTACAAATGTATCTCCCAAATGCTCAATGGTTGCTCTCTTCATAATTCTCAGATATAAAGCACATTGTTCCCTTCAAAAATCTATTACGATTGTGCATTCTATTGCTGCTAGGCAGGGTATCTGAGGCGGCTATAGTTTCTTATGCTGAATAAAGATCCATTCGAGATTGGCAACGTGGACCCCTCATTTCTCAGGAATTGAAAGATATTACTTAAATTATATACGTTTTCTATGCGTATGTGATTTTATTGCTACAGAGATACCCACAGAAAGACATTTGTTGTGTAACATAATGAGCTCCAAACCGTATTTGCATTACAATACTCTTGTCTTGGTGCTACAGGCAAGGTTTAGTAGTGATAAAAAGGAGGTACATTTTCTTATTTTTTTTGTTTGAGAACAGAGTTCTCACCATTAGTAATTGACAATTCTATATAAATAGAAAATAAAAGCTGATGAATAACAAATGCCATGAGCTTTACATTTGTTGACTCTGACGCCTATTGCCTTTCTAAACACAATAAATCTTTATTATAAAACAATAAAACCAGCTTTATACTAGGCGAATTGAGTTATATCAGTCGTATTTTTTTTTTTTTAGATACTTGGCATTATTAATGGGAATTCATATTAGACCATGAGTGTTGAGGTGAGTGAAGAAATATAACCTAGACATTATGCATGGGAAAAAACATCTGTTGCCCCACTAACTTCTTTGTATCAAAAGGGTCATTTGCACTGTTAAAAATTACCTGAGCGGAGAGGGGCTGCCTATTTAAATTATCACATCAAAAATTCTCTCTTCTCTCTCTCTTTTTATTCTCTGCTAATTGTATCATTCCCCACTCTTCTTTTACATACAATGAGTAACAAAAAGCAACTTCAGGTTTATAGCCAAGAAGAGATTCGCAAACATGCTTCTGCTGATGATCTATGGATAACAATCGATGGATCTGTATACGACCTCACGAGATTTGCTGATCTCCATCCTGGAGGGGCTTTCCCTCTGTTGGAAGTTGCTGGTAAAGATGCCACAGATGCCTTCTATGGGCTTCATCGACAAGATGTTTTGCGCAAATATGATCGTTACAAGATTGGTACCATTGCCGACTTTAAACCCCAAGTGGAATGGCGTGAACCTGGATCCTCATCCAAGGTTCCTTATGCCGAGCCAATGGCTTTCCAAGGCTTTAAGTCTCCCTATTACACGTAAGTATTATTACAACTCAAGGTGCTCATCTAACCAAACTTACTAAACTTTCAATGGCGTTCTCAATCAATGATGCCAGTGAGTCACATTTCAAGTTCAGGGATGCTGTTCGTGCCATCTTGGATCCTATGATTGAGGAAGCTCGTCAATACGAAGACTCCGGCGAGAAGCCATCCGACGAATTTCTCCAGAAACTCGGTGCTCATGGGATTCTTGCAGCTAATGTAGGACCAGGACCTTGGCTGAAAGCATTCCAATTACCTGGCGGTGTAAAATCTGACGAATATGATTACTTTCATGAGCTGTTGTTGCACGGTGAATTTGCTCGATTCTCTGCTCCAGGCTTCACATCTGGCCTTCTTGGTGGCATGACCATCTCTGTACCCACAGTTCTGAATTTTGGTAGTCCAGCTCTTCGTACCAAGGTTGTACCAGAGGTATTCAGCGGTAAAAAGAGAATGGCATTAGCTATTACTGAGCCTTACACTGGCTCTGATGTTGCCAACATCAAGACCACTGCCGTCAAGACACCAGATGGGAAACACTTTATCGTCAATGGTGTCAAGAAGTGGATCACCACAGGTAAGTTTGCATAAACTTCCTTATGTATGACAACGTTTTAACTCAGGAACACATTTTAGGCCACTATGCTGACTACTTTTCTACTGCTGTCCGAACTGAAAAGGGCATCTCCATGCTTCTTATTGAGCGTGGTGAAGGTGTCGAGACAAAACTGATCAAGACATCATACTCTCCAAGCGCTGGTACGGCATATGTTACATTTGAAAATGTAAAGGTACCAGTTGAAAATCTTTTGGGCAAAGAGGACAAAGGTTTCCACGTCGTGTTATCTAATTTTAACCACGAAAGGTAGTAGTGAGGGTTATAAATAAGAGCTTATTACTTATATTTGCTTGACAGATGGTCCATGTTGACAGGTGCCTCTATGGCAGCCAGAATCGCAGTGGAGGAGTGCTTTAAATGGGCCAACCAAAGACAAGTGTTCGGTAAACGTTTGATTGATCAGCCTGTCATCCGTTTCAAGTTGGCCAAAATGGTAAGCAAATGTTGTCGCTGTGATAGATGGAGCACTGATTCATCTATTTGCTACAGATTGCATCGGTTGAAAGTGTTCATAGCTGGATTGAAAACTTGACATATCAAATGAATCACATGAATTATGCTGAGCAGTCTTCCAAGCTTGCTGGACCCATTGCTCTCTGTAAATATCAAGTAACCAGAATGTTGCATGATGTATCTGATGATGCATGTCAAATCTTTGGTGGAAGAGCCATTACCAAGACTGGTATGGGTAGACAAATCGAGACTTTGCAAAGAACATACAAGGTAAAGATCCGCTCAATTTATTTATGAGTTGATAGTTAATTAATGTGAAATAATAGTTTACTGCTATTTTGGGCGGTGCAGAAGAAATCATGGCAGATTTGGGTGTAAGACAGGCCATGAAGAAGTTCCCAATTGGTGCTCGTCTTTAAGACTTTGTTAATTGATAAAATAAAGTAGATTTGAATGTGGATTGCTGACATGTATATATAATAAGTGCACATGGATCAAGTTCAAATGGTATCAGATCAGATAAAGGCACATGTAACTATTGATTTCAGTACTTTCAAAATTTGTGGTGGCCAGCCAACTTGAAGCAATATACTCCTAGATATAAAGCTTTGGTAGCTTCAATTGATGGCAGTTCATTATTATACACTTGGAATCACTGGATAAATGGTGGCATTTGAGCAGGTCATACCGACATCAACAGTGAAGCTTAGCCAGCTATCTAGTCACAGATTTTTCGTATTACAAATGAAAAAAAAAAAAAAAAAAAAAAAAAAACTCATCAGAGAGACAAAAGCCTTTCTTAATTCATAAAGATGCCAAAAGCTACAAGAGCCAGCCGTTCAAAGAAAGTAGATACTCCATTGCGTCAACGAAAGTTTGCAGTGCCTCAAAAGCAGGTTCTTGAGAAAGTTGTTACCCAAAATGAAGAGATTTCGGTAAATTTAAATTGTCACCCTTGAGACATCTTGTACTCAGAGCTAAAATGCGAATCATAGATTGTGCCAGCAAACGAGTACGAAACAGCCAAAAAAGATTACAAAAAGAAAGCAAGACATGAAGCGTGGCTTGAGAGTAAGATAAATGACTACAATAGCTAGAGACTTTGGACTGATTGATGCCATTATAGAACTCGATCGCTCTTACGCTGTCAAAAAGAAGATGCAGAAGAAAGAGAACAGAAAGAAGAATGGACTTAAGGTCGATTTGAGTGGATTTGAAGATGTATTGAGCAGCATTGAAATCAAACCCAAGTCAGAACTCGAGAGTCAAGCAACACATTCAAAGAAGATCGCAGAGCCTATTAAAGAAGCAGCAATACCCTCCAACAAGATTAAATCCAAGAAAGCCAAGAAGCAAGCCGAGTAAGTGTGATATTTGGACCATGACACAGAGATGGCTAACATGCTTGTAGAATGCAAGAGATTTTACGAATGCAAAAAGTCATGCAACATGGTGCCTTTAAAGAGAATCCTTTGGCTACTATTCGCCAGCATGTACAAAATACCTTTCTTTAAGCGTCCCTTATTAGGCATTGTTGTATTTCAACATTCCATTTTTAGATATTTACAAAGCAAATCCATATAATAAACTCGTCAGATCATCACTCTATTTATATTTCTTTTCTCTCCCTCATTCTCTGTTTTGGCATCGCCTCTTATTCACATGAATTTCCAACAAATAGATCAAACGAGACGACAGTATGAACTGGAACATTACAAGAAATCAGGCCGATTTAGAGCTTATTGCTGTGGGTGTATCTCTGGAGAAAAGAACTCACTGATCGTTTGTTTCTGTTGGGCAGTAAGAGTAGAGCAAACAGTGTGTACTAGAGTTGATGACACTCATCCACTGTGATCATGTAGGGCATCAGTTTCTATTTTGCAATTTTGGCCTTCATGAATAAAAGTCGTATGTATATGCACTTTGAAAGTCCTTGACTAGTAGTAACATTGTTCCCTGTTGGTTTTCAGCATTTTACTCTTACATAGACGAGGTGGCATTGGTAGCATTTGGCACAATTAATTTGCTGTTTGGCATTGTCACTCTCTGCAGTATGGTGATATTTCTAATCAGGATGAATGTTATGGCAAGTACATTTATATACAACATCAGTTACACAGCGTGCAACCACTGACATCTACATATGCAGAGAATGCAAGGCGTAGGCGTATTTGGTGTGATAGACAAGTCAAAGAGAACGGTGTTTGCTATCACTGCAAATGCACTTGGGGTGCTGATTATCACTTTGGTCACCTTTATTCTGTTCATCATCGACAAGCGATCGTTCAACGACTGGTGCATTGGATCGTCAGCAGACTATGTCAAAGATGTGTATATAGACTATCATCCCAACTCCACAGTGACAACATTGACAAGCCTTAATTCTACACTGACAAGTACCACGGATGCTTATAATTGCGAGAGGTTGTTCCAAGATGAGGTAAAATGGTCCTTGCTGTGCATGGTTGTCATGTATGTGGTTTATGTAAGTAGTCAGCAGGGTAGTTCACTTGGTCCATCACTGATTAAATGCGCATAATAGATACACTGGATACTGATCATAGCAGCTCGCACATCCTACAACTTTTACAGGCAGCCACCCATGATGCCCATGGTAGCAGGTGAATTTGTCAACGTAGCTCCCTCCAAGAAGCGCAAAAATAAGATCAATGTGTTCAACAATATAAAGCCAGCAAAAAGCTTCTGGAAAGAGCTTTTGGTGCACAAGCAATATGGAGAGTTCGAGCATGGCAGCATTGAAAGAGACTTATTTCAGGAACAACTAAACGAGAAACCAGTCATGGATAAAAGACTATCGAGTAACATCACCCTCATTGATAATGACACTGCTATCTCACCGCCCATGAATGCATTCCTGGCACAACCCGATAACAATATACCTTACCATTAGATTACAAGCAATGCCTCTCAGTCTCATCATACACATATATTTCCAATAAATTATCATTGCTGTAGTCAATTTGATTGAATAGCATATAACTCACCTTTATTTTGATGCCCTTATTAGCAGAGAGGGAGAGAAAGAGCATTCCAAATCTTGCTACGCATCTGAATTAAAAAAGATGAAGTGAATACATACTCGCACAGTTGTTTGGAAGCGGTATAGCAGCAGTGTAGATCCGTAGGCAGCTGTACAATGGGCTAAGATCATAGATAAGATACAAAGAAAGAATGAGGAACCAAGCGAAACACTCTTTATACTTTTGAGCACGCATAAAAGTTCCATCATTGATCTAGTCAAAAAAATTCATCAATATGCGAAGCTTCACAAGCTCATACGCATTGGAGTGATAGTTGCTTGAGCCCTGTTTAGGTGTTAGCAAGTACCCTGTGGTTCTCTTTTTTTTTCTGCCTACAACTTCAATATGTTTTTCTTAGCAGCATACTGTTAATATATATTAAAAGTTTGCTCTCTACGAGAGAGTCTCGTATCAACGAACTGTCACTGTGGAAATGACTCTTCTATGATGTCCACTGTCAGTATTAACGGGATCGACTCTTATATCGGCAGACATTATGCTTGCATTGCCTCCAACCGCTTGAATTCATGGAAAATACAGCGAAACTTTGATGTATTTGAGCCGTTATTTCTCGTGTTAGAGGCCGATTTAGACTGATAGGATAGTACCCAACAGTTGCTCTCACCCATCGGCAACTGTCTGGCACCTTAATCCAACTTTTTCGGGATTGTCGAAAATCGACTAAAAACCATGAGGGGTGCCTCATGCTTTTCACCAAAATCAAACGATCGCATTTTTAGCGGCAAAAACGAAGAATTTTACTATAGCATATATGAAATGGAAGTGTTTCTCTCGATGCAAGGCAACCCCTGAAGCTTCTTTTGCGAGACCTTTGTATACAAAATTTCGACATTTTGGCCATAAACGTCATTTCACATTTTCTGAGATTGCTCAACAAGTTCAGTCAAAATTTATATTATAGTTGGCTCCATTGGATTTGCCTCGAAAAGTACTCTAGATAACAATTAGGAAGTGTGGGTTAAATAAGACAACTAATATAGTCGAACATCACATAATAGTTTGAAGAAGTCGAAAATCGAGTAGAAATTTCTATTTTGAGCAAAAAAACAAAAGACTGAATTTAGAAATTTTGACAGCCGTGGCGGCTCCTGGCAAGTATACTTAAGAAGACGATCATTGTTGTTGGAAGATGATAACAGAAATATCAAGGGTTGTCTGAATCCTTTATTTAGCATTTGTATGCATCTTTATACCTGGATGGTGTATCATTGCTTATGGCTTCTTCAAGCGTACCTCCTAAAATGCAAAATGCTATTCGCAAGTGCCAGATCTCACACCAAACCTACATCATGCCTCATTTAAACAGAGGGGCCGACTCAGCATCCACACTTTTAATCAAACATTATGTGTGGCGTTCGGCTATGATGTTAACCCGTTCTCCTTGGTAGCCTGCAGGACCCAGGGCCATACAAACCATTTTTGTCATAACGACGATGTCTCACTCTGGTACAGGCTCATCAAACACACCTCATACCTCTATTGTTTGCTGCGCGATCATGGTTCAATATAAATATGTAGTTTACCTTGTTGCAAGAGTTTAAATGAGGGCCCTGTAGACATTTCAAGAGGTTGTGTAAGGTTAACAGCTATAAATAACATTTTATCGGGTAATCAGTTGTGCCCATGATTGCGGATCACCAGCCGACAAACGAAAACCGAGCGACGCTACAGACGATTACCTATCGGTATGAATTGAATACACTCCAGAATGGTGGGAAGTAATAATAGGACGCCATACAGGACGACATGGTGGCAAGACAAACACTGCTCTTATCAAGCATTCAAACATATCGTTCAAATTTTAACACGCCATTTCTTTTTTAAACACAAAAAGTGGAGGGAGCACAGACTGCCGCATGTTACACAATCTTCTCTGTGATCTGTGCTATGTATGTAAAAAAGCTGTTTCCACTGATTTAATTGCTTGATACTACTTTTGCCATGAATGCTTCTCATTCGATTTTTCGTATTATTGCCTGTAATGGGCATTTTTCTATTCATCATTTTGTAACTGAATCCTAAAAAGAGGAACCATTGTTTGTTATTGAGAAGAGACACTGCCAATGACATTCGTCTTACAAATACGTAAAATCTAGTAGGCAGAATGTGTCAGGAAACCCTTGCCGTTGCACATTCTCCACTTCTTTGAATGGACCATGAATCAAAGCAATGTGAATCGGTTCAATCTATCGATGGGTTTGAAGACATCCGTATCATACTGAAAATGCGGCCTTCCCCTCTCTCTTTCTCACTTGCAATTCTTGTTCATATTATTGACAGGTGCATTTGACATCTGACACATTTTATCCTGATTCAATCAATGGCAGTCAATTTGAAAAACTTTTTTTTTTTTAAAAACGATAAATAGATGAAGGCTGATTGTCTCATAGGTCCTGTCTCTTAACCCCTTTCTTCTTTCCTCTCATCATGGAGTCTGTTCTTTTGCACGCCCGTAAAGCATGCCCCTTTTTGCATGGCAGCAATACTTCTGCCCTTCGACAATTAGCTACCAACAAGTCCAGTGGCGGTCTGTTGCTGAAGGCAAACCAATGTCCTGTTATGGGCGCTGCTATTCAAACCAGAGGCTTGCATTCAAGTGCTCCTGCAAAGAGTCAAGAGCAGCAAGGACAGCAACAGCCTTTCTCTTATGAGGGTTTCTATAAGCAGATGTTGGATAAAAAGCACAATGATAAGAGTTACCGTTATTTCAACAATATCAATCGTCTTGCTAAAAAGTTCCCCATGGCTCATCTTGCACGTCCTACAGATGAAGTTACTGTCTGGTGTGCTAATGATTATTTGGGAATGGGCGCCAATCCTATTTTGCTTAATACCATGAAGTAGGTGGCATTTGTATAGAGATGCCAATCATTAGTTGCTAACATTGTGAATTAGAGATACCTTGGATCGCTACGGTGCTGGTGCTGGTGGTACTCGCAACATTGCCGGTAATGCTGAACTTCATTTACAATTGGAATCCGAATTGGCAGACTTGCATCACACAGAGGGGGCTCTCGTCTTCTCCTCTTGTATGGTAGCCAATGATGCTACTCTATCCACCCTGGGATCCAGGATGCCCAACTGTGTCATCTTTTCTGACGAGTTGAACCATGCTTCCATGATTGAGGGTATCCGCCACTCCAAGGCAGAAAAGCACATTTTCCGTCACAACGACCCGGAACATCTGGAGCAATTGCTGCAATCTGTTGATATCAATCGTCCCAAGATCATTGCCTTTGAATCTGTGTATTCCATGTGTGGTTCTATTGCACCTATTGAAAAGTTCATTGCCTTGGCCAAAAAGTACAATGCCATCACCTTCTTGGATGAAGTGCACGCTGTCGGTATCTATGGCCCTCGTGGTGCTGGTGTAGCTGAACACTTGGACTTTGATTTGAATGCTGCTCAGCCTCGTCGTGGTAATGGCGGTATTATGGATCAAATCGATATTTATACTGGTACACTGGGCAAGAGTTTTGGTGTTGTTGGTGGCTACATTGCTGGCTCGTCTCAGTTCATTGACATGATCCGTTCGTACGCTCCTGGCTTCATCTTTACTACTTCTTTACCTCCTGTTGTCGTCGCCGGTGGTAAGGCTTGCATCAACTATCTCAAGAACTCCAATGTGGAACGTCGTATGCAGCAATTGAATGCTCGCACTGTCAAGTCTCGTCTGGGCGAACTTGGTATCCCTGTGGTCCCTAATCCTTCTCACATTGTTCCTGTTCTGTTGGGTGATGCTGCTGCTGCCAAGTTGGCTTCTGATGAGCTGTTGAGCAAGTATAATATTTACGTTCAATCCATCAATTTCCCTACTGTGCCTGTTGGACATGAGCGTCTTCGTATCACACCTTCTCCTGGCCATACACCTGAGATGATTGACCATCTTGTGGATTCCTTGCAAGAAATCTGGAACCGCTATGGGTTCAAGCGCGTTGTTGATTACGAAGCTGAAGGCGGCCGCTGCAATGTAGGTGACAAGAACTATGGCGGCGTCAAGCCCATGTGGACTGATGAGCAACTGAACTATAACTTGCCCATCGAAGAATCTCAACAAAAGACTTCAGCTGTTTAAACTGTATTCGTATTTAAGCCCGTTCTTTCCTGCATTTCATAATAAACTAGATCTTACTAGACACACTACCTTGTCATATCATAATGCTTAAAATGGGATGTCTGCAGAAAATTTAATTTTTTTTTTTTTTTTTTTTTTTTTGCTTCTTTATCTGTTACTCTACAAAAACATGAGCAAAGGAGGACACGCTGCTACGACAGAGAGCTTTGTTGTGTTTGGCACTGCATTCCCGGAAACAACAGAAAAGGACAGACGTGCTGGACGAACAGATGCTGGCCAATTCGTGCCAACGTGGAAACAAGAAGCCAGAGACGAACAAGGTCGACGACGATTTCACGGTGCCTTCACAGGCGGTTTTTCAGCAGGCTACTTTAATACAGTTGGATCAAAAGAAGGTAACAAGTAATTAACTCTCATTCTATTGTGCTTACTGATTGTTATATAGGCTGGACGCCCACTAACTACGTATCATCTCGCAATGCACGTAATGAGAGAAAAGAAGCCAGACCAGAAGATTACATGGATGAAGAGGATTTGGAGGTACATGGCAAACAGAGGACATGGATAGAGTGGTGTTACTCAACAGATGATGGCAAATAGGCAATGGCAGGTGCACGCAAACTCGTCGCCACAGAGGAATTTGACATCTTGGGCGGCACAGAACGTGAATTAGCTGCTCGACGCAAACAGCAACAGGAAGAGGAAGCTCGAGGGGGTGGATTGGACTTTCTGGGATCCAGTTTGATAAACATGTTTGGACCTCCCAAGGATTCTGTGGGTGTGCGATTGCTGAGAAAGATGGGATGGAGACCAGGACAAGGCATTGGACCTCGTATCAAGCGACGCATAGATGATGAGGATGATGAAGAAGAAGAAGATGACACCCTGAACAACATGACATTTGCACCTCGAGATACACCCATTGAGAACTTCCAAGCCAAGAGAGATACGTATGGCTTAGGCTTTGATTTATCGACCTCTGTGCCTGAAGTAGCCGAGATGAAGCGACTGCGTGAATTGGCAAGGCAAAAAGAGATCAGTGGTCAAGAAGTGGACAAAAAGAATCGATCCTCGTTTGGCGTGTTTGATACTGCAGGACGGAAAGTAGAAGCTTTTGGGTTAGGCGCACTGGAAGATGATGACGACGAAGAAGACGTGTACAGAACAGACACAGCCAACTACCACACTGCTTTGTATGATGATGAAGGTGGGCTGACACGAGATCAAGTCCTGATGCAATCCATGAAGCGCAAAAGAGAGCAGATGGAGGAAGCAGAGAAATCAAAGCATTTGTTGACCTGTTCAGATGGCAGACCGCCCCTCAAGGGATTCCATGTGTCCGATAAACCACAGCAGATTGGAAAATGGCACGCCCCTCCCAAAGTGCCTGCTGACTTTACTGGACAAAATGTGGTCAAAGAAGATCAAGATAACCAAACAAATGCACCCAAGATATCACAGGAGAGCTTATTTTCATTTGAAGAACGAGGCAATGCATTAGGTGAAAAGCCGATTGAGCAACGTTCTGTGTTTGATTACATGCCCAAGCACTCCAAGGACAAGTTGAATCAAGCAGTCAGTTACTTTATTGATATCGGCAAAGACAAATCGCAGTTGTCTGAATTCCCTACCATTCCAAAGGATGTTGCCAAATTAGCGTTGCAAGGGTTCATGCCATTTGGTGATAATCTCAAGAAACAAGCACGCTATCGCAGTTATCTGGAGAACCAAGCTGGTATGCTAACGGAAGACGGCGTGCCCAAGACAGTGCTTCCTATACCCGAGGGACTCACCTATGAAATGGGCATGAAAGAGCTGGATGAATTCGCAAAGGCAGCACGTATCTTTAGGCCTATCAGCGCCATGATGAGTGGACGATTCACATCTGCATCACAGACATCCAAGAACATTGAAGTCGTCAACTTTGAAGGTGGACTCAAAACAGAAGAGCAGTACAGAAAGGAAAAAGAACAACATATCAAGGAGCAACCCAAGCCCGAAAGAAAGCAATTGAGTCAGGAAGCAGAAGCAGCAGCAATGAAGATGTTTGGTAGTCTCACTCGCACCGTCAAGCCATTTTATCCCAATCGATTGGTATGCAAGCGATTCAATGTCAAAGATCCACATCCCAACCATGATCACACAGCGGATAAAGCAGCAGGTCGCACGCAAGGCGGCAACAAGGACGCTCTCAGCAAGGAATCCATGGATAGTATTCTCAACGAACGACTCCCGCTTCAACAAACATTCACCTCCGTGTCAGAAATGACAGCATCTTTAGCTCAACCTGACGATGATCCCATGATGAAGGCAGTGGTACCAAAACCATCCCAGAGAAAGGAAGATTCCACAGCACCTACCACAGGCATCGATACCGCGAAGACAAAAGACGCAGACGAGGACGAAGGGCCACCTTTGGACTATGAGAGACCCTCCATGGATATTTTCAAGGCTATCTTTGATGATTCAGACTCTGAAGAAGAGGAGGGGCAAGACGGACAGACGGCGGAAGAAACAGAAACTCGTGAGAACACTGCAGTAGTGTCAAGTACGACAGCATTAGATCAAGATGACTTTATAGGTCCTCCCATGCCTCCTCGACCTGCAACAGCTGATATACCCTTAACAACAGCTTCAACATCATCGTCACCGAATGTTGAGCCGTTTAGACCAATGTTCAAAAGAGCATCTGAAAGAAAAGATCCATCCGCATCCTCGTTACTGCCACAAGTCATATCGGAGCAAGTGGTTGTGCAACCGTTCAAACCTAGATCAAGCAGACAGAAAAGACGACAAATTGATGTTTCTGACGATGAGGAGCACGGAGAGCAAGATAGACACAGGAAGAAAGAACGCAATCGTAGTCGCAGCCCCAGCCCGAGTCCTGATCGCAGCCGTCGAGATAGAAAGAGTAGCAGTAAAAAGAGCAAAAAGAGCAAAAGCAACAGCAGACAAGACAGGTCGAGATCCAGAGACGATGATCGATCTAGCAGCAGTAGACGACACGGTGACAGTAAAAAGAGAAAGTCTGATAAAGAGAGCCGCCATAGTAGTAGTAGTAGTCGACACCACAGACACCATAAATCCAGTCGACACAAGCACAAAGAAGAACAGGACGATTTAGAAGCCTTTTGGGTGGAAAAGGAAAGCAGCAGCAGCCATGTAATACAAGAATCTGATAAACCTGCCAAGGGAGGAAGAATGAGTGCTGCTGATATGTGGTAGCAGTGCTTCAATTTTACTTTTACGGCAGTGTATTCATCTATGATTGGTTCTTTTATGCAGAAAACATCCAAACAAATAAAGACAGGCTCCATTTTCAATATATAAAATATGCACACATCAACACGATCCTCTTTTTCTTTCTCTCTCTCTCTCTCTCTCTCTCTCTTTGTTTTACATTACTCCATGTTTTTTATGAATCAGCAAAGAGACGTCCTAGAGAAGAAGATTAATGTCAATCCAACGGCCAGGACTGGACATGTCATGTAAGATGAACCGAGTTCTTGTTTGTATGCCGCCAGCTGCTTATTCACACTGATGCATAGTCGAAATGACGGACGTTTTGTTACTGTAAAACATGTACACAGGATAGCTACCTTTATCCAGCATTGGTGAGTTGAATTAAACAAGTGCATTCATTTAGATTATCATGCTAAATAGCATAGATAGGCAATTGAGGAATTTGATAGTGAGTTCTCAAAATAGCACCATCATTCGCACCAAGAGAAACGCATTTTACAGAGTGAGTCATTTTTTTTTTTTTTAGCAGAGGTGTCTGTTAGTAGTTGGGTATCTAATCAGTGATGGCTATTTCAGTATGATACAGAATCAGGTGTAGATACTTGCTGCCAAGATAGTTTACCATTTACGCCAACATCTATTCATACAAAGTAAGTGTGTCCGAGAGAGAGAGAGAGAGAGAGAGAGAGAGAGAGGCAGCAACAGGAGCTGATCCAGATGTGCATTAGATGTGGCTTTTTAGCCTTGGGAGGACAAACAGGCATGTTGATGATAAAGAATCTATCTACAGGATGGTACGATATCAAAACGGCTGGGCGAGGCCTGAACAACTCAATATGTTTATCGCAACATCAAGGTGAAGTTCGCATGACGGTCTGCAATAATGATCAAACGGTGTCGGTATTCAGTGTACCTGAGATGGAAAAAATTCAAACTGTAAAAATGCCGTCTGCCATCAACTTTTGTAAGTGTTGCGTCTTGGAGGTTGCTATGGGTATACTGACATGTCAATGCAGGCTCTGTGAGTCCAGACAGTAAAAAGATATTGCTGACAAGCGATGAAGGTGTAGCCTACTTGTATGCCATCAATCAAGACGGGCTCTATGGAGACAGATGTGAATATAAAGGTAATTTGTTGCGCTCTCTCTTTGTATAGCACGGAAAACTCATACAGCGTATCTTAGTGTCTGAAGAGTCTAGTTTATCATGTGCATGGCACCGATCATCTGAGATGTTTGCTGTGGCAAGTCAAGATGGGTTTGTGAGCACGTATACTATTCATTCTGCTACAAGACTATGCCAATTGAGTTCAGCCGAGGTAAATCGTTACACATTTGATTGCTAAACCAACCCCATCATGGCTAACGACACCCAAAACAGACTCGTAAAACAAAGAAAGCCCCCAGAAGTATACAATTCAGTACAGGTCCGTTGGATCTACTCGCCTATGCAGACCATGTCAACCATGTCTATATTGTTGACACACGCACATTTGAAACGAGACAAATTGTACGACTCTCACCTGAGAATGAAGACCATTCCATCACTGGATTAACTTTTTCATCCAACTCGAGATCCCTCTATGTGGGCCTGGAAGATCGCTTGGTTGAATTGCAAGTTGATGTATCCGCAAGAAGACAATTTGGTGGTGGTCGATTGATTCCATTCTAAAACTATCATCCATTCACATATATATTACTCCAAAAGGAACCCTCCTTTCATCTGTATTTTTGCCTTTTTTTTTTTTTTTAATAACAATGTCATCATTTTTCATCACTATGTTGTATGTATATGTACACTATGTTTTTATTTAGCAGAGGTCTTGAGCTAGCAATAGTAAACAGTCAAGATAAAGTCATCATGATTCATAATATTCTCATGTTACCTGCAATCCGTGCATTCCCTTGATTTCTTCCTTCAAGATATCATTCACCATTCTGTGTTGCTTGACAATGCTTGTACCTTCAAATTTGGCAGCAGCAATATCAATAGCATACATGGAACCGCAACCACCTAGATATACATTTGATGTGAGTTTCATAGTTGCAACGTACATAAACACACCCAATTTTTTTTTTACCTGAAACGTCAGCTACTCTAAGTTTATGTGGAGCAAGTGCTTGAGAAAGCTTTTCATAAATGTGCTTCTCACCAGCATTTAATCCTGTTGGTGCTTCTGTTGTATACAATGCACGGCGAATGGCAGTGGAACGAACAAAACGAGATACAAACATAATGTAAGAATGATACAAAAATTTAATGAATTCAGTGAAAAAAAAAGGGGACCCCAGGGTATATGTTCCAGTGGAGAATGGAGGGCGTGTGGAGGCCCAAATTCCTCTTGGCTCGATGCTCCATTATTGAGCGCAAATATCAACATCTACTACCTATAGTCACAAGATGGCTACATCAACTGTTTTGAGTGACATCTTGATGTGTTTCTTCTTCTTCTCCACATGTCACTTGTTATCCTTATTAGAAAGATGAGATCCCAGCTTGATTCTTTGTGTTCAAACCTTGAGAGGTTACATTAATATAAGCTCCCTATAGGTGGCTTGATGTTTGCAAAACAGATATTCAAAAAGGATTTGAACGACTAAGATTGAACTGGTTCAATGCAAACAAGCCCGATAATATAAAGAGTGTTAATTAATGCTATGCCATCTGAACACCTTCTGATATGATGATCATAGCCTTATCGATATTGAACAAATACAATGAAAAAACTTCAATAGCGCTCCACCTAATGATAAAAGTTTTTAAAATAATTTCATTGATTACAACGTCAATGCTCGATCCAGTTTGACCTATATTGAAGCTAGCCTTCCATTGCTAAAGATTCTTCGAAAGAAGGCACTTTTCAGCTTTTTGACTATATCGTAAATAGCGCACTTTTTATCTGGTAATAGAAGAACTAAAAGCTATACAACAGTGAACCTGTAAAACGCATACAGTTACGCTCGACGACGGCGTCGCCTTGCGGGCTCTCACCGAAGACATTTCAAATCAGAGATAATAAGAATCAGGCATATCAAGTAGATTTTAAACAATCAGTTAATAGTAAAAAAAAAAAAGGTTATATCAGAGTCAGGAGGGGGAATTGTCCATTCGCTGATGCTGCTTTTGAGATGTTGGCATAAAGCTGGCCATGCTTAAATACAGGACTTTTCCAAGTCTTTCAGCGACTCTTTTGAGATTCTCATTGCAAAGACACCTTTTTAGGGAAAAACTCCCAACAAAAGCAAAAAAAGTATTCAAGCTAAGCCGTTGTCTCTTCAAATTCATGATTTTGATTTAGTCAGCGTCGCAATAATCATTGTTATTATCATCATTGGCATCATCAGAAGAGCATTTGGGTCAGCCAGCAGCAGCGCCGCCGCCAAAATTAATTCAAACTTAGTTAATTTTTTTCCGCTCAAGATTGGACAAATTTTGTCTTTTTTCGACTTGATCGAATTATTTTATGATATTCGACTATATAAGTTGTGATGATCACCCTACGCTTCCTAATACATTCTTGAAGTACTTTTCAAGGCGCTTACAATGGCACCAAGTAAGATAGATGTTTTGAATAAACTTATTGAGAAATCCATGAAAATATGAAAAGAGGTTTCTGGCCAAAAAGTTGAAGTTTTACATATCAAGGTCCCACATAGACGATTTCAGCTGTTACGTTAGATCGATAGAAACATTTTGATTCAATATATACCTTAGTAAAAGTCTCCATTATCAAGGTCAAAAAACGCGATCGTTTGATTTTCGATGAAAAGCATGAGGTACTCCTCATGCTTTTTGGTCGATTTTTGGCTATGTTTTTTTTTTAGCCCAAAAAGTTGAGCAAAGGTGTCAGGAAGTAATTGCTAGTTGAGAGCAATTGTTTAGTGCTATTCTGGCAGTCCAAAATGACGTTTAACGCGAGAAAACACAGTTCAAATGCACCAAAATTTTGCTGTATTAGGCATACTCTTGACTAGAAAAGGGCGATACCAGTATGCTGCTTGCACGTATATAAATATCTACGTGTATACGGATGGGGAACATTCCATAAGAGTCAGATCCACAGATAATATGAAAGGTTTTCATGTGTAAATAGAGGGTTAATATAAAAGTAGCAGTATTTTCATAAGATGTGCAAAGGTAATCGGTAGCGCGAGCTGCCGCTGAGCAGGCTGGTTCTCACCGCAGCGAAGCCAAGGTAGAGAGTCATCCAAAGTATAAGCATTCGTATTATAAAAACTATTACACCTCTTTATAATAAAGTTATAAAACAAAATCAAAATCAGTTGTGTATAAACGAGCTAAAGGTATCATACACTTAGTAATATGCGCTAATCAGTCATTTTTGAAGGCTTGCGTAACTCTATTGTATTTTATATACAACATTTTGAAGCCTAAATGATGTTGAAGCTACTCAGTGAAGCACATTGTTATAAAAAAGCATTAGTATCATTTGCTTACTGCTTCGAGCCAGGCAGCACATACAAGTCATAAGAAGATTATCACATAAGCAATGCGTGATGATGTTTTCTTTGGCTCGTTTCATCTTTCATTTTAAGGTTTCCATTGAAAAATCGAATATAAATCTCTGAATCAAACGTTTTCAACTGGAAAAAAAACAAGCACCTTACATGCTAGAGCATGACTTGAAGAGCTCGATTTTGCTTTCATACATGAGAAATCGCCCCTTCAAGTACCAAACCATGCTGCTTTTGGTGGAACAACAAAATTTCATGGCACATTTACCTTTGTTGTGGCATTTTTTTTTTAGATCGTATCTGGCTGTTCGAACCAAACTGAAGACCATGCCTCGGCTCCCTCATTACAGAAAACGTTGTATGCTCAAGTGCTTGATGAAAATCGACCATTCCCATCAACATCTACTGATATCAGTCACCCTCATCCTACTACACTTCCTAATCACCCAAAAACCAATATACACAAACATATTACATTTATACAATCAAAAAGGGTGTCTTTTTTTTATTACGAATTTAATGATTTAAGCATCCTTGATCTTCTTGGTACCACGGAGGAGACCGGTACGACGGGCAGCGATCAAACCGACCTTTTGACCAGCAGGAGAATCACGAGCCATGGTAGAGGCCTTACCAATGTGTTGATGGTTACCACCACCGTGAGGATGGTCAACGGGGTTCATGGCAACACCACGAGTCTTGGGCCAGCTGTTACGCTTGACTCTGTACTTGTGGAAAGCACGACCAGCCTTCAAGAGGGGCTTGTCAATACGACCACCACCAGCAACGACACCAATGACGGCACGAGAGGTAGAGGGAATGACCTTCTTGGAACCAGAGGGAAGACGAATACGGGTCTTACCATCATCACCATGACCAATGACAGTGGCATAGTTACCAGAGGTACGGGCAATGGCTCCACGATCACCAACCTTCTCCTCAACATTACAGATAACAGTACCTTCGGGCATAGAGGCCAAGGGCATAACGTTACCAATGTTCAAGGTAGCCTTCTTACCGGCATAGATGAATTGACCAGTGTACATACCTTCAGTGGCGATGAAGGTCTCGGTACGGAGCTTGTACCTATCAGAATATCAGTATATTGGATCTTAAAGATTCTAAATTCCAAACTTACTTGTAGGGATCACGGAAGACAACCTTGGCGAGAGGAGCACCTCTTCCAGGATCGTGAACAATATCCTTAACGATACCACGGACATAACCATGACGTTCAGCAAAGTCGAAAACTCTGAGCTTAGCAGCACCTTTACGGCCAACAGTGTGGGACTTGAAGATACTTCCAGCACCTTTTCTTTGAGCACGAATGACGCGACCCATTTTAAATCAAATCTATACAATGTAAGATGGAGTTTAGCATGTCTGCTCATGTCTGTGTTGGCCATGTATCATTTGGCAATCATTGAAAGATTCGACAGCATATGGCTCCTATTGTTGTGTATCCATATATCCATCATTCTCTCGCTGAACTAATCCATCCATCCATCTCTTGGGGCTGATCTTGCATCCGCATGTCTGTTTCCATACTGTCGTCGAATCTTTCATATTGCCAAATACATGTGGGTGATGTGTACTCACCCTTAATTAGGTGTAGGGAGGAGAAGAGGAAGTTTGCCCATAGTAGTGGGATTAGATGATTCTATGGTTCCTCGCTCGTCTTTGGTGCCCCGTTGATGACTCCGGGCGTATTGAAAAAAAAAAAAGAGAGTTGTATGATTGGCAGTGCGTTCAACGGTTACCCGACCCGAAGGTCCATTCAATTGATCTCTCTTTTTTTCTTTTCTCTGTTACCAAGGCATGCAACAGCAACAAATTCAAGACAGACACACTAGTTTTGCTATACTAGGGAAAGCAGAAGTACTATGCAATACATGGCGTCGTTTGCAATCCAAATCATTGTCGTTGCTGCAATCCATGGTCAACATTGTAGCTCAAAAAAGTGCCACATTGGATCAGCTTTCTACGTTGGAGCAACATGGCGTTGAGAAGTCTCGTCTTGTGTACAAACAGACAGCATCACTAGAGAGTCTGATCAAAGATCTGCACTCTGTGCTAGAACTGCTTGACAAGGTGAAGCGGGATTGGGCTCAATTGGATCTGGAAGCAGCCCGCCATGTGGTCAAATATACCTCACGCCCTTCATTGCCAGCTAAACTAGCACCATTGTCCACCAACTCCCTCATCCAAGTGACAGCAGTAGCACCTGCTCAAGTACACGATATGATTTCTCAGTTAGCGTACATGTACAATGAGGAATTCAACTACAAATCCATGTTACTGTCTACACTACCATCCAACATAGCAAATCAGGACCAAGTTCTGCAATTGGTAGATCGATGGGATGCCGAAACACACATTGATACGTCATTACAACAAGACATTGTTGAACGTATCAAGCTGTATAAAACTGTCAAGAAGGTACTTGAATCAGTAGATTGAACTTTGGGTAAGCTTTATATAAATGTACACTGAAAAAAAAAGAGTCTAATATTCTACATTGAAAATTCGTACAGAATGATCTTCACCACCAGAAGCCAATTGCAATAGATTTGTTTCCTCAGTAGCAGAGGAAGGATGACGCCAAGAAAGAGATCGAACAACACCATGATGGCAGAGTCTAATACAGTATGAAATGTGAATAAACCAAACATATACCCCCTTTTAGACAAATTCAATGTATACCTTTGATCAAACTGATGCCACATTTCCCACTGATTGATTTGCTGCAAATCTACACTAGATAACAGCTGGATGCGACCATTCTCTAAACCAACAGCAATGATATATCTACAATAACAACATGAGTCTATGCAAGTATCGACGTAATGTGGATCACTTACTTGTTGTTGACAGCTGCAGGCGCAAAATCAATAGCAGTAACTGCCTCAGCACACTTGATAGTAGCCACACAATCCCATTTAGCAGCCTCTTCATCAGCGTTGCTTTGTGCCCACACCTTGATGGTTTTATCGCGAGAACCAGTGACAAACAACTTATCATCATGACTCCAGGAACAATCCCAAATAATACGAGCATGTGCCTTGGTCTTGGCCACCAATTTATAGGGAGTGTCTACATTACCTGTTTGACGTTCTGACAATGACCATAGACGATCCCTAGAAACAGTAAGCAACCAGCGATCATCATGAGAGTATCTGACGCGTGTCACTGTCAATGCATGAGCATCAATCTTGGTCTTGACCTCCTTCCAGTTCTCAGTGCTAAAAAGACGGACCACGGCATGTTCGGCGGTAGCTGCTTTACAACTGGAAGCGACATATTGTCCATCATGCGATGTCTCGACACTGATGAGTTCATAGCCATGGCCGTACAGCTTTTCTACTTCGGGCCACAGTGTGTGTTGGATCAAGGTTTCTTCATAAGGTGGATGTTGCAATACTTGCGCCAGTTGTTCGGCAGTAGCTGATGTGACAGTATGAGAGCCAATGTTGGTTTCAATGTGATCATCAGGCAGTGTATCGTTTTCGAAAACGGCCTTGTTGGAAAGACCAAGAGCAGGCAAATTGGCACCTACGGGCAAACGCTCTGTGTTCTCCAACATGCTCTTGTCGCCTGTGAGACCAGCTAAGCTTTCGACACAAGATTTGGGTGCATCAAACACACGAAGCACCTTTTCATCAGCACCACTGACAAACTGCCAATCACGCACAAAGGCAATGCATTTGATATCGTAGCCATGCACTTGAGGACGACCCATTTCATGCCATGTGATGACTTCTTGGCCATGGGCTTGTCTGTTCCAAGGGGCAAAGAGTCGGGTAGTTTGATCCAAACTAGCAGACAGCAAGAATCTTGACTTGGGATCCCATGCAATACTTTCCACCGACTTGAAATGACCACTGATAGCCACATGGGGTGTCCAATGATTATCGCCACTTGTTCTCCACAGATGGAAGGAACCATTAGCGCCATGAGACACAATGCTTTTACCATCAGGACTGAACAAGGCACCACAGAAGCCTAAATACGTGCTGCCACCAATATCACCCATACGCACCTCATTTACCCACACACCAGTTTCGTTATCAGGGCTCCAGATCATCATGGATTTGTCGCTGGAGGCTGAAATCAGACGCATGGGCTGGATAAAACGTTGCTCGCCATGGATGGTTTGCATGTGCGGTTTTTGCCATTCGACACTAAACACCCAATCATCATGACCCATAAGCAAAGCTTCAAACATTAGAGAATACTGCTTGTTGTTGACAGTGACCAAATGTGCTTTGGTGCTCAATTGCTCTCCTTCTAGTTCACTTTCCTTGAGAGCCTCTGAGAGCTCACTAATTTCGTTGTTGTTGCTGTCAGATGCCACTGACTCGACCACAGAGGGCACATGTGCCGAGATCTTCCATAAGCGAATGTATTTGTCTTGGCTGCCACTGGCCAAGATCAAATCACCTTGTTCAAAGATGTTGTTGGCGTGTGTGTTTTCTTCAGAAGCGGTATAAGTAGCAAATGAAAGATCTCGGACCCAATTGTCGTGGCCTGTAAGTGTATGCATCTTTTCGAATTGGCTGCTCTCGGTCTGATAAATGTAGATGGAGATCAGTTTGTCGGTGTGTCCACTAGCAAAGACAGGCGCTGTCGAGAGAGATAGTTGAGTCTACAAGCTGTTTATTGTTTCATGGTCTGTACACTTACTTTTGCTATCAGGAAGGTAAGATAAGGCCAGTGACATGGGATACTTGTTGCCATTGCTGATGACTTGTTGACATGTCACCTCATCTATACAGCTGATTAGCATACACACTCGCTCACATCAGCACTCAGACACACTTTACCTGTATTATCATCGACTACACGACGCTCCCAGACACGGATAGTGCCATCGGACGAGCCTGTAATGATGGTATCTGTCTCTCCTTCAATCGAATGTGCACGCATACAAGCAATGGTTTCGACAGCTCCTGTGTGACCCTCCAGTGTAGCAGAATTGATCCACTATACAAGCAACACATCAGCACATGCTTTTCTTTCACTAGCATCACTTGAGCAACACACCTTGCCTTCAGCATTGACTTTCCAAATCTTGGCTGTATAATCTGCGGAACCAGAGATCAATGCAACATCTCTGATCTCTGCTTCATGACCTGAGTGTGGTAGTGTGAGATCTCGGGTGTGCTGCAAATCTCAAAGCTGACTCGCAAACATACCTCTTTCAATAAACTCTAAGCAAATAACACGGCCTTTATGTCCAGGTAGTGTTTCTTGAATGCCTTTGCTCTTTTGATCCTAGACATGATATGGACACAGCATGAACGACACAGGCTTTTCAGTAAAGCATGTCATACCTACCAAAGGCAAATACAATGCGACCAAAGTGTCAGCACCAAAAGCAACTAATCCACTGTTGCCCCAACATGCTGCGTGGGCTGTTCTGTTGCAGCCAATAGAGATATATTCTGAACTGACTTGAACCATAATATCTGAAATGTTGTAGAGTAAAGCCTTTTGAAAAATGGTGTCCGTTAGTTTCAGCTCACTTTAATCAACATTTTTGGGTGGCTTGTTTTTATGGCAATTACGACACAGATATCGTGAATTCTTCTTTGAAGTCTCTCTATGCACACATGATGCTGCCAATGTTGTTCACAATTGCACAAACACAGCGATCACAGTACAGTATCCGAGCAAGACCAAATTCCAGATTGAGCAAAAAGCGCAAATATTAGAATCAATGGCATGAAGCCAAAATGTCCTTTAAAAACTTTGAGTTTTTGATTACTGGCTGCCTCTGTGGCAATAATAGCGTTGAGGGTGTAGATGCATCCCTTGGTGCATCTTTTAAAAACACATAATGCTGCCGAGGATTACTGGAAAGTTCATAGGCCTGTCGCACCTACATCCCGTGTTGAGAGAATGCCACCTCCTCAGAAACTTTACCAAGAGAGCAAGTGGGTTCCAATGGTTGAAGCAACTTGATCAAAACGGATTCAGCACCGCCTCTCCTCTCAGACAGCATTTGATGGAGGATGTTGATGGTATTGTGGCTATCAGTTCGTTACTGTTAAGTTGGAAAGCATTGGGTCACCAGAACAAGCAGCAGTTGGGACCCACGCTTTCCAAAGTGGAAGAGTTGAGTGGTTTGAATGTAGATATAGATGCCACTGCAGAGTGCGTTGAGAGAGTGAGGCAGCTGGATCAAAGATAGGGTTTGCTGTACTATAGAAAAGCTAGAGGCAGCTACAGCATTCTTTTGGCTTGAATGCTTCATGCCTTTGCAAAGTTTATAAAAGGCTTGTCATCAATCAGAGAATGACTACAGTTTTGAGTCAATAACAATCACTGGGTGGTACTTTTGATACGTTATTGATGTTGAATGGAGTGGTCCTGACCCCTGGCTACCTAATACCGCATGACATTTGCGCACCTGAACCAACAACTTGTCAATGGGCGTCTCTGTAAATTTGCAATTTTAAATAGGGCATCAATTTGCAAAACTAAAGGTGTTTATATCTCCTCGTGCATAGGTAGCTCAAGAACCGTTTTCTGGCTCGATTTATAAACTGTGTATACACCAGTGAGGACGAGACATGGTTGATAGATCAAGCGAGAATCGCCTTGACATCGGCGGCTTTTTAAGCCAATTGACATGGCAGCAGCATGCCAGCAAGAACGGGAGATTTTGGTTAATATATTTACTGCCATCAAGCCTCATACAGTCCATAGACAGTACGCACGTGTTGAATGGTATCAGTGTATGCAAAATAGCCAATATGATGCTGTGCCCACTATTCATCAAAAGCATGTATACATGCTACATGGGTGTTTCTTGTTACTGAACATTTAAAATGCGTCGCATTAGCAGAGACATCATTGCTGTTCTGACCTTTCCTTAATAAAGGTAGCATGTATTATATATTACTCTGTACTTGCAGATGTCTTTATGTGTAGCACAGACATTTGTAATTTAAAGTTGAATTACCTTTGTGCTCAATTGTAGAAAATAGATAGGCTCTGTGGGGCCAAATCACTATGAAAACCCTTATCCACGTGTGTCATTCATGCAATAAGTTTGATTCCTTTTAATCCATGTAGACGAAAACGATATCTGCTGTCTCCAATACTTCCATTTTGTGTCAGTACAGCACACAGAGAGCAACGCCATCATCTGGTTACTGTGCTATGCAGATCATCTCCATGGCAACCAGCAAACATTTCTTACAGTCTACATCTGCTCGCATTGATATATCAGCAAATACTAAAGACGTTGCTATCCAGGTAATTGCAACTACAATGATCAAACTAGGGAATAACTAGATAAATAGGGAAGGTGACATGAAACTAAAAGAGTGATACAGAAATCAGATCTTTTTTACTAACACACAGAATCCGTGTCACCTCTGTCAGAATCGCAAGGTATGTAAACGTGCACAGTAATTGGCAGCCTGGATGGCTCCCTTGTCCTGCATCAAAACTTACGATCTATATAGCACATATCTTTCCACCAGAGCTATATATCATTTTTGAGTAACATGCGTTCGTTTTGTGATGGCACATATATAAAGTGCCTCATCTCTACCCTTTTTTCTTATCTTGAATTCACCCTTAAAAATACATTCTTTTTTAATATGAGAGGAATTGCATTCACTGTACTCTCTTTGGCTTCTGCTGCCTCCAGTGTATTGGCCATCACTCGTCCAGGTTTCTCTTCTCCTAGACCTGCTGACGTGGAAGGTCAATTCCCTCGTTTAGGCGCTTGTCCTGACCCTCATGCTTGTATCTTCCCTCCTGATGTGTATGTACACTTGTCAATTGACATTTATTATCAGATTAGGCTAACTTGCTATGGCTATGTATAGATCCACCTTCATCCCTGGTGCTTACTTTGATATCCGTGTGGAGCTTCATGCTTATGACAAGGATACCTCCAAGCCTACACCTGCTGCTTACAAGGAATTCAAAACTACCATCCGTAAGGGTAAGGGTAAGTGGCACGACATCAATGACTACTTCAAGGTCAAGTCTCATCCCAAGATTGAGAACTGGAACTTCAATTGGGTTGACTCCATTGACACCATGTACTCTGACCTGCTTAACAACACCAACAAGCCTATCAATGTTAATGTCGCCTCTCGTGCCTGGAGAAAGCTTAGACTTACTGAACCTGGAGAGTACGAAGTCAAAGTGCAATATGGTCCCAAATCTTCTTACACTGCCAAGTATTTGGTGGTTGAGCCCAAGAAGCCCAAGAAGAAGGCAAAGAACGTCATCTTGTTCATCTCTGATGGTACCAATGTGGGTATGATCACTGCTGCTCGTGCCCTTGCTCGTAAGCACACATCTGGTAAATACGAGAGCTTGCTTTCCTTTGAAGATTTCGACAACTTGGGCCATGTCATTACCAATTCTGTTGACAGTTTGCTCACTGATTCTGCTAACTCTGCTTCTTCTTATGCTACTGGTCATAAGAGTTCAGTCAGTGCTTTGGGTGTCTATGCTGATTCCTCTGCCAGTCCTTTTGATGATCCCAAGGTAGAGCTCATTACTGAATTGATCCGTCGTCGTCAACCCAAGAAGGCTATTGGTATCGTCTCTACTGCTTATGGCCAAGATGCTACTCCTGCTGCTTTCACTTCTCACACTCGTCAAAGATCTAAGGCTGCTGAAATCACTGACCAACTCTTGCACGGTGTTGGTAACTGGACCAAGGCTGGTAAGTTGGATGTTGGACATGATACATGAGCCTAGGCTAATAACGTAAAATTACAGTTGTTCCTGATGTCTGGTTAGCTGGTGGTGCCGAGTATTTCTCTGGTAACAAGTCATTGAACCAAAACAACTACTTGAATGGTTTCAAGAAGGCTGGCTACAATGTCGTTCTCAACAAGAAGGACTTACTTGCCAACAAGAAGAAGCAAGATAAGCTTTTGGGTGTCTTCCGTCAAGGCAATCTCGATGTGTAAGTATTCCATATAATTTAAACGGAACTATCGCTCACTCTCTTTCATTAGCTGGTTTGAAAGAAACTTGTACGTCAACAACACTGTTGGCAACAAGGCTGGTCCTGACATGAGTGGCAAGGATGCTCTTGGTTCTGATCAACCTGGTCTCGCTGATATGACTCTTTCTGCATTGGAAGTCTTGAAGAAGCGTGGTGGTAAGGATGGTTTCTTTATGATGTCTGAAGCTGCCTCTGTCGATAAGCAATTGCATACCTTCGATTTCCCTCGTGCTTGGGCTGAACTCATTGAACTCGATGTTACTATCCAAAAGACTGTCCAATGGCTCAAGAAGAATGGTGAATATGACGATACCTTGATTATTGTTACCGCTGATCATGCTCATGGTTTCGATGTGTGGGGTTCTGTTGATCAACGTTACATTCGTACCCATGATGGTCAAATCGACATGCGCAACTCTATTGGTGTCTATGCTCAATCAGGCTGGCCTGGTTACTTCGATAACAACAAGGATGGTTTCCCTGACAACTGGGTAAGTTTAGCTTGTGTTTAAATGATTCAAAATGACTGACAGTATACTCTAGTCTCCTGAAATTACTTTGGCTGCTGGTACCAACAATGGCCCTGGTCATTTCGAGGCATGGCAAACTACTACCACTGGTCCCCGTAAGCCCACTGTCGACGGTGCTCATGCTGGTGATTATGTTGGTAACCCCAAAGATGCTGCTGGTAAGAACGGTCATGGTCTTCCTTGGTCTAGCAACCTTCCTCTCGGTGAATCACAAGGTGTTCACTCTATGAGTGATGTCTTTGTTTACTCTAACGGTCCTAGCTCTGATCTCTTCAAGAAGACAATTGAAAATTGGGAACTCTACTTTAAGATGGCCGAAGCTATGGATTTGCTGCGTCCTTCCAAGCATGAATAACTGTTATAACTAATAGATCAGAACATTGCTTACTGGAGTAGTGAGTTGTTCAAACTCTTTATTTAATCCATGAATAAACTAATTATTTTACCCTTTAATGAAATGTTATCAAGTCATTGCCATCATACTATTGAAGAAGGCGTTATTGTAGTTACTTGAATAAAAAAGAGAAATTCGGCATGGGAAGATTGATTTGTAGCTCCAAAGAGCCTAGTAAGGATTAGGAAAGAAACAGAAATCAAAATCATCCGTGCAATTTAACATTTCACAAGCATTTAAAATAGTAGCCAAAGGATTCTGAACAATAGAGACTTAAAGCTTTGTAATTTGGAGTCTTCTCTGCCCATTGAACAGAATACAAACACATAAAGAAAGGTAGTTGCTGCTGGTGCTCTTATCTTCGAAATGCTTTCTTCGAGAACAAATGGCAATCGAGACACTAACATCCAGGCGATTGGTTGAATACACCAATCATTTTGAATTACAACTGCTTCTTTGTGTAGCCACATTAATAAAGCTTTGGGTTTGTTATTACTCCCTTTCTCCCTCTTTTTCTCTTGTTTCCTTTCTTTCTCACTAGCAACAGATAAATCAACAGATGGTCGACTACGTCAAAGCACTCAACTCACCTTATTTCAGTATTGGTTCCTTCTTATTCTTCCAACAATTGGGAAGATTCATCACTTTGGATAACTATTTGTATCCTCTCAGAATTCTGTATTTGTCTGCTCAGGTCGCTATTTTGGGTCTTAGCTACTATTTGATTCACAAGATTCAAAAGAAGAATGGTAAGTAGAAGAAGATGGACAGAAAAGGACGAGGTGGGGGGGGGGTGGCGATGAAGAGACATCCAAGAGGAGAGCAGCCAATTGATGTCACTTTGTAGATCAAACTGTGTTAAAGTATGTCGAGCCCGCTTCTCAAAGCTGGGATGGATCAGAAACCCCTGAGCAATTGATCAACACAACTGTAATGGGTAAGGCATAGTAGCGAGTACATGTTATGCAGCGGGATTCTCATTCGTGATGAGTAGATTATGATGTTGCAGAGGTGAATAAGGCCATCAAGCAATCTGCTATGGGTATTCTTATGATTACTTTCCTCCATTTCAAGTTTGGCTATATTCAACCTTTGTTGGTTCAGTCTATTCTCGGCTTCAAGACCTTCTTAATGACCAAGGAAGCACGTATTCACTTCTGGGGCTCCCCAACCACGGGTGATTTAAGACGTCCCTTCAGAATTGAAGCTCCTTTTGGCATGGTGAGCGAAAAGAAGCAACCTAAAACCGACAAAGGCTCCATCAAGAAGGCTGAAAAGGCTTTGAAGGCAGAGTAGATGGACACATTTCATCTATATCTATATATTGTATATTAATGTACTGCACGTTGCATCTCAAAATCAACAGATAATAAAATTTCACTTTACCCAATGCTATTTGAACCGAAGAAAGGTCTACTAAAGTGGACTGCCATTTGACACCAGCTCTTCTGTCTTTCTTTTCCTGTTCAACAACTTTACAATGAGTTTGGACGTGAACATGTCTTCTACGACTGATGGCAATGCAGATACCGCTCCTGAAGCTGATTGGAAGCCTCCTACTGGCAAGCTGAGCAACTTTTACTATCGTGGTGGTGCTCCCATCACTCGTTCTCAAGTAGGTTGACATGGCAGCAAAGTCAACTAAAAAGCACCATACTCACACAATGCGCAATAGATGGTGTCCATGTTCAGTTCAGCGAAAATCAGAGAATACAAGGGCCATAAGGAGAAGGTACACAGCGTTGCTTGGAACGCTGATGGTCGACGACTCGCCTCTGGCTCGGTGGATAAAACTGCTCGTGTTTGGTCCCCTCAAAGATCTGTAAGTTGACATTGAACGAAAGGCTGTGCATCAAAGCGATATTGAATACATTGGATTTTTAGACAGACGTGAAATACTCTACTGAGCTGAAGGGTCATACAGGCAGTGTAGATCAATTGGATTGGAACCCTACTCATCCAGATCGCTTGGCTACTGCTTCCAGTGATCAAACTGTTCGTATTTGGGATCAAAGATGTAAGAGAACAGCATTGTAAAGGCATGGATTTGGAGTATTCATCATGAGTTCTTGTAGCTGGAAAATGTACAGCCAAGGTTGACACAGAGGGAGAAAACATCAATATTTGCTGGAGCCCTGACGGAAACGACATTGCAGTAGGAGACAAGAACGACAAAATCACATTTATCGATACTCGTACAAACCAAATCAAGTTTACCAAAGACTTTCGATATGAAGTGAATGAATTTACCTGGAATCTTGCCAACAATCTGTTCTGCGTTACAACCGGTCAGGGTAATATTGAGTTGTATGATTACCCTTCTTTCGAACAAGTTGCAACTGGTCGTGGTCATACATCAAGTTGTTACTCGGTGGAAGCTGATCCCAGCGGCAACTACCTTGCTGCTGGGTCCGCTGATGGCTCGGTGTCTCTGTGGGACATGGAATCCATGAATTGTATCAGAGCATTTGGGAAGCTCACGTATGTTGACTTGTTTAATAGTATACAGCTGTATCTAATGACTTGATATAGACATCCTGTCCGAACACTTAGTTTCAGTTTTGATGCGCAATACATTGCCTATGCCTCTGAGGACCATTTCATTGATATCGTAAGTGTTTATATCTATCTGGCATTATATGACATTAACCCGTTGATCGTGTAATAGTCTCATGTACAGAGCGGTGAGTCCGTAAAGAATATTGAATGCTCTGCAGCTATGAACACGGTTGCTTGGTCACCACGAGATTATTACTTGGCCTATGCAGGAGACGAAACTGCCTCTGATGGAAAATATGCTGGAAATTTGAGAATTTTCAGTATGAAGGACCCCAGAGAACAGAATTAGAACTGCTCGACTTTGCTTAAATACCAACAAGATTAGTCGTATCTTACTTGTCAATTTGAAGTCTAATCCTGAGTGCTCCAAGATGGCTTGCATAATAAATGTAATATGTAAATATTTTTTCTTATAACATCATCTTATAATGAGGTGCATGCACTGTCTTTATTTCTGTTCTGAATTATAGCAACATTGATCCATCATTTCAGATAAAGATCGTATCAGGATACGTTATGTTTCGCATCAAAAGGCTAGTCATTGTAATAATGCTGTCCTTCTTATTTTATAGCGCAAAATTGCTATGGATATCGCACGTTTTGATGGAAATTTACAATGACAAATGCTCCCGTAACTGAATTAACTTATCAATAGCTAATAAGATTGCTTTACTGCCGCTTTATTTCTCTGTACGAAAGCCTGGGGCATTTCCTAAGGATAAAAACTGTTTGCGGTTAATTGAAAAGTGCGCTTTTACCTTAAACTATATTATCTAAAGATTAGGAGAGTTCATATCTATCCTAGCTGTGGAAATGACGTGGGGATAAGATGTTAGACCATCAAGCAATAACACTATATTATATTTTGTTACTTTGAATTTTCAGCCAATCAAATCACTCAAAAACCCCGCTGACCTAAAAAAAATTTTGCGAGGGTTTCCCCCTGTTTTGATGTGAGGCAAAATTTTAAGCTCCGCTATATATAGCAATATAGCTGTTACTATCATCAAATTTCCCTCAGGTGCTAGAGCATGCCTTACTTACACCACCCAGCTTTAGATTCTGGCGTTGAGACTCTCAATCATCACTAAAGTAAGTAGCGATAACCAAGTGGAGGCAGCCTATCCATCTCCTAGTCTCGGATAAAGTCTTGTTGAGCTTCAGGGATAGGCACATCCACACAACGTAAAGAGGTATGCTTCAAAAGAAACATAATAATAAAAAAAGAAGCGAACACAATAATACTATAGAAGTATAGTAGTATATGTATTATGCAAAAGAAAAAAAGAATGCTCACACGAAGTGAGCCAAAGGAAAGTATGTTATGAATAAAACATTAAAAATGTTCACGTTATTATATTCTTGTTATTGCAACAAAAATATATACATGAGCAATGTGCATGATAACAGTCTAATGATGTAAAAGAACACAAATGCGCACAATTGCAGGAGCAACAGTAGCAGCAGTATAAGTGTGTAATACAACATGATGAAGACCAATGTTGTTTTCGAGTGAAGCGACAGAAGAGGCAACACAAACAACAATCCACGGTTATATAACAAAGTATCACAGGAAGGGTAATACAATTATATAATAGCAGTGTGTCATGCTTGTTGTTCGTAAATATGAAGCAACAACATTGCAAGTATTTGTTGAGCTGATCATATCACAGTCAACCAAAACGAAAGAAAAAAAAAGCGCAACAAGGCAAACATTACGAATGCATTATCACGATAAAGCAAGCAATAATACAAACGTTCAAAGAAGATTTATATCATTGCGACCAGAAGAAAAAAGATACTTACCACTTACCACCACCGTAGATAGACCAGAGAATAACAATCGCCAGAGATAGACCAGTGAACAAGCATACAACAGAGACAGCAGACCAAGAAAGATCAGACCAGCAACAGCAACACCAGTAACATCAACACCAGCAGCAGCAACACCAGCAGCAATACCATAAGCAGAACCATCAGGAAAAGCAAGACCAAGAGCAATGCCGTCAGTAGTAGCACCATCAGCAATAGCACCATCAGCAGCAATACCAGCAGCAGCATCAGCAGCAATACCATCAACAGCAACACCAGCAAAAGCAAGCACAGCAGTGATACAAGCACCATAGAACAACCAAAGAACGAACTACACCAGTGACCAGACAAAACTTAAAGAAGCAACCGCCAGAGATAGAGACCAACGAAGCAACCACCAGACATAATAGACCAAAGAAGCAGATAGCAGAGATAACAGAAAAGCATTGGCAGCAGCACTCACGTCTAACAGACAAAAACAAATTGAAACCTAATAAACAAATTCGATTAGTGCTTGTTCTACATCTTTTTGTGTTCGTTATCGAATGATATTTACTATATCCCACTTCAAAGAAGCAGTATCAAGTTCTTCCAACGGTACAAGAGAGTGTTATCAGAAGATAGAGTTTTATTTTTAATCAAAAGGGTTCCAAAGTCATCATGGTTTGATAATAAACGCGTTTTGCAAAAAGGGTAAAAAAATGGTGGTATGGAAAAAAGAGAGGTCGCCCTATCCGACGTCACGACCAGTCTATTTAGCCTCAGCCTTCTGCGGTGGCAGCCGTAACTGCTGCACTTTAATTTGAAATTTGTGCAGTGGGTATTTTTGTGTTCAAATTTGATTTGATTTCACATTCTTTAAACGTTTTTGCTAAATTTGACTATGAAAATTGTCGTTGTCATACCCAACTTTCTACTACATCTCTAGAGAGCTAAAGAAGCTGCATCGAATGGTGTTGATTACATCCAGCTTTCAGACTAAAAATACTGAGCAATTTCCAAAAATATGAAAACAGGTTTTCTGTGAATATGTCAAAATTTCACATAAGAAAATCTCATAGAAAGAGTTTCCAGTGTTGCATTACATCTTTACGATCAATTTGATTTGACATGTATCATAGAAGAAGTCGTCATTTTTGGGGTGAAAAACGCGATCGTTTGATTTTCTAGAACTTTCTCTTGCTAACACTCATTATTGTGCCAGAAGGGCTACAACTGTCTATAAAGATTAAGGTATTCTTGATGGGTAGACATGTCTGTGTTGTGCAACAACATGGACAATCTATGGTAATTAAAGTGCATCTCAGCTATCTAAATACTGAGGTTCACCAGATGTGATAAGCGTTGTACAAGATAAATTGCTACTTTGGCATTCAGAACTTAGTATAAATAGAATAACTCTTGTCATCATCAATAAATCGTTAGTTTTTGTGTCTGATCTTATTCAAATAAGTCTTTTCTTGTTTTTATAATATCGAACATTTTTTATAAGCTACAAATAATAATCCTTTTATTCTTTGTGCTTAACAACGACTGTGGAATACATCCACTATGATCTGCATTCCGACAGTTCATCCAGTTACCAGATTTAGATATAAACTGTATGTACACTGGATTAGATGTACGATATCGATTTATACTATGATCATGAGAAGATATGGACTTCAGATACGCTAGTACTATAAGATTCATACTATATAAGATATAGGCTATAGATGGCACCACGGACATGGATGGCACTATAAACTTATACTTGTATTCCGACATTGACTACGGATGTTTACCATATCTGGATAGGCACCAAGATTAATGCAATATGAGCTTGTTGCTTCAGATGTGCACTTCATGATCCACGCTATAAGACACATGCTTATATCCGTGATACTAGCTACAGATACTTTATGTACTACAGACTTGTACTATATATGAGACATGCTATAGACATGCATACGATATGCTATAGACATGCCATATATCCAGATACATGCTAAAGATGTATGCTTAGCGATATACACTCAGATATGTACTATTAATATAGACTAAGAAGACTGTACCTATCGGATACATGCTACTAGATCGATATTAATTATCCTTATGGAAAGGATAGATCAGGGTACTTCGGATGAGAGTCTAATTATTCATCCAGACAGAGCTAAATCATGATTAGCTTGCTGGAGTTGTCTTTTAGCATGATTAGACATTAGTTGATCTGAGTTGACTTATTTGTCAATCTAATTAATAGAACTTTTATCCATTGTTATAGTATATAAGAAGGATCATCTACCTGGCCAGTAGAGAGACTTCAGTTTACTTTACACCTGTCAGTTTGATAATAAAACATACCTTTATCAAGTTGACATTACTGTTTTTTTATTCTTTTTTTTCCGTGAATTTTAGTCTATCAAGCCTCAAATTCCACAACGACCATCATGGGTGTGATTGAATACACTGTGATCAGGAGTGATTCATTCACACGATGTGCGATATAAGCATGCATCTTTAGTATTTTTAAATGGTTTTTTGATGTACATTTGAGCGCTTTCATTAATAGATCCAAATAGCATGAATTTGAATGAGTGCTATTTGGTGAACTTCGGTTTTCAATCAAGTTGCGTTTGGGTGGCTATTTCATTACAACATCCATTATAATCTGCATTCCGACAGTTCATCCAGTTACCAGATTTAGATATAAACTGTATATACACTGTATTAGATGTACGATATCGATTTATACTCTAAGAAGATATGGACTTCAGATACGCTAAAAGAATAAAAGGATTATTATTTGTAGCTTATAAAAAATGTTCGATATTATAAAAACAAGAAAAGACTTATTTGAATAAGATCAGACACAAAAACTAACGATTTATTGATGATGACAAGAGTTATTCTATTTATACTAAGTTCTGAATGCCAAAGTAGCAATTTATCTTGTACAACGCTTATCACATCTGGTGAACCTCAGTATTTAGATAGCTGAGATGCACTTTAATTACCATAGATTGTCCATGTTGTTGCACAACACAGACATGTCTACCCATCAAGAATACCTTAATCTTTATAGACAGTTGTAACCCTTCTGGCACAACAATCACTTATTACGACCACCATGGGGTGTGATTGAATACACTGTGATCAGGAGTGGTTTATTCACACGATGTGCGAGATAAGCGTGCATCTTTACTTTAGTATGTTTAAATGATTGTTGATGTAAGTTTGAGCGCTTTATTAATAGAATCAAATAGCATGAATATGAATGAGTGCTATTTGATGAATTTTGGTTTTCAATCAAGTTGCGTTTGGGTGGCTATTTCATTATACTGCTAAGCTAATGAGTATCTCGTTCAATCTGAGCAAGCTATCAGACTCAAATTTACATAATATCGCTGACGCTCTAGTTATGAAATTACTGTAGTCGCGCATTTCAAAAAGGAAGACCTGAACCTTCTCAGAGGTAGAATAAAAGCGTTTATCACT